CGGTTCTGGGAATAACCCCCGTCGTGGACAATCCGGGGCAGCACACGGACCTCTTAGCTGGTGATAGGCACCGTTAGCCCCGATAGTCTTTTTGTACCGATTCGCCGTTGTCCGGCCCAGTAAGAGCTGTCCATTTTCAGAACTCTCTCTCTACGATCTACGTCCTATGCCGCTCCCTCTTATTGTCCGCTCGCCACAGGCAGCCTGTCCCATCCTTTTCTTGTCGATCGCGGGGCTCCGGCTGTGACGTGAAAATTCCACATCATGCCGACCTATCCTATTCGTCGCCGACCGCGCGAGTGCAAGACCTGTCTACCATGCCGAGCGAGCAAAGTCCGCTGCGATCGCGGTTCTCCATGCAGCAATTGCACCAAACGCAATTTCACCTGCTCCTACGGTCGTCCACCCTCTGCGAAACTACCTATTCCTGCTACCGCCATCACTGCCTCCTCCACACCTTTACGACCGACAACGTTTGTCTCTCCCACGATCTCGCAGTATGCCCATTCAGCACCGACCCGTGATGCCTCGTATGCGCCCGAAGCGGCCACGCGGGCCAGCGCTGATCCGGATTTACCGGACGTAATTGACATCTCGCAGGCGGAATGGGACGAGATCAACGCCAAAATGGTCGCAATGGAACAGATTATGGGTAGTCTTCACTCGCTTTTCCAGGCACATTCCACTCGCAAGCCGACAGATCTTGAGTCGGTTGATCGAAAGTCATCGCTACGGTCGGAAGGTGTTTATGGTGCGAATGTCTTGAAGACGGGTGCGGTTCATCTTGGGTCGCGGTCGGCTTTGGTTGATATCTTGGATAAATCGAAGAGGTCGGAGGACATGGCGCAGGCGCTACCTCAGGATGACCTTCTCGCTGAGCTTGCATTGGGCAATGAGTCGGCAGCATATCCTTTTGTGGATCTGTGGTCTTCTGATCCGTTTACTTTCAATATTGCCGGGGTGTGCGCGGTTCTTCCAGACGATGAGCAGTGTTTTCAGTGAGTTGTGTTCTGGCGGGTATTCTTTATGCATGCTGATGTTAGATTCCAGATTCCTGGCGTTTTATCGAGATATAGGATCGGTATTGTATCCGGTACTTTCAGACATTCCACAGTTAGAACGGCATACAACTCGACTTCTTGAGGGTCGACGACGAGCCGGGGGTGTATATAAACCCGATGCCAACGGTTTGGTAAAGCCGTTTGGTATGGATTTGGCTTTTCTCAGTCTGCTTTTTGCGGTTCTTGCATCAGGGTGCCAGTTGTCGGACATTCCAGAGAGTGACCGTGAGTTGACCTCGTGGGTATACGGTACGTTATTGTTCCAAAAGACTGCGGGTGTCATGCTAATTTTGTGAAGTATCCTGCGCATATCAGTGTCTTCGGATGTTGAATTATGTATCGCAGCCCACTATAGAAGTAATTCAAATTTTGCTCATTATTAGCAACGTACTTTCATACAACATGAATGCAGGTGCATCGTATACCTTGCTTGGTATGTGTCAACCGCTCCCGGGGTCGTGTCAATGAATTGGTCAGCTAACCAATCTTAGGTATGACGGAACGAATGTGTCTTGTTCTAGGACTTCATGTCGAGTCGACAGGGTTCTCAGTCGCAGAGCAAGCGGTGCGAAGGCGTGTCTGGTAGGCTTCTCATTTTATTGGCATGTTGATCTCACGCTCACAATCTCCAGGTGGACAATGGCCTTTCAGAACAGTCATTTCTCACTTGCCTATGACCGACCAGCCATCACCATGGTCAGTCAACCTGAGATCCCATTCGACCCCAAGTCAATGCCGGGTCATCGGTCATATTTCGAAACCCTTTGTCGCATTGTATCAGTGTCCTTGGAGGTTTTGCGCTCTCGCATGTTTCCCGGTTCTTCACATCCACGGGTCCATGAGATCCGAGAGTGTAACCACCAGATTCAACGCATCCTCGCTGAAGCGACTCCTCATTTAAGATATCGAGAGAATTGCCACACTCTGGCCGACCATATCGAGCGCACCGAGCTGCGCCTGCACTCGTCGTATCTCCTTTCCGTCCTCTGTCGTGTCTCCCTTGATCCGCATGCGCATTTAGACGATCAGCGTCGTGCCGTAATCCGCGAGGATTGTATCGGTAGCCTGGTCAACACCATCGAAGCTTTTGTCGAGCTGCACGAGATCAACCCTCACTGCTCACGATCATGGATCAGTCTGCAGCGCAGCATCGCATCAGCCTTTTTGCTCATCACGAATGACGACAGCACACAGACTTGGCAGTTAATCGACCGGTTGGAGATGGTTCTCGCGGACCACGTCTATGCCGATGGTGACGAGGACCAGAACAACCGCACCGATTCAGCCAAACATCTCTCTTCTTCGCTCCGCGCTCTGCGCGAGATCCGCGACACCTTCCGCGCTCGCAAGACCGCGACGACGTCCTCGACATCTAGTCAGACATACTCGCCCCTAATCTTGCCATCGCCTCCTTCTGTCGATGTGAGTCCCCATCCTTTGCCTGTCGCATCGGCAGGACCAAACAAGCAGGCGGGCGAAGGTCTGAACATGCGGAATATCCTAGGCCGTGTGTCGGACGTAATGTTATTCCCCAGCATGATCGGCAAGGACCCTATTGTCTGATTGCTCATATACTTGCTTCGTATATCTTTTTGTCGCTTTATTATCTTCTCTCACATTTTTCGTTCCTTTCTGCGCAGGCGTTGGGGAGGACATGGCATCGGGAATATACAATACCTGCCCATTTCCTGTGAAATCAGCACTTTCTATGCTATACACATGTATCCACTCCAAAAGTCCAAAGTCACTATTGGAAGGTCACACCAAAGAAGAAAAGACAAAAAGAAGCAAAGAAGTAAAAGAAGCAAAGAAGTAACAGAAGCAAAGAAGTAGAAAAGTAGGAAAGTAGAAAAAACACGCTCGCGCAGGTTCTCGGCACATCCTTAAATGGATCTCCGTCACCGAGAAATCCAAAGTTCAGTGGGAAAAAAAAAAAAAAAAGCTAAATAGTACTTCGGCCGATGGAATGTCGGATCGCAGGACATCCAGGCCTGAACACACCATAAATCAAGTGAACAAGCCACTCCAGAGCTGGCTTGGGCATCCGATCTACCCGGACCATCTCGGCCCTGACCTCCCAATTTCATCCCTCCGGGCCTATTATTGCCTGTTATTTCTCTCTTTCCTCTCGCGGCTCTTGTAGAGTGGAGTCTCAGCTTCGGCCGGCCGAGATATCCCCGGATCCTCCATCTCTGACTTGTCACTTTACTTGACGTGCATATTGCATAACTCCTCTAGACCCTGGTGACTACTATATATGTAGATATAAGCGCTGTAACATGGGGCGTTGCTAGTGCTAGTGTCCTCCCTTGCATATATTACCACGTCTGATCGACTGTGCTTATGGCCTCGGGCCCACTTTTTGAACGGTTTCGGGGAGCATTTGTTGTGGAGATAATCCGTGTACCAGGTACATTTACTGCTTTTCATCTTGATAAGTTTAGATCTCTCTGATTTAGGTAATTTTGATAGGGAACACGCGACGCGAGGGATGGGACTATCAGATAAATCACTTGATTTTCTGATTTCAGGCTACCATGCGTTTCTTGTTTGGCTTGCACGTCGTGCGATTCTGACTCGATACCATACCCCTGTTGCTTACTTTTTTCTGGCCCTATCGATAAATTCTCGATTAGTTTACGTATGCTCGTATGAGGTTGGGTTATTGGGTGTTCTGTCATCTTATCTCTGGGATATTGGATTGGGGGTTGAGATCGGTGTGTTCCGGCCGGTCGTCGTCGGCTATATATCCTGTAGTTTTAATCTTCTAGTCTTCAATATTTCCAGAATGTAGGGTGTAAGCATTCGGCACCGAGACCTTTATGAATATTACGAAAGTATGCTGTTCGTTTGATCGTCTGATCAAGAACGTGAGATGCTCTTCGGCCGAGAGTGGTTTCTGGTGTTGTTGTTTATGGCTCTTGAAGGATTGTCAATGCATGATGTTCACGAAGACATTATGTAAGGAGTGAATGGACATAGCGAAAATACTCGATCGTATGAGGCTTTATATGGTCCCATGTTATATTTTTGGCACACTAAGGTCCAATTTGCTTTAAAAGGAACCCCTTACGGCAAAGTGACAATTAATATATCGTGCTACGCTCGTATAGAAGAACGGAATATGCTAGAGTATTTGATCCAGAAAGGAGTCTTTATAACTTGCTTTTTTGCCCTTCTAGACATTGTGACACGTCCGGATGAATGACGGGGGTGCATAATCTAGGGCTTAGGGAGTATTCTAGATGCGGCTATAAATGAAGTTGCATTTCGCTTAAATCCTCATGCAGAATACAGAAAGCAACTTAATATAAGCACATCTGGTGGTGACTTGACTTTATACCCTAAAAGATACCTAGATTCATGTTGATTGCAATCGCCTTTGAAACCCGCTAAGCCTATCCCCTTGGGCCAAACATGAACGAGAATATGGAGGTACAACCCAAGGATACCTTCACCGCTTAAACTGGCTATTGGAATTGGTCGAAACATCTAGTAAGCTCTTTCTTGGAACCTCGAGGTGTTTTGTGCTCGCTTAAATACTAGACTAGATCGACTAAAGTTGGTTGATCTTTGAAGATCAAGCCAAACAGTGTGAATTGGCAGTCTACCATGGCCATTTCTCGCTAAGGTTGTACTATTAATACTACTGCCCTTCGCCGAAGTAAACTCCATCTGGATTGGTGAGATGGATACAATAGCTCCTAAGATTTTAGTACGTTTTGTTTTTGCACTTGTTATTGTTGATGATTTTATCTTTAAGGCACGCCAGCAAGTTTGCTGTTGGGTGAGATAACTTGCTGTATGCACTCATGCCTTCCTATTAGCAAAAGCAATGTGCGTCACTGTGGCTGATCGATAGCTTATAGGACATGTCATTTGCTTTTCATAGACACACTTTGCTTTCTCGGTACCCTGCATTAGGTTAAGCTGCATGAAATGTCACCATCTAACCACACTCAGCATCATAGCTACCGCAGACAAGAAGAGCGCCAAAAGGAGACGACTGAGGTGAAAGTTGAATCCGATGTCCACGACGTCCACGATGTCCACGATGATGCCAACAGCGGCTTTTTAATAACGTCCGATGCCACAGATCTCAAGCCACCAAGCAGATCCAGTTAATATAGATGTGAGACATCACAGCTCAACTGCATGACACTCGTATACCCAAGTTTGTCCAACCCCCACACCGCCAAAAAAAGACCGAGCAGACTATCTTGTGATATCCTCAATCCCCGGAAACCCCCAGATCTACACTCCTCAATCTGAGACAATAGTCTAAAGTCACATCATCAATAGTCACTCGCTAACAACTAAATTAAACAATGACAGAATCAGATGCCTCCTGTCCCGCCCGCAACTGGACCCCCAAGGAACAAAGCCACTGCACTACATCAGAAACGTGCACCTCTTCAACGGCGCAGGCGATCGAGGCCACTAGGCCCTCGGCACAAAATACATCCTGAAAGATCGTGGGGCCGATCCCACTTATGAGGTCATAAGCACCCACTTCCTTCAAGCGAATACTACCATCCCCGTCCCGACCGTGGCGCAGGACTGGACCGAGAAATCCCTGCACTTCACCATGGTCGAGCGGGTGCCTGGGGTCCCGCTGGAGAAAATATGGTCATCCATGCCGTAGTGCGCTCGGGAGGAATTGGCTCGCTGTACGGCGGAGTATCTGGGGCAGCTCCGCCCGTTCCAGTCGGAGACGATGGGGAGTGTGGATGGGTCACCGCTTCACTGTGGGTTTCTTTTTCCGGGGAAGGGGAATGAGGATTGTCAGGTTCCCCATGGGCCGCTGAAGACGGCTGAGCTGGAGGTAATTGGAGAAGTCTTTGGATATGAATGGCTTGGATGTTCCGCAGGCTGTGAGAGTGCGGCTCCGGGATCGTATGCCTAATCCTGCACCTTGGACGTTCTTCATGGCGATTAACGAGTTGCAACATTATGGTGGATCCTACGGCCTATGAACTGACTGGTATTATTGATTGGGAAAGATCCGGATATTTGCTGTGTGGTAGGAGTTTGCCTTTGCGGTGGTTGGACTGGACCAAGAGGCCAAAGAGTGGAAGGATCTGCTTCGCGGAAATTTGGCCAATCACGAAAAAGCGCTGGATTGGTGGCTTGATTTCAAGGCGTCCACGGATTGTGGTTGGGTTCCGGGGAGAAAGGAGAGGCTCTTGGAGGAGTGCGGTATAGATTCTATGTAATATAGTGTCTATAGATGGAGGATTGGGATCTCATACATGTTCTAGCACGGAGTTAACTTACATTGTTACTCAACTAGTAACGATTAAGATCAGGGAGAAGGCAAAGAAGCAAACAAAGATGAACAGTTAAGCTTTCCACTCGGGGTTTAGCGAGGAGACGATCCTATCTATATTGGTTCATAGCCCGCGGTGACTCGGTCACTAGATGCAACCGGATCGACTCGTCTATCCTCATTTCTTTTGTCTCACTTTTCAATTACATAAGACCAATTTACTCAACAGTCCTGACCAAAATACAGAGGCGTGCTTATGGAGGGCGAAATGAGGCACTAAAAAGAGAGAGCTGGACCCCTGGACAAAGCCTCAATTTGGGTGTTGGGGTACTGTAGGGAACCGGTTCACAATATTTGCAGCTAATTCCAAGCCATCAATCCGTTTACATTTCTCCGCTGACGTCGGAGACGGTCTAGTACCTGCATCGGGAAATTGTTGGTGAGAGATGGTGGAACAACTGGGGAAGACGAAATAGATCAATGCCGCTCCTTACCGCTTTGAGGCTAACTCCGAGCCCCCTCATTTTTGTTCCTTGCCAACTCCCAACTCACACACTCTCACCAGAGCCAAGTCGCTGTGGGGACCCCCGCTTCCGCACGCTTGAGCCTCCGAAGTCCCGCATAATGGACGATACGCCATACGCAGCTTGAGAACTGGTCCTGCAACCAAAAGGCGCACATGTGCCTGACTCCGTACCTCGGGAGCAAGATGCCTTTGCTTTTGGCCCTGCAGCTAGTAGTGCCGATCCCTATCTAGTTCCCAGGCACGTCCTATACACTAGACTGTGGAGTTATGATGAGCAAGGCTCATCACATGGTAGCCATCTGCCTCGGTGTCGATCCCATCTCCTCGGGAGAAGGAGCTAGCGAAAAACTATGCTAGTGCCATTGCGGTGATAGACCGCGTCTGGGTGTTGGATCGGCACCCACAGTCCAAATAAAGAGCTCGCCCGCTCCAGCAATGGCTTTTTGATCTCCTGAAGGCTCTTCCGTTGCAACAAACCTTTGAACGACAGGTTTGCGGAATCGAGGCCATTGGACCGGGCCGGACAACATACCAATCAGAAGGAGAAGTAGCTTGGAGAACACAACATGCGTTTCTTGCCAGTTTTGACTACCGCGCTCCTGCTCGCGGTCAACGTGACAGGACAAACACCATCTGCAGCTTCTGCTGCTGCTGGTACTGTTGCGCCTGTCGCCAATTCGGCCAACTCAAATGCCAATGCGAATGCCAACAATGAGGCTGATAATGCTGCCACAACCACTCAGCAGGCGGTAAACCAGGCCAACCAGCAGGCGGTTAATACCCCTGCTGCGGATCCTACTACTGCCGCTGCTGATACAGCAAAGCCCGCAGCCAACACTGTTGCTCCTAGTCAGGAGGAGGACACTGCTTCTGCCAAGAACGCCCCTACCGCGTCGGCGGGACAGTCTAACCCCATTGAATCTGCTGTCAATGGTGTTGTCGGTATCGTCGGAGGTGGTTCTTCGACTGGCTCTGGATCTACTGGTAACTCGGCTGCAGAGACCACCCAGGCTAGCGCAACCTCTTCTGCTGCCTCTTCCGAGGGCACCTCCGGCACCAAGTCTACCTCTTCCTCTGATTCATCTAGCGGAATTTCCTCCGACGCCCTTTCTGGCGCCCTCAAGAACCTGCTCGGCGGCAGTGGGCTCGGAGAACTCGGTGAAGGTTTAGGAAACCTCCTTGACCCTGGCTTCCTTAGCGAGGTTACCAACACCTTCAAGTACTTGTCTACTAGTCTCGCTCCTCCCGTCGACACCGATATCCGCAGCCTAGTTGCCAATGCCAACAACCTCTTGACTGCTGACTTCTCCAAGAAGGTCGGTGGCCTCATCGACAATGCAAACGACCTCTTGACCGAGCAGAACACTAAGGAGATTATGAGCCTGATCAACAACGCCAACGGCCTGTTGACCACTCAGTTCGTCAACAAGGTTGACAACCTCATCGACAACGCCAACAACCTCCTCACTTCTGGATTCGTCAAGAAGACCGATACATTGATCGACAACGCCAATAAGCTGCTCACGGAGAAGTTCGTCGAGGAGACCACCAATCTCATTGGCAAGGCCAGCCCTCTCATCGACGATGCCAGCGGCCTTCTTACCGACGAGAACGTCAAGGCGATCGAAAACCTCCTCTCGGGTGCCAACAAGCTGCTCACTCCTGACTTCATCTCGACTACCAGCAAGCTCATCAAGCAGGCTGGTCCTCTTATCAACCAGGCCAGCGGTCTCCTCACCGAGGGCAACGTCAAGGCGATCGAGAACCTCCTGTCGGGCGCCAACAAGCTGCTCACCCCTGACTTCATTTCGACTACCAGCAAGCTCATCAAGCAGGCCGGTCCTCTCATCAACCAGGCTAGCGGTCTCCTCACTGAGGGCAATGTCAAGGAGATTGAGACTCTGCTCAGCAACGCCAATGGTCTCCTGACGGACAGCTTCGTGAACCAGACCTCTAGCTTGATCGAGGAGGCCAGCGACCTTCTGACCCCAGCTGTCGTCAGCGGCCTCAAGGACCTGCTGACCCAGATTTCTCCTCTCCTGCCCGAGCTCAAGGGTCTACTCAAGGCCGACACTATCAAGGAGATCGAAAACCTGCTGAGCAACGCCAACGAACTGCTCACCGACAAGTTCGTCAAGGAGACCTCCAGCCTAATCGACAATGCCGACAGCCTCCTGACTCCCGACCTGGTCAACAGCCTGAAGTCTCTGCTCGGCGACATCACTCCTCTGATTCCCGAGCTGAAGTCACTCTTGACAAAGGACATGATCAAGTCTATCGTCGGACTCCTGAACAACGCCGAGGACCTCCTCACCCCCAAGTTCGTCAACGAGACCATGAGCCTGGTCAGCGAGGCCGACAGCCTCCTCACCCCAGACCTCACCAGCAGCCTGAAGTCACTCCTCCGCGCCGTCACCCCTCTGATCCCCGAGATCAAGTCTCTGCTGACCAAGAACACCATTTCGGCCATCGGCTCGCTCCTGACAAACGCCAACGACCTCTTGACCCCCAAGTTCGTCAACGAGACCACCGGCCTAATCGACAGCGCCGACGACCTCCTTTCGCCATCCCTGGTGTCCGGCCTGAAGGAACTCCTCGGCGACGTCGTCCCCTTGGTCCCAGACCTGAAGCGCTCCCTCCTGAACTCGACCATTATCACAGACCTAGGCTACATCGTGACAAACGCAACAACCCTGCTCACACCCGCCTTCGTCGCGGATACCTCCGACCTGGTCGAGAACGCCGACGGCCTCCTCACCCCGTCTATCATCAGCTCTCTCAAGGATCTGCTTGGATACCTGCCGGATGTGATGCCCGAGGTGAAGAAGCTGCTCAAGCCAGCTACTATTTCGGAGATCGGTTCGCTGTTGGATAACGCTAGTGACCTGCTCACGCCTAAGTTCGTCAATGAGACTACTCTCCTGATCGATGATGTTACCGGCTTCTTGCCGATCATTCAGGAGTTGCTTAAGGCGCTGTGAGTGAGTTTTTTGTTATGAATTTCTTATATCCTTACGGAAGCAATCATGATTTATAATGCGGTTTAATGATAATTGATGGTTCATTATGCTTTTTTTTCTCTCTGAGTATTTGTAAAGACAGTGAAGATGGAGGTAGATGTAAAATATTTCCAAAATTAATTTGATACTCATGATTTAGCTGGTCCGGATCATCCTGCAAAGACTTCTCCTGTCCTGGTGATGGAGACTTCCCCTGAACAACCAAAATTCGCAACTGTCGATCATCCGCCCCCACCTTACCCACCTTGGCCTGTAACCCAAACAGGACTGCAATTTTCAACATGGTCGAGTCCCCAGGGTGTGGGAGAGGGAAATATTCATTTTATGGAAAGCAGCGTGGCATGGACTGTTGGATTTACAAAGTTGACCTCTTTATATGAGGTTCTACCATCCCCAGTTTGATATTGTATATACAGCAATGCACGTGCCCACCTCTTGAAAGTTGTTCATTGAATATATACTATGAATAGCCGTAACGATAACTCCAGGAGTAGAGCTCCGGTCTTATGAACCAGAAGTAGGAGTAGACGCAGGCCACCACACCATTGCCCACAAGGGAATCCCCGGCCCACCAGGCTGAAGACTCGCATCAGCAGCAACCTTGCCCTTCCCAAGTACAATCTCCTCGACTTCTTCGAAGCCCATTGAGAGGTAAAGACCACGTGAGCTTGGGGTTGTCGCCTCGAGCCAGATGGGGAGATTGTCTGCTTCGGCTGTCCGCTGGTGATCCCGCATGATAGCTTTTGCTAGTCCTGGGAAGTATCAGTATTAAAAAAAAAAAAAAAAAAAAAAAAAAAAAAAAAAAAAAAGGACGCGACGCGGGTAATGAGTGTCTTACCCTTGCCGCGGTGCTCGTGCTCGGTTCCAATGCTGAAGATGTAGTAGTAGCGCTTCTGCCCGTGCAGACCTTTCCTCTTTGCATTGTCCGTCATGCCAGAGAATTCATACCAAAGACGCTATATGATACTCCAGATTAGCATAGAAACTTAAATTTCTTCCCCTTTGGACATATTCCAGCCCTGCAAACCGTACCTTAAACCCAGGAAATCCAATCCTCCACAACACGCCCAAAAAGCCGGCGCAAAGCAGACTCCAAGCATTATCAAGGTATCGACCTGGCGGAAGAAGAACCGACGCAGCCTTCCAACCATCTGCCTCTGTGATCAGAGCGTCATTCCACAAAGCGGACTTGATTAACGTTGCCCAGTATGTCGGTAAATAAGCTAGTCTTTCTTTCCGAGAGAGATCTAGGAGCATGTAGGTAATGACAGGATCGGTGTCGAAGACACGGCCATTCAGGGCTGCTACTGAGTCCAGCAGATCTGCGATACACCGTAGTCAGCATCTATTCAAGCTGACGGTTCCAATCGAAGCACTTACTCTGGCCGCCGTGCGTGATTGGGACTGACTGCGCCATGGTTGGTACTGTACGTCAGGCCGGGATTCCTCGACACATGTGAGCGATGATGTGTTGGCTCCTTGAGGAGGTTATAGTAGCCATTATAGGGTTGGAGATGTGGAAGGGCGAGAAATTGTTTCTTTATGCTTTCTGGCAACGACGTAATGGTTGTTATGTAAGCTGGTCACAGGGTGGTTCGTTCCACGGAACTTGGGAACTATTCGGGGTCTTGTTTTTGTCTTCCTGTCTATATCAGAACTTCAATCTCAAGCTTTGATAAATTGAAGATGGTTCATCTTGGCTGCCGACTCGGTAGATACGCGTGGAGCCCTGTTCTATAGCCACAAGCATTGGCCTGGGCTACTCGAACCAACCCGCGACTACTATCTGAGTCTGGCACTTGGGGCATGATTTGCTATAGAGTGCTTCGTGCGACACAACAATAGCAACGCTCATCTACTCCGGTGAGACGATCCGCCAAAATGATCAAAATTTTCGTTAAGGAGAGAAGCCAAAAAGACAATTTGACAGGTCTTAGGGCCGGGAGTCCTGCGCCGGGTCTTCCCTTTCCGCCAAGCCCGCCCCGTGAAACAATCATTGACGATGCCTTGACCGACTGTCAATTGAAATGATGCCCTCAGACTGCGAAACAATCTGTCCAATTTACTGAGAGCAACCGTCAAGTACTGTATGCCATTATCCTCGGGGCCATATAGGTCTATCGTTGGTTTTGACAGGGATTCCTTCGCGCTATTCCACTTTCATACAGTGGAGTGGGACTGCATCCACCAGAGTTGATAGCTTCGCAACAAACAGAGCTCAAACAGCCACACAAAACGCAGCAATAATGTGATGTGAACTGGTCTATTTTCAAGCTAATGCGGTGGGCACTTGATCAATTTTCCCAGCCCCAGGGCGCAACATTCGATGCAAACTTTTCTTCTGCTCTCTGGAAGAGGCATGCCTTTCTATTCCTGACTCCTTCCCCTGCACCCGTGTACTTGTCTATCGAGTTGTTGTTTTATGAACTGTATACATTCAGAAAAACCTCTCGACTGCTCATGTTGACTGTTGAAGGTGCACCTCCATCTCGCACAATTGCAATTGAAGTTGCCGTTAACATTTCTGGTGCTGCTTTGCGAAAGAAATCGGCTGTCATGGGTCTCCAGCTTGTGTCGGAAAATGAGGGACAAGACATTGTTAAGCATGTCAAGCGTTGGATTGAGCACGGGTTCGATCCATATACCTCGTTGACTAAGGATATTGCCAATGCGTATTTCAATCTACTCCCTGGAGATACCCAGCAGCGGCGGCAAAACCTTGGCATCGGATGGCAGACCAGTTTCGTGAGGAACAATAAGGAATTGTCCGAGCTTTTTAAAGAACCAAAATTCGAGCGAGACTCAGAAAGAATACAGAGAGGGCACCAGAACGATAGCGCCGAGAAGTTCTTTTCGATATACAGAGATTTCAAGCTCCAACACCTGGTCGTTACCGAAGATGTCCACGCCTTGGCAGAGGCTGCATATCGCACCAGCATATACAAGAAGACCAACCTAGTATTTGGTCGACCAAAGAGAACGGCCACGCGAGCCGAAGAACGCCAATTTTCTTCTGTTATCCACTGTTGTTCGTCTCGAGGGAGACACCTGCTTCCTTACATTGTCTGCAGGAGTAAGGATCCTCCCCAGACCCGGGTTTTTCGAACAATTACTATTTCCTCCAACGAGTCAGGCTGGGCTGAGTATGCACATGCATTGGATTGGCTTAGGAATATTTTCGAGCCCAAAACCAGACCTCCACCTCGATCTGACGGCTCCCCTCGATGGAGAATTCTTCTGGTGTCCCGTCGGTTTAGCGTGAGCCCGGAATTTGAGCAATATTGCTGGAAGAAGAGCATTCTTTGCCTTCCTTTCCCTCAGAATGACCAGAAATTCTTCAATCCAATGGAGAACATTGCTCTCGGGGCTATGAAAGCGAGCTATACAGATACGATGATGCAGAAGTTTGTGGACAAACAGAAGGTCTCAATGGAGGTGGAGGACTTCGCCAGATGGATACAGGGGGAGATCAACTCATCCAAGAGAGCAGAGGAAGCCACAGAGTACTGGCGCAAGAGCTGTCTCATCCCGCTAGATGAAGATCGTCTTCGCAACTGTTTGCAAGGGAAGCGACCTACGGCTGTGCCAGACGAAACAGACTCGATTGCGAACAGAGGCCCTGGCTTGCCTCGCGCACGCTCCAGAAGTCCTATGGACCAGACGCCCATGACATCATGTACCCTCAGTGCAGAATCCACACCTCGGACGAGTGTGTCTCTGCCGATTCTTCCCACCATCGAGGTAGGGAAGCGAGATTCCACCGTCGAGCCATCATATGTGCAATTCCCCGACAGCCAACAGGAGGACATTAACCCTTCGACAAACGATCATACTGAAGGCGACAGCTCATCGGACAATGAGAGCGAAATCGAGAATGATTCAGCCAGTGTCTCTCATGTCTCTCAATCGGTGACTCCATCAAGGACACCACGGCGACCAAAGACCGCGCCGAAGACCCCCAAGTCGGCCAGGCCAAAGTCTCTAGACTCAGAACCGTGTGGTTTAGTCATGTCTGCCCAAAGGCACTGTGACACCTTGGATGGGTGCCTTGATGGGACACCTCGCACCCGAAAAAGATTGAGGGACGCTCTGATGATTGATCGTTGCGAGTTAGAGAAGGAGAATGCCCAACTAAAAGCCAAGGTTGATATTCTGACGAAATTTATGTCTGTTAAGAAGCAGAGGGCTGACTGAGATACCCCGTTTGGCTCTCTGTATTCCCTTCCTCTGACCTTTGTCCGATGTCAAAATCCTGTACCGTATGATACCTCACCCAAAAGCACTCATCTTCTTGTATATAGATGAATTTTATTACCTTTCAATACTTATTACGCCGAATGTGCGATGAGGCCGTCAACGTAGTTTCCTCACTTCTGTATCCCGGGACCGGGATCCGCGATGCCTGAACTGCGTCTGAGCATCAAACCTCAACACTGACGACCACACTCACTTTTGATTTATTTCTGCCATAAATCGAATCTCTCCCTTCCCAAATTCTTCCTCTTCATTCTGCTCAACCTCGCCACGCCCAATCCCACCATACCCCAATCCTACAACCGCAACAATGGACAAAACGGTCCTTCTCATACTGGACGTCCAACGCGGCGTAATCGACCGTCTGGAAAACACAGAGAGCTATCTAACACGTCTATCCTCAACCCTGGCTGCAGCCCGCAAAGCCAACATCAAAGTTGTCCACGTGGTGACCGGCTTCCGCCCCGGCTACCCAGAAAACAACGCAAACAACACCTCCGTCCCAGCCGTCGCTGCACGCGGCGAATACCAGCAAGGTATGGAATCAGTGGAAGTGCACCCAGCCGTGGCTCCCACCGACAACGAAGTGGTCATCATGAAACGCCGCATCTCGGCTTTCTTCGCGACTGAACTCGATATGATCCTGCGCTGCTTCCAGGCCCAGACTATCGTTGTTGCTGGTTTGATTACTAGTGGTGCTGTGCTCTCTACTGTGCGTCAGGCTATGGATTTGGATTATCGCGTAACTGTCATTGAGGATTTGTGCATGGATCGTGATGAGGAGGTTCACCGTGTGCTCATAGACAAGGTTTTTGCGCGCAAGACAGAAATTGTTTCTGCCGTGAATTGGATTCTGGAGATCGGGAACTAGCATTACGATATGGGATGAAGGGTTCGATTTACTACAGTATTATTGACTTGTGTTCTTCATGATGTACTTGGGGTTCCACCTGTGGAGTGACTGACTCGTGGCGGGCGCCGCGGGGTGATCCCAGCTGATTCAAGTTTCGGCAAAGTTACAACTCAAACATCTTATCAATGTGCATTACAGTTTCTCCCTTCTTCATTCTCCTATGCTCAATATGCCAGCTCAAACATCCACTGCTTGGGTCTTAGAAGACCAAAAGGGCTTTGGTAGCCTGACACCAAGGTGAAAGAATTCAAAGCAGGCGACAAGGTCTGCACACATCTCGTCTCACAACTCCCAGCATCCGAAGTCCCAAGCTTCTCCGATATCGATTCCGGACTGGGACAGCACCTGCTCACATGGTGTATTCCATGAAACCGCTTTGGTCTCTATGCCATCAACCCTAGATTTCATCGAGACGAGTACATTGACATGTTCCGGGTTGATGGCGTGGAATGCCCTATTCGGAATTGCTGGGCATGTACCTAAAGAGGGGAGTTTTGTTATTTTGCAGGGCTCCGGTGGTGTTTGTATTGCTGCGTTGCAGGTACGATGATCGTGTTCCCATATGTTGCATTGATATATGCTAATTTGATGTTAGTTCGCCGTGGCGGTTGGCGCAACAGTTATCGCGACGACAAGCTCAGATGCCAAGGCGGACCGCCTCAGAGCTCTGGGTGCTAACCATGTTATTAATTGCCGTACTGATTCGGCTTGGGGCAAGACAGCAAAGAGTCTAATATACAACAGGAAAGGCGTTGATATCGTCGTCGATGTTGGCGGTCTGTCTACGCTCCCTCAATCATTCAAGGCTGTTAATACGAATGGGGTCATCGCACTGACGACAATGCTTGCTCAATCTGAGGACGGCTGCCGTGCCTTCTCTGATGGATTGCATGTTGAATGTGTGTATTGCTAGGAGTCTTTGCTTGGAACCCGGGATCAATTTGTTGAGATGAATAGGTTTATTGAGTTGAAGGGCATCAAGCCTGTGGTTGGTGAGAAGATCTTTGGGTTTCGGTATGCTAAGGAGGCGTTCGGATATTTGGAGGGTCAGAAACACATTTCTCTAAGGTTTGTATTCGGTTGGACTAAGATAATCCTTTAGAGGAATCCACTATCATCGTACATACAATTGCTTTCACTTATCACTCTTTGATACCACCGTCCTTGGAATCTATTTTTATGGCCAGAGAAATATTTCGTGTTAATCCTGCCTTGTTCATTCGCTTAAATTGACTATACCAACTAAGATATCTACATCTTGGGCTTTGTAGGAGTCGCACAGCAAGCCGGCTCAGGGTGCAAAGTCGACTTATTGAAAGACTGACTAGAAGCCGGCACATCCAGCGCAGGATTCTTAGTAAAGAACCCATCCGGCTTGAGCATGACACTAACACGCTCCATGGGCATAACCGGGAAATCCTCGATGCGCGGGTTATGAGTGAGACCGAAAGCTGTAAACTGGTTAGCTACAACACACAGCAACAAATTGCAAAAAAAGGGATAAGAGGATAACATACTATGCCAGAGAACAAGGTCTTCGTCCTCAACGGTATCGTTCCGTCCAGCCCATACTTCCACACCATCAGACTGCTTGCTCTGGTTTGTGAACTCGCCAGCAGCGTAGAGCTCGTCGTCCTGGTATTTAGTTACCCAGATAGGGCGGGTAGCAAAGCGAGCGCGCTTCGCGCCGAATGAGTTCGGGTGCGCGAGGAGCATCTGGCTCGGCGAGGTTTGCAGCTTATAGGCAATGGGATGGTGCGTGATAGGGTTGATAATATGATCGTTGCGAATTTTGAACACGCGGTGGCGTTCAACGCTAGTCGAAGCGCTGCCGCTAGACTTTATGACATTTTGCTCGGTTGTGTAGCCGACTAGATACGGGTTCGTGTCATCTTCAGGCATTGGAACGCTGTCTTCGTAATAGACTGTGTTTTTGAAGCCGTCGAGCGCTGGGTCGATGCGGAGGGAGAACATGTGCTGGTGGAAGGGAGCCATGACGCCCGGTCCGACGTTTGTGCCCCATGGGACTGTTTCGCCGTTTTGGTTGTCGAAGGGGACTGTGGAGAGAATGCCTGTTGCTCGCACTTCGAGCTCAATGTTGGCAGCTTGATCGAGGATGAATGCGAAGATGTATTCGTAGTTGGCGACTGTGCAGATCATTTGAACGACGAGTTGGCGGTTGCGGACGACTGTTGCTGCACCGCTGCGGTAATTTGTGTGCTTATGCTGGAGGCCATTGTCTTGCTCGTGCATGCAAATGACGTTCTTAAGCTGGATCGGGGCTCCCTGTGCGTCTGTGCGGTAGCCGTCGAAGTACTTGATGTGTCCGAGACAGTCGCAGCCGAGGGTGAGCTGGTTAGCTGTGATACCGAAGCCGACATCGCCGACGTCAAAGGCTTGTTTGCGGTGGTAAGGAGGGCGAGGGTCTAAATTGTTAGATATAATCATTGAGGGGGAGTGTGATGAACATACCGCCGTATGGAACCGTCATCTCAGAGAAAGAGAGCCGGTAGAAGGTGTTACGACCATCGTAGGTCACATTGTGAAGCACGAGGCCCTCTCGGTTGTTAAAGCCCACTCTAAAACGCCATTTCTGCCATGACACGGCATTGCCAATGACATTGAACGACGCGCCCTCCGGTTGCTGGACAATGTAGGGCTTCAGGTCTGTACGCAGGGGCTCATCGAGCAATTCATGAGCATACTGAACAGTGGGCACTGGCTTCCAAGGCTGTGTCTCGTTCGTCTGAGCGCTTGCACCGCCAGGCAGATAGTCCATGCGAACAAGCTGGCGGGTGATGCCGTCAAAGACAGGTGAAAACTGGCAAGGCAGGGAATACTGGTTATTCTGAGGATGGTCCGTGGCCACAATATACATATAGCACTGAAACAAGCGGCGGGTCTCTTTGACATCCTCAGTGCCGTAGATCCACGGATCCAAGCACACCGTGTGGCCAGCCGGGAGCTTCAGCTTCTCAATCTCAGCTTTGACAGCCGGGTGACCGAGACAAAGCTGCTCGATCTCGATCATCTCGTCAATATCGACTGGGCCCTGGACATCCTTGGGCAGCTCCTTTGCTGACACGATAGACTTGGTGTCGGCGTTGATCAAGGCCTTGAAGAAAGACCCGTTATCGAGACGATGGAAGAGGACCATCAACAAGCGAGCTGGTTTGCGTGGGCGCACTTCACCCCGACGCTCAGCTTCGAGGTATGGAACGACTTCATGTTTGGCTGGTTCCTGGAGATCAATGCGCTTGTAGCGCAGCTTGACACCGGGGAAGGCGGGCTCCAAGACGGAGACGGCCAATTGGATCTCCCCAGGGGTGATGGGGTCGAAGGGGTGAAGGTTCGCCATTGTGAATTAATGAAGATATTTTCGTTCAAGGACGGATATGACGAGACTCTTATATCGCACAGACAGACATCAGGATCACTTTGGGTAAATCTTGCGCGCGGTTGGAGATGTGATTGGCCAATTGTAACCCACCGGGCGTAACTTTTCCTCCAAACAGTTTAGTGTGTAAACTGGCGATAAGAATAGCCAAAGTACTATTGGCGGAGGTGGGGGTTGGAGAAGGTACAAGGTACATGGACTTCAACCCCAACTGCCACCTAGGAAGTATAAGCTACGAAACGTGGCATATCTCTACACATGCGAACAAGTGGTTCGAAACACCGACTTTTCCGTCTGTCTAATCCTACTGAGACTGGATTGGATTGCAAAATCAAAGAGTTGGTCATCTTAAACTAGCCCCTGAGCTTCTCTCTTAACTGTACTTATATCACTCTCCACGCTATTCTTATAGGATTTATATAAATCCTCGGAGATGGTTCTGCCCAATCAGAACTCACGTTCAAAATCGGCTCGGAACTTAGGCCAAGAACCGGAATATCTATTATTCCGCCTCTTCGACGCATTTTACATACTTCTCATAGATGCCAAAAACTTTACATCCTTCCAATATAACTCCGCTGTGATTTGTGATGGTTACGGAAAAGGAAGCTGTTTTCAACCCTGCCACGGCCTATTATATGCCACAATCATCTGAATTGCAGAGATTGGGCAACCCTTTTTATCTCATAATAAGAGCGCCAGCTTCCTCATTATCAAAGTGCGAGAAATGACAATGTCAACCTGGCAATCAAAAAAAGATTCATTTGGGCTGTTCATGGGGGTTCATGGGGGAAGGTAGTCCCGGGCCGGGGGTGACGGGGAATGACGGGGGTGATTGGAGGTTGTCTTTGAAATATGACAGCAAATTCGTGAGAGTCTTGTGTACTCGTACCTGCTTGTAAATGGCAGTTTTGACCAGTGCTGAATAGTGAGCAAGTACATATCATAAGCAAGCTGTAACGACAGTTATAAAGGTACAATTCCCTCAAGTTCCTCCTATGCGAGCAATAATCTAGTTCCCGACATCCTCAACCTGATTCTCTGTGCTTAATGGCATCCCATTAGAACGTATTAGTACTCATTACGCAATAAACACATTCTTCATGCTCATTTCCTTGCCACATAAAGTCTGCCTTGGGTCGATTGTGTGAGCCTTTCTCGCACCACTTCCAGTCCCGAACGCAAAGCAAGCACACCGACATAGCTTGCAATGGAGCAGGACGACATCTCTCACAGTGAATGCACCAGAAAAGGCCTGAACCAGGGGCAACTTCCATGTCAACGGAGCTATCTTCACTAGGCCTCTCTCTTCCGGAAGAGAAGTCATCCGTCACTGAGTAAAGTCACAATCGTCGGCCTCTTGGCAGGACTGCTCAGCCTGAGTATTAATTCCGGAGGAAGGCTCCTCGCCTAGGTCGTTGACGTGCTTGACGATAGTGGTGATGGTGATGACAGTCGTGCTGGTAGTCTCGTTGGTAGAGCTTCTCACGAATGCGGGTGCGATTGTAACAGAGAGGTGCGGATTGTTGTCTAAATCAGATGACAATGATTGGGACACTTGGTTTCTGACGGGGACTGTGGCTGCATCAGTACATGGCTTTCTGGTTGCTGAGTTGTTGATATCGTTGTTTGCATCGCCCACTAGCTGGGTTCCAGGTTTGCCTCTCCTTCTATAACCTCGGTGATACTGATTTCCAAAGTATCTTATTAGGTTAAATGTGTCTCGTAGGCCTGGAGGGTCTTACGTTTCGGCTTTTCTCTCTGCAAGTGCCACAACACTGAAATAGCGCCTCGCGGCCGTTCGGCCTGATGAAGTGAGCCGATGGCTTTGGTTTCAAACACCTAACTCATGTGTGGGTTGTTTCAGCCATCTTTAACCCTTTCTTTTGGACTTGAGGGCACGAGTGGAGAGTTGTGGTTGAATACAGTCATACGCTGGAATGAATTATGGTGCGCAAGCCTGGAGATGTGTAGAGAGATGGTATAGTCGATGCTAGTCGCGAGTGACGATTCGGTGGAAATATGGAGTGATAGGAAACTAACGGTACGCGGAAGTAGAGCATGAACATGATAAGAAGAATGGGAGAGGAATGTGGAGTAGGGCATTCAGTGGTGAAGACGAAGACGACGACTTGCTTCCTGTCTCTTCCATTATGTTCTAGCGGATATAGGTTATTAGTGAGATCCCAAGTATTATATTGACAGACTCATAGTCCTTTAACACTCCGCTCACATTTTGTATGTACTGCCCGCTTTTAAGTGAACTTTAGTTGCGAACTAATCCTACCCTTGACGAGGTTTTGAACAGTTCTTCTGTTACAGTGGTAGATACTGTCCTGTAACACTCCGCTTATATGTTATATGCCCGCTTTTAGTGATGAGCTCCAAAATTGCGAACTATCCCAACCTTGATGAGATCTTAGACGATCATTCTAATATTTACATTCTGCTTTTATTCCATAGCACTAGGCACTTCGAAGTCAAGTATACTTATAAACTATCCTATACTTATCGAAAAATGTGAGCCTCTTCCCAAGGCGGGAATTCCTTCCAAATTTCTATATGTTACGTGCTTTCAAGTACAATATAACTGTGAACTATCCTATCTTTAACGATATCTGCGTGACCTCTATGCAGTTCCTTGCTGGGATCTTTGAACCCTCAAAGCTCTCTAATCTATTTAGTATGGGATTATACGGAATTAGTTTACTTATCCCACGCTGCGAACCCAGCATATGGAAATGTAAATGCATAGTATCAAGTGAGCCACCTCAGAGATACTTGGAATGCAGAGAAAGTACCAACTACATGTTTCAACGTAAGTTTCCGAAGGGATATTCTTGCGTATCTTGTTTGGTAGGCGTTACTATCATAACGATTGTCTGCCTGAAGTTGCTTTTTCTTTGAGATTCAAAAGACCTATATTAGAGCCTCAAAGCAATTCTGTCCACTACATCGACCAAGCTTTGTAATTACTACGTGGTGATCTTGACAAGAGACATCTAGCCTCGCACAGTTTCCCACGAGTGTTTTCTAAGACTAACATCAGGGCTCCGGCCCGTCGATATCAGGTTCATATAGGAAATGCTTCCAAACATAGCGTGTGCTCATCCTGTGGAAGATTTGTGTCTAATTCAGAAATAGTAGAAGTGGGAAACGAAGCCTCACTAGTCGAGCCACTACATGGCTTCCTAGACTACTATCGGAAACATAAAGGCGACCGGCATATTTGCTTGTCCTAGATAAAGCGTCTTTTAGTGGTCAATCTAAATTTCCATGTCACTCTAGATCAATCTACACAATTATACCTTTCTTTTCAAATTTCCTTCTCACCTTCGAGTTCTTCGTTTTTAGGGCCGCTACGAATATCTTCCAGAATTTATAATTGTGTAGAATGGTAGTTATAGCGTGTTTCGAAAGACGGTTCGAAAAGAACCTCTGTGTAAGTAGTAAAATTGATTTCAATCCTCCATGTAAAACCAGAAGAGTTCAGGACGTGCAGAGATGACCATGTGATATTTATAAATGTCGCGTAGCCATCCCACGGTGTTACCTGACAGTCCAGGTGGAAAGGCGGGACTACTTCTCCTCTGCTCCCTAAGATTGTTCCTTATACCTGAAGAACTCACTACAGTAGCGGGATTAGTAGTCTACTCCTAGCAAGAAACCTTAGAAGATGATTTCTGATCAAGGGCAGTGCTCCACCTGATATACTCATAAGTTTACAGCCGAGGAGGTATTGATAGACACGTCTCTTCGCCCAATTCAAAGCGAACTCTTAGCCTCTCTTCTTTTCGGACTATAAGCCGACCCGCTTACCTGCCTAACACCCTCCACACGGCGTAACCACCCAACCCGATCCTTCGTATACTGCTCAGTCCTCGGCCTCAACTTAGTCTCATGTAAATTAAAATCATCCACTGTCCCAATACGAAGAATACTATGTCCCGGGAATGCCTCGCCGACGCGGTACATAAGCGAACCGCACGTTGAACAGAAGAAGTTGGTCATGCTTTTACCGGAAGCGATTGTTCGAGACTGACTGTATGTTTTGAGATTCTCGCGGCCGCGCAGGTGTTTCAGATAGGCATCTGCAATTATGAAATTGGAGGCGAACATTGAGGCGGTGATTTTGCGGCAGTCTGAACAGTGGCAGAGGAACGTGCCGACTAGGCCGGGACCTTCGGTTGGCTATAGTTTGCCGTTGATATTAGTGTGCGCGATTCTTGGTACCAAGGTATGCGCTATACTCACAAAAGCAAGTTGTACGGCGCCGCAATAGCATGTAGCTGTTGCTTGGTGCTCTTTAGACCAACCATCATCTGCGCCGCCGGCTAGGGGTATGTAGGGTTTAGATTTGTCACTAGACATTGTCGTGTTTGGAGCTATCGAGAATCGATAAGTTGATGCTATAATGAAGAGTTGCTGATAGAGATGATCACGGCCTTGAAAGCACTCAGTTTGTTGGCTCCAAATCCCGGGACCTCGGTCCCCCTCCCCCGCCCCCACACTTTTAAGAATTCTGCCTAGAATATTAGTACAGTTATTTACGCTGACTCATCGAAGATAAGTGGTCAAATACGAGGTCGGCCGAAAGACATCCCAATACGGACTAGTGCACTCGCGGTGGGGCCTAGGGAAATAAACTAGAGATTGGATATCACTGTAAGCTATGCGAGTCATATCCAATAATACTGTGCGTCATTCTTGATGCATATTCTCAATTAAGAAACCACGCACGACTCCCGTGATCAAATCCCTATATTTAGTGCCTCGTGCGGCTCTTTCCATGGAACTTCAAACCTTATAGGACTACCAATACGGGGTTCCGAGTAGATGAAAAGATATAAGACGAACAGAAACATGATACCCTGAAAAGGGACCAAGACAAACACATTCAATTGGTCGGAACGCCCGATTAAACCGTTGAGCCTTGGGATTTGAGAGACAATATCCACATTTATAGCCGAAAAGAGTTGGAGGACTTGGGATACTTCGTTCAGCTGATCATTCATTTTCTAACAGCTGGACGGGAATGCATATATTCTTTACAAAATGGTAGACATCATGGCCCCGCCACTTGGGCGGAGCAGGATAACTGACGACCTGCTGTTGGCAAGATCCGTTTGAAAACTATACTTAGGACCGAGTTTACAGAGACACCATCAAAATTATAAAAAGGGTCGTGTTTCTTGCCAGAGCCAGACAGAAATACATCCAATCCATTTACTGAACATCAACATCGTTTAATAAATTCATCCATCCTCCGTTCGATATGAAGACTTCTGCAATCATCTGTCTCCTAGCTGCTATTACCACTACTAGTGGAAGCCCGCTGAAGACAAGAAACGATCAAGTTGAGATTACATTCATTGGTGCAGCCGATGCACAATTCACCCAAAGCTTCCCGAGTGACGGCACTGTCGTCTCCATTGGTGAGCATCCCTTTATCAGGGCCTATTTACATAACTTATTTTAACATCGTATTTTTAGGTGACCCACTTAGCATCTCGCACATTTCATCCAACACAGCTGGCATCCAATGCACCTTCAATGGCGTTGATCACAGTGTGACAACCGTCAACGGAGCGGAGCTGGTGGATGTGGGCCCTCCGCAGACCCAGGTATCTGCATCTTGCCACGCAATAGGGTCTCCTCCGACTCCGAACAGCCCCGTGGAGCATCAGAACAACGATGTTCAGGTCACTTTCATCGGTGCCGCCAATGCTCTGTTTACTCAGGTCTTCCCCATCAATGGTGGAAGTGTCCAAATTAGTATGTTTATTGACCTATGTCTGGGTGGAAATAAACTAACGAGTGCAGCCAATCCTTTGAGTATCTCCCATATTGTATCGGATCGAGATGGTGTTACTTGTGTGTTCAATGGTATTGACCATAGTGTTACTACTATTACTGGTACACAGTTAGTTGATGTTGGACCTCCCCAGACACAGATTTCTGGTTCCTGCCGGATGTAAGCTGCGTCGAGAGAGAAATAATTTGATGCGTGGGTAGGTGAATCTTGAGTCCTGGGGAAGTGTAAAAAGAACACAGAAACTGGAACACACGGATATATATTTTTGCTTTATCTGCCTGGGGGGAAACTTATGCCAAGGACAGACACTCTCTTTTTTCGCATTTTCCACTCAATACACTCATTAATGCACATCTCTAAGACCTACGTGTTTATTTTGACAAGATAACCTAATTCCGATCGCGCAATTTCTAATCTAATCTGGATTAAATTGACAGCCTGTACAAATGATTTTCGCGAGAAATGAGGGACGAATGTGATGATTCAAAGCCGGAATGCGACGCGAGGGGCTGCCCAGGGTCGACCTCGGAGCTTGACTTTCATTGAGCGGTGCTCTCATCTGCCATTCAACATCTGGTTAGTTTTGTTAATATCTCAAACTGCAATTACTTGCAATAATAAACCTGCGCGTATCAAATTGCGCCCTTAAAACACTAAAATGTATGTCAATGACCAAATCCTTGGCCAAGGAGGCCCGGAATTCAGGGCTGCTACTGTCCCTCTTGCGGAGCCCTTCCAAGGCCAAGAGTGGGAGTACATTCCAGATGGAAATCCAGACTTTTCCTCAGAGGGCTTTATAAACCAAGTCGCGTCCCCAAATCGCGTGTCTCCTAGCGACAACCACGGCCACGACCACCGACACCGCGCTATCGACATGTATGCGACCAAATAAGCGCGTAATACTTAATTTTTGAACCAATACCCATTGACGCCTTCGACTATCGTGTCAATTGTCGACACTTGATTTCGTATCGAGCTATCGTCGACTGTAATTTTTTTTTTTTTTTTTTTTTTTTTTTTTTTTTTGGGAAATGCGTTGGAACGTGTCTATACCGTTCCTCATCGCCGGCTTTGTCGAGTATGCATTTGCTGGCTTGCATCACTACCATGCTCATAGCCACCGACACCGACACCTGAGACGCCATGCTGAGCAATTGGAGCCGAAGGACCTGGCCTGGGGTAATGCGGAAAATATCCAAGGGGATATGGAGCTGGAATTTGTTACTCTCACGACTACCACTACAGTTGTTGAGAACTGCGCGCCTACCAACACTATTTTTAGTACATTAACACTCATTAAGGAAGTGCCTGAGCCCACGCCATGTGCCTCAGAGTTCCTGGCGCACAGTTTCATGCCCGAGCCCATGGCCCCGGAACCCTTCCAAGCCCAGTGGAACCAAGTGCAGCCTCATTCCGAGCCTATATATCAAGCCGCAACCCAGCCCCAGCCAGCAAATCCTCACATCAACCAGCCTCAGACCACTCCTCCTGAACCAACAGAGTCTGATATTACAACAACCATCTTGAAGACCAAGACAATAACCCGAACTGCAACACACACCGTGCGAGTCACCGTCACACCAGAACCAGACACCCCATCACTGGCAGACACACTCCGTGACAATCCAACCAAGGAACAAAAAGCAGTCCCACACAACGGCCCACCAAAGAAAGACAACGGCGGTGCTGTCGACGCAGTCCTCGCTCTCCCAGGCGAAGTCCTCCCAGACCTACCAGTAGTCGACCAACTCCTCCCAGGCCCAAAAGCCGACAAGCCCGGACCAGTAGCATGGACAGCAACACCACCAAAAGGCGAATTCTCGGTCAACCGATTCGGCGGGCGCACAGCACCACAAGGAACAGAAATCCACTACCGCGGCAACGTCGGCAAACCATGGGGCAGCAACATCATCATCGTCAGCCCGGAAGAAGCGCACACCTACAAATACGTAGCGCAGTTCCACGGCGCACACAATAAACCCTGGACAGTAGTTGTCTGGAACAAATTCGGGCCCGACGGGAAGATGAACGGGTGGTACGGACACTCCGCAGTGACGTTCTCAATTGCACCCGGTGAAACGCGCTATGTCGCCTTCGATGAGGATTCCGAGGGCGCGTGGGGTGCTGCGCCGGGTGATTCGCTTCCGAAGGACCAGTGGGGTGGGTATTCGTGTACCTGGGGTGAATTTACGTTTGGGGACGGGGAGAATAATGGCTGGTCGGGTTGGGATGTGTCGGCTATTCAGGCTCAGATTGCTAAACAGCATGTGCAGGGTATGTCTATTTGTCAGGCTGATGGGCAGGGGTGTTCTGTTATTACGCCTAATGCGGACAAGGTGGTTGATGCTTATGTTGAGTCGAAGAAGGCTCGGAATGGCATTGGGGGTGCGGCGGCTCCTGGGCCGGTGCGGCTGGATGTTTTGCTTGATTATCGCGGGTAGGGGTGGATTAGTATATATCGTTTGATTTGCATTTCTATTAGCGAGGAGTAGTGTTGATAATTCAGTGATCCATTGATAATGTTCTCTCAAAACTATCGTACATGTTTGAATCTTTCCATGGATGAGTACTGCAATGCAGAGATGACTGACATACTAGTGACAAGGGTTTCACACCAACCCACATATGCCATTTACTGTGCATTCCTCTCAAAATACTGACTCGCAGCTAATCTAATCCATAGCAGGGATATCAATCTCGGCAATAGTCCAAACCTTACCACCCTGACTGGACCCAAGTCCAGTGTAAGAAGCACCAGCAGCCTTAGCAATAGTAGAACCGAAGGTGGTATCAGCACCGGCAAGGGTAATAGTAGTATTCAGGTACTTCTGGGCAGCAATAGTACCAGAGCATTGGTCATTGCACTCAGTACCGGTACCGTATCTAGTCCAAGTCAGTATACCCCAAATGCCAAAATCAAATGTCCGCTTTGGGAAACTCACCCCCTCATGTATGGGCCGGAGGCAAGGGAGTAGGTGGAAAGCAGGGCGCCGGTAACAGCGTTAGTGACGGTCCTATTTTATATTAGTCTGGTTGTATACATCGCCCACAAATAGTAGCACTTACTGCTTCCAGGTCTGTCCATCAGACTCCAAGTTGTACTCGATACGGACGTGGTCATCGCCACTGACAGCAGCACCATCACCATCAAGCTGGCCAAAGCTTCCGAAGACACTGGCGCGCACACACCACTGGCCGGAGGTGGCTCCGCACCAGGAGTTGCTGGGCCAGCTCTCGAGGGTGGTCTGGACGAGGTCACCCGTTCCGTTGGACATCTATAACTATCAGCACACTGCTTCAAATCAGATTCTAGGTAATTAAAAACTCACACCAGGCCACAGGAACAGCACTCCGTTCTGGGTGGGGGAGCAGCACCAGGGATCAGAGTAGTAACAGCATTGACAATGGTCGACTTGGAGGGACCAAGAGAAACACTGCCACCCCAGGTATCATCTCTCTTCGCGTGCTCAGTGACACCAGCGCTGACAAAGCCAATGCTGGCAAGGGCTGGGATAATGAAACGCATATTGAACAGGATGAGCAAAGCAATACTTTTCGAAGAATGAGTCGCTAGGCGTTCCTGCGCCAGGTAGATCTCAACAGCAGAAGAAAGAAAGATATGGTTAATTTACTTCCACAATAACATGAAGACACTCCATACTTATACATTCTTCCCCTGAATCTGAGGAGAAACTAATTCAGCAGCTGTATAGTGGTGGAATTGACTAAAACGGGAGCTTGGTCCGAAAGCCCAGGATGTTTCACCTTAAAACAACACTAGCATTGAGGCTAACTGATGAAACGCAAAGTCCCAACAAATTGGCATATCCCATTGACGCATTAATTTGCCCCAAACAATCATATTCCAACCTATTGCTCCGTGGGTGGACTTTTTATTCACCTGACAGCACCGCCTTCGCTCAAACCACTACTCGGTGCCGGCCATGTCTCTCCGGGACTTCCGTACTATGGAAAGCAATATAAATTAATGAAAGAACACTGCGGGTATAACTCCGCGTGGCTGTTTCGCATTACGTTAATTGGTGCAAACTATTAAACAGGTTCGTGGCTGGGGCCGTTTAGACTACTGTTGATTGTGCAGCCCTATTCAGGGACAAATGTCTTATTCCAAGTACTCGCCCTTGGTCTCTGCGTGGATCACGTCGAATAGGGGCTTTGCGCTGAACCAGCCGGCTTTGGGAGTCCCAACGGTTTTGTACGTGAAAGCGGCGTCCGCTTCGTCGATTTTGACGGTCTGTCCGCCTCGGCCGGTCGCCGCAGCGTCCGCAAGGAGTTGTGCGTAGCAGCATTTCTCCAGGCTGACGAACCAGAATACTGTCTCCTCGATGGTATTGCCGACAGTCAAAAGACCGTGGTTCTGGAGAAGCGCAGCCTTCTTGTTACCAAGTGCTTTGGCGATATTCTGGCCTTCTTCTTCGGCTAGCACGACACCTTTGAAGGAGTTATAAAGTGCCAAGTCCTGTTGCGTTCTTAGCCGTGATCTAACAACAATGGGCGAGTCAATGAGAAACCTACATTATGGAAAGCGCAAGCATCCTGCGAAATAATATCCAACGGTCGGCCAAGTGAGCAAAACGCCCGCCCGTGAAGACTATGACTATGCGCCGCACAATTCACATCCGGCCTGGCCGCATGGATAGCCGAATGGATCATAAACGCGGCAGCGTTCAACATCCGATTCGGTCCACCGTCGATAACCTTACCGTCATGGTCAACCTGGATCAAATCCGAGGCTTTCATCAGCTTGAATGCCGTACCGAAGGGGTTCACCCAGAAGGTTGATGGGTCAACCGGGTCACGGACGGTGATGTGTCCAGCGACACCTATTGAATGTATGTGAGCGGTTGATATGCATAGCAGGATCTGGATCCCTTACCTTCGTCATATCCCTTGTCGCCAAAGATCCGGAATGCAGCTGCTAGACGGCCCTTGAGATATTCGCGCTCTTTCATCTTATCTTCAAATACGGGCATGCTGGGCATTTGCATTTTGATCTTAGCTTTTTCGGCGCCTTCCGCTTGGGATGATTGCGGGGCTTGCATAGTGACGGTGTTGGTGATGGTGTCTGTTGCGGTTGGGGGAGCCATGGCTGGAATGTCAACGTGAGAAACGTGAGAATGGTGATAAATGTGCGAATGATGAAGTTCTAAGTTCCCTAGCTGAAGCGGGGTTGCTGATTATCGGTGAAGTCAGATTGGCCGAACCGAGGTTGTTCTCCGCAGCGGATATCCGGATTTGACTTGGAGATGGGGATATACTGGTATATGGAAAAGAGATGGAAAAGAGATGGAATTGAGAACTACTGTAACCCCGAGAATTCAGTCAGATAGCTGAAACCGCTTAACGCAATATACGAAATCAACGCTCTAGGTTCTTATTTCACAAGATCATAATGTTTCGTAGAAGCACAACCAGAACCCTGGGAACAGTCGATAGGACAGGTTCCAAAATAGGATTCTTATACCGGGAACATAGGTCCTCGCTCAACCTCCGCCATCAAAGCCTTGAACAGCTTACGGTCGGCTGGGCTGAGACTCTCGCTGAGAGTGGCGGCATGATCAGGGGAACCAACCAGTGGTTTTAGATCTGCTTGGCAGAGGGTTCCTGCGGCGGGTAATGCGCCTGTCTGGAAGTAGTTGCGAATGGCTTTGGCGATACAGATTGACGGAGCCGCGATTGTAGTGTGCTACATGATGTCATGATGGAAACGGAGAGATATCGACTAGAGTAAACTCACCCCTTCTGATTCTTGTTGGAGTAAGCCAGATCCTGGGAACATCTGAGCCATATGTTGGGCACTGGAAATATTAGCTTCGATTATGCCATGTCGATAAAGGGAGACATACCTGTGTAGAGGCGTAACTGGATCGAGAGTATTCGACACAATGAGCAAAGGATGTGCTGTATTCCCACCCCAAGGCCCTGAAAGTAGTCAGCGGAGGAACTATAACATGCAAAACGAAATATACCTCGGAACGGATATTTTGGCTTTGCCTTCCAACCAACACAGCTCAACTGCATCTGCGCCCAGTAATCCCCAAGCGAATAACTATCAGCCGTAAGCTCATCCCACATAAACTTGAACTCTTCCATGCTCAGAGTGGTCAGAAACTCCGCATCCGAGCACAGAATTGCAGACATCGCGTAAAGCCCATTATCCTGCGCACGAGCACACTCAGCAGACCAAGGCCCAGCACGACTACACGCGTTAGATGGACACGCGCCGAAGTGATTCCCATGCTTAAAATCGGCCGCGGGGACGGCGTTGCCTTTGGATAGCTCATTCATTCTCCTTGCCAGCAGAGGGAATGCAAACAGGGGTTGGTATATGGCGACTCGTTGCATCGCTTTGATGTCCGTCCATGTGACAACCTCGGGGCCCCGTAAAGCAGAGGCCATCACCGGTATCGATGCATTGAGGATTTGTTTCTCAAGCTGCCAGTAAGCTTCTTTGATGGCGTCTGCGCCGCCATCAATGTAGAATGGACAGCCAACTAGCCCTGCTTCATTACAGTATTGTCCGAACCGCTCGAATATTGCATCTGCGTCAGTGATGGCGCTTTTCCCTGTGCCTTGGTAGTATTTGAACATGTCAACTACACCGTCAAGAACGGCTCGGTTTACTCGATCCGGGAAGAGCGAGGCAAATGTGCTACCGAGGAGGGTTCCATATGACCGGCCCCAGTAAAGTAGTGGTTCTTCCCCACGGTGCCATCGAGTGCGCTCTAAAATTGCCTGAGTCTCATCCGACCCATGACACTTGTGGGCTGCTTGACCTTGCTTCTCACGCCACTCGCCATGTCGCTCAATGATAGTCAGCATATCCTCCGCGACCAGTCGCGTATTCACAAATGACATCATTGGCTCGTCTGTTTCCAAGCTGGACATATCATACACCGAGCAACCCGAATTGAGCGCTTCGGTGCGCTGCCAGTTTCTCTGCAGCGCATCCCAACCGCTACCGAGCATGCCTTCGGTAGCAACTTGCAGCTCCCAATTCCGTTGGGACACCGGATCAGGGAAACACATCACAGGCGGTGTCGTGGACCCCGCTCCCCGAGGATCAAACCCGATGATATCGAAATACTTATCGACAGTACTCTCTCTTGTTTCACTGGGATCACCTTCTGCATCAACAATCTGCTGGAGATCGGGACCCGACAGAAATGCCTGCATTGTTCCGGGACCACCAGGTCCGCCTAAAGTACAAACCATGAGCCAGGTTCAGTATTAACAGGAGTTCCCAAATTGCCTTACCAGGGTTAATTAATATCGCGCCTCCATACCGGGGATCAGTGACAGGCACCTTGGCTGGTAATCGAACAACAGCCAAGGCAAATGTACGCCCGTTCCCATCGGTTCGATTATAGTCCATAGGCACTTCCAGCCTCGCGCACTGGAATTCATCCCCACAGTTGTGATATTCCAGCCACTGCGCGGGCGTGATCTCATCCCAGGTGAGCGGGACAGGGACATCTGGCGTGATCCAGGTCCGCGAAGGCCAAGGGACCGGCCACACCAGGAAGGTCAACACGGCTGCCAGTGGTAAACCCCATCGCGTATATCGAGGGCGAGGGGGTACCCGTGATTTTTCCATCCTGGAATAGTCGCAACAGAGGAGAGAAAGAAGTCGACATTGCCCCTCTCAAATAAACATGAGTCGATCCATGGCTCGACGATCGGGTCCCACAGCGACTAAGTGGGGTTTGACTATTTTTCAAGGGGCTCAATGCATAGCTCGCGTGTTTTTTATTGGCGCTTGCTTTGTTTTGTCGGCTTTCTGATTCGTCTTGATAAGACGGGCCAAGGCTGAGCTGCAGATCGTGATGGGTTGCATTTCTGGATAATCGTCGCATGCGAACTCGGCTTCACCGCTTCTCTTTCTTGCCATGTATGCTTATACAGAGAGTAGCAAAAAAGGGTTGAAAGTCGGCAGATTTGACAGGGTAAGATTCTCTTATAAACTGTATTTGTGGATGTTAATGTACATCCCTCTTATATCTAACGTTCGCATGTTTTCAGTTCTCATGATATCCCTCTGATGCGCTCCACTTCGTCACTGGTTAGAACTCTTCTTCGTAATCCGTAAAGTCAAATTCCACACCCTCGTCTCGTAAATACTCCTCACCCATCAAAGATGTTCTCGGAGTCTCGTGGTATTCCCCTCTGGAAGCAGCCATCCTCGTCGGAAGAGTCCTTGAAAAAGCGCGTCTTGGAGTGTCGTGGTCCTCTCGGTGTTCTCATGATAGTTGCTAAGAGTGACCTTGAGAGTTATCCTCAGGTTTGTCATGAGACTCGTCTTGATGGCTTTTTAGAGCTATTCTGAGAGTTGTTTCGATTCTTGAGCAACAATAAGCAATGTCAAACAGCCCGGATCTTCACTTGCATCGTGATCTCTCTCTCGCTCTCTCTCTTTCTGGCGCTTTAATATAGTTTATAGCGTGGCAATATAAAGCCGAGCTCGCCAATGCTATTGAGCATCATCTTGCAAGACATTCGAAATAAGACTAATATAAGAGCACTGCGGTATAGTGTGGATGGTATACTGATTAAGAAAGCCTCACAAAGCAAGAAATATTGACCAATACCGAAGTACCGTATATATACAGGAGACGATGTAGACAGCAATTGCATTCAGGACCAAGAAATAACAAATGCATCACCAAATCCTTGGCTGATTTGACAGGGATCAGAAGAGCCTCAAAATGGCGTGGAAAAATAAAAGAGCCCCCACCGGGCTCTTTTACTTCTTCCCCAAACAACCTCTTTCCCATCTCCAAGCTTCACTTCAAAGCTCCATATTCCAAACCAGCAACATGACCCAAACCCTCCAAGACCACATAACCTCCCTCCACACTCTAAGCCTCGCTGATACAATAAAAGCAATAACAACCGTAACCCCAGGCCTCAAAACAAGCATCCAACCCAAATACGGCTACTTCGTCACACACAGCGACTACGACGGCATCGCCGACCTAGAAGACCTAGGCCGACTATGGCTGAAAGCCGGGCGGGACTGCTTCGACGAACACGCAGCCCTAGAATTACGACTACTCCACTATCAACAGACAGATATCTTCGACAAGCTCTACGTTGATCTCGACAAAAGGCTCGAAGCCGGATTGAAAGATGGGTCTATTGCGCCGCCAGTGAGAGATCCTGATGCGGGATGTTCGTGTTGTGCGGGTGTGCCGAGTTCGGTTATACTTTGTGGGTTTGCGGAGGGGGAGGCTTTCCATTTTACGCCTGAGGAGTATGAAGGTTTTTGGGTGGAGCAGGAGAATTCTGGATCGAGGTATAGAGATGGGGTTTGTATGTCTGTTATGGCGAGTCTGAAGCAGGTTGAGGAGGCTTTGGCAAGGACTTCTGGTGTTGAGGTTGTGAGTATGCTTTAAGTCTGGATGGACCCTGGGGTATGGTAGGATAGGATAACATATGATATGTGTCTTGCTAGTTAGTTACTAGTGGTAGTAATGAATTCGTGAAATATCAAGCCTAGCTGGGTGTCTACACTGGACATGGACTAGGAAAGTAGAATTCACGGATACCTTTATGTTTTGATTGGATGCGCAACGCCGGGGTATTTACACGGACAGATTGCAAAGAGGAATGAATAAAATAAAATACAAACCCGCCGAAGCTCGCTCCGATGTAATCCCATGCACAGATGTAAGAGATACGTTAACGTTCGTTTCGGACGGAAGACATGCTGGCGAGTAGCTCAGCTGTGGCTGCGGGGACGTTTTCTGGGGTTTACCCGACGACCGAGGACGTCGCCACGGGTAACAATGTTGTCCTCGACTCTCTGCAGGTAAGTGACAAAGTCGTGATAGTTTGTGAAGTCGAGGTAAGTCTTATCGGCCTCGTCGCGGACCCTATTCAGTAGATGCTCGAAGAGATGGCGCATGCGATCGCGCTCGGACATCTTCTCGTTGAAATGGGGCTCCCACTGCTGCATCCAGTTGGAGAAATCAGTCACGGACTGCGCGGGTCGCTGATAGCTATCCTTGTAGCGGGCTTTCGCGACCTCGGGGTACACTCCGTTTTGCAGCTGGTGGATGAGGAATGTGCAGAAGGCGCCATAGGTGACCTGGTCACTGGGTAGGTTACGCGTGTGTCGCTTCCATTCATCTTCCAGGCCGAGGGTGACGTGCTTAAGAGCTCGACTGAGCTTGCGTTTGTCGTCATTATACCATTCGGGATATTTGTCGAAGTGGCGCTCGAGGCCCATTGAGTAGTTTTTGTATTCCCCCAAAGCGCGTCCATTGTATACCGGCACGTTTGGAACCGGCGGGGCAACGCTGTGGTCGGAGGCATGTTGGAAGGAGGGTTGGAAGGCTGTAGCGGTGGGCACGAGAGTGGTGGGCTCGGTCTTGATGGCTGCCGAGGGGGATCTGCTTGCTGCAGCGAGTGCTCGCAATTGGTCAAGTGCCAAGGCCGAGAGAGTGTTTGTGATAGGTTTGGCTGGGGTATTTTCTTCCTGAGCTTTTGTTTCAGACGCGCGGCGGTCGGCGGCGGGCCTCTTGGGAGTGTGGATTGGAGGAGCTGGTCGACGGGGAGAATTATTCTTTTCAGTAGCCTTCGGGGCCGGTTGCGTCGGTGTAGGTGTAGGAGTAGGCTCCTTGCTCATGGTAGCTACCAACCGGATGCGAGCATCTTCAAGAGCTCTTTCTTCATCGGCCACTTGCTGCTGGATCTCAATGAGTTGACGCTGTCTTTTCAACCTGCTTAGCTGGTCTTGAGCCTGTTGGATCTGAGCCTCCAGGTCATCAGGGAACTCAGGGACTGCCACAGGCTGTGACCGAGGGGCTTGCTCCATCATCTTAGCCAAATGTTCGCATCCCTTGGAAGTTGAAGAGTCCATAACTTTTTTTGTGATCCCTGCAGATAAGATAGATGCGGGAAAACAAAGTTCCGTGAAGAAACGCATGTGTCAGGCCACGTCCAAAGTCGGTCAGTGTTGGGCGTCAACAGAAGGAAGATGAATGGGAAGTTCAATGTAAAGAGAAAATAAGTTAACCCCTTGAATATGATGCAATGTTGGCGCTATTGAGAAGCTTCAATCGGAAAATCCTCCCCGAAACTAAGGATCGGAGGATCGGCGGTGATATGTTCTCTCAGGAAATTCGAGCAAACAATCGGACTAAACCTTGGAAATAACTTACGTTACTTCTCGCTATGTCGACCTCAAAGCCTAAACTACTGCCTAATCGTCAAATCCAGCCCTATGCCGGGCATGATGCCCTTAATTTCCGGTCACTTCTACAATACATGTACAACCCCTGAAGTACGTTAACGTCAACTATCGTGTGCACGATAGCTTAGGATCACAAAACTACTCGGAATAGACTTTGAGACATGTAACACACCGTAACCTGTCTTCTGCGTCTGCAACTATGTACAACCCGACTCGGGTCCAAGCATGACCACAATATTCAAATATGAACCAGACCTGTCAAAAGTACGTAGCAGATATTCACACCAGATAAATTTTATGATTAATTACAAGATTAAATATTAAATACAGAATGGAAAACCCACACAAACCCCCAAATTCAATTATTTACCAGGCGAACCAAGCAAACAAACAAACTTCCGATCAGGAGTCTCATTAAGAACATTTAGAACCAAGTTCCAAACATTCAAATCATAAGCCTCCCCAATATGACCAACAGGATCAAGCGGACAAGTATCCTGAATCCATCGATTGACAACACCATCCTCATGCACAAACGAAGTCTCAGGAGGCGTAACCATCTCGTCATACTTAGAAGCGATAATAGTAACCTTATTCCCAGGCTGGACAATAGGCTTCCCATCATTCAACCTCAGCACAGCAGCACCATCAGGACCAAGATCATTACAAGCACCACAGCCAAAGAGATCGAGGACATCTCCAACAGCCTGGCGCGAGGTATTACCTAGCAGGTAGGCAATATCATACAGGTTCGCAAAAGAGGTAGCATGCGTCGGCGGCGCAATAGCAGCAATCTTATCAATAAGATGGGCAACACCCTCGAACTTGGGTACGTAAAGCGACTGGAAGGCACCCTCGGAGTGACCGACAAGGTCAACCTTGGACTTGCCGGTCTTGGCGACAATTTCTTTGATGTAGGCAGCAATCTCGGGAGCGCTTTCGTTGATGTGCTTCAATCCGCCCAGGAATGGGAAGCCGTCGTAGGCGCCGTAGGTTTGCGCGTAGGTGCAGTGGCCCTTGGCTTGCAGCCAGTATTGGAGGAAGTTGATGTCTTCATAGTAGGTTGCTCCTAGACCGTGTAGGAAGACGACGGGGTTTGAGTCGGATTTGCAGTTGAAATCGTTGATTCCAGTTGCGAAGGTTGTCGTTGCTGCTAGAGCTGTGAGGGCTAGCTTTGTGATGGATGGCATGGTGGGTACAGAGTATACTCCGTAATATATTATTTTTCTTCCGTGAAGAATCGACTGATGCGAGACATGAGATCTTTTTATTCTGCAGAAATTCAGACGCCCGTCAGCTCCTTTTTTTCTCCGGGTTCTCCATTCTGTGAACTATCGATTATTGATCTCTGAGCCCTAAATGTAACTGGTCGATGCAGTGGATCAGTGTCAGGTACCTGGCAAATTAGCGAGTGCTCCGTCGCCGATCTCAGCTGTCAACCAATCATAGCGAATGTGACAACCCAATCTTGGATGCATCATTTCAGCTGTTAATCTCGCCGGTGGATCGTGGGGAGTTGCGATCGGGAACGGAACCAAAGGGGGTGACATCCGAATTCACAAATGGGATTCAATTGGATGTGGTCGCGCTAAGCCTCCATGATTTGTATTCATGGCCCATGACATATTTTTATGTTCACAATGGGGTTCATTGGTGGAGCTACGCAACGGCGGTGCCATATTTTGCACAACTGACGGTTATTTTCGGAACACAGTAAGATTGTCAAGTCGTTGCTACATTTCACATCACTATATGCGTAATACGCGCTATGGACTACCTGAATTCAAGGGCGAATCTTGCTGGGTGGATAACTCAGGCATGGCGCTGCCCCAAAGGCCAAGGGCGTGTCGCCGTTCCACCAAATGCAATAACTCTACCATGAACTTGCGCTCCGTACCTCCCTCAGGGAATGCTTCCCACGCCACCCGGGTGGGGAATGCAAGACGGTTAATCATATTGCCAGGCGCTGTGGTGATATAGAACTCCAGCGTACGGGCAATCCCACATCCCAACTCGTATTGTTCCATGGGGGTTACACGGTCCTGGGGACGGGTATCGACCGACGAGAGGATGAGTCGAAAGCTGTAGTAGAGGCACATGGTTTGTGCGAGGAGGAGGTTGGGGTATGTGTATCTGGTTGGGGTATAAGTAGCCCCAGTGCGCAGGTCGCGCCGCTGGAAAATAGGGAAATCGTCTGCGCCTGTTTGCTTGACTTCTTGTGGTGGTCCGTCGGGGTAAACCTTGACCCAGTCCTCATACCATTGGTAGAACTTAATTGTGAGCTCGCCAATGCCATTCCACAGGGTAGTCTGCTTGACGGCGATTTCGTGTGCGCCTAGCACGGAGCGAGCCTGTGCTGCTTTGAAGGAATCAGACTGTGCTAGTAAACCTGGAATATGGGCGGCAAGATCGAGCAGGTGGTGTAGAATGTCCTTTGTGGTTGTTCCTGCAGCCCATGGGATAGTTTTCCATTCTTCTTGTGCCAGGAATGACGGTTGTCGAGCAGCTAAAGCACCACCAATCTGAGAGTTGTTAGGAGATAAATCGGATCATGAGTAGTTGGAGACATACCCAGTATGGACGAAGCTCAGTGAACAGAAGATGCTCCACCCCGTACATGTGATTTTCCGGTCCACGATGTTCAATCAAGCGCACCGCACCTCGAACATGGGCCGAGACACCGCTGTCAGTGGTGCGTTCAACGCTCTGTCGGAGTCAGCAGTAATCAAAAAGTGATTGGATTGGTTGTGCACAGACCTCAAAGGCCAGTAGCAGAATCACAGTGACTAGCGTGGACTCGGCTTTGGATTTCTCAGGATCAACCAATGCATCCTGCAAACCACGAAGCACACGCGGATAAAGTCGGAACCCAGATGCCTCGATCTGCTTATTCTGAACAGACCGTCCAAAAAGGCCACCGAGACAGCCTCGAAAGCATCACTGATCAAAGGGGAAAACATTCGAATCCCGGCGGCAGCTCGCAATGCACCAGCCCGTCCCGACTTCATATCCACCTCGGGGCTAAATGCATCAACAAATCTCTCGACGAATACATCCAGCACTGGTCTTTGCATGCTGATTACTGAGGCTCCCCGGATGAGTCCGAGCCACTGCCAATAGACATCTCACGCTCAAATTCCCTGTCATCGTCGTTATCATCTTCAAAAGTATTGAAATCCTCATTGGCAGAATTCAACAGAAGACGTTTGCGAACCGGCAGAGTCGAAGAGGGCCGTGACGGTTGTTCATAAGATTCATAAGCTGAGGACGTCAGCAAGGAGCTCCCAGTCGTCACACTAATAGAACAAACCTTCTCGGCCTTCCCATGGTCCCACAGGGACCAAATCCTTATTAAGCCCGCCGTGAGCAGTGCGAAGCTCACGGACAAGCTCCTCCACCAGATCTAGCGGCGCAGATCGAATAGAGTCAAATAAGCCTTCAAGCTGTTCGAGCTGTTGAAGATTCCGAGATCTCGAACCTACATGCAAGCATCAGCAATAAGTTCTGCATCGAGCCCCACAGGTAGGTGGGCGGTGGCTTGAAATGAATATGTACCATCATGTCTGGCATCAATCCTCCCTCTCAGCTCCCGAATTTCCGCCCGCAAGTTCCGGATCTCCTCCGCCTGACTGATCGGCCTGGCGTCCTCATCCGGGATGTCCTCATACACGCACTTCGACGGGTATCCGTGGGCGCAGCAGGCATGGCAGGGCTTGACACGGTCACACTAGCATGATCTACGTTAGCATCGAGCATGTAGTATTGACGTTAGGGACCAGTGGGACGCATGCGATGGGTTCGGGAGCGTCCCGGTCCAGGGCTGGCGATCTGAGCACAACGAACAAGGAGAACCGACCTTGACTTTGCGGAGCCGACAGACTTTGCACGATCGTGACTGGCGGTTGGCAGCCCTCCTGACTCGTAGGTCGGAGGCAAATCGTCGCGTTTCGCCGACCATGGGGGCGTGCCTGGTGAGCTTGAGGGTGGGAGTTTGGGAAGGTCTCAGCTCTTGGGCCAACGACGCAGCGTGATTTAGGCGAGCCAGATTTCCGAGCTGGTCGTCCGAGATCTGCTGGCTTGGGGTGTGGGCCGACTCACGCCCTCCGGGCGTTTGGCGCTGCTAGTGTGACGTTAGTTTGTGTCTCGGCGCTGCTGATAGGTGGCGTGTGGGCCCATGGACCCCCCCACCATTGCGACCGAGTCTGAATTGTGCCGTTGTCATTGGGAGTTATTCATGTGGCTGCATTATTCGCTGTAGAACTGGCTATGGAGCTGTCAGTCGACTGAAATGGAAGTGCCGAGAGGGGCCCGTTTCAGCCCGGTGACTAAGTATTGGCTCCCACCTGCAGGCAGCTTCCCATCCAATCTTCCAAGCTTACGATGTGTTCTATCGGGCTTTTGATATGTCGAGATGATTCGTATTTTGATTGCCTGACGTATACAGACTATAAATGCTGCTATAGTACGTACTCCGTACGCAAGTCTGGTTTGTACTGGTTTGCAGGTTGCAAAGTAGTCCACCAAGGAGGCTAAATTTGTAACTTGATTAGTCTGCCCTTTATACGGAGTATTTGAGTTGCTTATCCCAATTCCATACACAGTCGAAGAAATAAACACCTACGAAGCTGATAATCCTATGAATTATGGCTCTCGTAACCTTAGTAGGTAAACATTGCGGCCTGAGGCCTCCACAGATGCCTTACCGAGGCTATGGCGGACGAAACAAACGGAGCAAACATAAGGGTTGACGAGGAGAGGTCTGTATAGGCAGGCAGGCCTCGCCACACATACTGTAGATAAGTTAGTCGCTGAATATTAGTTCGCCTTAGACAGAACCCCCGAATCAGTCTCAATTATGTTTATTGAGAACTCGTGGTTCTAGCCTTAATGTGCCAACCCTGATGGGTTGACAAAGTGACTCAAGGTAAAGCTCTCTCAAAAGTACCTGAGCTCACTTTGGACCTGTATCATTAATTTCAGAATGGAAAACGACAAAAGTCTGTCGAATCCATGTTTTACTTCTCCCCCGGGAAACAACGTCTAGATGCCGAGGACGGCAACCTATGCACTAGCTCTCATACAGCATGCAACACGAGGAGGGGGCCGATTGTCTCGCCCGAGAAAACTGCCGAGGTGAATACTGTTTAGCCACGCGCAAGATGGTCCGATAGCATCGGTTGACTTTTTCCCAGGGGCGCTTAGGGGATATTTGATTCGCCAAAGCCATACTGGAATCTACCTAGAATTCCTACTAAGACAAAGATAGCAGAACAAAGATGCCAAATTAGAGTCGACGCTAGGAGTTACACCGGCCAAGCTTTGAGTATCCCGGTCCACGCGGAGAAAGTGCGAGAGTTAAAGTGAGAGCTGGAGACGGGAGAAGTCTTGGCTGGAGGAGAGAGGTTGGATCGGCGTGAGTCCGGGATCTGGAGTCCGGGGTATTGTTCTTATCTTTGTCTACAGTATCTTGTTCACCGTTGTCATCAGAGCCCACTCAGTGAAATTATTTACTCTTTCGATAAAGTCCTTGATTTCGGGATATTGGTTCCTCTAATCCAGCCTTAGAAATACTTCGCATCCCTGCCACCTCGGGGCACCAACCGAATACAGAAACACGAGCCTAGAATCAAAGCCAGAATTGCAAGGGTTCCACGGCTGAGCATCTCCGGACTTTGTCCGAGCCATCTCTCGGCTCATAACCCTCCATGAAGGCCGGGATGGGGCAGCCGAAGGCTTGAGCAAATCGACCGAAGTTACCTTCCCTGTACGGCGCACGGCTTAAACTCAGTGCCCATATCAGGCTGATATTGGCTTCCACCGTGGGGGTCGTGGGAAGTTTCTACCTATTGGAGATCACCAATGCCGTCATGACCCTCGCTCCCCTACGTATATCTCCGCATTGGGCCACTTCCCCGCAAACATGATTGGACCTGATTGTCCCCCACGTTTCCCCAGAATTCACGGGGTAAATGCGAGATCTTGTTCTATGCCGAGTAACATGACCTGCTACTCTTCAACATAAATGATCGCCCACCCCAATCCTTTGTGCTTTAACCTTCACTTTGTTCCATTGGCTCGACGTAAACATGGCCGGAAATAATAATAATATTACCGATGCGGAGTTGGGCGCAAAGGCTGACTTGAGCCATGAGGAGGTTGTTCACATGGCTGAGTTGACTGAGGAGGAGAAAGTTGTCGAGAAGAAATTGCGCAGGCGCATTGATGCCTTGATTATGCCCTTGGTCATTCTGGTTTACCTGATGAACTATATCGATCGGTAAGCGATGCCTCGAGCAAAGGCTCTCCTGAAGTGTCTAGTGCTGATGGCGACAGAAACAACTATGCCGCAGCAAAACTTCAAGGTCTCGAAGAGGACCTGAATCTCGATGATACGAAATACCAAACCGGCCTGTCTGTCCTGTTCGTCGGATACATTCTGATGCAGGTGCCTTCGAACTTGCTCCTCAATTATATGGGTCGCCCTTCGATATATATTGGATTCTTCATTTGCGCTTGGGGCCTGGTGTCTGCGTTGACAAGTCAGGTGTCCAGCTATGGAGGTATTGTTGCATGCCGGTTTATTCTCGGTATCGTCGGTAAGTATCACGCCTTTTTTCCTCTCTACGTAAGCTAAAACCAAATCAGAGGCCCCCTTCTTCAGTGGAGTCTTATTTTACCTTTCAAAATGGTACACCAAAAGAGAATTGGCATTCCGTATGAGTATCTTCTATTCCGGCTCGTTGCTCAGCGGCGCCTTCGGTAACCTCATCGCCGCCGGTATTCTGCACGGTCTCAAGGGAAAGCGAGGACTCTCAGCTTGGCAATGGCTTTACGTGATCGAAGGCGCAATCACCTGTGCCATCGGACTGGCCGTTTGCTTCATCTTACCTGACTTCCCAGAAACATGGAAGCTTCTTTCTCCGGAGATGCGCAAAGTGGCTCAGCGCCGTCTTGCCGTTGAGGCCGGCGAGGCCGATGTGGATGAGAAGGGTGGCGTGAATCAAATAAAGGGCTTGAAGCTGGCTATGACCGATATCAAGACCTACGTATTTGCCCTTGGCTACATGTGTATCACCGGAGCGGCAGGTTTCCAGAATTTCTTCCCGACTCTCGTCAAATCATCCCTCGACTACTCTGAGACAATCTCCCTCGTTCTCGTGGCACCCCCTTACCTTTTCATGGTCGCATATTCTCTCGGCCATTCCTGGACTTCCGACAAGCTGGAGAAGAGATTCTGGTTTTTCGTCTACCCAATCCCAATCACGATTATCGGCTTCGTCGTCTATATGAAAACCAACACCTTCGGACCCCGATACTTCTCCTTCTTCTTAATGGTCTTCGTGTTCGCTCAAAACGGTACTATTTATTCCTGGCTCGCCAGTTCGCTCCCTCGCCCGCCCGCCAAGCGTGCTGCTGGTAAGTTACCTCACCACCCCTTTAGTTTTTACTACACCACACAAGAGACTGACCAAAATAGCCTTTGCATTCTTCAATTCCCTCGGAAACAGCGCTTCGATCTGGACGCCGTATACATACATGGACAAAGAGGCACCCCACTACCAAACCGCGATGGGTGTCTGCATTGCTCTCCAAGTCGTCGGTGGACTGTGTGCTCTTTTCTTATACTTCAACCTGAATATGCTCAATAAGCGACAGCTGAGACTTGAAAATGAAGAGGTAGAGCTCAGCCCGAAGGATCTTCGTCGGTTGCAGGTTACTGCTGATGTTGAGGGGATTGATATTGCTGCTGCGAGACGGTTGCAGAAGGGATTCCGTTATGTATTGTAAGGGACTTTCGTCGATAGGACGTATATTATGGCTCAATTACATTTTCTATTCAAGGAGTTCTTGCGTAGTCTTGATCGAAGTACAAATTAATTGTCACGTAAGGCCTCAACAGCTAGTCAGGAGTCAACAACCCTTTGCGTTACAAAAAACACATCAAGGCAGTAATGCCTTCCAATGAAACTATTTCGTTTGCACGGAGGAATGTCTTCCGTAAGCCATGCAATTCGACTCAAAGCAAGGGCCAACGTGCGGGGACTCCGCATGCCGATCCGGGCGTGGCGATATCCAAGTCAAATAGTGGTGTAAGTGGTGCGCCCACTCCCAGTCTCTGATTAGTCCCCATTTACCTGGGCATCCAACCAGGCAATCCAGTCATACAAGGCCGGATGAAGTCTATAGCGCAGAGCATCACCTGACCATCCCATGAAGTCATTCCCGTACCTCATAAATAGCATTGACCTGCCACAATTTCGGTTCATCTCCATTGATCTGCACTTTTACAGAAGTACAAATACAGCACGCAATCTAGTAGATACATCCATCTCGTGGTGGACATTCCCACACACCATCTCAACAGATCGACATAACCCACCCTCACACTCACATCTCCAATCTCCAATCTCCAACATGCAATCAGCACTCTCACGACCCATTCTCCGACCATCCAATCTAACTATTCTCCGATCATTCTCCGTCGCTCCAGCTATCATGGGTGAAGGCGATCTAGGTGCTCCTAAGCCGCGAGGCTTTATGGCCCAGTATGAGCTCCCGAGTATATGACGTCATCAATTTCTGACTGGAGTAGAAAGGATTCATTTGCGCGACGTGAGGCTGCGCATGAACTTATGTATATTCGGGAGCAGGAGATGGAGAAGTATGCTGTTTTTGGTTGTTGGTGCATATATATACTGACAATGGTGCAGGGTTAAGCGTCTTCGGCAGAAGCTTAAGGAACAGCGTCAGCATATGGATGAACTCGATAAACACCTGTGAGTATTTTCTTTTTAATTTTGTGCAACCACATGGCTGTTATGGTTCTGACTGGTTATAGTGAGGAGTTTGCTAAGAGCCAGGGCGGCGAACAGAACTAACTTGCTCGTCCAACTTCCGAGACACTCAGTCGATGATCATATGCTTCTACCACAGATACACTCGCAGGGCGAACGCCAGAACTATATATATCGAGGTGGCCCGATCTTGCAAGAACATGTATCCGATACCATTCAATCTAGAGTTAACTTACTTCAAATGGAATAAGAACCTTTCACTTTTCACCTATTTTGAGATCCCCCTTGCCAAACTAGATCAGATCTTCGCCTGCCATCTCCACCGGTAACTCAAACAAGCCCATCGAGCCATGACAAACATCCCCAATGCAACGATCAAGACACTGCCCAGATACGCCACCATAGCCCTCTTGCCAACTTTGTCCAGCATCTCACCTCCAATAGGGATACAAATTAGTGTTCTGGGATTATCTGTCAGTCGCCAATCAAACCACATCAGGGGCCACAAGTATGATCGAAAAAGGTGACTTACGCAAAGCTGACAATGGAATATGTTAATCCGAATCGTCCACCAACTTCGCTGGCCTTTGAGATCTGCCCAATACAGGCAGGTGCCAGACTCAGGAATGAGCCTGACGCTAGCCCGAATACTGAGGAGAAGGTATATAGCCCTGCCAGGGTATTTCCGAATGGTAGCCATATCACAAAGACTGCAACGGCTCCCAGCGCGATGAGTGCGGCCTGGGTGTTTATTCTGCCGTAACGATCGGCTATGCCTCCGGCCAGTAAGCGGCCTACAGTGGATGCTCTGTGCGGTGTAAGTTATTGTGATTCGAGGCCAGAGGAGGTACTATCACTCACATGTTCAGCACGGAGAGGAGGAGAACACTAGTGTTGGTCGAAAAGCCCTGCAAAACGACATAGGTCGGGTATAGTCCCAGACTAGCGAAAACGACAAGCTCAAGGCCTGGACAGGTCAGGCATATCATTCTACTCCCAATCAAAACTGAATCCAACTTACTGAAAATTCCTACAGTCAACCAGGTAAACCTGGCATCTTTCAAAGAGCGCAGATTAACGGTCGACTTACTCCTGCCCTTCGGCAGCCTCGCCTTGACCAAAAATGTCGCAACAACACACAAAGCCAACGCAACGAACGCCAGAAGCCTAATTGTCCACTTATACCCCAGCTTAGAGAACCCAGCCCGAAGCATCAACGGAAAAAGCACACCACCAAGACCCGCCCCAGCCATCGAAATCCCAATCGCAAGGCCAGCCTTCCGATCAAACCATTGAGGCACACTAGCCAACGCAACCGTACTCAAAAGCGCAGCTCCAATGCCAGACATGACACCCAGCGTCAAGACAAAATGCCAATACTCATGACTCTCAGCTAGGAGCATCAGACCTGTGACATAGATCGCCGTGCCGGCAATGAGAATACCAGTTGGACCATACCGATCGAACATCGGTCCAACCTGAACGGAGACGCTCAGACCGAAGAATGTGAATAAACCGGGAATCCAGCCGACTGCACTGGGGGAATATTTGGATAATTGGTGCGATGCAAAATAGTTTTGCAGGATACCGGTTGTATTCATTACCCCGAAACTACTCATCAAGAGTAAAAACGAGCCGAGAACGACGCTCCAGGAACGAAGTCCGCCATCTGGGAAGATGTCGTCTGGATTGTGTTCTGGGAAATGGTCTGTGAAGTGGGTTGTGACTGTTGCCAGCTCGGCTGGGGGCTCGATTATGGAGAAGGCCGACCGAGGCGCTTCTTCATCGTTGATTCTTGTGCTTGGACCGGCCGTGGGCAAGCTTTCTACGCTTGTTTGTGCTGATGGGTGATGCTGTTGGACTGAGATCGTGGCTGTCTTTTGCTCTGGTGCCATTGTTGGCGCGGTGTCGAGCTTCCTATGTTCACTTCTTGGATGATGGGAATAAACACGGCTTTAGAGATGAAGACTCGAAATTGAAAGACCTTTTCATTATGTGGAATGAGTCATGTCGATAAGGGCTTGCATTAGCTTCACACGATGATTCATGGTGGGGTTATAGATGTCGGAATGACCATCCGATCTTTTGAAGTAACTCTCCATAGTGGCACGTCATGGGTGCATGGAATCAGTAATTTGGAGCAGCAATTGCAGTAGAGATAGTACAAGTAGTATCCATGATATTCGGCAATTTTTGAAACGATAATTGTCTGCAATTTGTGATACCGAAAATTGAGCGAAGGTCCTCCACGACCGAAAGTCTCATCGGATCACTTCCCGAGGTCACCTTGCACTGCAATGTTTGATTAATGCAGGGTTGTTCCAGTGACTAAGGAATAATTGATCAAACTCGGAAAGGAATTAGACAATCCCATTGGAAATGTATTGACGCGACTCTAGGAATGCAGGTATCGAATTGTCGGGGGCTGGCTACAACCGCATCTATGAACGATTTCGTCCGCCACTGCGACTTGCAAATCAATGCCAAAAGTAAAGAAGTCCTGAGATCAACATTAACAATTAATTTAACCTATAGCTAAATATCCCAACATCCACCGAAAGTGGGACTTGAAATACATTCAACACCCCCTGTGAGTGGTATGATTTGCGCGCCTCGCCACCCGGCCGACACTCCCAACCTCACCCGCTCCTCACCGATCGCATCCCGATTTCCCCCATGCAGACTGAAAATCAAAGTGGCATGATATCAAGATGCAGCTGACGTGCCATAATTTCATTTGCAGCCCAAACCCAAAATGCTCACTGACTAAATCCCCAGCCATATATCAACCCAATTCCTTCTAGTCCCCGCAAAAAAATACTATACAACCAAGATCCAGATCTCCTTCAAAAGATCCACATACAAATACACATACACGCACCTCTCATTTGAGACCTATCCACCAAAATGCAATGCACACGAATCCTCACAAGGAACATCCCCCAAGTCCGGCAACGACGCCAACTCCAAAACCCACGCATGACTCTCGTTGCTAGCCCCGTTCCTAGCCCCGTTCCTAGTCAGAACCCCACCATCGACTCTGAACGTTTACCATACCGACTCTATGAGCTATCACTCAAGAAGATTAGGAAAGAAGCGCATGCTGCCGAGCCAGATTTACGACATGTCATTGCCGGCATCTCAATGCAAAAGGTCGTCGCTGGTGCTGTTCATGATGATCTTCTTCATCGAGTTGATATGTTAGAAGAAAAAGTGCCTCGCAGCCTCCCCGTTCTACCTGGTGCCGATGAGCCCTGGGAACACGAAGAGCTCGCTTCTGATTCGAGGCATAATCCTAATGCTTGGGATATGGAATCCCTTGATCAGGCTTTATGTGAGATGGAGATTGCTAGTCGGAAAGGGGAGGTTGCTAAAACTGTTTGTTGGCGGTTAATTGGGGAGATGTAAATATTCTACGACATGGCATTTTTAAAGCGTTCTTGTTTTGTTTTGGTTTGCCGCTTTGCTTTTAGTTTTGTGCATATTCAGGGAGTTGAAAACTGGAGTGATACAACTTTGTTCATTTGCAAGCATGATCATCACCCTAATATAACTAGGGGATTGATACAGCGAACCCCCCTTTGGATAATGCGACGCCAATGTTGTGCACCCGCATTATCAAGCACAAGGTATTTCTCGCATTTTTCTTCGTGTCCAAGCTTGTGGCAGTTGTTACAAGCAAGGCCTATGCCGGCGTCACCACGGACGGCAGTGCACCACATCCATGGACCGTTGAGCTCCTGACAGTGTACACACTCCGTGTCAATCTCCATTCGGTCGCCCACCACAGTCATGATGGCGCTCTCTGCGTTCAGTTTGTTGCTGTTCAGAAAGACTGCCAATGCTTCAGCGGTCATGGCTCACTCCTCACGAAGACGAGGCTCACGTAAGGCGTCCATCTCGTGAAAGCGTCTCGCAATAGCCGAAGCAACGCCATTTCCCCTTCTAAGGTGAAATCGCAATCGAGGACTTTTTGGGCCTAGGGGCCAGGGCTTCTTTCGCGTAATGCCGGGGGCAGGAATCTCTGCATGTTCACCAACGAAGCGTTCGCCAACGTTAGCAGTGACTCTGTAAATGCCACGAATTAGTTTTTGTATAGTTTATATTTGAAGGCTAGGTATCTTATAGGCTCGATGTGGCCGATGGTCTCATTCGAGGCCGGACGGCAGCGCCCTGTTAGACGGCATAGCTCTGGTGGAGGGGTGCCCATCTATCTTATGAATCTAGATGATTAGGGGTTGGGGTGTGGAAGAAGGGAAGAAAGAATAGAGGAAAAGAAGGGAAGAGGGCGGTATAAATAGTGAATGTGGTGCTGGTGTTGACGGTGCTGCCTATTTCCTAATTGGGTTCACTTTTCCTTTCTCGCACCCTCGTTGGTCATGTGTCCTTTACTTTCTCACTCGCTACCTCAGACCTAATCAAAATGCCTCAGATTCTAGAAAGTCACATTCGCGGGGACATTAGCACGTAGCTCTCGTTTTCTATCGCCTCAATTCGATCCTCTATATGCCAACTGCACATCTAACGCTAAGCAACTTCTTTCCAATCCAAAATTCCGTTTTCTGACCTCTGCAGTCTCACAATAATACAGACCCCAAAAAGGCTCAACCATCACCACCTAGGCACGTCAGCTCGCTGCCAAACGCGCAGAAATCTCTTAGGCGTGGCATCAAGATCGTCACGTTCTTGGATATCACCCCGTATGGTGCGGTTTCGTTCACCGGACAAGCTTCTGCAACCAAATTACTATGCTACATCAGTTCTGAACCAAGTATAAATCTTCGCTCGATTCATCCTCACCGTCTCCGCCTTGAGAGAGTATACCTGTGTCAATATCTCGCCTTGACAGAAGCTCTTTGATGGTTCAAGCTTCTTGTAATATCTTCTACGTGACGCATATAAGCGTGAACATGGGTTGACTGCCTCTTTTCCCGTACTAAGTCTAGGCTAAGACTTGTAATTGATACATCCGTTCACCCGAGTGCTGACAATCGATTGCACGATTCTTTCCTCTCCAAATAGTCTTTCTGGTTATAATGGCGGCTTTAACTTGGAATCTGGTGGCAGGCTGGTTCTTCAACTATGAAAGCCCTCTACCTACCCTTCACAGTCGAGATATCGCCTTTCGTCAGTTCTATATATCCATGGAACTTTTGCAATAGCAGTAAACCAATTGCAGGCGACTTCAGAACGCTCATCTTCATAGGCATCAATTGTCTCCCTCTCGAAGGCATCTCTTTGACTGACGCGTGGTGCACCACTCGCTTACATGCACCACTCGCTTACAGAATACGTTAATAGGGTGTAGGAAGGTACTACCACCCTAACCGCCCGCCTATAAACTAATAAGAGGGCGGTAAGACCCTTTCAGCCCAAAATACGGCGTAAATAGATTGTGCAAAGACATATTTGAATATATAGAGTCTATCTGGGAATTGAAACGCACCACCCACTTATAACTAACAAAGAGTTGCGAAACCCTAGCTCGGACCTATTTAACCACCTTATCCTCGGAATTTGTACGTACCGCCCGCTAATAAAGAACGATTAATTGCAAATAACCATAGCCGCCTAGCTCTAATCATTCAACCACTTTCTTCTCAGATTCATATGCAGCATCCGCTGATAAGTAACGAAAAACCGCGAATAACTCCAGCTCCAATAAAATCATCTACCCTATTAATTCCCCAATGTCCTCACTCGCCACCCTTTCTGCCTCAGACTCACCTGCATATTCATCTAGTATTCACTGACCCATCCCGCAAGCCTCGTTCACTCATCACAAAAGGCCACTCAGAAAGAAGGCTTCAAAATGTCGGAACCCACCCAATACTGCACTCAATGCCGAAAGGATCAGCCAGTCTCTGGATTCATGCGTGATGATGGCGAAGGGCCATTCAAGCGTTGCAACCGTTGCAGGAAGAGGAACACAGATGTCAGTTGGTCAGAGTTCTGAAGCTCAAAGGCTCTTTCCAACTGATAGAAAATAGTCACACCGATCCTGGCGGGCCTCTCAAATGAGTAACGTTGCTCCGGAATCGCCGTCACGCCGTCCAGGTGGTCATATCAAACAGCCAGTCTCCAACAACTCCACCACAGCGGTTGTAGCTGCAAGCACCAGCAAACTTCCAGCTGGTAGTACACTGGCCGGCAGTTCATTGACCGAACCTAACACATGTCATGGCAACGATACCCGATCCATCACAATCGCCCCCGAGGTCATCACAACAATTGGTGACATCACAACCAGCACAACGGTCGTTACTATCACCACTACAATCCGCCATGGAGAAGGAAAAGTGGAGATGAAGCCCCAAGATGAGCCATCTCCAAAGGTCGAAAGCGACGATGTCACTTCAGCGTCTAGCGAGTCTTCTCATGACGCAAATGATTTCCCACACGAAGATAACACCCACGGGCTTGGATTCTTCGTCTGTATCCATTGTGAGAAATGCCAACCTGCTCCACTCCGGGGATTTTCCGTGTGTTTGCTCTGCATTACCGACTGGAAATGGTGCGACAAGGAGAAACACAACCGACCGGTGGCAGACTTCATGTGGGATGGAAAGGAACATGATGAATGTATTCATTGTGTGCTTGACATCGGACGATTCTGAGGGGTTCGGGATCTTGCTACGAAGGCATGGCATTTGTGTTATTATTCTTACTTGAGGCGTCGACGGTGTATTTCGAAGAGTTCCTTGACAGTATCTGATTTTCGAAGGTGGGGATTGTGGGTATGTATCGTTACACTCATTCTTAAGAATTACTTATGACACCAGGCCTATTACATTTACAGTGATGAAAGTTGAGATTCGAAGTCCTCGAAAGGCCCCTAAAATAACTAAACTCATCACGAGGGCATGTTTGATCATCTTAGATGGAGGATCACTACAAGTGCTTGAGAGATAGGCATCGCGATGTATTTCTAACTTGAAGGTGGTACTCTATGTCTAAATGAGGCATCTATTAAAATAGCAACGGCTACAATATGCCGTGGTGCAAAAGAAGAGAGATCAAACTCCCTCTAAAATATTAACTCTGTACAATCTCAGAGCTCAACCGATCAGTCAGCCTTCTTCGAAGCTTTGGTTCTGAGTTTCATCAGACCAAAGACAAGAGCATAAGAGCTGATCGCAAATAGACCGACGATAGCAGTATCACGCCATCCATAATAGTAATCAAGAAGGTTGACCGTCTGGAGGTAATCCGATCCACGGGTGTATTGGCACACCCGGCATTCGGTGGCGTCGGGGTCGAGAAGGTTCATGCGAGTTCCAATGGTTTGCATGTACCCGGCGAGATATTCACCACAGGTTGTTCCGTTTGGTGCATTGAAGAGTGCGTACTCTTGTTCTGTACATTGCACCTTTTTGTCGAAGAGACCAAAAACTAACATACTTCCCATCAAGTAATTGAAAGGGTTTAGGTAGTAGATCCAGTACCTCCAGAAGGGTTGGATTTGGGCGTAAGGAACCAGAACTCCGCAGAAGGAGATCAGAGTCTGCGCAGATTGAAATCATGATTAGTTTGCAGTCCATAGGTAGATGGAACAATAAAAACTTACACCCAGGACGAGAGGATTGATCATGGCAGCCAGGTTGGCGTTAGGGGCGTACGCAGCAACAAATTGACCTGGACATTGTGTTAGCTGATGTCAAAGAAACGAGGAACGAGATGCCTTACCAATTCCAGTGTATAAGAATTCATACAGAAGGAAGACTGTGAACATGGATCCACTCTTACTCGCCTCGGTGACCAAACCACCGGTCCAATACCAGCAGACAAAGAAGAGCACACCACAAATAATGAGATATGGGATCTCAGAGACAATTAAAGCGAATGTGAAGGCTTTCCAAGAGTACATCTTAGCCTTCTTCTCGCGTGCTTCAAACAGGTCACGGCGTTCGAGGAAGGTTGGCTGCAACTGGTTGATCACACCCGGGGCGACGAAGATGGCGTTGAAAATAAAGAACAATGTGAGTTGCATGTCACCAACAGAGTCACCAATCATCCAGAAGCTGAAACCTACAAACAGGCCGGAGGAGATGTGGAGCGCGAACTTGTTGTTGATATAGTCGCTGTTTCTGAACAGGGCGGTTGAGGTACGCTTGAGAACGAGGCCAGTTTGCTCCCAAAGAGAAGTGGCAAACTCGCGACCGTCGTCAGTAGTTCCAGCAGGCTTAGATGCAGCAGTCTCAATGATTGAGTCAAGCTCCTTAAGCATTTCGGTATGTTCAGGTGAATCCAGCCAGACCTTGTTCCAGTCTCGGCCCTGGCTCAATTCACCGGAAACAACATCAATCATATGCTCGGCAGGGTTTGTCTCAGGGGGCATGGTGCTCCGTAACGTGAGAAATAGCTCTTCAGAGTCTTGGCATTCTCTCCAATTTCACCAAAGAAAACGGTCTTACCACCCTTAGCGAGAAGAAGAAGTTGATCGAATTCAGCAAAGAGCTGGGCAGAGGGCTGGTGCACAGTAACTAGAACAGCTTGTCCAACATCTGCCAATTTTCTCAAAAAGCGGACAGTATTGTAAGCACTCTGGCCATCAAGACCACTGGTAGGCTCGTCCAAGAAGATCAAAATGCTAGGCTTAGAAACTAGTTCGACACCAATAGTGACACGCTTTCTCTGTTCAACAGACAGACCAGCTCCGACACTACCAATCATAGTATCGGCCAAATCATGAAGTTCCAGTAGGTTGATGATCACGTCGACGTAGGCCAACTTCTCGGCACGTGGAACGTCGGCCGGTTGACGAAGGAGCGCAGAGAATTCTAATGCCTCACGGACAGTTGCCATCCGCTCGTGAATGTCGAGCTGTTCAACATAGCCGGCGGAACGTTGGAAGGATACAGGCAGTGGGCGGCCGTCGACCATGATAGAACCATTGATAGTGCCTTCAGTCTTGCGCTGAGCAAGAACATCGAGGAGGGTCGTTTTACCTGCACCGGAGGATCCCATAAGAGCACCGAGCATACCAGGTTTCACCCATCCATGGACGTTATCGAGAAGAACTCGGTCGCCGGACGGTGTTTTGACAGTGTAAGAAAGGTTCTTCCAGGTGAAGACCGAAGTGTTTCTCACAAGTTGGTTGTCGATGTTGGCGGGTTCGTTGCTGCCCTCAGAGACAGCTTTCGTGGAAGCCTGGCCCTCTTCGTCCTTCTTCTGGTTTTGGAGATGCTTGTGGAGGTATTCGCGGGGGATGACCAGTGTGTTACCCGACTCGGATGGAGACTGCCACCTCGAGGTTGCAACAATTGTAAGGAAAGCAAATAGTGCCCACCAGGCCCAGTTGATACCGAAGTTGCGCCAGATGTGCGCGTGACTGTATGAGAGAGATGACAGATAGTTGTCACCAAGCACAAAATTCTGACCTTGGATTGCACCGCCGACTCCGGCACAAGATTGGTGGTCTTGGGAATTTTCATATCCGGGGCCGGTAGGAACGAGGTTGCCTCCCACGCACGGAATTGTTTTACCGTGGAACTCGGTAGATAGCAGCGCCTCAAACCCGTAGGAGAGGGGATCAATCCAGAATATCCAACCAAGCCATGGGTGCATTTTCGGCTTTTGAATCATATATCCACTGTAAAGAACAGTAGACATAATCAACAAGCCAGAGACCTTGGAGGCACCATCGAAGGTTGTAAAGACAGCCCCGACAGCGCGGAAAAGGGCAGTCATAGTCTGTATCTTGGTTAGTTCGAATTCATATCATTGAAAAAGGGCACCTTACCATTGTTGTGGTAAAAACGATCGCGAAATACGTGAAGAAGGCACCGGCGGACATTGAAAGCCCAACCATGAAGTATACAACCAAACCGAACATGGAGATCTGGAAGAGTAGAACGGGGATATCGGCAGCGATCTGAGCCAAGCAAAACGCGGCAGGGTGGAAATAGGCGAAACTTTTGTGCTTGATGAGGACTGGTCTTCCGGAGAATGACTCAGTGACCTCACTCATCGCGAGTAGACTGTTGTATAGAAGAGAGAAGAAGAGTGCACCGGACTTGACGAAGAGGCCGCCGGAGTTATCCGGAGCATTGTAGAACAAGGAGCCTGCAATTAGAGCCTGGACCAGCGTCGCCACCTGCTTAATGATAAAGGTTGCTTTATCACCCCAAAGGATTTGGTACTGGCGCTGCACACAGATTTTGACCTGGTCAAGGAAGCTGACAGTGAAGGGACTGTTCTGAGGCAGCTTTTTGGAGGTCTCGAAAGTAACGCCCTCCTTGAACTCTTTGGTGCGTTCACGGGCGAGATCAGAGTCTGGGTAAGAGTACTCAGCCGCCATTTGAGCATGAATTGGTGACTTTTCATACTCGGCACGGAGGGCTTCTGCGTTGCGCGGGAAGCGGCTTTCATAGTCCTCGCGAATTCTTCGCTCGGTTGGAACAGTCACACCGGTGAGGTAGTCGGCGATGTTGGAACCCTCGCGGCAGATAAATCCGGCGTTCTCCATAAAAGGACGGGCCTGTTCCCGAGGACCGTAGTAAATTTGCTCTCCTTCATCGAGCACCAGTACTTTGTCGAACAAGTCAAAAATACCGTTACCGGCCTGATAAAGTGTGACGATTGTCGTGAGACCAAGAACATCGGTCATAGCTCGGATGGCCTTGGTCCATTCGAGGGCAGTAGAAGCATCAAGACCGCGAGTCGATTGGTCCCAGCAAAAGACGGATCCTCGCGTAGCCATGCATTCAATGATTGAAACACGCTTTCGCTCTCCTCCTGATACGCCGCGGACGTACTCATTTCCAACCTTGGTGTCCTCGGTATGAGAAATTCCAACCGACTCGAGAAGGAACTTCTTCGATGCCTGCTGATACTCGGAAGCAGTCATGCCATCGGGCAAATGAAAGGGGACCTTAAGGCGAGTTGCAAAGTCCATAGTTTGTCCGACTGTTAGGGTTGGGAAGAAGATCTCCTCCTCACTATTGAGAACAATCTGACCGCGATAGTTCTTGGCCTCATTGGAGTCCATAGAGCCGAAACGGACATCGCCTTCAACAGATTTGTATCCACCGCGCTTATTGGAGAGCATTTTCAACAAGGTCGAACAGCCAGAGCCAGGGCGACCAAGAACAAGGAGCATTTCCCCGGGTCGGACATTTCCATGGCTTTCCCGAAGAATAGTACGCAAGGGAGGTTTTCTGCGGCTATCCTTGATTTTCTGGGGGATGTTGAACTGTGATAGGACCGTCTCATTGACCGCCGCTTCTGCACTGACAACCTGCACAGAGAGGTTCTTCCATGTCACACCAAGTGTTTGCTGTTTGAATCCAGAAGCTAGGTTGCGGGCGTTTTCCTCCTGGAGCTGAGGAAGCATTTTCCAACTGTTGGCTTTAGTCTCCGGAACCTCTTTCGTCGGAGTTTCAGAGCCCGTGACCGTCATGGCGCTTTCTGTGTCATATTGGATATCATCCGACCCTGCACGGGAGGGTTTCTCGGAGTCCGCCATGGTGAAAGCAGAATTGAACTGGACGTAGAAACCAGAAAGCAACTGGAAAGGAGAAAGGGGGATCGTACATTTTAATGGACATGTATCGCGTCAATAGGCGCTGTGGGTCCGCAGTAACAAAGCAGATGAGCCCGAAGCCCGAGGCCGAAGCAAATATACAATCTAGGAAATCATCGGGATTACTGATGGAGCCGAACATAAAGGAGGTAAGTCATATTGCTCTAGAACACTTTCAATGCAGTTTATTCGCCCAAAATTCAAGATAATCCACTCGCAGTAAGCTCCGAAAGTGGATACATCGTCCATGTACCCGCTGAGTAAGCGGGAGCTTTTGCTTGGCATGGTCCAGATGGCTACGATGACCTCCGCATGGATGTTTGGGAAAGCAGTCATTATCATATCAATGACTCCAATATCGGGAAACTGCAGAACATACACAGCTAATCTATTCCGGGCTCAGGAGTTAGGAGTTAGGCGACGGAATGCCGACAAGGCGAGAGCGGATTGAGTTATCAATTACTCCACTGACTGCCATAACTGACCAATCGGTCATTGAACTATCGTTATTTTCCGCTGACCTAAGCGGAAACAGGGACCTCGGAGTAATCCAACCTCCGAACAATCGCGTGGCATGTGGATGTCGGGCAGATTCGAATCCGCCGCCTGTGATCACCCAATCAGACATGATCATATATACTTCCGGAATGATTTGTGAGCTATGACATCTGGCCTTTTTCTTTTGAAAAGCTAACGTTACTTGTAACCTATTAGAGAGGGTTATGTTTCAGATCCTCTGGATTTCTTTCAGTGGCTTCCTCGCAGCCTTGTTTGTTTTAGTGAATATTTTTACTCTTTAGGCTACTGCAGGTAACTTAACTAGTTAGCTCGCACATTTGATATGTATCACCTTTTCAAACCTAGTGATCAACCAGATCTCGATCGGCTTTGATTCTATCTGTTTCCTGAAAATTTGAGCTCGGATATTTCTGACTTGATGTGATAAAATTCAGCTGCAGTTTAATCCAGATTCGTAACTGCTTCTCGCAAGCATCATAACGCACATCGTCCAAGTTACATCGGAGACTGATGGTATATCAGGACAAGTAGGGGGCAAACCGAACTTCATTCTTTTCTGTCACCCAACTTTTGACTAGCAATTTTGCTGGACAGATCCAGGATCGAGCTTGCTATAATCTGCAGGATGGGAACAGTACAGTCCAGGACTCTGGACATCCAGTTGCGTAGCTCAACCGCAACATGAGAATCAACGCCATAATCAGAAACTGGATGGGAGGGATCGATGTTCTCTACTGGCACAGAGAGATGAAGAGCAATCTTCCGCCTCAATGCTTCACAGATGACGGATGTGGCTTGTTCTAGGTTTTTGGCTTCTTCAAGCTCCGCCTTCAAACCTTCAGCCGAATCACCTAGTATGGCAGTTCTTCCATGATTGTGAAATTTGCGGCGGAAATGAGAGAACAAAAGTGTACTAAAATTTGCCAGTGATTTTTCCTCTCTCCATTGGCCAAGGCCGGCTACAATCTGTGTTCTTCCGGCGGGGGTTGTGATATCGCGACTCGAATCAGCGACAGAAGGGTTTGTGTGTCCGTGCCGTGGAATCCTTGCTTTTTCATCGTCGCTGCTAAATCTGTGTTTTCTGCCAGATAACCAACATCTGTGATGGTGCCGAGATCTAATGATACTGCTGGAAGGCCCAGGCTGGTCCGATATGCGGCAAACGAATCCTGGAAGGAACAACCAGCAGCATATGCAGCTTGAGTCGCATTGCCAATGACGCCGCTGATGGAAGAAAGCATGAGGAAGAAGTCGAGGTCTTTGGGCAAATGTCGGTGCAGATTCCAGGTCCCTGCATATTTGGGACCCATAACCTCTCGATAATCATCCAGGCTCATATTCTCAATATGAACGTCCTAGAAGCCTTGCATCAGTATGGACACAATCGGAGCAAATATAAAATCCTAACCTTAACAACCATAGCCCCTTGGATAATACCTCGAATCGGAGGCGCACAGTGGGAAACATCCACAATCATTTGCCGAACTTCAATCTCATTGGATATGTTACAAACCTGAACCATAACCTGGACACCTTTCTTCTCCAGTTCCCTTACTGTTGTCTGGGACTTCTCCTTTGACAGGCCACTTCGATTAAGGAAGACCAGACTCTTCGCACCGTTTTGGGCCATCCATAAAGCCACCTCACGTCCGATCCCACCAAGTCCTCCGACTAGAAGATAGGATGCAGTCGCACGGAACAATGATTGTGGTGGTTTGGGGAGTGTGGCCTGTCCAATATGAGCTAGCTACGTCTTTTTTGTATGAAAGGGGGAACTTACCATGACAAGGTCATCTGGTGCAGCAGTAACGACAACATGCCGCTTGGTAGGTATTTCTTCTATGGCCTGTTGAATGTATGAGACGTTGTATACCGCTGTCCCCGACGGGCCTTCGAGTCGTCCTTCCCGGAATAGTCGAAAGACCTTAGACCAAATGTGGTCTGCAAGGTCTCTCTTTTCCTTCCTGAGATCAAAAATGTTAAATGTTGACACCGATATATTGCGAGAACGCAAGACTTCTTGAGTTCTGGGTTTGTCAGAGAAAAGTCGGATAAAGTGGCCAAAAGGCGCGGTCAAACTTTGGAGTTGTTCGTCATCGGTCCCCAGGCTCACTACTAGATTTGGCCTCTTGCCGTCAGTTAACCTCCTCAAACTCTTCACGACATCATTTTGTCCGTCTATGAAGATATGGTGGGTAGGAATTCCAAATTGGCATGACAACAAAAGCTTTTCCGTCGAATCCTGGACTGTCGCAAAGACCTGGGCGCCTCTCATTTTGTACAATTCCACAATCGCCTGTCCACACCAGCAGCCAGCGCGGTGCACGAGGACAACGTCGTTCAATTGAAGATGCGACAAATGGTAGTTATCGATATAATATGCAGTCGAGTATGCGACAGGCAATGTTGAAGCAAGCTCAAATGACATTTTATCGCCGATCTTCTGGAATGCCGCTGCTCGATCATGATAGAAACTCCGGGCTGTGCCAGTTCCAAGACACGCCACACGGTCTCCAATTGAGATGCCACGAACCCCGACACCGACGTTGTAGACGACCCCGCTGCATTCGAGGCCAAGAGTGTCATCCGAGTGGGTGTGTCTCTGCAGGTCTTGCTCACTGAGGCCAAAGGCTTGTACTGTGATTCCAACGTACCCAACTGGAAGTTCTGACAATGCGCAGTCCCCAATAAAGCGAGGTTCTTTGAATGATCTCGATAGACGTAGAGGCTGCTCCGCCTGGTGGAAATACTCCTCAGTAACAGTCTCAGTGGCAAGGAAACTGAGCATGGCTGTGTTCGTATCTGAGTCTTCCAACACACGTGGAATCAGGATTATTCCATTTCTTTCCGCAAACTCTGTGTCGTCATTCGGGCTTTGACAAAGGAAGCGGGCGGCCAGGAGGTTTGCAATCAGCTCTGCAGAATGAGATTCGGAGAGAGGATTTTGTGCATCCAGATCAAGGGTGACAATTGGATTGACCCCGGATTCGGCACGCGCTGTTCGTGCAAAGCCCACAGCAAGGCTCGCATTCGGGTTGACTGACTCAACTGTGCCACCTCTGGTAATCCAGAGAGCACCTGCGCTATGCATGAATACTGCTTTTATTTTGCCTAGTGTGATATCATTTGGGGCGGCCAGCAAAGATCCTTGCTGGGCATCCAGCACCAAACAGATTCGATCTTCTGTTTCCACATCGTCTATACTTCGCACATTCACTTCACAGGCAAGAATTTCCAGTCGGGTGACTAAATCTCCAACGGCAATCCCAGCTTCGCCTTCGCAGATGATTGAAACCTTCGCTGTCAATATTTCCATCTTCCCCCTTCGGGCGACGATAAATTGATGGTTTTTCTCGCAATCTGGGTCTGCGAAAACATCAACTGCGGTAAAGTGTGCAGCACGCAGTATCTCGTCCCATTGACACTCTGACCAACCACCTTGACCCAAGCAAAATTCCTCTGCGGACAAACAATGCAATGCACTGAACAGAAGGTTTTTGACAATATTCTGCTTTGGATTGAAAGGGCTGATTGCAATCAATGACCCGGATGGCCTAAGAAGGTCATAAATCTTGCGAATCGCATTTTGCTCACATTGTGCGGTGCACAAGCCATGAGGTAGTATGACTATATCAAAAGATCCCTTCTCAAATGCCTGCGTGGGGAGATCTTTTCCGGGATCTAGCGACTTGCAGTCAACCAATCCTGACCATGCCTCCAGCCGCTTCGCGGTATGCTCCAGAACGAGGGAACTTTCATGGGCAAATGTGTATTTTCCACAACGAGGGGACTGGGTGGAATGTGCAAGTTGTCCGAGAAATAATTGGGCCACTTGTCCTGTCCCAACTCCAAACTCCAGGATCGAAATGTCTGGTTTCTTGTGGCCGACCAAATTCAGATACCGGGCTGTGGCTTTGTATGAGGAATCTGCCGAGAAAATATCCCAAAATGTATCCAATAGTTGATGATCTGTGATAACGTCGGTGAAATCCACCTGGCCTCTGATGATAGCCACGAGGTTCTCGCCGATGGCGCGCAGCAGATCTCCTGTCGGGTTGGGCTTCATTCCTTTCAACCCAGATATTGAATCAGGGTGTTCTTTATCGTATTTATCCAGAACGTCCTGCAAATGACATCGGAATCTGCGGTGAGAAGTATCTAGTTTCCTTGCTTCCATGGCACTGACTTCTTCTAGCGCAGTCCTTATGAACGCCACCGCACATTCCTCAAATTCAACTTGAGATGCAGGCTCCTGGGCTGGCTCGCTTTCCTGCTTAAATAAGAAAGATGCATTGTCTTTGCAAAGGAAATACGGATCGGCCTTCCACTTAATGTGATAAGTGCTTTGATTCTCTTTGGCAAGGGAAGTATCTTTGTCGCGCTCGAGCCGTGTACATTGCAAGCCACGGATGGAGATGCTGGGTTCTATTTCGGACTGTTTGTCATTGCAGTCAACCACCACTATAGATGCCATCACACCCCTTTTAGGTCCCTGTCTTACATGAGTACAAACGCTCATGATATCGCCTGCCGAAGAACTGATTCCAGTTGACACGATCATCTCCTCGATGGAGATGGGGATAGCGGGACCTTCTTGGATATCCATGCCAGGTGGTAAAGCAGCAAAGACAGTATGGAATATGCTGTCGAGCGTGCAGGGATGGATTAGAAGATCATACTGGAATGCGCGCGGCATTACCGATCTGGTGTCTGGCACTGTGACCTCTGCAAAGCAAGCCCCCTCTTGGGTGACATGTGCCTTTGTCAGATTGGCGAAGCATGGTCCGTACTCTAGCCCTATTTCATGAAGCTCTTCGTAGAAGTTTGGAATGTCGATCAGAGATATTCCATGGACCTCGGTGCCTAATGGTACCATGGCATAGTTGTCTGTTTCCTCGGCCCCGTCGGCTGAAACATCGATTCTTCTTTGTGAGCCGACCAGCCCAGTGCAATGGTCGGTCCATCGGTTATCTTCCGAGATTGAGTAGATGTGGAATTCGTATAACTCATGTGGCATGTGCGTTGATTCCCGGATGGAGACCATAAGTTCAATGGCCGATGTCTCATTGAGAACCAGAACAGACTTGAACAAAACGTCTTGGAGAACATATTCGGCAATATTGACTCCGCTATTCACGCGCTGCATTAAAGCTTCAATTGCAATTGCCAAATATCCTGCCGCGGGGAAGACAACATTTCCCTGGATTTTGTGGTCAAGAAGCCACGGAAGCTCTGAAGTCCGAAGAAAATTTCTCCAACGAGGCTCATATGGGCAAGACATATTATCCGGTACGCCAAGAAGATCATTTCGAGGCAATTTCCTGTTCCTGTACATCTTGCTGAGTCGTGGCTCAGCCCAATACGATCTGGTATGATTCCAAGGATACGGCGGGAGATCGACTAGCAGCTGTGGCATACAGGTTCCTCCAGGTCCTTCTGGGCTGTTTATCGCACCGAAGTTCACCGGATAGTTGAGCGATGCCAGGGTGGCAGCCATGTCAAGTGCAGTTGCGACCGCGTTGTTCTGTCGTTTCAAAACACTCGCATACACAATATCGGCGGAGTTAAGCTTTGTATCTGCTTGTAGGATTTGATTGATCGGTCCAGCAAGGGCAGAATGGGGACCTATTTCGATGAGACAGTCGACGTTGGCTTTTTGCGCTGCTCCAACCCTTCTGGTTCGTACCGATTCAGTGTGGCCAGACCGCTGCGTGTTTGTCTCGAAGCACAAGTTTCTGACAGACTCGGAAAACTTCACTTGTCCAAGCAGATTTGAGACCCAGTACTCAGCGCCCAGCTCTTCTTGCGAAAGGACTGCTCCAGTAACCGACGAAAAGAATGCTGCTGATCTGTGTTGTCTCTCGTCTTCTGCTTGGTTTTGGTTCTGAGGTTCAATGTAATCGATCAAACGACGATACTCATCAGCAACAAGGGTCATATGTGGAGAGTGATAAGCGACATCCACAGCAAGGCTGCGGCTGAATACTGGCTCGTTTCTCAATAGCTGCGCCAGAGCAGCAATGGCAAGGGTGTCACCGGAGACAGTAACACTAGATGGACTGTTGACACATGCCACAACGAGCTGTCCACAAGGAAGTCTATCAATATATTGATGAATTTCTTTGGCAGATACACCCACCGCCATCATGGCACCTCGTGTTTTATGGTCATCCAACACCTGGCTCGCCACAACACCTCGGTGGTATGCAACTGACATCGCATTTTCCATACTGAGCGCTCCAACAGCATACGCTGCAGCGATTTCGCCACTGGAATGACCCGTCACAGAGTCTGGATATATACCCCATGAATGCAGTAGATCAACAAGTGCTATCTGGAGTGCTGTGCACACCATCTGGCTGAGGCGGGGGTGATTCAAATCCGAGTCTTGGGGGCATTTTGTAATCTCTCCTTCATACGAGCCCAGGTTAGCACGGATATATCAGGAAACAAAGTAATGTATACCTTTTACGAGGGACGGTGCTCCAATGCCATCCAAATATGTGTCGATCGCCAGGACTGAGTTGCGAAAGACCGGATATGCTTCGAGTAACTCCTTCCCCATCCCCGCCCATTGGGCACCTTGGCCTGTGAAGACAAATCCCAATTTGGGTCTTCGCACGGCACTTCTGCATTTGATATTTCGAGCAAGCGATGTTGCTAGGTCTTCAATTGTGGTGGCTACTATAGCCACTTTCCAGGTGAAAGTTGAACGCCGCTCGTTGAGTGTGAAAGCAAGATCATTCAGTAAGTTTCCATTGTCGGGTCTAGGGCCTCGGTCAAGAATGTAATTTCTCAAACTTTGCATCTGCTGTGCGCAACATTGCTCGTCAAAGCCGGAGAGTATGAATATACGCGATGTGCTGACCGACTGATCGAGATTCTCTTTTCCTTGCGTGCCGTTCGATGCCGCCAATGACAACTTCATTCTGTTATTGAGACCCCGAATGGATAGGTATCCCATGGCATCTTCAAGAATGACATGAGCATTACTCCCTCCATACCCAAAGCTATTGACCGAAACACGATGCGGTCCAGTAGTCTCCCACGGCTCAGAGAGTAATTGAACCTAATGAATCAGCCAGTGGCCGTTAAATGGACGATTCTTGCAAACCTTCAATTTCCAATCCTCCAAAGGAATACGCGAATTGACAATCTCAAAATTGCGATTCGGCAAGAAAACCCGATTCTCAAGCATCAAAACTCCTTTGATCACACCAGCAATCCCACTTGCTCCCTCTAAATGCCCAACATTGGTTTTAATCGAGCCTATCCGCAACGGATCATCCGAAGAATGACCAGGCCCAAACACCCGGCCAATGGCACCGGTTTCAATGGGATCACCAGCTTGTGTACCTGTACCATGTGCCTCAACAAAGTCTGTCTCGGACGGATCAAGGCCGGCTCGAGCATACACGCTTCGAATTAATGACTCCTGTGCAGCTCCACTGGGGAGAGTTATACCAGGGGTACGCCCGTCCTGGTTAGATCCAGTCCCCCTGATCACAGCTCTAATAGTGTTTTTGTCGCGTAACGCGCTAGCCAGAGGCTTGAGGATTAAACAACCAACAGCCTCGCCGCGGGCGTATCCATTCGCCCTTTCATCGAAGGCATAACATTTTCCATCGGGCGATAGGAATCTGGAGTTTAATCAGTGTTGTCCTTACGTTGTCAATACGGTGCTTATCTTACTTCATCATACTCATAGTGGACATGAACTCATGACTCAATATCAAATTGACACCCGCCGCAATGGCTGCACAGGCATCCCCTGTTTGCAAGCTCTGGCATGCCAGATGGAGTGCTACCAGACTTCCCGAGCAGGCCGTGTCTACGGTGACACTTGGTCCTTTCAAGTCGAAGAAATAGGATAGTCTGTTGGCAGTCATTGCCCTAGACTGTCCGGCATTTGTGCACTGATACATCGGTACACATTCGGGATCTCTCAGGAGGAGGTCTGTGTAATCTGCTGAAAAAGACCCGACGAAGCAGGATGTTTTTGTGCCCATTATTTGGGTAAGGGGTATTCCAGCTGCGTATCATTAGAACCCAGATATGGTGCATTGATCGCAAAGGGCTTTTTTACCATTTTCCAAGCCCTCGTATGTCGCTTCTAGCAGGAGTCTCTGCTGGGGATCCATCACCTGGTATTAATTGGTGGTTAGCGCAATTCTCACATCTTCACAGAGATACTCACCGACGCTTCGTCACTCGTCATATTGAAGAACGGCGCATCAAAAACGGAGATGTCTTCTTCCAGAAAATGACCTCCCTCCACGTTGATCTACTAACGGTTATTTTCGGTCCTTGTTACGGATTTTGAGGACCTACCGTCCCATGTCTAGAATGATCCGGATGGTAGAACGCAGTGTTGTTCCATCTTTTCGCTGGGATTGGGCTCCATGCTTCTCTGCCAGTCCGTATCATCTCCTCCAGCTTCTCGACATTTTGAGCATCTCCTGGTCCACGGAATCCGATTCCCACGATGGCTATCGGCATACAAGAGTCTGCGTCCAATACTCTCATATCACCCTCCTCTCCATTGTCTTTTGCGGTTTGGTTGGACATTTTTGGCTTTCTGGTTACTAAAAGATTGACGGTGACAATATACCTCGTATGAGAAGAACAGAAAAGCTTGTTGTTATCGCTTTTGCTGTTCCGTATGCCATGGGGACTACAAATTAAGCTTACTTTCAGCCCTAACATACGACTTTTGGATCTGCAACACTACACCTCGGGGTGAGAAGGTTTTTCTCACTCGCACCAACTTAGTAGCCGGGTGCAACCCTCGACGGCAAAATAAACTCCAAAGGCCGTAGTGTCTCTCTCTGAAACAAAGTTCGTGCATTTGGGAAGTTATCATGAACGAATCGTCAGGATCGTTTCCGTTCCACAACCGCAAAGATACTACACTCTCATCCACGAGGCCCCCGAGTAATTTTCTAACACCGTCGCATACCCGAGAAGACTCATGCTTTAATCCTGTTTCACCAGATCAAGGTCTGACTACACAGTTTCCGAATAGCAGTAGCCATAATAGCAACATTCTTTTGATCACTGGGAACATCATGACCACTCCCATGAACAGCAAAAGTAGAAGAACTTGCATTACAAATCCGATGTAGCGCCAAGGAATACTCAAAAAGCGGATCTTTAGCACCGGCAATATGCACACAGGGAACAGAAATGAAACCCTGCAAACCATCATCAATAACAGGCCGCTGACCAGGACCAGGATCCATTCGAAACGGCGGCAGCGAATTGATGAAGATAGCACAGCGAAATAAAGGCTGCTCGTCCGGATACATCTTGGCATGGTGGATCATGAAGCCCGCAGCCAATGTGCCGCCATGCGAGAAGCCCAGAATGCCGTCGAAGGGGCCTTCCAAGGCGACTGTTTCATTCAGCAGCTCGTACGCCGCCAGGATGTCGGATTCGTCGCTGTCTTCGAGGGAGAACGTGCGCGGAAAGCGGTAGTAGCTGTAGTACGGGCCTTCATAGTAGCCGGCGATTCCCGGGCCAGGATCTGAGTCGATGTCACCCTCTAGGAAGGAGAATGTTGCCGTGTTGTCTTTTTGGAGCTCTTTTATGAGGCCACCTGGTCCTTTTGAGCTATTTGTGTTTCACGAGGATGGGTGTTTTGGCATACTCAATTGCGACTGTAGAATCTGTTGGGGGTTAGTGGGTTGATTTTCTCTGTTGTACTGGCGGCGGCTTGCCTTTTGATTCGTTCCCCAGCCATGAAGACACAGTAATCGTAGGGGCATGGTTCGGGGTGGTGCTAGGCAAAGGCAGAGAAAGAGGCCGGAAGAGAATTCGCCGTCAGGATTGAGGCGGAATTGACTGCGATTGTCATTTTGACTGGGTTGTCTGTTGATGGCATTTTATATTGCTCTTCAATTGAATCCTCTACACTCAGGAAATGAGGGGTTCAATGCTAATTTCAGGAATGCATAGACCCTTGAAACCCGCCGACTATGTATATTCGGCCTGAACTAGGTGAATCGTCGCACAGACGCGTCGATCATGTCACTTTCCACTTCCACTTTACCTCACTTCAATCATTCAGCATTCGACTTCAGCTTCATATTCAATATGTGGCCGATTGTTATTTCTGCCAAGGGAACAAGTGGCTGATGGCGGTGCCAAGGCAAGGTCGATGACGTAGTGACAATAGAAATCGCCAGATCACTCAGAATTCCCCTAACTTGCCAATATTGACAATCATCAAGCATCACATCCTAGCACAATGCCTTGGTCTATCGCTCTTCCACAGGCGATCTTCGCCTCACCCCTGTTGGCGGTCGCAACCCCAATCACCGCAGGGACAGCAGTAGCCCTCTTGACCAATCGTACGACAACCAATGACAATGACAAGACCCTTTGACTGACGTCTTAACAGGGAAACAAAACCGCGAAACCTACAACAAGCTCAAGCAACCACCCTACAGCCCACCAGGCTGGCTCTTCGCGCCGGCCTGGACAATCCTGTATGGATTAATGGGGTACGCCTCGCACCACGCCACGACAACCGCGTCGCAATCATTCTCGCTCGCGGTGCGCGATACCAATTCCACCGCACAGACACTCTACACCACGCAGCTGGCCCTGAACTTCCTCTGGATGCCGCTCTTCTTCCGATTGGGGCGGCCTGCTGTGGCTCTGGGTGATCTGGCCCTGTTAGCGGGTAACGTGGGTGCGCTGATAGTAAATTGGTGGTCGGCCGATCGCACGGCGTTCTGGTGCTTGGTCCCCTACGCTGCTTGGCTTGGTTATGCTGCATATCTTAATATAGGTGTTGGCATACTGAATGGCTGGACTTTGCCTAAGAAAGAGCGGTCGGAGTAGATAGACCGGAGTAGATAGACCTTGAACTTAGACTTTGAAACTTAGTTTAGAGATCGTCATTTTGTTTCTGTTATGCAGGGAGCTCGGGGGTGTGAATGTATCATGTGGCCGAAACAGCTTTTACGCGTTCTAGCTCCCCTTCTAGCCTGTGAAGGTTCGGAATTGCTCCACTCGGTGGCGCTGTGAGCTCTCGGCGAATGTTCTCGCCTTGGTGGGTCTGCTTCTATGTATAAGTCTGAGGCAGAAATATGAAATCCAATATCACATCATCTCACATCATAAGTGGGTATGTCAATCCTAGGGATTTGCCTGGGATTTGCCTGGATCTTTCTAGGATTTCACAATTGCAACTCCACCATAGCTCAGGAGGTGGCTGTCAGAACGGAGTAGACGTGGGCCGGGATCGACAACTTGGGCAGCCCGCTGCCTAAGGGGTGTGCATTGTGCAAGATAAGGCAAGATGATGAAAAGAGAGAGAAACAAGGCAGGTAAACTTTAGCGCTGAATGATTCTTTTTTTTTATTATCCTGGTACTCCTGCTTATCCAGGGAACTACGAACCAGCGCGGATAGCCCGGCGACAACAGGATCGCCACCATGACCCACCTCTCCTAGCTGATGTACAGATGGTACGTAGTCGAGTCTAGATTTATTCTCCGTATCAGAGAAGGGGTGACACAGCGTTTAGGGACAGCTCATCGGCTAGGAAGAAGCTATTAAGTTGTATATAGTGGGTTTATAGTGTGGGCAATTAGGGTTTGCAAAGTTACAGTAGCGAGAGAAAAAGAACAAATAGAAAGGCAGAATGGTGTCATGCATTTCCCTTATCATTGACATCTTGTTCGATCGGTGATCAAAGCTCAGTCGATCTACATCTAGACTTAAAAGGAGGCATTTAGTTCAGTTAGTTCCTAGGAAATTAGTTCCTCGGCAGTTAGTGTAGTAAATTTCTTATACTTCTATCGCCGCTTCGAGATCGCTGGTTCCGTGGTTCATTTGTTTTTACTTTGGCTCTAGACCGGATTTTGTTCTCTCTGCTATTTTCTTATTTTCTCTCTCTTTCTCTTCTTGTCTTCACCTTCTATCACTTTTATCACTTTTATCCTTTGGCCATTCGTTAGTGCCTTGCATAGAGGCTTGCAGCCCACCTTCATGTCGGGCATCACCAACCCGCACCCGAGTCCGAATGAAGAATATGCCGAATATCCCCTCCCAGTTATTGAACTCCCCAATCCTGGGGACCGCCACAGCCTCGCACGAGAGACTACCGCCGACGCCCAGCAATATGATGCAGCGCTCGAGCCCGACAGTCGAATCCGATCGCCTCGGGTGCGCTTTCGCTCAATGAGCCTGAGGCGAAATGAATCGCGCGGTGCTATCGATGCTTCTGACCTGTCGCGCCCGTTGTTGCCGCCCGCAGACCTCAACGAAGTGCCGCTGTCCGGAACCATCACCCCGCCCGCCCCCACACATTCCAGGAACGGCTCTGGCCTCGCCAACGTGCGCACGCCAGATGAGGCCCAGTCTGAGAAACATGACTTTGCGACCGATATGGATCGCACGAGTTCCGCCAAGAACCGGTTCAAAGCTGCTGGTCAGCTTCTCCGTCAGAAAACCGTGCGTTTGACCGAACGCCTCGGTCGGCCTCCGGATGAGGGCGAGGCGCTTAACGCGTCATACATTCCTGACGATTTCGATACCGGCATCCCGCTCGAGGAACTCCAAGCCCGCCGCGCTCGGCATGATGCGGACAGAGCACGCGCGTTGGAGAACGGCGAGGAGCTGCATGAGCCGCCCGCCAGTGCGGAGGCTCATCGGCTGGTCCGCAGCATGACCATGGTCCAGGATCAACTGCGCAAACGCAAGGCTCGTGGCGCGTACCAGCGGTCGGGTCAGACCACTCCTGAAGGGTTGATCAGAGATTTTGCCCAGCGCCGTCGGTCCAGTGGATTCGGCGGTGGTAGCGGCATTCTCTCGCAGCTGCTGAAGCTCCAAGCTACAACGACCGGCAGCTACTCTCGCCCTGAGAGTGTGATTACCGATGACTCCGATAGCGATACTCAGGTGTCCTCTGGCACGACCACGCCGAAGAAGGGCTCCCGCTCTCCAACTATCACTCCGTCTATGCCCACATCAGGCTCCGCTACACCGCGCAAGGAGAAGCTGAAGTGGTACAAGAAACCCGCGCATCGTTCCACCTCTTCGCTAGTCAACGCCTCGATGAACTTGAGCACTGCCAGCTTGCCCGCTGTCGCTGATGTCACGCCCGGCGGGAAACGCAGAAAGTCTAAGCGCAAGACTCGTCTGGAAGACGAAATCCGTGTCACGGTACATATTGCAGAGATTATTGCGCGACAACGCTATATCATGCAACTGTGCCGTGCGCTCATGCGATACGGCGCGCCGACTCATCGTCTCGAAGAGTACATGCAGATGACCGCCCGCGTCCTGGAGGTATCAGGCCAGTTTCTGTATCTCCCCGGGTGTATGATCATGTCCTTTGACGACCCAACCACACGCACAGCCGAGGTCAAACTCGTGCGTATGGTACAGGGTGTTGATCTCGGACGACTGGCCGATACTCACAATGTTTACAAGAACGTTGTTCACGATCTGATTGGCGTCGAAGAGGCCACCCATGAACTGGATGAGATCATGCAGCGCAAGCCCCGGTTTAACAAGTGGATCTTAGTTCTGATGTACGGCCTGGCCAGTTCCACTGTTGGGCCGTTCGCTTTCAGTGCGCGGCCGATTGACATGCCTATCATTTTCTGTCTGGGGTGTTTGGTCGGGCTGATGCAGCACGTCCTGGCACCGAAATCTACATTGTATTCCAACGTCTTCGAGGTCACTGCTGCGGTGCTCACCTCATTCCTGGCGCGTGCGTTCGGCAGCATAAAGGTTACGCGAAATGGGCAATCCGAGGAGCTTTTCTGTTTCTCGGCTATGGCTCAGTCGTCGATCGCTTTGATCTTGCCTGGTTTCATGGTTTTGTGTAGCAGTCTGGAACTGCAATCTCACCAGATGATCGCTGGATCGATCCGCATGGTGTATGCCATTATCTACTCTCTTTTCTTGGGTTACGGTATTACTGTCGGAACCACAATATACGGGTTGATGGATGGAAATGCAACCTCCTCGTCAACATGTTCTGGCCTCGATGTCTACGGGTCTACATATCTACGCCAATTCCCATTCGTGGCCATCTACGCTGTCTTCCTCGCCATTGTGAATCACGGCAAGTGGAAGCAGATGCCAGTCATGGTCTTTATTGCTGTCTCCGGATATATCGCCAACTACTTCAGCACCACCAAGCTCGGCTCCCAGTCAGAGGTCGCCAACACAGTTGGTGCATTCACAATTGGTGTCCTGGGCAACCTGTACAGTCGAGTCTGGCACGGCCACGCTGCTACTGCCATTCTCCCTGGCATATTCGTGCTAGTGCCCTCTGGTCTCGCATCTAGTGGATCCTTAATCGCGGGTATCAAATACGCCGACGAGGTCCGACAGAATCTTCAAAACAATGGCACGAGCTCATCCGCCAGTGTTCTTTCTGAAACATCAGTGGCCAGTCTTGGATTTGGCATGATCCAAGTCGCCATCGGCATTACAGTCGGACTCTTCATCGCCGCCTTGGTCGTCTATCCGTATGGCAAGAAGCGCACCGGCTTGTTCAGCTTCTAATCATCTGTTTGCATTTCGGACATACTTCTGTTGTACATCTTTGATTTCTACTTTTATTATTTTTTATTACATCTCTGGTTTTCAGCGTTTTTCAGCGGTTGGGATTTACTTCGGTGCATTGCAAAAATTTAGAGGGGGAGTCATTGAGCGATTTAGACTTATACGATCTACATACTGGCGTCTACACAATGTCACATACACATACACATCATATTTACATTCACATTCGCATTTACTCCGACGCCACTATCTCTCCATCTTCAACTGTAAGCCGCCACAAACCCGCCTCTCCCGCCTCCTGCCTCCCGCCTCCTGTCGGAACTTGCCGACCATGACACATCGGCACAGAAATCGCCAGTACGCAAAAGAATCCAATAAAAAGGTTAAGAAACTCACCTAAACAATCACATACTATCATCCACCACCACCAACCCAAAAAGATATGCGCCGCCCCCTCCAGAAAGACACAATAACCAAAAACACAATAACCTCCACCCGAGGCGGCGTTGTCGAAAACAGCCACAGCGTCCACGCAGCAATAACAAATACAAAAGGCGACCTCCTCTACTATGTCGGCGATCCCCATCGCCTAACCCTAGCCCGCTCAGCAGCAAAACCAGCACAGGCACTCGCAATCGTCGAAACAGGCGCAGTCGACAAATTCAAGCTCGACGAAGGCGATCTAGCGTTCATGTGTGCATCGAATAACAGCGAAGAACGACATATCGCTCGTGCGCGCTCTATGCTTCACAAGATCGGTGCCGGAGAACTGGATCTTCGATGTGGGGGTCATATCCCTCTTTCTGATTCTGTCCATCGAGATTGGATCAAGAGGGATTTTGTGCCGGGGCCAGTTTGTAGTAATTGTTCTGGCAAGCATGTTGGTATGATTGCCGGTGCGAAGGTTTTGGCTGGTGATGATGGGGATGGGGATGGAGTGGAGGGGTATCATCTCCCGACACATCCTATCCAGCTCCATGTTCGTCGTGTTGTTGATGAAGTCTGTGGTCTTGGGCTTGGTGATGGCCCTGGTGATGATACTCGCGATGAATCAGTCTGGGGCCTTGACGGCTGTAATCTCCCTGCCCCAGCCTTCGAACTCCACTATCTAGCACGTATGAACGCTACATTCGCCGCTGCAGCTGATATCATGGCTACCAACCCTTCTACCTTCATGGGTACGAGAACAGAAGCCATGAGTCGGGTTTTCAATGCTATGTGGCGCCATCCCGGCCTTGTCGGTGGTGAAAGTCGTTTTTGTACATTGCTCATGGAGGCGTATGGGGGTTTGCTCATTGGGAAGCTTGGCGCGGATGGGTGTTATGGGATCGGAGTGAGGGAGTGTGCGGCGACGAGGAAGCTGGGGGTTGAGGGGCCGCTGGGGATTTCGGTTAAGATTGAGGATGGGAACGTTAGCGTTCTTTACTGTGCTGTTGTGGAGGTCTTGGCGCAGTTGGGTATTGGTATTGGGGCAGATGGGGATGGAGATGGGGTTCCGGGGATTTTGGAGAGGTTTCATTATCAGAGGATCTTTAATACTGTTGGTGTTGAGACTGGGGTTTTAGCGCCTTGTTTTCAGGTGAGGGCGGTTTGAGTCCGAGGGTTTATAGACTTGACTTCATATGTAACGGAGCTTATTTAAGTTAAGAGTTAGTCTATTGAGCGGTAATTAGACGCTGCCTCTGTATTGATATATGCGTATATATGTAACTGATGAATTTCACCATGCGCCTTTGTTAAGTCAGGCTCTAGAGCGGTCTACGCCATTAGCAGTCACTCTCTACGACTCCTGCCGATCAGGGGAGTGGCTGGTTGTATGCTCTTTGTTGATATCAACCCATCTCCTGTGTCAGACTGCCATCGTGCCATCCCCATTTCAATATGTATAAGTAGTACCAATTAGGAAGGACTTGGCGTATTTATGTATATCTATGCAAAAAATGAGATATATTTTCAATCAATGGGGTTTGGCGAAGACTAGTCATAGCCTAGTATGATGGGACCTCATGCGGCATAGTCTTCTCTAGATTGTCAAGCTACTCGCAAGAAACTGGAAGGGAGCCTCTGAAGTACAGTACAGTAGCTAGGTCGACCACTGACCCTTGTTCTCCTCGATCCAGGCTTTGAAGTCCTTCATCCCAGGGTAGAGCTGGCGGCATGCAGCCACATCACCTCCATACCCTTCACTCTCAAACCAACGGAACATATCGCCCACCGTACCCTTCAAAAGGAACTTGACTGTTGAAGCCACGGGGCAAGGAGCCAAGGGCATAGAGAATCCCACGGCAGCCTTAAACATGGTCTCGGCCTCTGTTTGGGTTAGCTCATCGCCCACCAATGTCAAAGCAACATTGCGGTATTCGTGGGGACGCATGAAGCTGTAGGCCGCAACCCGACCAATATCCCGAGTCGACACGAACTGCAGCTTCTTGTCCCCCATTTGCTCCCACATGCGGGCGAATCCCTTCCCATGGATATCGGTAGTGAGATTCTCAAAGAACGTCACCGGCCGTAGGATCGTGTAAGTCATCTTTTGTGGGCTGGCCGTGGCCCTCTCCACCAAGTGATTCTCAATGCGGTACTTGGCAGCAAAGTTTTTAACTTTGGTAGGATTGATGGGAGACTTCTCGGGGCCACCACGGTCACCTGATGAATAGACGAAGTGGCGCACGCCATGAGCAACTGCCGCGTCGACGATGGCCATGCCTTGCTGCTCCTCTGCGTCCGAGTTAACCTGCACGCTGTACACACCCCACACAGGGCTGACTTTTTGGAAAATGGCCTCGGGCTGGGCCATGTCTCCATCCACGACGGACACGTTGAAATTCGCTCCAAGCTTCAGCGCCCGTGTGCTGGCGACGTCTCGCGTTACCGCGATGATGTTGAACCCGGCCGTGTCAGGGCTTGAGAGGAGGCTCTGGATGAGAGCGCCGCCTTGCTTGCCGGTGGCGCCAGTGACTAGAACAGTCTTGCGCGGGGCAGACATCCTCAAATTTCAAAGATAAACAACGAAGAGTGTTATGAGTTTTGCTGTCTCGGGAGGTCGCAGAAGTACTGCAACTGAAGGGATTGAGGAAAGCGTAATACAGTATGGGACATAAATTGGCTGAACTTATCGGCTCAGGGAATTAATTTACTTTTTCCTGAAAACGTGGGGGACGGCTCGATTGAAGGCTTTAACCGCTATAATGTATTGATGCGGCTATTGCGTTAGATCAAGACTTATTTAGACGATAATAACTTAGTGCTTATGCCACGTCGGTCCAAACAGTCTAAAAATACTCTCCTAGAATGAGTAGGGGGCTATTAGCTTTAGCGCTTCACCATTCTTGGCCCGCGGACTCAGACCCACCCTAAAGCCAGCCATACCATCTAAGCCACACGCTACATTCGAGCACATTTCCCCCGTTTCTCAATGTACCGAGACTCCAGAACAGTAAGTAAGAATTATGGTTTGGTTAGTAAAGCTGCAGGCTTTTTCGGAAGTCTTCATCAACATCGCCGATGTGCCCCAGTGTCAGCACATCGCTTCGAACCAAGGGGCTTCGCGAGAAACGTATGGAAAACTAGTGAGACTTCGCACCACTGCACGTCGCGAAAAACTATTGCTGTTGTGTATCGAGCAGTAGATGTGTTGGCTTTCAAAGATATGCTTTTTCTTGAATACTTGGGGACCTGACCCTCGACGCCCCGAGGCTTGATCAAACTCCGATATAAGGGGTGAGCAGAGAACCGCGAAACGCTTAACGATACTGTTTCCTTCTGCCATCCATCCTGGATACTGGAATTAATAAGAACTAAGAAAGAAAGATTGGTGGTCATTTAATAGTAGTTTTCGAATCCAGCTCAGTGGGAAACCTCAGACCTGCGGGGATCTTAGATTCTTATATTTAAGCATCTTAGAAGACTTTGTCCATGCGGTTTCCGATTACATTACTTTGTTCTGCTATAGGGAGATTCATCTAGTTACGTGCGCGGCAAAATAATACAAATGGCTTAGTTGGAATTCCTTTCATATTACTTTTGTTCCGCAAAAAGATCAAAGTTGCGGATGCTTCAAATATCCCTGTTTTGCGTAAATATCCGACTGATGCAGAGGTATTGTGCTTTCTGAGGAGCAGCTCGACTGTCTCCTCAATGGTCGACTAGCCCAAAGAGCCTGAATCGAAACCCTTGACTTTCGATAGATCCCCAGCAGGTTGACATTTTATCATTATCAGCTGGTTGTTACATTGAGTAACCGACTCAGTATAAGATTATATAGCTGAGGTGGAAATATGGGTGCTACAGTGCGGAGTAAAGTGTGGCGTGATCGCAATCCCCATTCCCGAATAAGAAACTTCTCCAATTATTTATTGCCTCTGCATTTGCATAACAGCACGGGGAAACCCACTTGTAGGACAAAACCCATACCAAGGCATGAGAAGAAGACAGTAGAAAATAAACAACAATCCTTCCACATATCTTGTCAATCTAACTTGTGTTCCCATATCTTTTGTCGTCACCAACCTCCTAGCAAGCAAGCATGTGTTGTAGATTATTGCTCAGTCGAAATCAAGGTAATAGTAAAGTTGTTTTTACCATCGTCTTCATGCTTAAGCTGCTTCTTCGGCCAGCCTTCCTGATCCAGAACCACAACTTTCTGCTTGTCATTGTCCCATTTGAAATAGATCGACCCGGTGACAACATATACACCCGTCTTCTTATCCCGAACATACAAGGCGGTTGTCACCAGTGTACCATCCCGGGGCACAGTACCGGCAATCGCGTATTTGTCCGACATGTCTGACCATACTGTAACGTCGCCAATGTTGGCGAGTTTCAAAAGAAGGGAATATTGGCCCTTTTCTCCACCGGTAGCATCTTTAAACCGGACGCCAACGACAGAAGTAGTGCCTTTGAGGACTTGATAACACTGCACTGATTTGTCCTCTGGCAGGTTGGACTGGTCGCTGGTCAATTCTTTCGAATCGGTATAGTCTTGGTGATTCCACACAAGTAGCTTCGTTCCATCTCCGAGTTTGCAGGAGCGGTAGCTAGTCCCTAATTTCTGATGCTCGACCTCGACAGGTTTGGCGGTTTTCGCGAAGGTGTCGTAGTTTGCCTTGCTGTAGAAATCAACTGTACTAGCAGCCACCATTTTGTTGAAGTGTTCGGGTTCACTCTGACAGGATTATATTAAGAGATTAGATGATAATATTCTTGACGTTGAACAGAGAAGTAGTAAAAGATGAGGAGGATGAGACTGATAGACAGAGGGACAGCTTAAAATATATAGCCCGTGGATTATTAGCGGACAAGCGCGGAATGGGTACATCAATGTATTCGTACTCTTCTACATCATTTATCTCCAAAAGAGCTGATACCTGTTTTGAATGATACAGTAGTATTTAATCGAAAGTACGAAAGTACATCTTAAAGTCTAGCCTTCTTCTAATGCTACAGAGGCCATCTATTTCCATTGTCAATTTCTGTCACGGCTTGGTTACAGCTTCGGTGGGGAACAGGGCCACCAAGCGGAGAGGCGGACACAAGACACGCAAGAGAGGCAACAGTATGGATTGACCGGATGTCACAATGTAACATAGACCTCAGCGAATTATCCACATCATTCTGCATGCAGCGCTATGAAGAACTCATTTTATCAAGGTGAAATCTCTTGTTCGAGCCCGGGAATAATTATTTTGAGTTTAGCCCAGGTCTTGGCAAGTGCCGCGGGACCGGGCCGCAGCGGCCCGCAGCTCGTTAGGTCTGACGACTAGTAATTTACAGTACACGACCCGCGTGCAGTTGCATCACCTCCGGGGTTGATTATCATTAAGTTAAGCGAGCCAGTCATTGAGACATGTCCAATTATCCAAATGTTTCTCGTTCAATGCCTCTGACAACCATGGATGTCTCTTATGTTAAATCCCTCTTTGTTCGCAATATTTCACAGATCTGAACAGCGAGTCAGTTTTACGTATCATCTATTGAGACAGGTATGCGACATATCAAATCGATAGGACACTGAAAAGAGGATTTTTAGATAGACGAGTCGGGATATATACAATAATTTTGTAAAGATATGCTGACTCTAAAATGAATCCCATTTTGCTGATAGTATAAATATTTCGTTCCGTTCGATGGTATATCAAATCAAGAAAGATAGTTGCCACAAAGCCTCGCGGTGCTGGGTCTCTTCAGTTTAATAGCTTCAGCCCTATACAATACACACTGTACTAATCATCAATTGTCAGTCCGCTGAGCTGCCAAAAGCATCAAATCTGTACTTAGAGTAACTAGTGTCAAATACAATTGAAGGGATTACACAGATCCCTAGATTGTACCTTCATAAGCCGTGGATACGCCGGTCTAAGTGCAATGTTTTCCAGATAGTGCTATCTAGGAGCTAACCTTCCATATCTCTATCCATTCAAGAATCCGCAGAGCTCAAACTGATTTCCGAAGGCAGGTCAGATCTCTTGAGAATTACTGGTTATTGAATCAGCATAAACCCACAATTGAGTATGGTTGGATGGATGTAAACTCCGTAGGACAAAATTCGAAAACCTGTATCCACTTACTAAGGGCTCATCCTTACACTTTCCTGTTTTACAGTGTTACGCAGAGTGACGTATAATCTAACATATTTTGGCATGCCAACTGCTATAAAGTATACAATTTTGCATCGTACACAAAAGGTTATTGCGAAAATATTGGATTAGAGATCAAAATGGTACTTATTTGCCCGCAACTCGTTGACAATGAAATCTTTCTGAGTCCCACAAATTTGCATTCTGCTGGTGGAATGTGTCAGGTCTAGGCTATGGCCATCTATGTAACCGTGGGGTATGAAATTGATCTAGACCACACGTTCAGTAGCGGGGCTGTCCAATCTTAATGTATTACGTATTTATTAATTCGTCATAATAGTCGGTTTTGGTATACGAATGGTTGAAATGTACTTCAAGATATGTCAGTAGTAGGTAGAGCCCACAACATTTGGCATGTAGCCGACGGCCATCTTATGAAGTTAAAAATCCGCTTTAGTCCTGTCATTGAATGTCTTGAACAGCGCCTCGGCGAATGCCATACCCACCCGGACCGGAGAAGCCCTGCCCCCTTCACAGATGTTCCGGAAATATGGTTACAGCACCCTAATGCGTCCTTAAGAGCTTAGCAGCAACGCATGCCAGGTGCGGACGATGGCTTCCAAACTCTGTCACCGTAAGAAATTTATGTTACTTTATTTATTCGCCAGTGTATATTTTGAGCTTTCTGAGTGCCCATCCATTTTATGTGAGCGGGTAGTATTCTCATATTGAGAACCGGGTCAAGGGCTCCCAGGTCCTCAAGTCATCATCACGCTAGATATTATGCGCCATTAACAGTCCCTTGCATCATAGTAATCTAAAGTGGAAACCGGAATTGCTCGACTAGGTGTCCACCCCACAATTCATACACTAGTCAGAAAATGGAAGCAGCACTTCCAAGTAGCTAATGGTAGTTCCAGCTCATATCTAGTTACATAAGGCTTGCTTTATTGGCTCTATTCATCGGAAACGGGTCCTCTCGCAGCCTAATCGAGCTGGAAACACATTGCTCGTATCATCTGCCTTACCGGGTCTCTTTAGTTCTTAGCCTGTTTACTTTACGTTTCTCTATTGAAAAAAATACACTATAATGCGAATACGAGCCATAATTTGGAGTCAATGGAAGAAGGGCTCCCATACCTTAGAGGAAGCTCCAAAGCCATCTTCTTCACGGATTGCGAGGAACTATTACATTGGAAGACTGTAACAGATTCATGCTTCAGCTTTTTTTCTTCGCCCCTTATCGCACTTCCTTTGATTCTTAGAAATGGCGTACTGATGTGGTATCTAGGCAACGATTACTTGGTATTTGCTCAACCCCATCATCCGTTTCCTTTAGCTCACCATATCTGGAGGTGAACAATTTCGGCTTCGGAGTCTGGGAACGGCGTATGCTCGATTTAGAAGCCTTGAGAGGGATAGTGAGCGTGACGTTCAGGTAAGCCTTAGATATAGGCAAACATATTCTATCATGCTACAGGGACGCATTTCAGGCCATGCTTGACAGTGCGCGAGTCCCGTTAGATGATTGTCTTCATGTTACCCAGGACAATATTCGACTCGATCCGCACTTTGTCGGCTTCTATCACTGGGCGTTTCTGACTTATCTGCTGCGTCAGAACCTGTCAAGTCGGCCAAGGGAATGTATACCTACCTTGAGAATGGGCAAAGATACTGGACGTCACCGGCGGGGCTGCTGTCTCGCTATCGGCTACGGTGTGGACCGTGTCAAACAGGCAATTGTTTCGCAGCTTGACCAAGTGGAATACTGCTACCTAGAATTCTTGCCAAATGCCCCAGCGATTCAGCTTGCAGATCTCCTAGTCGAGTCGACGGGAGGGAAGCTGTCTCGGGCCTGCATTCTTGGATCCGGTGACATACTACCTCTCCCTTCTTTGCATTCCTTGCGTGAGGTATGAGCTAGCGAGGAGAGCCATGTAGGTTCTGAAGCTGTGGAAGCTGCAATGAAGCTTTGTCAACAATACTTTGCGAACAAACGGCCAGACTCATGCCGGACTATTTCATTTCTAGAAATGGTTCCTGGCATGGTTGCACCTTGAGGAATCTGGGCTTTGGTAGATTTCAAACTGAGGAAGACTCCATTTGAATCAATTTTACCTACTAATGTCTACTACGTCTTAGTGTGAGACCCGTACCACGGCATTAGGGATAAAGAAGACCTAGAAGCATATGTGGCTCGACTTAAGCAAGAGCGGGACGATGAATTTCCACCGGCTCGGCCCGAAAACCTTCGTGCATTTTTCATACATGCCTGGTATGAGGAAGGCGTACCTGATATCCAGCTTGTTGGCAATTGTTTTGCCGCAGGATATAGGACTATTTCCAGTCTACTCGTTAACGATCGTGTGGTAACTAACCAGGTGTGGGCGCTGATCAAACGTGCAACAGTCACACAGACTTGGAAATAATGGGAGTGGTATCGCAGTGCTTGAGATAACTCTCTTCCAACCGTTGCTGAAGGTCTTTGGCCAAGGATCGGGGAGTGATAGCCCTTCGGCTGGTTGACCGGGTCGGCGCATGCTGGATGTAAGTAGCCTGGTTTCCACACAATGCGCATGATCTCGCAGCGAATCAGACAGAGCGTCATCTCAGTGGCTTCTTCACGCTCGGTGGGCGGCACAGTCATGTCAGCCGTAAGACCACTGTCGTTGATGTTTAGAGACAACCAAGTATCGAGCATGGACACGTGCATGATGTGCTCACACCCGTGATATTGGGAGGATCGGATATCCAGCACACAGATATGCCACCAAAGACGCCGCCGCATCTTGGCCTTCAGTGGCAGGAGGCCAAATGCGTCGCCATCCCTGTGCAATTGAGTAAGTTCAAGTGCAGGGTATCTCCTCTTGTTACTTTCGTGCAATATTGTCATCACCCCAATCTCTAATAGCCTCAGTGCATCGTGAAACTTCCGAGCCCGACTGACTATATCTTCTATATTACAGGTAAAACATATGTCTATCTTTTCTATACTTATATATAAACCATGCACAGCACAAAGGCTTAAGAACTGCACGAAAACACTCCCCCAACGGTACCCTCGTCATATGACTTAATCTATCATGGGTAAGTATTTGCGCAACTAGAACAACAATATCGGAGTGTTTTGGTCAAACTTACAATATCGACAATGCTCGAGTATGTTCCAGCACCTAGAACAATCAGGCCAATGAGCAGGATGCAGACGTTGATCACGCTGAACAATATGGTCTTGCTGATGGAGGAGTCGTCACTGCGAATGAACATGAACCACATGATAGCCGGGAAATAGAATGTGAAACCGGATATAAAGAGCGACGAGATAAGGGACAGGAGATCATTGAAGAATGGAATGACCTCTGCAACGACAAATTCAAGGATTGTAAGAGTTGTGATGACAGCGAGCCAGGTAATCCACCCCATCTTAGTGTTGACGAAGCGAATATTGGAGTTCTTGAACATTCGGCCGTGGACTAGCCGACCCAACACTACAGTGTTGATAGAACCGCTAATGAAGATGACCGGGAGGGCGATTCCAAACGCAATTCGGCTGAGTAGGCTCCCGGCAGACAGCAGGGCGGGGCTCTGCACGTCCTGGCCGACAAAGGCATACACTAATGCGCCAGTCACAGTGTATATAAAGATCTCAGTCAGACCAAGGGCCCAGACAGACTTCGGAAAGTCAGTAGGGGTATGCATTTCATCCATGAAAGAGAATTGGCACAGGGCGAAACTGTAGGCGAAAATAATGTTGGAGAGGGCGATGAATGCTTCTGAGAAGGTAATGCCTTCCTTTGGCCAAGCTGACCAATTGACAGCTGTGAGGCCAGGAGAATGAGCGGCCTCCACCCCAGTTCCTATAATGGTGATCCCGATAGCGATGATAATGGAGGCAAAATCGATGTATCCGAGAATAGCCATATCAGAGAAACTCGGTGGCACGGCAAATAGCAGCAAAATGATGGCAGACACGAAGCCGAAAATCACAGTACAAATGTTGCTCCCTGTGATATTCACAAATGCGATTGATCCTGTTAGACAGTGTGATCCAGCAGACAATAACAGCTCCAAGCATAGCATTATGTATATAATTTCATATCCCCATCGGCCGAACATTTGCCTGCCTGCCTCGGGGTAGTCCGTGATGTGCGGGAACTTGACTTTGACCTGGCCGATGATGTAGCTAGTGTAGACGGCGACGAGACCAAGACCCACGCAGCAGATAACACCCGCCACCATGCCAAGAGTCGCGAACGTAGAAGGGATCGAGAGAGATCCTAGTGCGACGGCCTCCACGATCAGGACGATTGTGAGGCGCTTCCATCCTAGTTTATTGAATTTTTGGACACCACTTTCATAGATCTGCTGCTCCTGGTCACTCAATTTGGCCAGACCATCGTCGCCCAGGAACATCTGATTTGCATTTTTCTTGATCGTTGACATTGAATCTTGGTTAGTGGGTGTCGAACAGCCAAGTTGTATAAAGTAATTAGGGAGCGGCGAAGAAGTGTGCGCAAAAAGAGGAGCGTTGCCAAAGATTGCAGAAAACTGAATAAGAACACGGACACGGCCCGAAGATAATCAAGTTTTTAGAAAATATGGGGCTCGGCAAGAACAACTGTTCCGAATCTCGGTGTGCCGAATGTTCCCTTATAGTACACAAAGACGTCCAGAAATACCCAGCGCCTTCCAATAACATTTACCCGGTTGAGATTTTCCGCTGCAAATTTTGCCCCACTGCCATCATGCAATCTGTACTTAGGACTAATGCATATAAGTTCATGAACGAGTGTCTATGTTCCCTCTTGTAGATTTCGTGAAGTACATGGCTGTTTGGCCGTTTGAACATTCTATCTGATATTCATACCTTTATAAAACTATTAACTCCGTCATATGCTAACCGCCGCATTAGAAGTTCATTTAATCAACATCAAAACACACAGAGATTGCTCTACTGGCGAACCAGGACACCGCGGTATCTCATCTTGCCGTCGCGGAGAGTCTGCATGGCATCCTCGACACCATCCTTGGTCATGGGGAAGGTCATGGTGGTGGGCTTGATCTTGTGGTCAGCGGCAAACTGAACCAGAGAGCGGAGGCTGTTGCGAGAAGCAACCAGGGAACCCTGGATGCGAACACCCTTGATGTTCAAGAACAGCATAGGGACAGGCGAGTGAGTGAAGTCGACAGTGAGAGGGTAGATAGATCCATGGATGTCCATGAGAGGAATGAGACTGTGTGAATGTTAGCTTCGACTCTTTGTTGTGTCATTTCGCTGAAACATACGAAGGATAGTCAACGCAAGCACTTCCGCAGAGCAGGAGGTGGTTGACAGGCTTGAAATCAGGCATGTCCTGACCAGCACGGAAGACGTGGTACTCGGAGGCTCCGAAGCCAAAGGCTTCTTCGCGCTTAGCCTCTGAGGAGGAGAGCACGACAACCTGGCATCCCATTGCGGATGCCAGCTTGATAGCCAGATGTCCGAGACCGCCAATACCCATAACAGCGACACGGTCAGTGGGCTTGATGCCGTACTCAGTTAGGACAGTCCAGACAGTCGCACCAGCACACATCAAAGGCGCAGCATCGGCGTTGTCATATCCATCGGGGATAGGCACAACGCAGCCTGCATCCCAGACGACACCCTCGCCGAAAGAGCCAAGATCATGGTCGTGTGTGCCGTACTCCTTCTTATTCTCGCAGTATTGGTCCCAGCCTGGTATATTGATTAGCTGTGCGCTTTTAAATCCGTTGAATGAGAATTCATACCGGTCAAACACTTTTGACAGGTGCCACACACGTAGTGGGTGTATCCAAATCCAACTCGAGCTCCAACCTTGACGTTTGTGACGCCGGGGCCGATCTGGCGGACAACACCAACACCCTCGTGGCCTAGTACCTGGCCGGAGGTGAGGAAGTGCTCATCCGTGCCGCAGAGACCGGAGTGTGTGGTTTCAATGTAGACTTCGTTGTGCTGCAAGGTGCGTGTGGTCTTGTCGGCCACGATCTTGCCCTCTTTGGAGCCGCGGAAGACCTCGAATGTGACGCTCATTGTGGTATATGATAACACTTAATGTGGATTTTTGAAGATTTTAATGTATGAGAGATAAGTTGAAATAAATATAGACTAGAAAATGCAACGGCAAAGCTCCCTTTTCAATCCACCACCTACTGGCAGCTTGGACATTTTTTCACGATTTATCATCATGTTCCTGGGCCGTCTTTCCGTCAAGGTCAGAAACAGGATGGCCAATGGAAAGGTTTGTAAGGCTTTGGGGGTGGATCAAATCATCAAAAAACCCATTAAAGTTGTTCTAGAGAATTCTGCAGCACGACGGGAGGATCGGCCCAAGATCATCATCGAGCTTGATCCATTCCAAAGCCGATAGTTCCGGGCATTTTTATGTCGAACTAACCGCAGAGGGAATACCTCCGTTGAATAAGTATCCACCGAACCGAGCGGTAAGGAGCTCACGGTACAATTGATCCTCCGAGTCAATGCTTGTCGGCGACTTTCTGGTCGGGGCTACCTCGGTTTAAACGGGCTCTCGATTTGAAATGTGGGCTTGTTTGTTTCATATGTCCTCAATATTTCTACAGTACAATACTGTAGCATCATGCAACTGATAGTGATCTGTGGTTGATTTTCTTTTTTTTTTTTTTTTTTTTTTTTTTTTTGTCGGTGGCGGTCTTAGTAACGCACTCTTTTGATGGCGACCGTTGCGCTAAACTCTATTTCTCAACTTCACGGCACATCTTTAAGACATTCATTTAGAAATCTCTGATTAATGTATGATAGTGGTCAATGGTTGTGGATATAGAACTTCGTGTTGCTCGATAATTGTCAATCGTCAATTACATCACAGCCTACTCCATCGAAGGCCACGGTTTGCTACAGAAATTGATTTGGTCGGGATAACGAATATCTAAAATATAGTAGATGAATACTTAAGGGAGAGAGACAGTGAGCTCGGTGATAAGAGACATTATGTATATCAAAGAACGTGCTAGACATCCAGGAAACAATGGTCGGATTTGAGCTCCATGCGCCCGGGTTTTCACGGAGGATTGACCTTACTTACTCTTCGTCCTTCGAACTCACAATGTTCCACGGGTAATGTAGGAGAACGTACATGTAAAGGCAATCTCTCCACAACAGGTGGTATGATATATGGGAAATAAGATCCACACTCAATCTAATTTAGTCGCTTTCAAAAAAGCGGGTTTCTGTGCCTAGGGCCAACTAGTGACCGGTGCCATTCTTTTCCTTGTTTACTTTCACCCTTTTGGGGCATAGTACAGCAGGGGCTTGTTTCTCCTACGATACTTGTTTGACTAGTGCAATTTTCTGTTTAGAGATTGCCGATGTATGCTCAGCCGGCTATTTCGACTGTCAGAACTAAATCTACAAATTCAAATAGGTCCATCAAACTCAGCCCTACGCAGAATTATTAAACAAGGATGATTATACTATGTGAAAGGCTCGCCCTATTGTTCTGCTTTTCTTAGGCAATTTTACTCGAATTATATTCTTCGAGGTGCCATTTTATGTCTTTACTAGAGTTTTCATTGGATATGTGACGATCTCTTGCCAATCCAATCATGGCTTAGTGACGCTATGCTGCAACATTGCCGTTACCCTGATCCAAATGTTTTCTGCGGTATGCACCAGTACCCCCCGGCCCGTACTTATGAGCCAAATACAACTCCAAGGGGCCATGCTTGTTTCATATCTTATTTATATTAGCGTACGCTATTTGGAAATTCCTTCCGACCCAGCTAGTCTCCATTCACTTTTGTAAGTCTCTTACCGCCAAGTCTGAAAATGTTTTCCACCGCATAATGACTAATAAAGGTGTTTGACGCAATGGCCTAGATAGTTTAATTTATTGGCATAAGATAACAGGAACAGAACAAAACAGAAGTAATTTTTTAAAACTAGATACCAATATTTTTTGCAAAATGCCGTGTTGGTGAGTGAGCATACTAACAAGATTATGCATTGCAAAAATATATATCTGCCTCGGTAGCAAACCACCACTACCAACCTGTGGTTTTTTTAAGAAAACTCACAGACGACACTTGATTTGCGCCTGCAAATAACCAGGGGCAAAAAAAAAAAAAAAAAAAAAACGAAAGAGACAGAAGAAACCAAAACAACACTAAATAAGGCGTGAAAGATATTAGTCTAGAAGACAAAAACACGAAAAAAATGGTTTCCCTGGGAATCGAACCCAGAACCTTTCCGGAACACTTGCTTGAAGCAATTGTTAACGGAAAATCATAACCGCTAGACCAGGAAACCAGTTGATGTAAGATGTCGTCATCTATGGCATTATAAGCCAGGAAAAAAATACTGCAAAACTAAGTAAGCTATCCTTGGATCCGGCATACAACCCCAAACCATATTTTCTCAGTCGCTATCGCCATGGCCTCGAAAGTTGTTTGCACGAGTGAGTTTATCGAATTTTATTGAGATGCTAAGTAAGACAAATAATATCGCTATTGAGACGTTCCAGCCCAGCCCAACTGGCTGACACGATTTGCTGCATGTTCGTAGGCTGAGCAATGATAATCTCCACAAGAATATGTGAATATGTACCCCTGTGTTCCACCATTTACTGCTTCTTTACTCCTCGGAATACCCATGATCCTCATGAGCAGACTTTAGGTCAGCATGTTCTAAGGATCTTAAATATGACCTCAACGTAAGATCTCATGGGCCCTGCTCTCACTCAGAGGTGCTTGGTGAGAGAAAGGGAATGTGAACCCAATTAGGAAATAGGCAGCACCGTCAACACCAGCACCACATTCACTATTTATACCGACCTCTTCCCTTCTCTTCCTCTTTTCTTTCTTCCCTTCTTCCCCACCCTAACCCCCAATCATCTAAATTCATTTGATAGATGGACACCCCTCCACCAGGGCCATGCCGTCCAACAGGGCGCTGCCGTCCGGCCTTAAATGAGATTATCGGCATATCATCTAGATTCACAAGATGGATGAACAAACCCTCCACTAGGACCATGCCGTCTAACAGGGCGTTGCCCTCCGGCCTCGAATGAGACCATCGGCCACATCGAGCCTGTAAGACACCCAGCCTTCAAATATAAACTATATCAAGACTAATTCGTGACATTTACAGAGTCGCTGCTGACGTTGGCGAACGCTTCGTTGGTGAACATGCAGAGATTCCTGCCCCCGGCGTTGGGCGAGAGTCAATCGATTTGTTTACCTTGACCATTATATCGATCCCACTGTTCGTCAGAACAAAATCACTCTTTCTAAATTTCTATTATTGGCATGAAACAGTTTTTCATGTAAAGCAAGGGTTCACCTCACCGTATTGAAGCTATGTCCTTCGCTCGCCTTCCACGGTGTTTGGTCTTGTGAAGTGCGAGTCGCTGGAGGAAGGTAGGAGGAATCTGGGTCCTTGCATTACATAGGGAACACTATTTTTGAACATAATCAATTATGACATCACCTAAAGAGCAGAGCGCATATTAGGACGTATTTTACACCTAATCTACAGGTGCCGCGGTTCCTATAGTCCGCGGCCCGTGGAGAACCAAAATGGAGAAAGAAGAGGTTAACGTCCAACATATTCAGTGCCTACTTACTTACTACACAGAATAAAATGGTATGGTATATTCAAGGAACCAAAACTGTATATAATCTGGACGAGGCTTGGCTGAGAACGCGTAGGGTAGTAAGAATGACAGCTATCGGATGCGAAAAATCAAGTAATAACGGGTAGTGTCTTCTTCTTCAATCGGGGTTCTGAAACCATCCAAATAAGGTTTTGGTGCTATCGAGACCAAATCAACCCTAGAGAAGAGCGTTTCGATGCTGTCGCTTACGGTGCCTATTTGCCTGGAAATGAGGACGACCTGGTTCCGCCTGGAGCGGCCCGTCCCGACTTATTCTGATCCGAACTCGCAGTTGAAGGAACCAAGGCACACTTGCTGCATATGAGCATTTTCTAACAGATTGGAAATATTTCCGAGGTAGACCCGGGGATCACCGGAGTATTAGGGACAGAGATCGAACCGTACTGAGAAAAGGATGCAGAACGCAGATCAGATGATTAGATTTCACCGACAGCCCCTGGATCGGAACTTGTTTAAGACCAAAAAGAGGCTGTGTCCTCAGCCCGACGGCCTTTTCCAGTGCGTCATTTAACTGTGCTGATGAAGACCTTTCATCCGGGGCCCCGCATCCCCCTCACATTAACCCCTCGAGGGCGTAAGATTCCCTGCAAATAAAGTTCACAAGCGGCCTACTCTGGCGCCACTTCCTACGTTGGCTAGGCTTGTTTGCTTCTAGTCTAGCAATAGATATGTGATGTTCAAATCCGTTGGTTGGTTACTTCGGTTAATTGTCCCCAGTATGAAATGGGAAAAAGCCCGGTGGCACAATATGCTTGATTAGCCCCTGACGAGTATACTTGTGCTGTAAAGGCTTTGCAGAAAGTTTAGATAGTTTTCTTATTAAGAAAATTATTGGAAGCAAATTGAACGAATTAGAAAGATGAGGGCTCCAAGTAGAACCAAAAATAGCAAAAAAAAAAAAAGAATTTCTTGGTGGATTTATAAAGCTTGATAAAGCTTCATAATTCCAAGGAGTGGGGAAGAGAAACACTGAATTTGGGCTTGGCCCTTTAAGTTGACCTAGTATGCTCACGTCGACTAGTCACAGTGATCGGCTAATTTGCTTTTGGATCGTTCTCGTGGCCGGATAAATTTGATTTCACAATTTTTGGCAGATCCTGATTTAGTTAGACGGACGTTGTTTTTCTTTCCTTTGATCCTTGTGAGAAGCAGCCTTATGTGTGTCACATGGCCCGGTTTGTGCAACGCTGCAGAACGACATCTCGATTTCGACAGGGGGAACGGGACCACTCCGAATGCACCCCGCATAATGGTATGCAGGACAAGTATAATTTGATCAAAAAGCATAGTTTCTAATATGTGGAATTAACCGAGCCTGTAAAGACTAAAATGTGCCCATCGTGTCTCATATTAATGTACACTGATATAGTTATTGGAGGAGAATTCCGGCCACTCTACTAGCGTTGTGCCGCTCTCAATTTACGGACATCTTCACAGATTAAAAAAGCATTATAAATAGGGAGGCTAGGAACTGCAGCCCTTAGACGCGCCTCTTCTACTTCGTGGCTGTCTGAGTATCTCGTCGCCGGTTCTGAACACTCACGGGAGTGCCTATCTCACTGTTATCTAATAAAAAAAGGGATCAAAGATGTTCTCCCAACTAAAGCTCGAGCGTGCCTGGGTACTTGTCTTAGGACTACTTGCCCGAGGCTCACTTGCCGCTGGGCCCTGTGATATATACTCCTCCGGTGGCACGCCCTGTATCGCCGCACACAGCACCACTCGTGCCCTATACAGCGCCTTCACCGGCCCACTCTACCAGGTGAAGCGTGGCTCTGATGGTGTCACGGCTGATATAGCACCTCTTTCCGCTGGCGGTGTCGCGAACGCCGCCGCACAAGACTCCTTCTGCTCCGGGACGACCTGCCTCATCACGATCATTTATGACCAGTCCGGCCGCGGTAATCACCTCACTCAGGCGCCACCTGGTGGCTTCAGTGGCCCGGAGGCCAATGGCTACGACAATCTGGCCAGCGCAATTGGTGCACCGGTCACGCTGAACGGTAAGAAGGCGTACGGCGTCTTCATCTCGCCCGGCACCGGCTACCGTAACAACGCTGTAAGTGGCTCAGCTACAGGCGATGCAGCGGAGGGCATGTACGCGGTCCTTGATGGAACCCACTACAATGGTGGCTGCTGCTTCGACTACGGCAATGCCGAGACCAATAGTCTTGATACTGGAAATGGCCACATGGAGGCTATTTACTATGGTGATAGCACTTCCTGGGGCTCTGGTGCTGGCAGCGGTCCTTGGATCATGGCCGATCTTGAGAACGGTCTGTTCTCCGGTATCAGCTCTGGCAACAACGCCGGTGACCCGTCGCTCTCCTACCGGTTCGTCAATGCGTTCCTTAAGGGCGGAGCAAATAAGTGGGCAATCAAGGGCGGCAACGCTGCGTCCGGCTCGCTATCAACGTACTATAGCGGCGTTCGCCCCACTGCGTCTGGCTACAACCCGATGAGCAAAGAAGGTGCTATCATTCTTGGAATTGGCGGGGACAACAGTGTCAGTGCCCAGGGCACTTTCTACGAGGGCGTGATGACCTCCGGATATCCATCTGATGCCACCGAGAACTCGGTGCAGGCTAATGTTGTAGCGGCCAAATACGCTGTCACCTCACTGACCAGCGGTCCGGCACTGACCGTTGGCTCCTCAATCTCGCTGCGCGCAACGACCTCTGGCTACACAACCCACTACATCGCACACACCGGCTCTACGGTTAACACTCAGGTTGTTTCGTCATCCAGCACCACCGCTCTTAAGCAGCAGGCTAGCTGGACAGTTCGGACCGGCCTTGGTAATAGCGCTTGCTTCTCTTTCGAGTCGGTCGACACTCCCGGTAGCTTCATACGGCACTCGGACTTTGTATTCTACCTCAATGCCAATGACGGCACAAAGCAGTTCCACGAAGACGCTACGTTCTGCCCGCAAACCGGCCTCAACGGCCAGGGTAACTCGGTCAGATCCTGGAACTACCCCACCCGCTATTTCCGTCACTACAACAACGTGCTCTACGCTGCGAACAACGGCGGTGTCCACACTTTCGACTCTGCCACGTCGTTCAACGATGACGTGAGCTTTGTGGTTAGCAGCGGCTTTGCTTGAACTCTGGTTCACTTACCAGACATGTTGCGGAAGGGAGCCTTCCTCTCTTCCTACTTCATCCTGTGAAATTAGTATTTAAGGATATTTGATAATTTGCCAGGGCTGCGCAAGCCACCGTGAGGCTCTATTTGTTAGATATCAGGCCTCATTAGTAGCTTAACATAGTGCAAATCAATTTATACATAGGTCTATGAAACCGAATAAAAGTAGATAATATCAAGTTGAGCTGTTATGTTTTAGACTCGGCCCGTATTTGAGGCTTCTATCTGAGGACACTTGATAGGTCATTTCCCCTTATAAGTTAGAGATTGATGCCGAAGATTGACTGCACTAGTTCACCGCCAGTTAGACCTCTTACACTTGGCACTGTAAAGTTGATATGGAGAAGGCCTACCGTAGATGTAACACCAGATCTTGATTGAAATGACAAAAGAAACAAGAGAAAAAGCAACCAAACACACAAATAAATCCAGCACCATCGAAACCAGCCTGCAATACAGTACTCAAACACAAACAATGCCTGGATTATCAAAATGTGAAGTAACACATGTTCGGTTTGCCTCATTATGGTACAGGCAATGTTAAGGCCGGAAATGTTTTCATCGACCGAAATAATGATGCCTGGATCATAGATTTTGGAGGTGGGTATACTAAAGTCCGTGTTACAAAGGATCGGATGGAGATGTTGGAGGGCGATCAAAAGGGTCTTGCAAACATCAAAGCGCTTCTTTATCCCACTGAAGTCTCATCAAAGAAAAGAGGCATGGAGGAAGATAAAAAGGGACCCAGAGAAACTGGTCATAGGGATTTATTCCGCATGGTAGGAGGGTTGCCAGCGACAATGTTTGGATTCAGTAGCTTGAGAGAGAATGTGACATGTGGCCCTGAGTTACCAGTCTTCACATTACAGCCGAGGCATTCAATCACTCTGTGTACCCATCTGTCAGAATTCTTGCCATGGCATCTATCTAGCCAGACCGCGTAGGATCAGCCATCAATGGGGGAACTTGTTGAATTCGTCTATCTCAAGAACCTACCACGCCACCTCCCACATTCAAAGAAGAGGCATGGTGACACGATTCTCGTAATCAACATTATCTTTAACGCTTTCGATGCGCTCATGACAGGTCCCAAACATCCGATCCCAAAGACGAGTCTGCTTGCCATAATTGTGACTCTTCCTCCAACCATAGCGATGGTGGAGATCATGATCTTCAATGACCAGTTCTGCATCAAACAACTCCAACAGCCAATTCACAGTAGAAGGAGCACCGCCATGAAGCCGGAGACCACTATGCCCAATAAACTCCGAGAAGGCAATATATTGGAAGCAGATCCACCATTCGTAGAATCCCATAGGCAAACCAAGAATCTTCAGAGTACTATACGCCATGAGCGGGATACCCGTTATATCCATGAACTCTTGCTCGTGGTCGGCATAGGCAGAGAGTAAGGGGTTAGGGTGTTTTGTCAAATGGTGTCGACGGTGGAACTTCCACAAGGGTCCCACAGAATGCATCATACGGTGATACCAGTAGAACCAGAAGTCGACGGTGATGCTGTAGAGGCCTATCTCCAAGGGAAGCCATTTCCATTGCAGTGATGCTGGTGCCTCACCCTGTTGATAGGTAAGAAAGATGGCCATGACCATGCGGAGACTGGAGGTTGAAATGAGTTCCCGTATAACCTTTCCAACACCCACGTCAGGTATTTCATCTCGTGGATGTTTGTCGCCATCCAAGAAGCCGTAGACTTGGCCAAGGCGGCGCATAATGTGCATTTCATGGATACCGTTCAACTTGAAAAAGCTGGAATATAGGGCGAAGGCGCCAATGAGGCTCAGGTTTCGGCCGGTGTAGGTCGTGTAGATATGATGAAGGACGAGTGGGATCATAGCGTGGAGTAGAATCCACAGGTGAACCGTCCATTCCCGTATAGCTGGGATTTTATCTTTCTTCGAGAAAACGGGGACTTCATTATCGAGATCGATGAGATGCAGTCCAAGGAGTTCGATCATCCAGTGCCAGAAGCTCCATTGGGATCGGTCATGGCGCCAGGTAGACACCATGGAGTCTGCGGGATTTCGCTTGGTGGTGATCGTCTGGGTAGACATTTTGATCATAAGTCAAGGTTCATCTGAGTGCTATACAGTATGTTACACGCAGAGATGGAAGTTCTTATATACCGTATGCTAGCAAAAGTTTTATACCCGACTCTTACATGTGAAGTCATGATCGCCAGCGCACGAACGCCTAGGCGGACGACAATTTAAAACTCTATTGCTGTAGAAAATCAACAAAGCCTGTTCGGGCTTTAGAATCTCGCCTAGAGAATGTTGGGGATGCTGGTCTCTTCTGATGTGGAGGATCGTCTGGACTTGTGATTAAGCCGTCTGCCTCGGTTGCCGGATATCTACTTCATCTATGCGGGGAATATTCCTACTTATTGGATGAGCATGACTTTCACGGAACTTATTCATTATCCGTCGGGTAATAATGCTGCTGTGTGGCGATCAAGGAAATTGAAAGGCTGAACACTTGATGGATAATATGTTTACATTTCCTAGACAAGAGAGGGAAAGCATAAGGACAATGCTTTCAATACACTGTAATAGGAAAGCGTATTTCCAACAATATATACCACGAGTATATGCAAAATGCCAGTGGGGGGTATCCAGGACGCCAGCGTCCTACAATGGCAGACGATTATGTTCATCTTCATCCTCCTTATATGCAACCAACTGATAAGGACCAATAGAGCGAGATACACCGCGAAAACGACGGTGGACAGCGAAATAAACACCACAAACAAGACATCCAAGCGCCACAATCACAATAGTCCACGTGGCCCACGAATAACCAGAAGACCTCGAAGAACTTCCAGCTGCCGAAGCAGGCAACCTTTGAAGCAATCCCGTCACACCAAGGCTATCACCATTTGCATGGATAGCGCGCAAGCGGAAGAAAGAAACCACCTCAGGAATCAGTGGAATCTCAGTCTCAAACCCAGACCGAGTAACCTCGTCGACGGCGCTGAATGTCATATTCGACAAGCTTCCGCCATCCCATGCCTCGACGCGCCACGCAGCTACCTCCGTCGCACCATTCCAGCTAACGAAGACACTGTCCGGGGTGAGCGTAGCGTCAGGTGTTGATGTAGGATGACCGATCCAGTCGAATTTGAAAACGCGGTAGGAGACTACCCGGCCGAAGGTGAAGAAAGCCGAGGCGCCGAAGTGCACATTGCATACTACCTCGCCCTCAGGTGAGAACTCGGTGTATGCAGCCGAGTGACCCCAGCCCACGAGGACGTTGCCGGTATCGAGCAGTTGCAGGTTTCCCTGAGAAACGGACATCATGTCCTGCGGGTGATCGTAGGATTGTGCGAGTGTCGCCTGCTGCGCGTTCATATCCAGGTCGATGATCATTCCGCGGCTCACTGCGGAGGGGTCGTCATTGGTATAGGCGGCATTATCGAAAAGACTGAGGCGGTTAGGGCCCCGCCAGCGGGCATCGTGCTGCCAAGCGAAATCGGTGGCGGCTCCGTCGGAAGCATCGGTGAAGTCGTTCTTCTTTCCTCCCAAGGACCAGGAAACTTCGCCGGTGGTTCCGTCTATGCAGGCGATGGTATGGAGGTGCCGCATCGATACCAGGTACCGGCCCTGGTCGTCCTTGTCCACGCTGTTGATATGGCAGTAGTCGTATCCTGAGGTGCGTCCAGTACCGGTGTCTCCAATTGGGTCGTAACTATCGCTTGGGGAGTAATAGTCGGATGCGCGCCACTGGAACAGAAGTTCTCCTGTTTCAAGGTCGACTTCCTGGAACACTCCGTCGTATATCCATCCCAGCTCGGGGCCACCAACAGATCGCAGGTCCGCCACGATAGGGTCGTAAATCATCAGAAGTGCGGTGTCGTTGGCGGTGATATGGAACTCGTGTAGATCGCCGTCATACATGCCGACGGGTGATACAACATATCTTTGGGTATAGGTAGAATCAAGCTACATACCAAGAGAAGGTTAGTATATTGAGCTGCTGGCGAGCCAATTCCAATGTCTGTCCTACCATGTACCACAATCCCCGGCCATAGTTGTCATCTGTATCACCTTGCCAGTAGGTAAGGAAATCCTCGCCCTTGTACCGCTGTACTTTGAAGTCCTGTGTCGTACCCCAATTCCATTTTGTCCAAACAAGTTCACCAGCAGAATCCAGAATCATAGGACCAGGATGGGCGACTGAATCGCCGCGAGGCGCAAGGAAGGTATATCTCGGATCGCATTGCGCACCAGGCGGGGAAATTTCAACAATTGGCGATTCCTGGTCGAAAGAAACGTAGTTCCGGTTCGGACCTAGCCCTTGAGCACCTAGGTCATACCAACTCAACCCGGCGCGGAAGCGCAATCTAAGAAGTTGTGGGACGGCAAATATATAGAAGAAAATTGCGCCTCCCAGGACAGCAACAAGCAGGGCGATCCATCGGATAGGAAGATAATTCAGGCGATTACCGCGGAGCCAGGAGCTCATGCGACGCAGGCCAGAAGAATTCCGCAAGAACATTGGCGCATCGCGGACGAAACAAGGGATATCGAGGGGAGAAACGGGCAAGGGGGATATAAAGCGGACATCATTATTACTCCCGCTTGAACGGGTCAACGTTCACTCTCTGCCCAGAGACTCCCTGCTGGGTACTCTTGGCTGCACGGACAGTGGAAACTCGGGAGTGGACGCGTATGTTGATTCGGTAGGTGACGGCATTCCCATAGTAGAATATTGGTCCGCCAAGCTTCTAGTGGATCGATTTTCCTTCGAGAAGTGCGGCAGCGCCAACCAGAGACTAGAGTCTCTGCCGGTTGGATAGTCCGCTAAATTACCTCGTGGCTAAACCCAACTCCACCAGTCGACCAGTAAGGAGAAACGCTCGAGGATCATCTCTGTCGAGCCCCTCAAGGCCGAGGAACTGCAACGCCACTAGCCCACGCGTCCTCGTCCTTGGGGCGGGATGTGGCGTAGATGTGCCATTTAAGATGGTTTCCAATCAGATAAGGAGGAATTGTTGGATCAAGGCTAACAGGGCAGGGATTTCGTCGAGTACACCGTACCAGACTCAGAATATGCTATACACTGTACACTGTATGTAGTTTAAATCCTGCAGAACTGAGAATACGAACACGACGCTCCGCTCGGCAATCGGACTTAATATCTCCGTTCGGTTAGTCGTCTCCAATGGGCAAGACATCGACGAAGAAATGCCGAGTACTGCGTATCCAATAATTGATCGAGGTAGGTGGCTGCCACGCAATGCACTAATGATAAGATGTTGTCTATTCTTCACTGATAGCACTATTTTTAGCCTGTGCATGGGAATATGGCTTTGCGAACGCGTTCATACATGACGCAGCGCGTCATCTTTGGCTTAAGCTAAATTTCCTTCTTTTGTTTTTTTTATCTTCCTAGATCCTTTTCAAACCCAGACATAAGGCTGTGTATCCCAGACAGACCATTGAAGTTTGGATCCGCATTGTGGGTGATGTCTCACTCGAAGAAAACAGTCGCTTGGCTTGCCGAACTGTGAGACATCGGCATCTCTCGGCAGCTCTGACCGATCGTGCCGACCGTAGAGACTCCAGGGATTTAGGCACGACTATTTCATGCCATCGGTTTCCGGCATCCTGCGCCCTGACTGTGCGATCACGTCTTTTCTGCGACCAAGCCCGCTGAGAGTCGGATGTCGGTCCGGAGATGCTGGAAACGAGAATACTCATCGATTATTGACACTATCAGATTGATTTTGTTTCATCCATGTGTTTGTAGTAAGGGCGACGGCGTATACACACAAATAAGAGGTCGAACAAGTAGCGATAAGTCTTGATTGCCGAGAACCGAAGAAAGCAACTTGTTACAATAATACAGTCATAGACTATAAAAGTTAGGTCCTTCGCACTCCCACTACATGATTAACCCACTAGTTTTAAACAAGTGCAACCCCAGGCACTCAAAAATGGGCAAAAAAAAGGGCAAAAAAAGAGAGGTCATAGAAAAAACATTATATCTAACGGTATCCTCGCCTTTTCGTGTAGAGACTGTTCAATACTGCGTGGCACAGGATACATATCTATGATCCCTGTTGTAACTTATCTCCGCAGGAATGTCGTCTGCTCTAGCGTATACGTCAGACGTGTTTAAGATTCGAACCAAAGAACCCAATTCGCCGACGGGTATCAAAATTATCAAAACCACGAGGGAACAGGGAACAGGGGTAAATGCAGCACGCGGTTAGTGGCTGGGAATATCGCAGGTGCCTCGTTGCCTAGACACAGCACATCAAACAGGGGTAGTTATGCAGCTGCCAAGTCACTTGGCTGCCTTTTGTCTCCGGCGCACCCCGACTATTGATTGCACAACCCAACTCTTCCATATTTACGTGATCTATCAACATTCGCGAGTCCGTGCCAAGTTGTGATCCCACCAGTATTTATGCGTACCTTTTCTACGAGCTTGTTTCGGCCGCCACTCCATCTGTGACGGGTCATCCCGAATCCTGAACCTGAAACGTCGACTTGATTGGCCCTATTCCGAAGTCTTTGACCCCGAGCGGTTTGTGCGAGTGGGACCGTGTGCTGGCTGCATGACGAGACATTTATCATTTGCGGAAAGATTAACTCCTGACCCCACGGGCAATCTAATTCAGTGCGAGCTATGCGGTCTGAACTTTGTGAAGAGTGTGGCGGTGGAGTCGGCATCTTGCCTTCCTGACTGGAATGTGTGATTTGAGGCCAAACCCGGGAAAAAGTTCCTATGAACAGCGATACAGCGAGACAGCGATACAGCCCCCATAGAGAACATAGAACCATCTCTGCATATGGTAGATCCCAGACTGCAAAGGTAATACATGTACATGTATGCCCGGACCGAATGCACGCAAAATCAAGATAAACTTCAAGCTCCACTCCTATGTCCCCGTTCTCCCTTCTCCCCCTTATGATTGGTAATTTTCCCCCTTCCCAGCTCTGATCTTGCGATCTTCACTTTCTCTCTTTTCCCCTCTCCTAACACTCGTACGCCATGAGAGACAAGGAGTTGATGTCCCAGGAGGTCGGCCTCGACGCGACCACCCAAGATGACTGGGACATGCAGCGTCTGGGCAAGACCCAGCAGTTCAAGGTGCGACCAGTTGGAATGGAAGTGCGGGACGAGGGCTGATCAACGGCAGAGAAATTTCCGATTTTATTCGATTTTGGGATTCACGACGACGTTGATGGCCACATGGGAGTCCATTTTACTGTGAGTTTGGCCCACGCGACCGCGACTGGTATTGCGACTGGTTTGCGACATGGAACAGCCATAATAATGGAGGACGCGCAGCACGAGTACCTATGGTCTTGTCGATGGTGGAAAAGCGGGCATGGTCTATGTATACATTGCTTCATTCGTGGGATTTTTCGCCGCGGTCGTGTCCATGGCTGAAATCGCGTCGATGTAAGTACAAATGCACCCCTTGCGCGCATGAAAATTAACATTTATTTAGCTCGCCAACATCCGGTGGACAGTATCACTGGGTCAGTGAGTTTGCTTGGCCCAGGTACCAGCGATTTTTGAGTTATCTCACCGGTTCGATCACACTTTCGATCTATAAACTTGAGTCGCGCTAATGTCGCACCAGGATGGCTTTCGGTTCTGGGATGGCAGGCCGCATTTGCGAGCATTTGTTTCCTTTGCGGTACCTTGATCCAAGGATTACTGGTCTTCAATTACTCAGATCCCTCCGGCTGGATGTATGGATATGAGCGCTGGCACGGTACCCTGCTGACCATCGCTATCGCTGCTGTCGGAACTGTGGTCAACACTTGGGGTTACAAGATCCTCCCTCCCATGGAGGGTCTCATCCTCGCCATTCATCTCGGTGGATTTGTCGCTGTCCTCGTTTTGATGTGGGTTATGTCCCCCGGGAAGGCTTCTGATGAAACCGTCTGGAAGGAATTCACCAACTCCGGCGGATGGTCAAGTGTAGGACTGGCATGTTTGGTAGGCCAGCTTACCCCCATTTTCTCCTGGACAGGCCCGGACGCCGCGACGCATATGGGTAAGTCAACAATGTCGCTTTGCAAATTTAGGATAATCGCTAATAGTGAACAGCCGAGGAAGTCCAGAACGCTGCCTTGATTGTGCCGTGGTGCATGGTTTCAACCGCCTTGATCAACGGTGCCCTCGGCTTCATCATGCTGGTTACTCTACTATATAACATGGGCCCCTTGACAGATGCCATCCTCGAGCCTGCCAGTGGATTCTCTTTCCTCCCCGCGGTTCAACGCGCCACTGGCTCTATTCCCGCTACCAACGGCGTAGCCGCCATCATCCTCGTTTTAGAAGTCTGCAGTGCAATCGGCATTCTCGCAACAGTCTCCCGTCAGACCTTCGCTTTCGCCCGCGACGAGGCCCTGCCCTTCTCTAAGCAGCTCGCGCATGTGAACCGACGAACCCAGATCCCCGTCTGCTCCGTGCTGGTCTCGACCATCATCACCGTGCTACTGAGCTTGATCAACATCGGATCTACTGCCGCCTTCAACGCCGTCGCATCCGTTATGATTGCCGCTCTCTTCACGACATACATTCTACCAATTGCCGCGGTCATCCGTGTTCGTTTCCAGCCGGGTGGTATCCCCCAGCGCGCTTCTCGCTCGGCTCATTCGGTTTGGCCATTAATGTTTTCTCCCTGGCATGGCTCTGCTTCGCCATTATTTTCACTTTCTTCCCGACTGCCAACAACCCGACTCTCGTGAGTATGAATTGGTCTATCCTTGTCTTTGGCGCTGTGGTCATTTTCGCCATTGCTTTATACATTCTTCACGGCCGCCGTGTTTACAGGGCACCTGTAACTCAGGTTCGGAAGGTTGACTAAACCCACACTCACCATTTTCGTTTTTCGTTTGGAGATTTTGGATCGCTTTTCATTTTTTTTTGCCATGCTTGCATATATCCGACATTTGGGACCGCGCCAATCGCGCGTACATATTGACTGGGCAAGCCCTTCGCATTTTGCGTATTTATGATATTTAATTGGCATTTGGATATACTTGTTAGGAATGAACATAATTGTAGAGCCATGAGACGAAAATTTACCGCAGTGCCTTTGTTTGAACAAGGGACCACAATATCAAGCTCAACTAACCTCTCATGACAACAAGGCGTTGCAACTGATTCAATTCATATAGTCCGCTGCCATATTCAGTATTTCATCCAATCCCCCGACGCAGTCCAACCCAAGAGATGCGAAGATATCAACGCTAGGCGTAGGCACAGATTCATCCCTTATCAACTCAGGCCATCGTGCAACTTCAGACATCTCCGATGAACGCCGTGATTTCCCAATCAGCGCGGCATGATCTTGCTGGTAAAAAGTCCGAATGATAGCCGGGATATTCAAATAATTGCACCGTTGCGTGCCAGACATGTCGAGGCAGACATCTCTTCGTCCATGCACTCCCACAATAAGCCTTCGTTCAGATGTCTTGCACTGCTCATCAGCAAGCATGGCTTTTAACAAAGAAACACCCCGTTTCGCAATCATATCCGACTGACACTGAGACAATATCTCAATTCCGCCATCAATAAGCCGTCTATGTTCCGAAGACTCGCGCTCGGGTCCAGTCTGATGAAAAAGATCTAGACATAAGATGATCTGTACTCATTCGTCAGCATAACCGACCCCGAAAACACCATCCAACTACCTGAAATCATGCACTTACACTAGCCGTAACACTAAAAGCTTGATGGATCCAAAGTACAGGCCCCCCATCCCTGACAGCCTCCATCTGCTCCTTAATAATAGTCCTCGAAGCCGCGACGCATGTCTTCCGCGTAAACACAAACAAGGGATTCGAAAAGCTAGCACTGAGGAATTTCCGATGGATCATGATAATCTTGTGTGCAGAACTAATAGCCAGACTGCGCCGTGCCCACGGGGCATAACATGGCCAATTCGGGTCCAGGGGAACATTCTGGAGAAAATAGGGTAAATGTTTCGTCGCGAGGGTCCGCAACTTGCGATCGTATTTGAGGACTTGTTCGTATTTTGTGTAGGGTGTATTAGAGGCCGAGATGGCGTCTTGGAGGTTTGGCATTAGGGCGGCGATATCGTAGAAGAGACGGGAATAGCTAGTTACTGTTGGAGTGTGGTCTGGGAGGGGGTTCATGTTATCGTCGCTGTCTTGGGGTTTGGGTGTTGTGAACCCTTGATGGTGGAGGAGATAGCTTTCTGTAAAGGGGATTGAAAACCAGTCTTGGATGCAGAGTTGGCACCAGACTCGTCGGCCGATTTCGCAGTTTATTAGATTGTCTGTGCCTGTGTTGTGGTTTCTTTCTTTTTCTTCTCCTAGTTGGTGGAGGCCGAGTCCTTGGGCGATGCGGACGGCTGAGGCGAGCAGGACTGATAATCCGTTTGAGTATCCGAGCATATGTGCGGAGATTGTGAGAGTTGCAATGGCCTGCACGGAATAGATGGAGTGGTACGCCATGTATTCTGCCTGTTGGAGGCATGTTGTTGTGGCTTTCAGCCAGCGCTTTGATAGCGTATCTTGTTCCTCGCTGTGGAATCCCCAGGATTGGGCGACGCTACGGGGCGCGCAGGTCATTGACCCTGTGAGGATGGTGAATAGTAGAGCTACCCATTGTAAATCTACACCCGGTGCATCGATCTGTCCGTTATGCTCGTTGTAGAACTCGTCGAGTTCTTGCATGAATGTTGTGGCGTGCAATGCGCCGTGGTACCAGAGTAGACAATCCATATGATATTCAACCAATTGGTAGACTTTTGGCTGGGTCGGTAGAAGCATTTGGCATATTGATGAAGGCATGTATCCAGGGGAACGTGTGTAGTCAATTTCATCTTCGACTGTCACATCCCCTGGTGAGTTACCCGGCTTACTGTTTTGGATGATCGCGTCCTGGTACGTTGGGTCTTTGCGACGTCCCCATGCTAGAAACTCGAGGATTGTTGCTGCGTCTTCCACCTCTCCTACTGATTCTTCCGTATCAAGGGTAGAGCTTTGCACTGCTCTGGGTGAAGGTGTCGTTGGTAATCCGGGTGTAGAAGCTGACCTGACCGTCGGTGTTGGCTGCTGAATTTCCCTGGCCCTGGTTTCTTCCAGTTCCGTTTCAAGTTGCTCGATTCGAGATTCAAGCCGTTGAATGATATCCAGTGCTCCAGTAGTAGGGCTGGCGAAGGATCCCTCATCCTGTCTGCCAGTATGCTCGATACTTGTGACCGGAGAACTCCGGTCTCGCGGTCTTGTACACGAAATACCCTTTCTGGCACAGTTTCGACATGGCAGGATCTTGTCACATTTGACCTTGCGACGTGTACATTCAACACAAGCTAGACGCTTCCGATGTATCCCCGAGCTCATGATTAGTGTCAAGGCACAAAAGATGGGGATGGGACATCTGGGGTTTATCGTTATCGGGTAATTTACTAGTTTTGCCTATCAGGAAGCGCACAATGTCATTAGGTAGGATCGAGTCAAATGGGATGCTATCATTGGCTTATTTCTCTTGTGGCATATCGCTCAGCCCCGATGGTTTGGTGGGTTGAATGTCCATCTACTGTGACAATGGCCCATCTAAACATAACTATGACAGAACAATGGGTATGAATTAAGTCATTTATTGGGAAATACAATAATCTACATAAGTTAAAACACACCTAAGAATATAAAGCCCCTCGTCGCTAGTATTCTGCTCCATATCCAATCCCTTCTTATCAGCTCGGCCGAGGGCGGCCGAGGATGCAGATCAACCCAACTATGGCCCCTTCGGACGAGCTTGTATGACAGTAACTTGCCTATAAAGTTCCTCACATGCTCCTCGATGCACCTTAAACACGCACACATCATTTTTTCGCAAATTGCTCCTGTGGCTGTCAGCAAACAAACAAAATGTCTTCCCAAACTCGCTACGTCGAGCGCGCTATTCCACGCATCTCCATGCACGACTTCGAAAACCGGATAGAAGAAATAACAAACCAACTAATCGACGCCGCAGAAAATGTGGGATTCTTCACGGTGATCAACCACGGAATCTCCAAAGAAGACATCGAAGCAATGTTCGCAACATCCAAGAGCATGTTCGATCTACCAGACAACGTGAAAGCAACCGTGCCCTGGAACGCGAACAACGTCGGCTGGGAGAAGAACTCACAAATCCGCCCATCAACCGGCAAACCCGACAGTAAAGAATCCTACCAGCTGCAATTCGGCGAGAACATGAAAGATCTGTGGATCAAAGATTCCGACCTACCCGGCTTCCAAACGACCAGCCTCACCTTCATGCACCGCGTCCAAGAAATATCCGAACGCCTAATGCGCTGCTTCGCGCGCGGGCTAGGCTTCCCCGAAACATTCTTCATCGAATGCCACGGCATCTCACGGCCAAATTCCCAGACAACCATGCGTCTACTTCATTACTTTTCGCAGCCGGAGGAATCCGACGGGCAAGAATATCATCGCGCAGGGGCACATGCCGATTGGGACTTTCTGACTTTACTCTTTCAAAAGGAAGGGCAGAGTGGGCTGGAGATCTGTCCTGGGCGAGAGGTGGTCACGGAATTCGGGATAGGGGACGAATGGACCAAAGTCGAAGCGAGCACTGAGGCGATTGTCTGTAATATTGGGGATTTGCTCATGTCGTGGTCGGACGACAGGTTCAAGTCGACTTTCCATCGGGTTAAGGCGCCGTGCGAGCCCGGGGACTATTTTGGTGATCGGTACAGCATTGCTTATTTCAATCAGCCTTGTAAGGATACTTTGATCCAGGGGCCGCTGAAGAAGTATCCGATGATCACTGGGGCTCAGTTTACCGAGAGTGCGATGAAGAGGAATTTTGCTGCTTTGCAGGAGAAGCTGAAGACGGTCGCGGCGGCTTGAACTTGATCTTTTGGGGAAGCGCATGGGCATCAAGTATTTATCTGGCGTTTGTTAGGGGGCTTTTTTTCGCAAAGGGGCATCTCGCAAGGGGGTTTCGGATAGGAGTGTCGGATGATGACAAGGGAGTTACGGCTTGAGGACACAGTGAAGCCGTAGTAGATATCAATGAACCTATTAGTTCTATAAGTTTCCAAAGTCCCACCATGTGGAAAATCCTTCAATGTTGCCGAGGGCCGATTCTGAATCTGCGTATCCCACACTGTTTTCCAGGTCAACAAATTGTGAGGGGTCAGCCCATAGCCAAGGAGTGTTGGTCATTAGACTGTCAGCTGGTGCAAGTAGCTTTTCGCCGATGCCCAAGTCTGGTGAATAATTTGCGGTCGAAGTGCGTGCTAGATTCGGAGGCATGTGGGCAGCTTGACCGCCATCTGCAGTGTTCACGGTGACATTCGGAGACATGGCGACAATGACCTCCAGAGTGGAGGTGGGACTGTCATCCGCCTCTTCTGTTGAAACTGTCGGAGTCAATGATGGATGTAGCAAGCCGCCTGTGGACACTTCATGTGGCTTGGGTTTACAGTTGACCTGAAGGACATCCCACATCAACGGAATACTGAGATGAATTTTCTCAGGCTCCCAGTCATAATCGACATCTTCCGAGCCCGAAGCAATTCGCGTCATCTTGTCCAAAGTTTGATCCTGTTGACTTCAGCGCTTGCCCGTTAATTACTCCGGAAAAAGAAGACCTACCAAGACTGCACATGCAGACGAGAAGCTCACAAACGTTTTGAGGAACTTTCTGCATTTTGTAAAGTCCACCTTGGATTTGTATTTGAGTCGGGGATCCGCAGCACAGCAATAGTATAGATGCACTGTAGCTGCAATGGCAGCGGCGTATCCAAAGAATGGGTCGATCAATCGCATTTTTTCTCCGAAACCATATCTATCATGCGGACGAGCCAGGTGGCATGTAAGAGAACCAGCTCTGAGGAGCGTCTCCAAAAGGCGTTAGGAATTGCAAGGTTATCATTGTACTGTGATGCGATGATGTAAAGGAAGGGGTGGTTGAGAACGGTAAGAATGCAATGATAGGTGAATTGCAACTTGAGCCAAGGAGCCCAGTAATCTCGATTCATTGCCAGTTCTTCTGCCGTACGCTCGTAGAATTTGACTGAATCGTAACGGTGACACTGGGAAAGTTTGTTCTCGATTTCCGTAAGGTCGGAGAGCACCATGGCATACATCGAGTCATGTCTCCAGGGCTCCTTTAATCTGTTCCGCGCACAATCGGAAACGTATGTGCGTACTCTGCTCCAGACCCAGCCGAAGTGAACTGCCAAGCTCCAAATTCCTATATCGGATGAGGTCAAGCAACCGAGATCGTCGGTCGGGAGTGGTGGAGGTTTTGCCTCGCTCTCACTTTGCAACCTCCGGTCGCTGCTGGACGAGACATAGAATGCGCGCAGAATCTCTGATGGAACACAAAGAAACCCGTTTTGCTGCCCGTACGATTGCTCGAGGCACTGGAGACTCCAAAACAAACGCTTCTTGCGCTCGGTGGTAGGACCTTCGCCGACATATGACGATTCCAGATCCAGCGTCGCTGACCGGCAGAGATGTAATGCAAGGCCGAGATGGAAGCGACCGAGATGAATATTTCCATCTAGAATAATGTCAATGACTGCGACATACTTCACAAGTAGTTTGTATCCATACCTAAGAACGAAGAATAGGCGAGCAGACAAAGACTCTCGATGGTCTCCAGTTCCACCGTGCCATTCGCCATGCGAAGCATAATCAAGCTTCTTGCACTGTCGCCATAATGTTCTAAATGATCCCTGTCTCTTGAGAACCTTGAAGTCAGCGCCAGAAGGCAACAGACAAGCTCTTCCGAAAGACAGCTTGGATCGGAGACCTCGTCACGATTAAAACACCAAATTGGCTGACGATGGCAATATTCAAAGTAAAGATCGATCGCTTTGGCGATCGCAGATGATGATGGTTGGGAAGTCGAGTCGTCATAGCCAAAGCCGAGGAAGAACGGGTCGTTCACAATGTTAATAGGTTCATTCGAAGGCGCTCGCGTTGAATAAGTTGTGTCGGAAACTCCATTCCCTCCATCGCGCGCTTTCTCTGGTTGAATGTCTTGTGTTGGCCTAGAGCCGCTGAGAATGAGGTTGACTTTCTCTTCAAGGAAAGCGAGCCTATCGTCCTGCGGAGAGAGTTAGCTCTCCATCAATTATTAAATTCTCCGTACATACAGATGGTCCACCCCTTGAGCTTCTCGATATCGATGTATAAAGGCATGGTTGATTCAGGCGCACACAGCTCGAGCAGGATGGTTTCTCGGCCGGGCATCGGGTTTTCTTTCTCCTGTATGACATCAGGCCCGCTCCAATAGATAAGCTGTTCGCTCTTCTTACCTGCAGTTGAGGCAGGCCTCATGGGACCGTAATCTTCCACGAGCACTGTCTCGCGGCATTACCATAATAGAAATATGATAATATGATATATGTTGAGGAGAAGTATCTAACAAAAAAAAAGGGTCGGGGGATTTAGCTGCGGGGTTATGACCGAAGCAGGCGATTAAAGATAGCCATAGTAGCGCGTTACGGGCGGGAAATACAGGCAGGGAAACAGGTAACGTTGCTTGTCAGATAACAAGAAAACAAGAAGATCGTAATCTCCCGAGGCCGTGAGGGGAGTAACAATAAGTAAAATACGTCCAAGAGGAGGGGTCAATGGCCTCTGTTTCCCCGGGAGTCCATCCGATCTAGAACGTATGTAACCTATACTGGAAATGGTTAAAATGTCCAGTGGCAAGCCCTGGAGGCTATTTTCCTTACATAGTCATATGCCGGTTCGAACGTTAAATCCCCCAAGTGAACTGCTATCTTTCAACCTAGTTGGGTTTGAAAGGAGATAGTGCCTAGGTGTTCAGGCTATAAATAAGGTTGCTTGCATTTGCTAGTCTCTGATTAGTGGAAAGGTCGAGGTATAGATAGTCATCTGACCCGGTGTGACGAAACTATCAACGCCAGCAAGCATAGTGGTCGTGTGACCTGGAAACAAACTAATATTGTGGAAAACAGAGTGTCATCATATGCAATGTGTCATTATCATAAAATTAAACCATGCGCAAGAGTAGAACACGAGGCTCTATGCATATGATTAGTAGACCGCTGTCTCTGTTGCAGTCGCTGGTCCTGGTGCAGGGCCCGCTCCGCAAGCCTTTCCTCCGCAGCACCCACTGAGGGGACTCGTGAGCTTTGAGCAGAAATCCATGTCCTCCTTACTGGTCTCTTCCTCGACGGGGAGTTTTTGCTGGGCAGGCCAGATCTGCTTCTGTGCCTCCTCTTCCCGTTTTTGGTGCTCCGTAATAAGGTCATGGACAGTAGTCTGGAAGCTGAGGGGGCCTTTCTCCAACTGAGAAGAGAGCTGTCCATCATTAAGGCTCTTTTGTGCTTCAATGCAGAGACCGTTATCTTCGGACATGATGCTCTTGTACACTTCGTTAATCTTTTCAAATTCCTCCTCGCTGGAGCTCTTGTTTCGGAAAACCTCGTATCGGACTGAGCAGGAAGTGGGGCCTGTGGGCACAAAGCGCTGCATGAAGAAAGAATGGGGTCTGTATGCACGGTCAGCAGTGGATATTGACTCAAACAGATCAATGTACTTACGAAACGGTCATGGTAGCATTGGGAAAGTAGTAGGTACTAGCAGCCCTCAGACTCTTGGCAATCTGCTCGGACTTGCTATCCGGGTAAGAAGTTTGGCCCTCGTAGCGCTCATTGTAGATGTGTGCAAGAGTCTTCCAGTTGTACTCTCCAGTTGTCTCCCATGCGTTATCGAATTCGTAGTCTTCGTAGTTGAAACCCTTGAGACGGGCCTGCAGATCGATATCTTTAAAGTCATCCGCGAACGAAACCTCAGGAGTCTCGTCGGCATCCAAGTTCAGCCAGATGAATCCGTTGTCATCAATGTGGGAGTGGATCGGTAGGAGACCGTTCTTGCTCTTATCAAAGCCCTCCAGCTCCTGGTATCCAGGTGCCTTCGCGAGCTTGCCATTGAGTCCGTAGGACCATCCGTGATATTGGCAGGAGAAGATTCGGGAAGTACCACCATCCCCCGTCACTACTGGGAATGCGCGGTGTCGACAGATGTTATGGAATGCATTGACATTCCCCTCGCGATCCTTGACAAGGATGAAGGCGTATCCAGCGATATTATATTTGATCCAGTCACCAGTCTTGGCGAAACGCATTGTGTGTGTAGTGAGAAGCCATTTCCGACAGAAGATAGCGCGTCGCTCAAGCTCGTACATCTCTGGGGAGGAATACCATGACGCAGGCAAAGTAGACATTGTGAAGTGAGAATTGATTCGTGCCGTTGATACCGGCGCTTTAGTAGCTGAAGAATGAAACTCAAATTTGGTTGTCGCGAACTTTTGTATAGAATGGCAGGTGGGACACCTAATATAACATTACCTTATCTAGACCTAAACGACGCCTATCATGAGCATGAGCTCATGATTCCCCATGGGGGTGCCCAAAATGCACATATTCGCCGATCACAGGACCGGGACGGAGGCTCAGCCGTTCATCGCCGGACGGTCGTGAAGATTAGTTTGCCAGCTTGGACCTGTCGATCAGAGAGGGGGCGCGTACGGTAGACGGATCGAACTACCGCGCTTGTAATACGCCACTCGGGTGACCGGCTTTACTACCGTGTGCTTATGCGTTGATAATATCACCTACATGCTGCAATGCGTTGGCTAAGGTCATATGAACTTTTCTACCGCGCAGACAGTCTGAACAATGCTTTTTGGTTTGCGACCACGCAGGGCCGAGGAATAACTAAGATATATGATCAAAATGCTGTTACTCCTGCGGTCCGTGGTACAAGCTATCATCCCTCAAACTTTGTATATTTTGGGATATTCAACTGCTTTGGTGGGTCTTTTCTCGGGGGTAACGTATATGCATGCAGCAGACCACTCAGATATACTGCGTACATTGTCGTTGGGGTAATTATTTTATCTGTAATCCAACCGGTCTGGCACACCCATCTCGTTCATACCAAACCCTCCATCAACTCCTCATCTATGATCCGAGTCCCTCTATCAATCGTTTTTCTGTGGTAATTGGAAAGGCAGTCACTGAGTCTGGCCCTGCTCTTCTCCTGCTAACATTTCACCCATAATATCATTCTCGCAGAGAACAACTCCAACAAGGTCTGAGCCGATCACATGATCGGCTCGAAGTGGAACGTGGGGATACGAAACTTGGAGATCCTAGCCACCCGATCGTTATCTATCAAGGAACCAAGATCTCTTGCTTGACTTGAAACAAGTGGCGATGATCTCATGTGAAGTTTAGGGTGACCTGGCAAGATCGACATCTATCGGCGAAAGTGTGTTGTCAAACGTGTCATTTCCGACTCCAATTGACGTGCCTGATTGGCGAATGGTTACCGATCTGATAACAATGTCAAACTGAACGTCAAAGAACTGAGTCTTCTGAGAAACGAGCATTTTGATTTAGTCTACCATTTTGATTGTACGAAAGCCAAGTTAGACAGCACATCAGATGTAATTTGATATCTCACTTACAGCAAGCCCATACGTGCTACATACCACACGGCGAGTCAGTTCTAGAGCAATTATCCCGCGTCTCTCGTGTGACGCCTTTGTTTGCTATTCTTTCCATCCAAACTAAGAGATGCACCTGACAGCGCCATGATCTATCTTGAGCTCTTTACGTCGAGACAGGCCCGGTCAAGCCATTCTCTTAGACCATTAAATGACCACGACCAGTCAGCTCGCATGGTGGCGCTGAGGAATGACCGAAAACTGGCAACACGTAAACTAGGCTGAAGTGTATGGCTGATTATGCCTTATGCATAGAGGGAGGAGCAGATTGCTCTATCGGGAATTGCATTCCAGGTAGGGAAACCCAGGGTCGCAGCAGATATGCCAAACTATACAGGCTATAGAGTTTGACTAGAAGCCGTAAGCATGTAGATCCCAAAAACGAAGGAAGCGTACATCACCAGTTGGACCAACGTGGATATCGGGCTTGTGTGACTGGCGGAAAGATTCGTGGGGGACTCCGCACAGCGAGGACACCCCAGCTCCAACCAACCACATTCCCGAAGGTCCATCCTGCCAATGCACTTGTCCAATTACCATGAGTTCAATAGGTGATAACTATACCATACACAAGGTCTCAACAAAGCGCACTCGGCAAGCCTGTGGTCCCTGCCGGTAGGTGGCAATTCCGAGAAAAATTACCCGCGATACCGCCCCAGCCTAATCAGTTTTGATATCTGACCAAATTTGATAGTCGGAAAAAGGCGCGCTGCCCAGGCGAGAAACCAACATGCTCGCTCTGCCATCGGTTAGGGCAGCTCTGTTCATACGAACCGCAGACACCCAGTCATGCGAGGAGCAGGAGTAAACCGGCGCCGGCTCCGGCTCCGGCTCAGGGCCAGGATCAGCAGAATGGGCCTAATGAGGTATGTTCTTACCGATTACTGCCTGCTCGGATCTTTCGGATACCTTGTAGAGATAATGCTAAGTTTAGCAGATCCAGAAAGATTCTCCGAGCGCTGATAGGCTCCAGCGTATCGAAGAAAGATTAGAAACGATGGCGCGTTTGCTTCAGTAAGTTAGCTCCTCTCAAATTTGCGACTGATTCTGACCGACGGATTGTTGCTTTGGTTCAGAGAGGGTCTACCCGGAGCAACTTCCTTGCATGGAACAACAGAGGACAATCAACATGTGGACCATGACTATGAACTACGGGACGCTCATGATGACCCCCAAGAACTCAGCCGCCCAAATGACTCCTTGAGCCCGGGCCAAGAGTATGTTCTCAATCCCGAATCACTAACAATTTCAAACGTTCTGATGAAGTCAAAATAGAACCTGGTTCCCTGCTGGGTTCATAGAGAGGGAGGTAGATATTTATCTAACGCACTTCCATGACCAGCCATATGGTGTGTTTTCGAAAGGATGGCTATTGGAAAATGCAAACTCGTTACCGCCAGAGATCTCACTTCCGTTGGTGGCTCTTACATATCATCTTCCTCGACGTTCAAGGAAGACTTTACTCGGGGGTCCACTGGACGCAAAGTCCTTTTCAGAGAAAGCCTGGAATATCGTATCAAACCAATATAAAGACGGCAAGATGAGTCTTTCTGCCCTCCAGGGCACTTTTCTTATGGCTCAAGCAGACTTTGCCGATGGACGGGCGCACAGAGGGTATGCTTCTGTTGCCTTTGGTCTGCGAACTATTCAGTCTGTTGGTCTGAACAAAGACCGATATTCGCATTCCTCAAATTCGCAAGAGAACGAACTGAGGAAGCGCACTACATGGGCATTTTTCATGCTCGATCGCACATACAGTGCCTCACGAAACTATTCACTCTCTCTAACGGATAAGCACTTTACTCTTCCATTCCCCTCTCGGGAAACAGGGCCTCCATTCAATGAGTCAATCTCAGTTGTTCACGGTACATTGCATGATGGGCCCGGGAAACAAGGACAGAAGGTCGACCACGGCATCCTAGCTTGTCTTCTTCGATTATACGCGCTCTGGGGAAAGGCCGCAGAATACGTCTTCGAACCATTCGCGGAGAACACGCTGCCACCGTGGCAAACAGGGTCCGCTCTCGCGATCCTCGAGTCGGAATGGCTACAATTCGAAACACATTTTGCAGATGCCCATCGATACATCAATGTCGACTTCAAGAGACGCGCCCGAGAAGATCCGCAGTCACACACATATCTTTCCACTTGGGTGTGTGTCCAGTTTCTATTCCATTCGATTCAATGTCTGCTGCACCACCCGTTCGTTATCATGACGAAACTCCGCGACTTCAATGGTAATATATCCACGACATTTTTACAAAAGTCATTTGAGACGTCGCTTCTCCACTCCAGATGGATAGTGCGGTTTATAAGGGAGATGGGTGAGGTCAATTTCGAGACTTATGATCCGTTCCTGGGATATCTAGCTGCAATCGCTGCTACGATTCAACTTGAGCATACTGGTAGTAAGAATCCGCAAGTTGCTTTGCTGCTCAATAAGGAGTTTCGGGTTCTTGTCGATTTTATGACAGAACTGTCAGTATATTGGGAAAATATGAGTGTCCTGGTAAGTAAAGGAGGGCTTTTATAACACTTGATCTAAGTGCTGATTGGAATTGTCTAGGTTCACAAAGTGAATGAGCTAGCTGCTCGTCATCAAAATTATGGATCTCTTTATTACAATCAAGAAGGATTCTCAGGGGCATTATCCAAAATGCCAACCCCTTCAAATATGCCGAGAATGTCTGCGGACGACGAGGCTCTGATGTGGGAAATTCTCGATTTTGGTGCTTCATCTGGGGGAGCTGCGGAGGCTCAATTTGGTGATCTAGCTATCCCTCGGGGTCGCAGCATTGCATTAGAGACAGGGCAGAGGGATGAAAACAATACTAATCCTGCGGGAATATCCCAGCGAAATGGGGATGACCAGAACGATTTAATGGCCAGTAATCTGCCAGGTCAAGGTATCTCGCTTCCTGATCAACTATCTGGGTCCATTAACGAAGGTCCCTTACCAGAATGGCCTTTTTCGGGGAGTGGCAATGATGTGGGGGTAGTGATCCCGGACATTCCAGAGTGGATGATCTTGGGTGATTACATGGCAGAGCATCTGTAAATCTTTTGAGAATGAAAAATTGTGAATGATCACAAATCGTGGGCGCACTCTTTATTGGGGTCCGACCGGTTGTCAGCGAATACTGGACTGGATATCAAGTAGAAGCATGTTATTCCTTAGCACCGTTAAACATCGCCTGGTATTAAACATCGCTGTTATTGAGGACATATATCTCTACTTGCAATCTCTTTCATTTGGCCGGTCCACTTTAGAGTACTCCTTTTTTGTGATACCTTGGTACGAATGGTTCAGGTGGCCATGTATGCCTCGCTGCAGGCCTGCGTTCATCGGATACCGCGGAGGTGTAAAAGTCCTCTATTACAGTATTAGCCTCCTTCTAATCGTTACGCAGGGTCTCCTTCATGCGATAGTACGTACATTGTCAAATCCTCCTCTCCTAACTGTGCCAGTCTCCAATATTAAGATTTTTCCACGCTCTTCTTGCGATTGCAAATCCTTCAGGTCAGATATTAACTTCAGTTCAGTGCATAACTACTTCTGGGGAATTTCTTGTTGTTCAGCTCGGGCAGCCCGCAAAATCATAGCTTTTTTTTCATCCTGGTGATGGATAAACCGTTAGTGTAATCTGTGGGATAGGATCTCTTCCTTACTTACCTCTCATAGTGAACACGTATGGTTCTCTGGCTCAAGGTGTTTGGCCCAAAGACAACGATTGCAAAGTATGCATTCTCCATATGTGCGAACAGAAGTCTCGTTGCAATTCTTGATATCACAGCGCCACATACCCGTAGTGATCTGAGATGCTCAGCGGCTTTGAAGAACAATTATTGAAATCAAGCGGTCATTAAGTCCTAAGTATCTTTTCATATGATTCGATTATGATCGTGAACGATTTCTGGCAAGCTAACCAAAAAATATGAACGCAAAATGTAAGAAAACTTCTATGTCTGCGATATACGAATGCATGTCCTTAAATCTTGCTTTGTCGAGACCCAGAAGCCTTCAAAGCCGTGTCGAAAATGTCCAGTTCTTGAGCTGTCAATTCTCTTCGCTCTGGTCCTCCACGGCTTCCATCTCCCGTGAATACCTCACCCTGGAAGCGCTCACGGAACTGGGTAGGGAACTTCCACTTCTCAAGCAACTTATCTGAGAGCTTTCGTTGCCAGCTTCCCACAATGTATTTTCCGATCACTGGTAGGAACTTGAAAGCACTAGACAAGAAGATGATGGTTAGCCTTACTCCACTTTGTAGGATTAGTGTATTCACTCACTGTCCGCTACCGCCAGTTGCAATGAACAAGTTTTTGTGCTCTGGGTGGTAATCAAAGATGAAGTCGCCCGTTGGGGTATCATTATACCAGCAGATTCCAACCTTTTCAAATCCCCGCGGTGCAAGCTGGGGGAAGAGATCCACCAGGCCAGCTGTGAGACGCTTGAGTCCATCGGCAGGAATATAGTTGGCTCGCGAAGCGACTGCTACGCTAGGCGGTGCAGACACTACTGAAGGCTCAGAGCGAGTATAGCCAAAGCCGTGACAAGCGACCTTAAGGTAGCCAGTGGGCTCGTGTGGAGGGAAAGCAAAGAAGCCAGTAGAGAAGTTGAAGTAAATGGGAAGATCTCTCAGTTCAGCGACTTCCTCGGGTGTCAGGCGCAGGTAGCCAACAACCTGCCCAGCAGCAAGCATCGAGTTCCAAGCAGGAATAAGACTTGAAGTCCAGGCACCAGTGGCAACAATGAAATGATCACCTTCAACACGTCCGTCCATTCTTGGTACGAACTGACTTGATCGTTCCATCCGGATTCTTCTCAAATTCCTCGACCTGACCATTAGGCCCAGTAATGAAGTTAACACCGGATGAAGCACAGCGAGACATGAGACGAGCGCAGGCAAGGCCAGCATCTGCCCACCCAGCGGAAGTATTATAGAAGCCATCAAAGCCAGGTGTAGCAAGCCGTCCGGTCAGTTTAGGGAAGTGCTGCTTGGCCTCTTCCACGCTTCCGACGGGGACCCATTCCTGGCCCATTTCAGTCAAGACGCGCTTTGTCTTGCGGCTGTATTCCTGGGCACGAGGTTGCACTGGTTGCTCTGGGGTTCCATCTTGACACACCCATAAGCAGGGTGTTTGGTGGAATGCTTCCTTATAATCGGGGGTCTTCCAAAGGTCGAAGGCTTCCTTGGCGATTTCGGCGTAGATGGGGTCTCCGTAGTCGAAGCGAATGACACGGGAGATATCGTTGCTTGATCCATCTGGGACTGGGGGTACCGATCGGTCCAGGATTGTGACTGACTTGTAGCCTTCTTCCATTAGTCTCAGCGCAGTGCCGAGACCAAAGGCGCCGGCTCCGATAATGACAACATGTTGATCTTTTTCCATTGTGTTATTGAAAGTGTGTGATGATGCTATTCTATGTAGCTAAAACGGAAACTACGGGCTTGTTATATACTTGTGAGGCGGAAGCCGCGATCGGTTTTCACGGACCGTGAGGACATACTGTGTCGTGGAACCTCTACAGTTGGAGTAAAATAGGCAATGAGTACCAGGCCAATCCCATACAGGCTACATTCTTACTGTGGGTGGCTGAAATATTGTGGGCCGTGATGAAGGGAAAGACAGGCCGTGGACAGTCTCCAGACACGGTCCGTACACGGTCCGTCTCATCTCCATCACTTTCAACAAAGAACATTAGGATGCAATAGATGCGAATTACTGTATGTAGACTCAGAAAATGTTTTCGTATTTAAATGGGACTTGGCAGGCGTACATTCGACCGAATTCACAGCCACGGTACATCCTTTTACGCCACCACTTTCATACAATCTACGTGATCAACCCACCATTTTTAATGGTCTACAACCCAGGGAACTCGAAAACAGGCAAAACAAAGGCAGAAAAAGGGAGACCAATGTAGGTTGAAAACAACGTACGAAACCGGTATACTCACTTCGAGGCTTTCGTGTAGAGACTGTCCAATACTTCACCAATGGCAATGTATACAGAATTTAGGACCCCATGTTGTGGTTCAGATCAATATTCCGACTGCTAACAGGCCTAGAATGTAAAGCCTCTGACGTTTGTCTCGTGCTCCAGGTTCCAAGCTCTTTTGATCAAATAATCAACTTTGTTCGAATCTTTGATTCCCCCATATCTAGCAAGAGCATGAGCTTTTGCCACAATGTCAGGCCTAGCCACAAGACATTAGAAAAAAAAGATATAAGCTATAGGAGTATAGCAATAGACATACCTTGTCAAGGGAAATTCCGGATCTCCTTTGCAAATTTCGTTGATTCTGCGAAAGTCTTCCCAGACTTGCACTCAACGATAACTGCGCCCTGCCATCTCTCCGGGAAATGAGCATCAATATCCGCATCATATTTCATCGTTACGCGGTTTTGGAATTCTCGCAGAGATGTGTCTTTCAAATCATCCTCGGTGAAGTCGGTGATCATAGCCTGACCCTTCTTCGCCGCAATAGCAAGTACAAAGCCCATAGAGAATTTGCTCTGATGGACCGTCTCACCATTACCGCTGAGGCTTAGTACATTGATAGCCGCCTGGTATGTAGGAACGAGCACGGATTCAATATCATCAAAGGCAACCTGATTCTTCTCCATCAAATTCAACAGTGCATCCACACTGGGGTGGGTGTGTCGACAAGATGCGTGCCATTTAAAGCTTGACCGAAGGACAGCAAACTCTTTACCCAAATTCTGGTCGATAGCTTCTGGGTTTGTTTCGCCGGGAACTAACGCAATCCCCATAGCACGGGGTCCTTCGAGGATATCTCGCGGTCCTAGAAGGCCGTCACGGGCGGAATATGCGGCAAATATCCCATCAAAACAAGCCTTGGCAGTGTGTACTTGTTTTGAGTGTGTAGCATCTAACAAGAATTGCCACAATCCTGCTGCTTGCGTTCCAGCTGTTCCAACTGCAGATAGTGTCTGGCTCACATCAAGCTTTAGAAGATGCGCTACAGCTGCTGCAACTCCGATAACTCCACCAGTAGCTGTGCTATGGAATTTCTATATTAAATTTGTCAGTTTGAAGATAAGTCGTGGGCCAGCATTCCTAATATGTATCTGGGGTAACGAACTTCATAATGGCTTTTTCCTAGATACTCTCCGACGCGGCAACCGACTTCATACCCAACTACGCAGGCGACAATAAAGTCTTTTCCACTAGCTCCAATATCCTGTGATACAGCCAGGGCTGCAGGGAATATTACAGTCGCCTAATGCCAAATCAACACTGTGTTTATAAAGAGAGAGCAAACACGAGACTCACCGGGTGCATAATACTTCGATTGTGGAGGTCATCCTGCTCCACAACATGCGACGCAGCAGCGTTAATTAGACTAGCAAATGCTGGGCTGGTAGTGACATTTTGGGAGCCATCAACCAACTCGCTCTTTCCACTAGAAGGTCCCATTTGCGCCGCAAATCGCACCAGTGCAGTAACTGCGGGATGGCTTCTACCGGCTATAGCACAGCCCAGAGTATCCAAGAAGAAATCCTTAGTGCGTTGGACCACTTCATCGGGGATATCTGCATACTTCAGATCGACGGCCCATTTGACCAAACGGTCGGTTCGGGTTTCTTGGTTGGATGTAGCCATTGCAGATATGAGTAAAGAATGTCAAGTGATCTAGTTTGATGTGATTATTTGGTACAACTTCAAGTCTTCGTTCAAATATATGCGGGGAAATAGCGGGCAATTCGGTCTTTTAGTCTCCTTTTCCGAGGGAGGAAACATCCGAGGCATATAGCCGAGTTCTAGTTGAGTTTGCGAGTATAATGGCGTTTCACTTTGCTTCAAATCACAGTGATCCGACTGCACTTATGCCAAGGTTATTTAACAATCTTGCTTCCCTTCAGACTTATGAGCAGTATATAGTTCACAGAGCATCATGTGATTGTCAGCCTTGCCGCCTTGCAACCTAAATAATAAGGCAGCAATATTGGCTCGGCGCGGGCACACTTCCTTCCTCGTAAATTCTTGACCGGAATACGGGAAAGCAAGGGATAAATGTTTTTCTTCGATATCACCGATCCCATATACCACTTCTAGAGCACTTTACTCTTACAATTCACTTCGTACTGCTACAACTGTGGCGTTCATAAAAAAGCGATGATTTCATGCAAGCGGCCATATTAATGCCAAAGGCGGAAGGGGAATTGATCTGCAACGGATCAGCCGGAACAGCGCCCCTGGGCCATCTGCGATCCCATACTTTCCCAGCCTTTTTCCTCTCCTTGCTTTGCCCGTATATATACCCAACTTTCTATCTCTTCATCCCAGATAACGAACATTCTTGGAGTGCGTCGTCTTCATGGGGTTCACGTCCCGATTTCTCCGCATTCCGCGGCCAGAGGTAAGCCTCTACGATCTGTGCGCCCCGAACGAGCTAACCTGTCCCGTGACCTCAGACCTTTCTCTATGTGATGAGCTTAGAGACTGGTGCTTCTCTGATCACCCTATCTCTGCTATTGAATAAAATTAGTGGCCTCTATGGCCTACTGGCCCTTTGACTGGGTACCATCTGTCGCCCGTCCAACTGTCGATGTACCTGTACTCCCTTGTCGCCCTTGGACTCGCCGCACTCCTATTCCCTCACATTCGGAAACAATCACCTCTACAATGTCTCTCCCTCGCCTATCTTTACGTCTTCGACAGTCTGATTAACGCCGCCTATACCGCCGCCTTTGGTGTGACTTGGTTCCTGGTGGTGTCGCAGCATTACGACAGTGGCAAGGGAGCCGGCCCAGGCGGCGACACCATCGCTCAGACCGCTGGCTTCACCAGCCCGAAGTACGATGCCGCCTACGTTGAAATCCAAAATACCAAGGACGGTAACAACTTCGTCGCCCACCCACCTCGCAGCGCCGAAGACCTGAGCAATGTCGTTCTCCAGCCCGAGAGCCTCCAGAGCATCATTTTCATCTCCCTGCTATGGGCCGTGCGTGTATACTTCGTCCTGGTTATGCTCGCGTTCGCGCGCCAAGCTCTTCGCCTTTGGGTTGCTATTCCCCGTCACACCCAGCTCCCGACCCACAGCCGCAATGTGTCAGTCGCCAGTGTAGCTGATATCGACCGCGAACCCTTCTCTGTCTATAGCCCCGACGGCCAGGGTTGGAAAGGAAAGTTGGGCCGCATTATGATTGGTATTGGTCACAACTACTGGCTTGGCGAAGAGGAGGACGGAAACTGGCTCAGTGGCATCAACCACAAATTCCGCAACCGTTCGAGCCCTACCGAGCTGCCTGGTGCTCTGGAGAGGGAGAGAAGACGTCGTTCCGGCACTGGCCCCCCACAACCATCGCGGTCTGTCGTTCAGTCTGCTACCATCCAACAGCCAATTCCCGAGCATGTGCCAGGAATGAATGTCAAAATGCAAGACTGGAATGCGCCTCGATAAATGATTCTTTTGGACATGCCAGCGTCTTTCAACGATTAAGGCCATCTTCTTGTACATCGCCCCTTTTGAACTCGCTTTTCGGTGTCTTCAACTGCCCCCAATCTTTCATCTGGCTGTCTTCAGCCAGGGACACAATCCACCCCGGCTCTTGTGTCCGTCCCATCGTTTTGCTAGACGGCGGAATTCGACTGCCGATAGCTCTGCTTACTCGAGACTCCGCTATCATGACAAAGCCCGAGTCCTTTTGCTCAATAATAACGACAACCTCTGCATATACAAGTTTGGAACGGGTCCAGGAATCTATGGTGTTGATTGATTACCCTGCCATCATTCGATATCTGGGAAAGGCGTTTTAAATTTGTCATCTTGGGCTTATCACCTCGCCCAGGCGGGAGTTGGGGCGCTTTATTGGAGTCTTGACTGCCACGCTCGTGTGCATCTAACATAACACCTATGGGTTTGGCGTCGGGATATGTGTACATTGCTTATTGGATATGGGTTTGGTACAGTTGGGAGATACCTACTCTCTTACGGCTGCATATTTGACAAGGATTTTATGTCTTATTGTACACACTACCTTTTGGATAAACACCACATGCATATTATCTGTTTCTGGTTCAAACAGTCTGGTGGGGTGATAACAGTAGACATCAAATGAAGAGTAATCCTCTTGGTGGCATGGCCTGAGTTCTTCATAGTAAACAACTTGAAAAATTAAAGCTTCAGTTGCACCACACCACTCGGCCGAATCATAGTGATAAGTGTGGATATAAATATTGGAGTCATACTCAAGCGAAGTTGGGAAGTGTCCCCCTCATTCCCTGTCGGCATCTGACCGGTAATTTAGTTTTGGAGATTCCTTCCAAGCCTTAGGAAGCGTAAGAATGGTATTGACGGGAATGCCGGCGTAACTCCGAATTGAAAGTGTTGGGCATCGGTAATTGCCGTGGTGCTATTGGTGCCGCGCTAGCAGATGAAGGAAAAAAAATATATATCTGCACGATAGTGCATATGGTTGCAATCTCTACCAACACCACCAGGTCGTCATTTTAGTTTGACACCATTAGATGAAGCAAAACCCTTAGAATCTCACGATTCGAGTGTATTCTGAACCTCAGAAGTATAGATATCGAGCTGTAGTTGGGTGGGCAAACACCGCAAACACAAACCCCGACGCTGACGTGCTCGACCGAGTCACGGGGTCCCCGCACATGAGCCCAATCGGGCTTGTTTGCATCTTTGCTGCTACGTGTTTGCACTGATGTCGTGATCGAACACCAATCAGCGGACTGCTGATCTAACCCCGACGACGGAGAAATCAATGATCGTGGGAAAGAAAACCCGTGGAACATCTTTTTTCTCCCTGAAGAGAGATCACAGGTATCAAGAGACACATTAATTGTCTCCGTTCATACATTTGGCGGATCTGTGCTGCGAGTGGGAGATCGCTGCAACTGATAAGCCATATCGCCGATTTTAATATCCCACCTGCGCTGTGACTCGAACAGCTAGCAATTATAATGGCATCTGTCTCAAGTGCCGCCGAGGCCGGTAAGTGATGTTGTGTTCTTGGGATGCTTGCAAATAGAGGCGCAATTGCTAATATTGCAATTGGCTTATAGTGGCGAGAATCGCCTACCTCACTAGTGATGTCGTTCTTTCTGTGCAGCCCTCTCTGCAGAACGACTCATTGTTCTCCAAGTCTCTCAAGGCCTTGAAGGCTAACAAGACGAGCAACATCTCATCAAAAAGCACACATGTAAGTCAATATGGTATGACCTGCGAGATCGGAACCGAATTAACAATATGGCCAGGTCCAAGCTGTGCGCTACAACGAGGACCCTCTCCTGTCCGCTTTCACCCCTCTGCGAAAGGGTGATCTTACCTCCGTGGTCACTAGCTCCTCCGTCCTGATCACCGCCGTTCCTCACCTCTACCGTCTTGCCAACAACCCTGTCGTCATCCACGTTGCCCTGGAGCCCTCTCCCTTCCCCGATTACTCAGTGATCAGCTCCATCCGGCAATCCGGCTTCACATTCCTGCATTCTGAGACTGTGCAGGAGGCTCAGGATATCGCTATCACAGCCCACGCCCTTGCTCAGAAGTCTGGAAAGGGTGTGATCCACTTCTTCGACCCCGCCAACTCGGCCAAGGACCCCTCCATTGCCACCGAGGATATCGAGGTCATCAAGAAAGTTCTCAACATCAGCACCAATGTTGCGACTCCCGCTGGAGCTGAGACCCTCTACGCCGACTCCGGCCGTGTGGCCACTGTCAATGCCGAAACCCTGGAGGCCCCCACTGGCCAAGAATCCACAACCTTTGCCCCTCCCTCTCAACCTCAGACTCCTTTCAACGCTAGCGTTGACAACTCATCAGTGGGTTCCTCGCGGAGGGACAGCAGTGCTGGTAGCGAAGCCCCAAGCTCGACTGCTACCACCGTGGACAATGCCAACAGCGCCCGACCTGTCAACGCCGCCGACATCTTCGACTGGACGGCTCAGATCTGGAACACTTTGTTCGAGGAGGTGGGCCGCAGATACAACGCCATTGAGTACACTGGAACCGCCAATGCCAAGTCTGCCATCTTTGTCTTTGGTTCAACTGGTGTCTTCGTTGATGCCCTGGCCAACGCTAGCGCTCAATCTGAGCTTGAGAACATTGGTTTGATCACTGCTCGTCTCTACCGCCCTTGGGTTGGCGGCCAGATCTCCGGCTCGATCCCCAGCTCCGTTGAGAGGATCGCTGTTCTCGAGCAGGTTCGCAAGACTACCAAGTGGGGTCCTTCTTTCATGGATCTCCTTTCCAGTCTTACCCCCGCCGGTGTACGCGGCCAGGCCCCCCAGATCGTTGGATACCGTCTTGGCTATATTGAGCCCTCTACCGCTGTCCAGGCCCTTCGCGGTGTCTTGCAGAACTTGACCTCTGAATCTCCTATCCAAAACCTCGAGATTGGAAGCTCTCAGGTCCCCACTATCCAGAATGCCCTCGAGCAGCCTCGCATTGAGAACGCTTACTTGAAAATTCTCAACCAGCTCTTCGGTGAGCGTCTTCATATTGCCAACGAGCTTGGCTCACAGAACGCTGGTGTCTCGAGCACCATTGCTGCAAGCCCTGAGTACGGTTTCGGATCTCTGCTGGCTCGCCAGGAGCACCGCCAGCGCTTCATCCGCGAAGTTGAGGAGGCTTCCAAGTCCACCACCTTTGCCACCGACGTACCCAAGACTTGGCTGTCTCGCTGGGCTCTGAATGTCAAGGATGCCGCCAAGGCCAACAAGATCGCCCCCGAGGTCATTGCCCGTCTTTCTAACGATGGGTCTTCTCTTTCCCGCCAGCTTTTGCAGTCCAAGAAGCTCTTCTACGACGAGTCTGATTGGCTCATTGGTTCCGATGCCTGGGCTTACGATTTCGGCAACTCCGGTGTTCACCACGTTCTAGCCTCTGGTGCCAACGTGAACATGCTGATCATCGACTCTCAGCCCTACTCCGAGCGCTCTGCCGCTGACTCCACTCGCCGCAAGAAGGACATTGGTCTTTACGCCATGAACAGGGGCAACGCCTACGTCGCCTCCGTTGCTGTCTACAGCTCCTACACCCAGGTCCTCCAGGCCATGTCCGAGGCCCAGCAGTTCAAGGGTCCCTCCGTCGTTGTTGCCTACCTTCCTTACAACCAGGAGAATGACTCCGCTCTCACTGTGCTGCAGGAGACCAAGAAGGCTATTGATCTCGGCTACTGGCCTCTGTACCGCTGGAACCCCGACAACGAGGACAAGGGTGAGCCTAAGTTCGCTCTCGACTCTGAGCGTATCAGGCGTGAGCTTGAGGAGTTCCTGCGCCGTGATAACCAGCTCACTCAGCTGATGAACCGCCACCCTAAGTACGCACCTGTGCTTTCTGAGTCCTACGGTACTGAGGTCCGAGCTCTCCAGAAGAGAAACGCCAAGGATTCCTACGAGAAGCTCTTGGACGGCCTCTTCGGTGCTCCTCTGACTATTCTCTTCGCCTCCGACAACGGTAACGCTGAGAGCCTTGCTAAGCGTCTTGGAAACCGTGGACGTGCTAGGGGTCTGAAGACCATGGTCATGGCCATGGATGACTTCCCCATCGAAGACCTCCCTACCGAGGAGAACGTTGTGTTCATCAGCAGTACTGCTGGCCAGGGTGAATTCCCTGTCAATGGACGTGGTCTCTGGGAGCACGTCAAGAACGCTGGTGACCTCGACTTGTCTTCCATCAACTACTCCGTTTTCGGTCTTGGTGACAGCCACTATTGGCCCCGCAAGGAGGACAGGGCTTACTATAACAAGCCCGGAAAGGACCTTGATGCTCGCGTTGCGTTCCTGGGTGGTCGCAAGCTGACCGACATCGGTCTTGGTGACGACCAGGACCCTGATGCCTACCAGACTGGTTATTCCGAGTGGGAGCCTCGCCTCTGGAAGGCCCTGGGTGTCGACAACGTTGAGGGTCTGCCCGAGGAGCCTGCTCCTATCACTAATGAGGACATCAAGATCGGTTCCAACTTCCTTCGCGGTACCATCGCTGAGGCTCTTCTGGATGAGAGCACTGGTGCTATCCCCGCCAGTGATCAGCAGCTGACCAAGTTCCACGGTACCTACATGCAGGATGACCGTGACCTTCGCGATGAGCGCAAGGCCCAGGGTCTTGAGCCTGCCTACAGCTTCATGATTCGCTGCCGTCTCGCCGGTGGTGTTGCCACTCCCAAGCAGTGGCTGCAGATGGATGCTATTGCCAGCTCGCACGGTAACGAGACCATGAAGCTCACCACCCGACAGACCTTCCAGTTCCACGGTGTGATCAAGCGCAACCTTAAGGGTGCCATGCGTGCCATCAACAACTCCATGATGGACACTCTCGCTGCCTGCGGTGACGTGAACCGTAACGTCATGTGCAGTTCTCTTCCCGAGCTCTCTTCCTTCCACCGCGAGACCTGGGAGTGGTCCAAGAAGATCAGTAACCACCTCCTTCCCTCTACCACCGCCTATCATGAGATCTGGCTGGAAGATGAGGATAAGAAGAAGGTTCAGGTTGCCGGCGATGCCATTGTTGACCACGAGCCCCTCTACGGTCCTACCTACCTTCCCCGCAAGTTCAAGATCACCATTGCCATTCCTCCTCACAACGACACTGATGTCTACGCTCACGACATTGGTCTCATTGCCATCAAGGGCGCTGACGGCCATCTGGAGGGCTTCAACGTCCTGGCTGGTGGTGGTATGGGATCCACCCACAACAACACCAAGACCTACCCCCAGACTGGTCGCATGTTCGGATACATCCCCGCCGACAAGATCCACATCGTTTGCGAGAAGATCATGCTCGTGCAGCGTGACAACGGTGACCGCAAGAACCGTAAGCACGCTCGTATGAAGTACACCATCGACGATCTCACCGTCCCTGTCTTCCGTAGCAAGGTCGAGGAGCTTCTCCCCGAGGGCCTCAAGTTCGGCGAGCCCCGTGCCTTCGAATTCAAGTCCAACGTCGACACCTTCGGCTGGATCAAGGACGACACAGGCCTCAACCACTTCACGATGTTCATTGAGAACGGTCGTATTGAGGATACTTCCGACTTCAAGATGCGCACTGGTCTGCGCGAGCTTGCTGGTCTTGGTAAGGGAGAGTTCCGTCTCACTGGTAACCAGCACTTGATGATCTCTCGTGTTACCGACGAGGATCTCCCTCTCATTAAGGAAACCTTGGCTAAGTACAAGCTTGACAACACCGCTTTCTCCGGTCTGCGTCTGTCTTCCTCTGCTTGTGTTGCCTTCCCTACTTGCGGTCTCGCCATGGCTGAGTCCGAGCGTTACCTCCCCGTCCTGATCTCCAAGCTCGAGTCTACCCTCGAGGAAGTGGGTCTTGCCCGTGACAGCATTGTGATGCGTATGACTGGTTGCCCCAACGGCTGTGCTCGTCCCTGGCTCGCCGAAGTTGCCTTCGTCGGAAAGGCCTACGGTGCTTACAACATGTACCTGGGCGGTGGCTACCACGGCCAGCGTCTGAACAAGCGCTTCCGCTCGTCCATCAAGGAGGACGAGATTCTTGAGATCATGAGAGACCTTCTCAAGCGCTACTCTCTCGAGCGTAACACCGACGGCGAGACTCCTGAGCGCTTCGGTGACTGGTGTATCCGCGCTGGTGTCATCAAGGCCACCACTGACGGACAGAACTTCCACGCTGGCATCGCCGAAGACGAGGAGGAAGAAGAGGAGTAATCGCTATATAAAGCATTCTCACTATATCCGACTTGTTATGACCACGGGGGAACCAATCCCTGCTTTTCTTTTTGATTTGTTTGATATCTCACGTCGCAATGCATTGATGTCTTGGCGATTATGATTTCGCTTTGAAAAAAATTGTTCCTAGATTTGTTTTTTATATGCCCCGATTCCTCATTTCTTCCTGTATGTCGATCTCATCATATCCCAAGCCAACTGCTTGTGCATACATACTGAAACATTACTCTCAATTGATATCCTTTTCCGTTGTGAAGCTTCTACCCTGACATCAAACATTCTAGCCGCTTACTTATTTAACCTTTGCCCAATCTGCTGTCTCCGGTGTAACAAGGCACGGGACTCAGGTGGCTACCCAATCGGGCAATATCGCACCCCATCGAGGTCAAATACCTCGTGGCGATAACAAGCCTCAACCACGGGTTTGGAAAAAGAAGCGCGGGCAAAGCTGATGCATTATTGACATCACGGCCGCATCAGGTAACCTCATCATCTTGATCTGTCTCAGCCCTATGCTCGACTGTGAAGTATTCGAAAAGACCACGAAAACAAAACATATCCCGAATCGTTGCAATGGCCTCAATGCTAAAGGCGCCATTCACTCCCCTCCTCTACCTAAGCCGCCGATTCCGTCAAGACCAAGACTGGACCTACCGACAAGCCCTATCAAACACACTGATAAAAATCTTCCTCCAAGTCTTCGTAGCCTTCCGCACAAAACCACCCCTGTCCCTAAAACCAGGCCTAGAAGGCGACCGCTTCGTCCAAATCGTACCAGGCCCCGAAGATCTATACACAGGAATAACCGTCGACGACGAAATCCACCCAGAAACCATAGGCGGAACCTGGTTCCCAACAGCCTACTCCTACACCACAACAACCTCCTCAGACAAACACATCATCCTCCACTTCCACGGTGGCTCCTACATCATCGGCGACGGCCGCACACTATCCTGCAAATTCCTCGTAGACAACCTCCTAGCCCACTCTCCCTCCAGCCACGTCTTTAGCCTCCAATACCGCTTAGCCTGCAACCCGAACAGCCGCTTTCCCGCCCAACTCCAAGACGCCATAACCGCCTACTGCTACCTAACCCACAGCCTGCACATCCCCGCCTCGCGCATCGTCCTCAGTGGCGATTCCGCAGGCGGTCACCTCGTCCTAGCCCTCCTCCGCTACATAGCAGACTATGACGACGAGAAGATCCTTCCACCACCATCATGCAGTTGGCTCTTCTCGCCGTGGTGCGATATCCCCGGCTCAAGGAATACAGCATTATGGAATACCCTGCCGAACGCAACGGTGGATTATGTCCCGCCCTCGTTCCCGGCGTGTGGGGCGAAGCACTTAATCGGCAATCTGGAGCTAAATAGGGCTGTTGAGCCTTATCTAGCACCGATTTGGCATCCGTTTGCGCTGCCTTCGCCTATGCTAGTTGTTAGTGGTGGCCGGGAGGTTATGTGTCAGGAGCATGAGCGGTTGGCGAGGCATTTGCGGAAATTGCCGCAGAATGAGGGCCGCGTGGAGTATTTCGTGCAGGATATTTCGCCCCATGATGTTTTGATGGTGGGGTGGATTATGAATTTTAGGAAGGAGGCTGCGCAGTGTGCTGAGTCTGCTGGTTGCTTTTTGACAAAGCTTCAGGCTATGTCGGATGAGAGTGAAGTTCCGGTTTTGGCTTTTGAGGCTTGATGTTGGGGGGTTTGGGTTGCTATATTTTCGGATTTAGTGTTTGCTATTTGGGTTTTCGGTGGGGGATACAGCGGTTTGAGATGTGGGTATGGGTTTATCAGATTGAGCTTTGGGAATGGTTGCTTGTAGTCTTTCTCTTGGTACTCGAGGTGATGTAGATTCCTTGCGGGTGATCTCAGTTCTCATTCAACTCGACCCTTGGCGTACAATTCCAGTAGGCACGCTAAACAAAAGGATACTTACATTCATCGAAAGGAATCTTTACAATGCTTACATGGGGGTCGACAAGGCCGACATGAAAAGATTTAGCCGAACTACTCTTGTATTGACGTGCAGATCCCTGGCAGAGGACCTGAGAGAAGTCTAGCTAGTTGAAAAAAACCCTGCTCAAATCCAACCATCATCGCCAACAATTGAAACCGCACCAATCGTCCACCCCAACACCAAGACCAGCCTCCATGAGAATATCTCCCCGTTTGGAGATTTTCCTTGACGACATCTATCGTATTGCCCGCGTTTCCTGATTCATGCAATGCCGCAAGCAAAGCATGACCGTGTACCGTGCATCATCAAAATGACGGGATGATTCTGTGGGGAGTAGGGACCGACTTGGTCCCGGTGGCACGACTTCCGCCTACCCACCTCATGTGAGTAGACCCTGACGGCCGAAAGTTGCGACTCTGTTGTCGACTGGTTCATTGATTGGGCGCCTTCGCGTAAGGCCCCGATGGTTCCGAATTCGATATGTTTGAGCTCATCATCATGTCTCCTGGGCAAACAGTGGCATTCCTTGGCGCTGGCGCGGACTCGTTTTCGGCTCTGGCCTGTAGCATGTCTTTCCTGCCAGGTCTAGACCATGGGCCTCCGGCTCTATCGATTCAATGTTTGTAACTCAAACCGTTACAAAGGTTCTGTGGGCGCAATCGATGTAAATGCCCTCAAGCCATGGTAGATGGGTGGTGTGGCAATGGACGACTGGATTGATCACAATGTGGTGGGAGATGGAAGGTTTTAAGCAAGGGTGCGTCTCTCACGCTAGGAAGGCATCGAGGGGGGTTGTCAAGCTCGATGGTGACGAAGAAGACCTCGACGTCTAAGAGAGCGTGATTTGTGAGAGGGAGGACAGCGTTGTAGCTCTCTCGTCACGGCTCCGGGTCCTCAAAGGAAGAAAATGGGACTGGGGAAAAGGGGGTAAATATAAGGATTGTGGGGGCGGTGAAATCGATAGCTCTCTTTCTGCCACCTCCCCGCCGACGAAATTCGATAAGCAAAAAAAAGTTCCACGAACATTCTCGATTCCTGCACTTTTACTTTTAGTCTATTCCCCTCGCCTCTATTTGTTCTCTTATAACCATGGGTTCCTCCGATGATGATCCAGTCATTGCCTCCTACGATGTCTTCCTCACCGACTCCGAGATATCTCGCTTTGTCTTCCAATACCTCGACCGAGATGAGGATTTTCCCTACAACGATAGAAATAACCAGCGCCCTACTCAGCTCCGAATGAAGGCGCGCACAGGCATTGTTGAGGTCGATGTGCCTATCAACACCCGCGGAAACTACGATGTCAACAAGGGGCTGCGCTATGGGGAAGCCATGAAAAAGAGCCGCTCATCTCGTGACGGAGGCGCTTATGGAATGTCCGGTGGCTTTACTGCTGGAGGTGCCGCTGCCAATTCTGGAGGCAGAGTCAAGATGGAGGGTAACGGGGACGTGGAGATCCTAGATAATAAGCGGGCAGTTGATTCGGCCTCATTGATGCGAACACAATCACTTGGGGGCCGGGTGAAGCCCGCCGAAGAAGGTGATCCAGTTTACATGCTGGCTACATTCAAAAATAGTACGTTGGATGCCGAAACAAGCACCAGAATATTGCTTGACAGGGCTCGATACTAACAGCTCGTTCTAGAAAATTTGCACCTTTCGCCGGTCTCGTCGGTTGTTCAATTCCACCCACAACTCCACCATCTAGATGCTTTGGATGAGATGCCCAAAGCAAAGGGCCGGAAAAGAGACGACGATGATCGACCCGCTGAGACCGAGGCACGCGCAATCGATATCAAGGTCAAGGGAGCCGAAGACGGAGAAACGAACATGGTCGGCGGGAATCTGGATCTTTTGAAGAAAATGCAGGAAGAAAAGTGGAAATCATATGGATGGATTGATGCTGAGGTATGTCTTCACAGGTTTATATTTGGTATATTTGGTGACGCCCTCCTGCTAACGCCCCCTATCCCAGACCGAAGATGCGTGGTACACTTATGAAAGCTTCATGATGCACCAGGAGCCCGAGACACTCCCATCTATGGAGACGAATATAAACTCGGAAGATTACCTCGATAAAATGAGTGCCCCAAGAATCGATCCAGCACGACCTGACCTCACCGGCTGGGCTATGAAAGAAAATCGCCGGAGACAACGAGATGGGGCCTCTCAAAACGAGAACGAGCAGTGACGAATCCTTTTGCAGCATCAAACAATCCATTCTTAGCGGGTTTTTGGCATTAATTTCTATTTCAAGCTTCATCTCTTCCTGGCTTTTTAATCTAATGGCAGATTAGTGCTTTCTACGTAGCGTCTAGCTTCTACAACATGTATCTTTCTGTTTGCCGCCTAGCACACGCTAATGGGTCTTGTAAACACCAGACTACATACATAACCAGTAAATATGCGTGCTCTTCAGCCGTTGCCACCTGTATGGAGCTGTCCGCCAATCAGGGCGATACGGTATGTGGTCACGTGAAAGCCGGTTTTTCTCCCGAGTCTCCGCTGCTACAGATCGAGAATCCCCTTTTTTCTACTGTTTCATTCCTTTCCCTCTTTTTTTGCTTTAGTCGAGGGTTGCAGGTCAGCGTATAATCGCGGTGAGAAATCGCCTTGGTTTCGCCTCTGCTATCATTGCGGTGTCTGTTTACTTGACCTGCACTCTGAAAGTTTGCATCTCTTATCCATATAATTTTATCCTTAATATTTTCTTCATTTCGCGCCCTATCCTACCCTCGACGCAATCGCGAAATCCTCGTATCCACGCACGATGTTATCACGCGTGGCTCGTCAGAAAAATGCCCTCTTCCACTCGCGGAGGGCCCATGTCCTTCGAGCATCGGTCACCTTACCGACAACACGACTCCATTCCTATACAAGCAACCGGACTTCGCTCGTGAACCCTCCAGTTACTGTGACCCAAAGTCATTCCCGGAGGTCGTCTCTTCAATCAAAACGCCATCTCGCTACGGCTGCTGATCCCCCCGGTTTCAATACGCATTCCTCCCGTCCTTCCGATTCTTTCATGCACATGCCCTATGACGCCTTCGATACATCCTCCTTGGTCATTCTTGACTCAACCCCTTCGACACAAGCCAAAATTTTTCGCAGGAGGCACGGTGTTGGCGGTGATGAGACAGAAATGAGGGCAAACCTGGAAGTCTCGTTGAAAGTTGGCCAATTTGAACGAGCTGCCTCATTAATCAACCGTCTTGGCCACTACCATCCGGTCGGTTCGCAGGAGTACCTGAACCTACACAACCGCTATCTGAAGGAAATGGTGTCGTACATGATCCTCAATCGGGCACAGGAAATGGTCCTCCCTCTGCAGAAATGGTTTGAGGTGGATATGCCGGCCGGTGGTGTGACACCCAATGAAGAGACGTTTGCAATCATGCTCCACATGGCTATACGCATGCTTCACGGAACGAAGCGGGAGAGAACAGTCCGTCGTTATTGGGAGCTTGCCCAAAAGGCGGGGCTAGAGGAGGAAATCGTTGGTTTGGAGATACTGGAGGACTCCGACGTTGGGGAGCTATCGAGGGTGAGTTGATATTTTATGCAGGACCATTGAAGCCATACTAATACTTCACAATCAGATTTGTTCCTCCGACATGCTGGACTTGGTGTCTCAATACATGAGAATGGATGGGTCCTTAAATGCCCTAGAAGAATCCCAGTTTGAGCGCGTACCTGCTGCCATGGACGATGCCCCCGTGATTCAGTCCGTCGATCAAAAGGGACTCGGAATGTCATCCCTCAAAGAGTCTCTGTCCCTCTTTGCAGACCATTCTGAAATCCAGTTGCCCTCAAATTTCGAAGGCACCGAAGAAGAAGCCCGGACGCTACGCAACGAAATAAGACAAAAAAGACTGGAAGCCGATGGTATCGAGTCAGCACTCGCTCGTTGGCGTACAGAGAACGCGAGGAGACAAAAAGCAGGCCTGAACGCGTCTTCGGATGAAAAGAAATTAAACTCTGTCTTGAGTCAATGGCACACGGATCTCGTGGCAAGAATCAAGAGAGAGTTGGAGCTTGTGGAGGAGGCGCTTGCGAACCCCATCACGAGCGTCGAGCAGCGGGATCGTTGTGATTATGGCGTATATCTCCAATCTCTCGATGCTGATCGATTAGCTGCACTCACCATCATCACGGTCATGTCCGTGTTCAGCCGCACGGGAATGGACAAGGGAATTAAACTTTCTGCCATCGCTACAACTCTTGGAAAAGAATTCCAAGATGAATTGATTGCCAAAAGCGTCATCACGAAAAACAAGGGTGTAAACCCTAGCCGTCTCAAGGCCCTGAAGGAGACTCTTGCAAACCGCAAGACCAAGGATGGCCGCATGCGATGGAAGACGCTTGTCGACAAAGCCAATGAGGAAGATTCACATGTTCACTGGGGCTCCCGTGTACAAGTCAGAGTCGGTGCAAGTCTCATGAGCATGCTATTCGATGTCGGTAAAATCTCTGTTTGGGTTGAGGACCCCCTTACCAAGAAGAAGGTCTGCACCATGCCACCGGCCTTCCAACATGCTTATCAAATTCACTACGGAAAACGCTCGGGTCTCATCCATGTGCACCCTGAAATTGTCAAAATTGTAACAAAAGAGCCTCCTTCCGAATTGTTGGCCCGCCACCTCCCAATGGTCACCAAACCGAAGCCTTGGACTGGACCAAGGAGCGGTGGATACAAAGTTTATGAAAGCAGCCTGGTGCGCAGTACTGCCGGCGAAATTCTGCAACCGGCTTACATCAAAGCCGCTATGAAGGACGATGGCATGAAAGAGATTCGAGCTGGCCTTGATGTTCTTGGAGCTACTGCCTGGAGGATCAATCGGTCCGTTTTCGACGTAATGGTTCAAGCTTGGAATACTGGAGAAGCCGTGGGGAAAATCGCCCCCCTGGACCCAGACCTGACGATTCCTCCGCAGCCAAGTTCAGATGCCGACCTTGCGGAGCAGCACCAATGGAGTCGAAAGTTGCGAGAAATTGAGAACCTTCGCTCTGGATACCACTCTATTCGCTGTTTCCAGAATTTCCAGCTCGAGATCGCGAGAGCCTACCGCAACGAGGTCTTCTTCCTACCCCATAACATGGATTTCCGCGGCAGAGCGTACCCTCTTCCTCCCTATTTGAACCAGATGGGAGCTGACAACTGCAGAGGGTTACTGCTTTTCGACACAGGAAAAGAACTTGGTGTAAGTGGCTTGCGCTGGTTGAAGATTCAGATTGCAAACTTGAGTGGCTTTGATAAGGCAAGTATGTCTGAACGGGAGCAATACACCATGGACAAATTGGACGATATCCTCGACTCGGCCAACAATGGTCTGAATGGACGCAAGTGGTGGCTTAAGGCCGAGGATCCATGGCAATGTTTGGCCGCTTGTATGGAATTGCGCAATGCCTTACAACTGTCCGATCCCACCACATATGTGTCTCATCTCCCCATCCACCAAGATGGCTCGTGCAATGGTCTTCAGCACTACGCTGCCCTGGGTGGCGATAAGGCCGGTGCCCAACAGGTCAACCTTGAGCCCTCTGATCGCCCATCAGATGTTTATTCCGGTGTGTGTGACTTTGTCAACGAAAGCATTACGCAGGACGCAGCCAATGGCAATAGCCTAGCCAAGGTTCTCGATGGAAGAGTGACGAGAAAGATTGTGAAGCAGACGGTCATGACGAATGTCTATGGCGTGACCTTCATGGGAGCGACAAGACAAGTCAAAAAGCAGCTTGTCGACTATCTACCAGACCTCTCCAGCGCAGAGAGGGTGTCGGCGTCTGTCTACATCGCCCAGAAAATTTTCGGCGCTCTTGGCACCATGTTCAACGGAGCTCACGATATTCAATATTGGCTTGGTGACTCTGCGCTCCGCATTACACAGTCCTTAACACCGGAGCAAATCGAGCAACTCACCGAACAAGCGTTGACACACAAGGCCACCCACCGCTCTTCTCTTCCGAGATCCCTCGATCCCGAAAAATCATTCCAGTCGACTGTCATCTGGACCACTCCGCTGGGTCTTCCAGTTGTCCAACCATACCGCACTCGCAAAGCTCGTCGCGTGCAAACTACTTTGCAAGAAATCAGTATCATGGATCCTAGTGCCGACGACATTGTGTCGAAGCGCAAGCAGCTCCAGGCTTTCCCACCTAACTTCATTCATTCCCTCGACGCCACGCACATGATCTTGTCTGCCAACGCATGCCACGAAGCAGGCCTGACATTCTCCGCCGTCCATGATTCCTTCTGGACCCATGCCGGTGATGTCGACCAGATGAATGAAATCCTCCGGGATGCCTTCGTTCGCATGCATAGCGACGATATTATCGGGCGCCTCGCAGCTGAGTTCAAGGTGCGATATGGTAAGAATTTGTTCCTTGCCCGAATCCCCCTGACCAGCAAGCATGGCAAGGCAATCCGCGCTCTGCGCAAGGGGGGAAAGAGCTCAAAGCTCGCCGAGCTGATTCAAGAGCAACGACGACAGAATCTTCTCAACTCGGAGGATCCCGAAGACCAAGCGGAGGGTCGTGCTATGGTCACAGCCGCCAGTGTCTTCGAAGGACTGGGTGGCACAGATGCAGACCTGTGCATGACCAAATCTTTGGGTGCAACCGCAATGGGCCACGTGCCAGAGAATCTTGAATCCGCGGAACGTGCGCCCATGGCAGATGGAATCGATACCTCCGATCCGGCCATCCAGGGCCTGCTGGGAAACATGGACTTGCCCGACGGGAAGCTGCTTGACGATGAACCAGAACCTGTGGATGAAACCGAGAAGGCTCCCGCGAAGAGAGGATCGCGCGTGGCGACCACTTGGATGTGGGTTCCGCTGAAGTTCCGCCCAGTCCCTGCCAAGGGAGACTGGGATTTGACTCGCATTCGCGAGAGTGAATACTTCTTCTCTTGAGGCTCCCATCTTTGGCTCCGTGCGGAGCTTCAATTTTATCCCTTTGGCGTTGCATATCTTTTTTATCTTTACTTTCCCATTTCATCTCCTGAGTATCGTGGAAAAGCGGTCTGCGGATGCATATTAGGTGCCTTTTAATTTCCTTGTACATTTCCTCATTCCCCATTTGTTTCCCTGGGCTTCATTGTTTACATTTTGTATATTTTATGCTGTTGGAGAGGAGGCACCGGGAACGAAAGAACAACCATGCATATAGCGATGTAACTTACGAATATGATCTTAGACTTTATTTCAATCGGAACTTAGCCAACTCCACATCTTTTTTAATGAATTTAACCTAAGCAAATAGCCATAGTATGAACAACTTTAAAGCTAAATAACCGGCCAGGGGCATCGATGGATTTAGGCAAAATAGAACAGCCGGTAGGGCAATCTGGGGGAAACCTGGCTTTAGCTCAGTCGCTACCTAGTCCTCATTTGCTGGGATTTGAGTCTCTAAACTGCATATACCAATCAGTTTGAATAGTTCTCAAGGGTGCAAGTATCCTGTTGGAGCTGCGCTTAGCAATTGAAAATTGGGCTTGGTCTGCCGACAGTAGGCCTGTTATGTACCTTTGTACCTTTGTTCTGCCTGGCCAAGACCGGGGTATGTTACCGAGGTGGTCAGACATTTAAGGGGCCCAAGTCCCCGTCTGGTGCTTCTCCGAGCCCTCTTGAATACGGGGCGCAAGCCTTCCAGGTATAGATGACCGGGGTCACACTGGATAAAGTGGCAGCCAATAAGCGAAGGGAGCAAGGGATGCAGATTCGAAACGGGTCTGCACAGGGGGTCTCCCAGTCAGAAGAGCGTTAAAAGAAAACGTATGAAATAAACAGGGATTATAGAAGTAGAAGTAGAACTGAAGGGAGTAGTTGAGGAGTATACCCCGTGCAACACGTGCCCGTTCCCCCGCCTTTCAGTCTCGACTGGCTTCCCCAGATCGTCAGGTTCCTGACATCTTTGCTTTTATTCACATTGCTTTTGTTGCACCCTTGAACTCTTAGACCCTTCCTGATTATCTTCTCTTGCCGAGAATCAAGCTTTGGGTCCTCGGCTCCGCCGAGAAAAAAGTCGCCTCCGGGATCTGGGGTTCCGCCACGGCCTCTCATGCCGTTCCACTGACACTTATGCCCCCCGTGTTCTCGATCACCATCACCTTCCCCCGTCAGTCTCACCTTGGACGAGAAAGATTAGGTCACATCGATTCGTCCTGTCCCTCTATGTCGACATAGAGCGCCTCCCCGCCTCCTCGGAGAAGAATGTCAACGACCTCCCTCCAATCCTTGCCCAATTCCTGCTCGTCCTTCTCGACCCAGCCACAATCTAAACGAATGCCCCAATCCCAAACCCCCGGGCTGGACACGCTTGCGGAGGGGTCGCAGTATGCGCTGGAACAACTCCAGCTAGCACGGGAAGCTGGCACTGCCAACGCCCCATCCGATCTCGCCCAATCGCTCTCTGATTCCAAATTGCCACACACCCAACATCTTCTATATAGCGAACAAGACGCCTCGTCCAGTCTGAAAGGGCCACAATCGCGCGACAGCCTTGCCGAGGCTCGCTCCGCAATCCGCAAGAACTCATCTGCCACTCCGGTCCGGCGGAGAATTAGCCGGGCTTGCGACCAGTGCAATCAATTGCGGACCAAGTGCGACGGTCAAAACCCGTGCGCACATTGTGTTGGTATGGCCAGTTCACGGGTGTTCTTTGGCTTGCGAAAATAGTCTAATTAACGAATTCCAGAGTTCGGACTCAGTTGCGAATACGCCCGCGAGCGGAAGAAGCGCGGGAAAGCGTCGAAAAAGGATATAGCCGCAGCCACTATCACCACCGACAGCGACCTAGGTGGTAAAGATAGTGCGACGCATGCCCAAAGCCATCCGTCGAATGGCCAGTCTTTACCAGAATCTAACGAACGCTACGATCCGGCCTTTGATGCTGCGCGCACTCTAACCGAAAGCGCACAATCACGACCACATGACACTGAGATGCCAGGTTTATCTGGTATGCGCCAAAATCAGGCACCCGTTCAAGCTTCTCAGCAGCAGATTAGCTCTAGCATGGCAGGTATGCCATTCAACCATTATGAAGCATTACAAGAATCGCATCGACCGCCAATGTCCGTACCCGATCTGCGCTCTATACATATGATGCAAACCGCGAATGCAAATTCTCGGTCGCCCAGCTCGATGCTTAATTCTCAAGGCTTTGGCTCGGGCTATAATGATGGCGCATACCCTCTAATGAATTCGCAAGAGGCGAATTCGACGTCTATGAACCAGTTCCGCCTTGGAAACTCGGCGGAACATCCTACAGCTTCATTTTTAGGGTTTTCTCCGCCAGGTCAATCACCCAGTTGGTTGCCACTACCTTCTCCGTCTCCCGCCAATTTTCCGTCCTTCAGCATGCCATCTTTCTCTAGTTCGTTGAGATACCCCGTCTTGCAACCAGTTCTTCCACACATCGTGTCTATAATCCCTCAATCTCTCGCCTGTGATCTTCTCGATGTCTACTTCACCAGTTCATCTTCCTCGCATCTTTCTCCGTCGTCTCCATATGTGGTTGGTTATGTTTTCCGCAAGCAATCCTTCCTACACCCCACGAAACCACGGGCGTGCAGCCCCGGGCTCCTCGCCAGTATGTTGTGGGTAGCCGCACAAACGAGTGAAGCTGCATTTTTGACATCACCTCCCTCTGCCCGCGGGCGAGTCTGCCAAAAGCTTCTGGAATTGACTGTTGGATTACTTCGACCACTTATCCATGGACCTGCAACTGGGGAGGCATCTCCCAATTATCCCGCGAATATGGTAATCAACGGGGTCGCTTTAGGTGGATTTGGCGTGTCAATGGACCAATTAGGCGCCCAGAGCAGTGCAACTGGCGCTGTGGACGACGTCGCTACGTACGTTCACTTGGCGACAGTCGTTTCCGCTAGTGAATATAAGGCTGCAAGTATGCGGTGGTGGACAGCAGCCTGGTCTCTTGCACGAGAGCTCAAGTTAGGTCGCGAACTGCCGCCTAATGCAACAACTCGCCAGGACGGCGAACTAGAGGGTGAAGGAGAGCTCGACGTTAACGGCAAGAGGCAGCCGCCCCAGCTCATGGGTCATGGTCCTGGCAACTCAGCGGTCAACCTGACAGAAGAGGAACGCGAAGAGCGCCGTCGGATATGGTGGTTGCTATATGCGACTGATCGCCATTTAGCGCTCTGCTACAACCGTCCTTTGACACTTCTAGATAAGGAATGTGAGGGTTTATTACAGCCTATGAACGACGACATCTGGCAAACAGGAGACTTCTCGTCGGTTAATTACCGCCGCGCTGGCCCATCCTTCGAGTGTACTGGCCACAGCATGTTCGGATACTTCTTACCACTGATGTCCATCCTCGGTGAAATTGTGGATCTGCAACATGCCCGAAACCATCCGCGCTTTGGTCTCCATTTCCGGAACAGTGGTGAATGGGAAAGTCAGGCAATGGAAATCAGTCGACAGCTCGATGTCTACGCCCAGAGTTTGAAAGAGTTCGAAGCCCGGTTCACGAGCTCTCTCGCACTCGGTCCGGAAAATGACACTGTTATGGAGGGCTCCAACCTCAACCATGTCAGCCCGTCAGGTCGGTCGAGTAGCACCGTGGGATCGCATGTTAGCGAGTCCATCGTCCACACGAGGATGGTGGTTGCTTACGGCACCCATATCATGCACGTTCTCCACATTCTGTTGGCTGGGAAGTGGGATCCGATCAACCTGCTCGATGATAACGACCTATGGATTTCGTCCGAATCGTTCATCTCGGCCATGGGACATGCCGTCAGCTCTGCTGAAGCCGCCTCGGACATCCTAGAATACGATCCCGATCTGAGTTTCATGCCCTTCTTCTTCGGTATATACCTGCTGCAAGGTAGTTTCCTACTACTCTTGACTGCGGATAAGTTGCAAGGAGATGCTAGTCCAAGTGTGGTCAGAGCATGCGAAACTATCGTGCGAGCACATGAGGCTTGTGTCGTGACTTTGAACACTGAATATCAAGTAAGTGCCCGCGAGTTCGTCTGCACAGCTAAGAGTGGATACTAACATCATCCAGCGAACTTTCCGGAAAGTGATGCGCTCAGCTCTTGCCCAGGTTCGTGGCCGTCTTCCGGAAGACTTTGGTGAGCAGCAGCAGCGCAGGCGTGAAGTACTGGCCCTTTACCGCTGGAGCGGGGATGGCAGTGGACTTGCGCTGTAGTTACCTCACTCGCTGTTTATACTTTCATCATTGATCAAGTATATATCTTTTCTTGTTGGTTCTGATTTGCGTCCTGTATACTACTTTTTCTTGGACTTTGGACATACCCCGAGGAGCGAAAAGGCGCACACTTTGTCTATCTATTTACTCGGCACATACCATACCCTCTATTTACATATTAATTTTGGTGTTTGGACGAAAATCAGGTGTTGAAGTGCAAGTTCGCAGTTCGCTGAGTTAAGCTCCGCAAGTATTATAGCATGGTAGAGCCATGACGACATCTCAGATAAGCATTTCTCCGCATTTCAGTTGCATCAATGAACATAGACGCGACTTTCACACTCCCAGGCATATTTGACGAATGAAAAAGTATCAAGTGATCTGACATGGCTTAATCTCTTCAACTATGACAGCTCTAATAAAATCACCTCGATTCCTCTCTACATTCCGCAAGCCTCCACAGGGCCCGCTGATCTTCAAACGTTCCCTGGGGATCCCGCCAGCTTTCCTCCTGGACGACTATATGCCACGATATCAGCTCCTGACTTCAGTTGAGTCAGCCAAGAAGCGTGCTGCTTCATACGCACATCTCCGAGAATGCAACCTGTGCCCACGGAAATGCGGAGTGAACCGGTATGAGACGACGGGCATGTGTCTGATCGGGGCTATGACTGCAAAAGTCAATATAATTGCGCCGCATCGTGGAGAGGAGCCATGTATACAGGGCTTTCATGGGAGTGGTTCCGTATTCTTCTCCGGGTGTAATCTGCGCTGCGTGTTCTGCCAAAATCATGTATGCTTCTATCTCTAACGTTATGCGTCAATCTGTCGAATTGCAGTCTTAATGCTGATAATATCACAGGACATTTCTCACCAGCGCAATGGGTTCGATCTTTCGCCAGAAGAACTTGCGGAATGGTATATCAAGCTTCAACAGATTGGAAATGTGCACAATATAAACCTCGTCACGCCGGAACATGTCGTTCCACAAGTCGCCCTCTCCATCCTGACAGCTCGTGAAATGGGACTTCGAATTCCAGTTATCTACAACAGCTCTTCATTTGATTCTCTCGAATCTTTGAAACTACTCGACGGTCTAGTTGACATCTACCTCCCGGACTTCAAGGTATGGCACAGCAGCACATCGAAACGCCTCCTCAAGGCAGACAACTACACCGCGACAGCAATGGAAAGTATCAAAGAGATGCACCGCCAAGTTGGCGACCTCTCATTTACATCAGACGGCATAGCCAAGAAGGGAGTCTTACTACGTCACCTGGTAATGCCAGGTAAAGAGGACGAGGGTCGGGAGATTATGCGCTGGCTGGCTGAGAATGTCTCTCGAGATCTGTATGTGCATATTATGGAGCAGTACCATCCTGATGCACATGTTGGCAAGAAACGGCGTGTGACACGTAAAGTGCGCATTGGAGAGGCGGACGGCGCGTCAGAGGAAATTCGGTATGCGGAGATCAACCGTGCCGTGCGGGACGAGGAGCTTCTAAGTGTAAGGGATGCGGCTGTTCAGGCTGGGCTTTGGCGATTCTGTGAGGTGAATGAAAGTAATAGCGCGTTCCATCTGTGATACACGTTGGAGATCACAGTTGTACTTATCATCTTATTCTTGATTTTTTTTTGTAATTGATAGACGTCATGTGATGGTGCTGTTTGGCCCCACTTCAGCTTCAGCTTCAGCTCCAGCTCCAACTCCAACTCCAACTCCCTCTTCACTCACCAGAGACAATAGTCTTGGGGGTTATTGGTCGCTTACAATGAAACCATATATTGGTACTCCTCTTGTCTTCGGGCTCGTCTACCGAGCCTGGTCCCGCAAGTCCCTTACTCCGCTAGGCCTTGTCGTTGCGGGATGTTCAGCCTCCGCACACGCCCTCCACCCATGGTCAGCACCAGTCGCACTGCTGGCGGTATTCTACTTTGGTGGAACGAAGGTCACGAAGGTGAGCAGTCCCGTCGCTTAGTGTTAGGGGCTGTACACCGCCAGCACTGTAGCTGGCGGTGTATATCCATCTCATTAACGTTACTGATCATGTTCCACGATGACAGGTAAAACACGAAATAAAGGCGCGCTTGACACTCTCTGCTACCGGTACGGAGGGTGGAGAAGGTCCCCGGAACCATATCCAAGTGCTCGCGAACTCCGTCGTCGCTACTGTACTATCTATCGCCCACACAATTGTTCTGGCCAAATCAACAGGCACGGAATCATGTTTCTCGCTCGGTCAGAAGGCGGCTGATATCTTGATGGTTGGCATTGTTGCGTACGTGTTCCTATATCGCCTCTCTTGTTGCATGCACGCCGTCTATCGTTAATTGTATACTAACTACAATCTATCATAGGAACTACGCCGCTGTCGCCGCAGACACATTCTCCTCCGAACTTGGCATCCTTTCCAAATCGAAACCTCGCCTTATTACCTCCCTCAACCTCCGTGAAGTTCCCCCTGGCACAAACGGTGGTGTTACGATAACTGGGCTCGGAGCTGGTCTTCTTGGTTCGTTCATTGTCTCTTTGACATCTGCCATTGTGCTTCCATTTTGCTCCAACGCGGGAATTAAAGAGCGAGCACTTTGGACTGTAGCCATGACTCTTTGGGGTGCGCTGGGAAGCGTCCTTGATAGTGTCCTTGGTGGACTTTTGCAAGCTAGTGTTGTTGATAAGAGGAGTGGAAAGGTTGTTGAGGGAAGCGGTGGCAGAAAGGTAAGTTGCCAATATCTCGTCCATGTTGAATGGGGCTAATCTCTTTGCCTAGGTGCTTGTCCATCCTGCTTCATTAACGAAAGCCACAGGTGCGTCTCACCCCGTAACTACTGGCAAGGCTGCCAATGAGGCTACATCCCGCGGCAGCCAAGGAAAGTCCAAATTACAAGAAGAAGCTCATGAAAGCCGCCGTGTTGAGACTGGCCATGACTGGCTTGATAATAACGGTGTGAACGTCCTTATGGCTACTATGATGAGTGTTGGGGCTATGGGCATTGCACAGTATGTCTGGGAACTGAACGTGTTTGAGTTACTTGTTTAAACTACTTGAGCAGAGCTGGTATATGCTCTTTATAAGTCTCATCAAGCTTTATACATCATCGATCTGGTTTGAGTAGCCTACACTGATTTGAATATTAGCTATAATGAACCCATGTCAGATCAATATCAGCTAATCTCATGAACGAGAACCAACGTAATCATCTCAGGGTTCACCTGTCCTGATCAGGCTCGTGGTGGTAATTCGTTACTTCCCTTTTTGGCCATCCCATATCCCCACAGCTTGATAGGTTGAGTTCTTCGCTCCTTCTCAACTCTCACTCGTCGACGTGTCACGTGTCACTCTGGCCCTACTTCGTTGGTACACCCCTTCGTTTACTTCGCTCACCGTCTCCAACACAGGCGGCAGCAAATGGAAATACTGACCACTTTAAGATACAGCTAGTACCGCAGACATGGAGCAACTCCAGATCGCGATGAAGGCTGCAGAAGCAAACACCGTCCGCATCGCGGAGCCAAGAATTCGTCTCCTGCCAGACATTTTCCGTGATGAACAAGATGTTCCACTTCACGCCGAAAGTTACATTCGTCAGGAATATCTGATTGACGGATTTGCTGAGGGAGAAATTTATTGCACCCGCCTTGTTCTCCATTCCCCCAAGGATCCAACCAAGTTTTCGGGACTTGTTGTTGTAGAGCCTTCTGATTCATTGGGCGGAACAAAGGTATGGCTCAAGACCAAACGGTGGATCATGAGAAATGGTGATTTAATTCCTCATTGACATTATTATTCTTCGGCTGACAGTTCCACAGGTCATGCATGGCTTCAAGTCGACTCCCAGGCTCCCTCTGCGATTGAAATTACAAAGAAAGCGGACAGCAAACGCTACAAGGACATAACCTTCATCGCAACCAGCACCTTGCATGAAATCCTCAGTGTCATCCCATCAGTTTTGGATGCTCCCGAGGAGACAGTCTGGAATAACTACAAAGTCTTCAAGGAAATGTGGTGGGCATCAACTATCCAGTCTCCCGAGATCCTGGTTGCCGCATCGCACGCAGCGAGATCTGGCCGTCTGTCAATCAAGGCAAACCGCGTAATTCTATGTGGTATGGCCCAGACAGGCGATGTGACCCGTCGATTTATCCTTCATGAATCTCATCTCCGACTGCCTGATGGATCGATTTCCTTCGAAGGATATCTCCCATTCCAGTGCGACGGTGGCCCTGCGCTGCCAGACCCACGCTCATCCTATGTCAAAGTCATCGAGACAATGGGCGATTATGAACTCTTCTCCCACCAAACCCTCTACGGAAACGAAAACGGGCTGGAGACCTACCCCCACCGCCGTCATGATAGCGACTCCTACCGATTGTACGAGGTCCCCGGCTTGTCTAACCGCGAGGCTAAGTACGTGCCCATGGCCGACATGGCCGAAATGACCTCTGCCACCTTTGGGTCTGCCCAGTGGAGCACTTTCTGCAGCTCCTTCATCTACCATGCCATCTTTGAGGCTATGGACAAGTGGATCACAAAGGGCGCTGCGCCCCCGCATGGCGCTGTGATTTCCACTGGAGAGGGTGGGGATGTCATCCGTGATGAGCACGGAAATGCTGTTGGGGGAATCAGGACTGTTCATTCGGAGGCTCCCACCGCGCAGCTGGTTGATATCACCCCGCGGGACCGACCTAACTGGTACAGTGGTAAGTGGTGTTCCTATATTCGAATTGAGAGCGATGTGAGCTGTGAGTGATAACATTCTGAAGGGTCCGAAAGCCCTTTCACTGCCGACAAATTGAAGGCTCTCTACAAGAGTGTGGCCAACTACCGGAAGTTGGCAACTGACGCCATTCGCTGCCAGCTCCGAGCTGGATTTTTGCTGGGCGCGGACCTAAAAGCTCTGTACCGCGATACCGTTGAGAAGGTCTCTTTTTGATTCTTCTTAGCGGGTTGGGTTTGAGATAGTACATGACCATTAGCAATGCTTAGTATCAGCAGATAACTCCACTCCAATCAACTGTAATTTTGAAATTGTCCTGTTATATTGAGAAACTGTAAAAACGGTCTTCCATTTTTGATATCTTGGATTTCTTGTCCAATTGTATCCATCCTCTCACGCAGTTCCTACCTCATTCGAGCGAAAAATCGCCAAAATATAAACCCATACAACTGTAAGGATTTGCTAGTGGTCACCCACTTAACTACTAACCGGCGTTTGGCTTAATTTCGGCTGAGCGGACAGGAAATCCTGTTCTCCACAACCTGTTGTCGTATGTATTAGCTTAGCATTGGAAGTGGATATATAGGACTAGAACTACGCTAGTTATCACCCGTCTAACTACTGATTTACCGGCCTGTGGCTGTGCGGCCAGTAGTCAGGTGGGTGCTACCTAAAATATAGCTAATACTGCATTCAATATGCCTCGATAAATTAGTGAGAAATTGGCACATTTTTTGGTAGGTGGCTTGGGTGAACGCAAAGTACTGATTGGGGAACCCAAATTTTTCCAATGTTGCCTGGCAGACAATTGAAAATCGCATAAAGCCCCGGGAACAAGTAGATATTCAGGTAAAGGGCAGGTATTGCACTAATGCAAGTGGCTGGCTTACTGAAGGATCCGGTATTTAGAAGAAGAGCAGCAACTTGTTTTGATTTATCTGCTCAATCAATTCGTAACCCTGTAAGAAATTTCCAGTCTTGGGGTTTTACTTATGATGTTTATACTTGAGGCTATCAAACTATACAAAGGGAAGTCTGCCAAAGCGGAATTTCTTCCAGGCCTTGTTCCACTGGACTACTCCTTACGTATGAAGCCGATAGAAGTGTCATGACAAGCAGGGTCAGACCACGTTACACATCTACCTATGGTGCTATTCAAACAAATAACTATTAAAAATGTCGGAAAGGTGAGCCATATTCTGGAATTATCTTGCTTTTTTCAAAAGTATTTAACTCGGCAGTCATGCATACCACTAATGAAGCAGACGTCCCGCCAGAAAATGGCAAAGCTTCACTCATGTACATGTACGATCAATCACAGTCACATCACGACATAGGGCTGGTGGAGTCAGACCCGATTAGCAAAAGTGATGGGTTAAAAGTAACGCAATAGCAATTCCCCGGTGTTGCCTACTTCACATTTCAAACTTAGACACCAACCAAATACTTTCGATAAGCGCTTCCCACGCTCTATATGTAGACTAAGTTCACGTCTAGGATAATGCGACATGGACTCGTCACACAAAGACAGGGACCTTGCCAATCACCACAAAGGCACTGGACATGATCAGGGTATAAAGCTCTCATCGGTCACCCATCTAATGCAATGTGGTTGTTTGGAGAAATCTTACATTGCATATCCTTAGGACCTTGAATCTCTGACATTGGTCTACCAGTCTACACCGAAACAGCCTACATTTCTCCATTTTGCCACCATGGGTCTCGTGAAGCTCCTTCTCAAAGCGATCATCATCCCGATTGTTCTCTTCATCGTCGTCACCGTCGTTATTGTCTTTTACGTTAAGATGCGCCGCGAAAAAAAGCAGAAACAACAAGAGGTTGAAGCCGGATTCCAGCCACTTCCTATACAGCAATGGGTTCCTTACACTCCGATCCAACAGCCCGCCCCGATTTATGCCAAAACTCCGGGGATGACGGAACACGGTATTGTACAGCCTTGATTTATAAATTGTAGGTGAGATTTACCTCCTTGTGAATACCGAACGTGACTAATTCCCGAGGAGATGAAGATTTCTATCGGTACAATTTACTTTATCTTACGGCTTGGGTATTTTACTGTTTGTTGAACGATACTAGAATGGCATTCTGTTGGAAACTTGGTGTTTCAATTGTTCCTTTTTCTCTTTATCTCAAGTTGCAACATTCTCTCCTAATGGCATGTGTAAGGAGTTCGACTTCTTCCTTCTGTCTCAAAACTCTGTACTACGGAAAGAAATGAGCAGGATTGCCACTACTTGGTCACCCAGAAACTAGGCAGGCCCTTTTTTCAGATGTGATCAAAGATATAGGCCAATAATATAGCCCGCAAACAAAAAATCCGTCATGCATTTTCAATAAGTTACACATTCCAAAGCGGGGCCCATAGGGCTGCATACAGCACGGTGTAAATCCCTGCAGCTGTATACCAATCACTTCCGGGATATGGGGACGTGACGTCCTCTGCATGTGGGTCAATTCCCCTGTCTCCTAGGGGAATTCTGTTGCCTGAAGCCCTCCCCTTGGGGTGATAAGCTATTCTTTGGTTGGGGAGCCGATGGAAGGTGGGACTACTGTATGTTGGGACTATTTATTCGCCCCCTTGTCTACAGTAATTGTAATTCGGAAGGATATTGTGTATCGTTTATTCATGTGGGTGTCATAATAATGATTTCTTGTCTAGATGCCGGGTCAAATTGCGGAACTATTTGCTTGACATGCCATTTCCTACAGAGCGACGAGGCGCCCAATGTCTATGGGCGCACTAGTGTGTGGCCCCATCATTTAATCTGACCCTAAAAGGAATGTGTGACTGTAACTAGAGTATGTATATTACGTCACAATACTAATTCATGATGGTCCTCTGCTTCTGTTTTAGCGCCAAGTCTCAGCCCTACGAGGCGACTCCACCGGGAATGGGCGCCGCTGGTCCCTGCCCATGCATTGTCAGTTTGTGTTCTCGAACGGATACCGTTTCTATTTCAGAAGACCCGTCGTCGATCTATGTATTTTATAATATACTAGTTAAGTACGGAAAATAACGTCTGTATCCTGCTATTCGATTAAAACGGTACGTAACTGCGAAAGATGTAACTGTAAACGTAACTATTTTGACAGCACATCAAATCAATGGCGAGTCGATTGCATCTGGATGCACGTAGAAAGCAATGGCAATAATGAGGTACCTAGAATTCATTAGCACTGGCCAAAACCAAGCACTCAGGTAGTCACTTACGTTCCAACCAATAAACACCCCTCGTAGTAGTTAGATCGACCGCCTCGGATTAAGCAGTCCATCACTATAACAGACAGGAAAACCACCACCGTCTCAATTGGGCTATAGCGCAGCGACATGGGCTGTCCGATGATCATACCGCAAATTACCAGGAACGGACTCACGAACAGAGCGATCTGCAAAGTGCTCCCCACGACCACACCGATAGCGAGGTCCATATCGCCTTTCAGTGAAGAGTTGACGACCGTGTTGAACTCTCCCGCGTTGCCGACAATTGGAACGACAATCAGGCCAATAAAAGCCCTGCTCACATGCCATTTCTCCACAAAGCCATCCACACTCTCAACCAGACAATCAGAGCAGACGGTGACACCGAGGGTAGCAAGGACTAAGACAATACTCGCTACCCAGGGGCCCAGGATTTGTTCTTCTTTTTCCTCTGGTTCATCATCGACGAATAGCTCAGAGTGACTTTTCAGTTGGAAGTAAAGATAGACAAGGTAGAATGCGAGTAGAACAACCGAAGCGGTACGGGAGAAACTCAACACGCTCTGTACCACATCTGGTGACTTGGATGATATAGTTGAATAGAGAACCGATGGGATGATCAGTGATGCAGAGGAGACGACCATCAAAGATGACAAGATCCCACTAACATCCACATTGGATGTTACAGCCTCTTTTGAAATGCCGCCGCAGAATAGAGACACGCCAAGGATCTAAATCGATCAGCAAACTACCCATGAACTGGAAGCTTTAAGCTTACTAGAAGATTGCCCGAAAGGATACTGCCCACCATACTGGACTGGACAATATTGATCTCACCTTGTCTGACCGCAGTAATCCCCACCTGCGCAATGACTAGGATGTTAGTTTCCCCAGTCAAGACCAAATGTTCAGAAACACTCACAATCATTTCAACAGCATTTCCAAACGTCGCATTGATCAATCCTCCAAGCGTCTGTCCAACACTCTTAGCCAACTCCTCGGTAGCAAAAGAGAGTAATGCCCCCAGGGGAAGAATAGCCAAGTAATTGAACACGAAACCAAAGGAATCGTCCCACACTTGATTCCCCGCTGTGATCCCCAGAAAGACAAACGGCAGAAGCAGGTTGGAGTAGCTGCATCCCAGGACCGTCTTTACCACCCGCAGAACAGAGTTGCCTGGAGACATATGGCGCAGCTCGGAGGGGTCCGCTTCACACATCACCGGGTTATTCTGCTCATCAACTCTGTCGTGTTGGGCATGTTCTTCTCTTAATAATGCCTGCCGTTCTGCAGACGGCGAGTTTGTGTCGAAGATGCCATCCATGCTGGGGCTGATCTTGGTTGACTTTCGCAGTCGGAGAGCAGGATCATCCATGTTTTGTCAAGAGTGAAAGTGAAATAACACTCAAAGAGAGTCACTCACTAGGTTGGGGGAGATGATGTACCCGGAGATATAGTACGACGTAAACAGATACCTGTATTTGTACCGGTAAAAGCCATGGAGATAAAATACACATAGTTCCATACGGTTACGGTATATTTCAATGACACGTCGGTACGAAAGATAGCCGCATTTAATCGTCGCTATGTTCTCAAGTTTATATATCAACCATGTTTGAAGGGTTGGCCAAATTGAATCCCTCAATTATGGCTTAACTCCGGCGCAACTCCTTCAAGTTCAGCTCGGTAATACTGCCCCTCATCGGCATAGCAGCTGGAGCTATGCGGCTGAACAGCGCCACGATATTCACACTCAACATCTTGGCTTTGATCCCACTGGGACCATGGATCAGCCGATCTGTCGATGCGCTATCCGTGGGTGGACGACGGGCCACGAGCGAACTACTCAAATCAACACTCGGCACCTCGGTCGAATTAATGGTGGCTGCCCCTCACTACCATGCGAAACATAACTAATGATGAACAATCAGATCGTAATCAATGCAATTACACAGAAACGCCCACATATCTCCCAGTCCGTCATCCTCGGCAGTGTTCTCAGCGATTTACTACTGGTATACAATCCAAACATTAACTCCGAACCAAAGCCCAAACCACAAACTAATCTCATACTCTGTATGACCAGGTCCTCGGCAGCACACTCTTCATATCAGGCTACGACAAAAAGCGCCTCCGCTTCGACCGAACCCTAACAACAATCCTCTCCCCCTAATGACAGTCGTCTTCGTCCTCCTGGCCATCCCAACAATAATGGACGTCTTCCCTTCCGCAAAGAACACACCAACCAGCCAGATCCTCTTCACGCAATGCATAACAGCAGTCATATTAATCGCCCTGCTCATGAAATTCCTCCTTTTCCGACTGGGAACACACGCGACAATGTTCGCCAGCACGCCTTTCGCCCAAAATGATGCAAATACAAGACAGAGCAGACACCAACACCGACAAAGCCAAATCATCGAAGCACAACTCCCCCGCCCATATCTCGGAAAGAATGTCGCTGGTTTGGTCCTTGCTGCTGCGTCGGCGTGTACATTCGGATGTACATATTACATCGTGGACAGTCTGGCCGGAGTAGCCGGGATGACTGGTTCAAACGAGTCGTTCCTGGCTGTGACGATTGTCCCGATTTTAGGGAATTTTGTCAAGTATCACTCCATCGTGACGGGGTCTAGGTCTTATAACCAGGTTGAGCTGGGAATTCGGGCGATTATCAATTGTGTTTTGAGGGTTACGATGCTTATTGCGCCGCTTTTGGTTCTTGTTGGGTGGGCTTTTAATCGGCCGCTTATTTTACGGTTTGACGGGTTTGAGGCTACGACACTTTTGCTTAGTGTTGTTGTTATGACTTACCTTATTTCGGATGGGAGAAGTAATTATTTTGAGGGGTTGATGTTGATAGGGACGTGAGTGTTATTCTTCCTAGATATGTTGGGGGATTGTGCTAATCCTTTTTGCTTTAGGTATGCTATTATTGCGTTTTTGTTTTATGTGAGACCAGAGATGTCGGCGAATGTTATCTTCTTGGGTTCTTAAATTGGTGGGCTTGTGAATTTATCTCCATTTTTACTCTCTGTGCGATACGACCATGCTTGTAGTACGACATCGGTTCAATCTAAAGCATAATAGACTAAGCCATTGGAGGGTAAATTGATATCGTTGAAAACCTAGCGTGTGTAAAAAGCAGCAACTAGACCGCAATACCTAAAATAAAAGATTAGTATCAGCTTTCACCCACCATCAATATGTCCTAAGAGAAACTTACAGAGCAATCAACATCGCGCCATGGATATAAGCATACTGCCCATCCCTCAGCAAATGATTAACAACCAGAATAGCCAAAAACATCGCAACAGTCTCAAAAGAATCAAAGAAAAGAGTCATCGGCTCTGCAATGCACCAGCCCACAATAACCAAAAAAGGAATCGCAAACAGGCCAATCTGCAAAAGACTATCGATAATCACCCGAATTGCAGAGTCAGTATTACCAGACCGCGACGAAGAAATAACAGTAACAGCCTCGGTACTATTACTCGCCAACAGAACAAACACAAGCGCAATAAAGCTATGGGAAATCCCAAGAGTCTCCGCCATGTCACCAACGCTTTCCAGCAGAAATTCCGTGCAGAAAATGGTAGCTACGATCGCTATCACCAATCTGATCACTAAAGAAGCCAGACTAACTGTCGTCGGTGGAGTGGATGATTCGACATTCTCATCTTCTTCATCGACTTGGTCTTCGCATGAGGTGAAGAGGTGCTTGTGAGTCCCTAGGTAGAAGTAGAGATATCCAGCGTAAAGGATGAGTAGCACCAATGAAGTTCCACGTGAGAACGATAGCACTCTGCTGTCGATTTTGGATACTGGGAACGTTGAGTAGAGTGCTGTTGGGAGGAGGAGTGCCACGGCTGTTATCATCATCTATGATGAAAGTGTCTTTGCTAGGGCGCCGTTGACTTCTAGGACGTCTTTGTTGTAGGATGCTGTTACGAGACAGCAGCCGAAGACCTGATTGAGCTGTTAGTTCAACGATACCTCTGTATGCTGACTGGGATTTTATGTTTTACCAGAAGGGTATCAGAGAGGATACTGCCCACCATTACAGATTGCGCGAATGGAATTTCTCCATAGACCAAGGCCAGAGTTCCCGCCTGTATGCAGATTTAGTCAACGAGTTATCCAGTAAATGTAACTCCCGGAAATCATGTCACTCATAGTTAGCTCGACAGTATTCCCAAACGTAGCGCTGAGAAGCGCACCCTGCAATTCACCCAAGTGTTCCTCAAGTTCCTCAGAAGAAATAGAAATCGCCTCAGACAAGAAAACAATAGCAACGATATTAACCACCAGAACAACCGACGCATGCCAGTGGAATATCTTCGCTGCTGCTGCCAACGGTAACAGCACCATGACCGGGAGGCCATAGTTGATATTGAGACCTGCCTGGGCGGGCATCTGGATCAAGCCTCGGAATCGAGTCCAAAGGTCTGGATCAGGGACATGACAGTGATCCAGGTGTAGTCTGGAAGAAGTTTGAGATGAACGCATTGGCAATAGCACACCTACCTAGGTAAGCTGAAGTCCAGGGAAGGTGCGACCGGGAAAAGATAAACAGTTGCAAATACACGAATGGTATGTGTATTGGCCAATTTACGGTAACAGTCAGCCCTATTACTAGCGCATACGGGACGGATAGGGCTGAACAGGCAACAACATTTCTCTGCCTTAAGTGTTTGGTCAATAGTTATAAATAATTTTGACTGGGAAACTATTAATCACGACTGGGGAACTCCGACTAGTACTCTTGGCTGTACTGTAGGCACGGCTTATGCAATCCTGTTTCCCCACCTGTGCACCTGGGCACCTTACTTTGAATCTCTCAGCCACATACCGGTCGCAAAGTCCATCATCATCCCTCTGCCGATATCGCTTATCAGACCGACTTCTCCGCACATCTCACAGGGCTGAATGATCCATTCTTCAATCTATGGACATTCACCCGCCCTCACTCGAATCGCTCCAAAGAGGGGTGACTGATCTAGCAACGACATATCATGACCGGGGATGGACGAGCGCAGCCACAGGCCTGGAAGAAGCCCTCAAAACCGCCGAAGGACGAGTCTCAACAGACGCGAATCTCGACGCAACGATAACAACACTGGAAGAGCTGGGTGCACTGATGAAAGCCTGTCTACGCGGCAAGCTATGGATCATCGCGGAAGACCTGGGTATCCTTGTGCTGGAGACCAGTGAAGCCCTGAAAGGTGAACGAGACCCGATGACAATGACTGCCATGAATAATCTGGCATCTGCATATTGGGGCCGGGGACAACTGGATCAGGCGGCTGCTCTTGCGTTGCGAGTGACGAATCTTCGAAGAACATTGCTTGGCGAGTCACATCCGCAGACGTTGACTTCGATGACGAATTTGGCGTCCACGTATCGGAGTCAGGGGCATTGGTCTGAGGCTTTGAAGCTTGATTTGAAGACGTTTAAGATGAAGAAAGAGTCGCTTGGTGCGACGCATGCATCGACGTTGGGATCGATGGCGAATTTGGCGATCTCCTATACGAACCTTGGTCAGTATGACGAAGCGGAGTCAATTACACGTGAGTTGGTTGATTTGGGAGAGGAAGCGCTGTCTCCGACTGATGCGTCGCTATTAAATTGGAAGTTGAGCCTGGCGTCGACGTATCGAGACCAGGGGAGGCTGGGCCCCGCTGAGAAACTCGACCGCGAGGTCGTTGCTGCCAGTCGGGCTTCGTTAGGTGCGGAGAATCCCTTCACACTCACTTCCATGGCCAACCTTGCGTCCACTTATCGGGAGCAGGGTCGATGGCCGGATGCTGAGCGTCTTGAGAAGGAGGTCGTGTCGACTAGTGAGACAGTGCTTGGCGAGACACATCCGCAGACTCTCATGTCCATCAGTAACCTTGGCTCTACCTATCGAAGTCTGGGTCGGTTAGAAGAGGCCAAGCGCCTTGGCGAAAAGGCGACAACAGTTATGAAGGATGTTCTCGGCGAGCGTCATCCATACACGTTAGTCGCCATGGCCGACCTAGCCGTGACATATCACCTGAAGCAGCAGTCGCCCGATGCCGAAATACTCGCAGCCCGGTCACTGCGCTTGATGGAGGAGACCATCGGCAAAGACCATCCATATACCCTCAGCGCCATGGCCAACCTAGGCTCGATATACCAGTCGCAGAGCAAGTGGGATGTCGCAGGGGGAATGGCGGAGACGGTGTACGCGGGCAGAGAAAGAGTATTTGGAAAAGACCATCCAGACACTCTCGCGGCACTGGAAGATTTGAGAAGAGTAGCCTGGGTAGAAGCGGCGGATCAGAATGCACAGTCAACGTTGAATTAGACTCTTTAGGTTTTTTTGGAATGTGGAGAGGCGTGGGCGTCTCGGACCGTTAGCATACATCTATAGTCATATATTTTTATGAGCTAAGGAACCAATTGACAAGCTTTTTTGGCGCCCATGGCCCTTTTATAAATTGTCGGGCTGATGGGGCCAGTCAGCCTTGTGTGCGGCCTTTTTCGCCGCACACAGCCTCCTTGCCAAGACTTGTCACTCTATAAGTAACTTATATTGCTTTGGTTACAACACAACTAGCACAGCCTTTTCGGTTGACTAAAGAATTAGGCTGTCAGTTTGGACCAGGTGGGCGGGTGTGTCAATTGAACTATCGGCCTGTTAAGCTATGGGGACGACTGGGGAATTGGCTTATCCTCTGCAACTACCTACAGTAGTTTAAAACACAAAAATAAAGTGGGAATGAGTCTCTCGCGGGGGTGTGTCCCCATAATCAACCTTCAGTCTCGAATTGCTGGGTGATAGCTATTTACATGGTCAACCTGTGGTATAGACTTAGCTACACTACGGGAGCTGCAGTATATACAAAATCCTGACATTTCACTTGCTATTATAGCTACATGAGACTACAAAATATATAACTTAGCAGAGTTTGGATTCCCCATCAATCACAATGGAACCAGTGAAGATAGTGGGTGTCTGGTTTACGATAGTCCTGAAGTGCTCTGCTTCTCTGGAACATTTGTATGCTTCTTAGACCCTAATTATAAAGACTCAACAGTGTCTCCAAACGAATCGTTCCTATTCAACACACTCCATACACCGATCATCTCCGCCCCACTTCCGCCCCGCGACGCGCAAGTCAGAGTATCGTATGTACAGTGTATGGTATTTACGTATTTGTATTTCATAGACATCTCTCACCTCCAGGGTCTTTTCCTTTCTCACCCGACCTAATGACGCCAGAATCGGGGACTGATGGGTCTCGCATTTCTGCTTTTTGGTCCGTAAGTGTGCAAATACCCTGAAAAAGCGCCTTTAACTCACGCACCACAGGCAATGCGACAGAAACATGTCCCTGAACTATCCTCCAGTTCAACTTTCACTCCTTTCTCCCTCAACCCTGACACGTTGGGCGATCTCGTGCAGTCCAGAGATGTGCAGAAATTGCATGCCCTCGGTGGTGTAAGGGGTCTCGAGGAGGAACTACGAACCGATATACACTCCGGCTTGAGCTTGGATGAGACCTACCTTGATGCTTGGGCGGTGTCTACTAATACGACGTCTGCGGATAAAGTGATTGTCCCTGAACGCACTTCCACAGCGGAACCTCAGCATGATGCATTCGTAGATAGGAGGAGATATTATGGGGATAATCGCCTACTTGCGAAACCGCCCCCGAGCTTTCTAGGGTTGATGTGGGCGGCTTACAATGACCACGTTTTATTTCTCTTGACTGGTGCTGCTATCATCTCACTTGCCTTGGGCTTGTACCAGACCCTCGGCAACACACACTCCGCCAACAATGCTCCCGTGGAATGGGTTGAAGGAGTATCGATCCTCGTCGCTATCGTTGTCATTACCCTCGCCGGTGCTGCAAATGATTATCAAAAGGAGCACAAGTTTCGGAAACTCAATAAGAAGCAGCAAGATCGCAATGTCTGGATCCTTCGCTCTGCACGAACTCACGAGGTTCCTATCTCTGAGATTGTTGTCGGTGATATTGTCCATATCAGCCCAGGGGATATTGTGCCGGCGGATGGAGTGCTGCTTAGGGGCCACCATGTCAAATGCGATGAGTCGTCGGCGACAGGAGAGTCTGAGCCCGTGGATAAGAATCCGATTGAGACTAGTTCGGCCCATGATGAAGGATCCGAAATCGATCCTTTTATTCTTTCTCATACAAAAATCGTAGAGGGTATCGGTGTCCTCCTTGTCGTGGCAACTTGCACACGATCAAGCTACGGACGGATCCTACTCTCTCTCGAGACCGATCCAGGTTTCACTCTTCTCCAAGTCAGACTGAGCAAGCTGGCAAAGAATATCGCCAACTTTAGTGGTATTGCTGCGCTCATGCTGTTGGTGATTCTGTTTATCAAGTTTCTGGTTGGTCTACGCCACAGCACCGAAACTCCCTCTGAAAAGGGACAATCATTCTTGAATGTTTTCATCCTTGCATTGACGGTCGTTGTTATCGCTGTCCCAGAGGGTCTTCCATTGGCCGTCACCCTTGCACTGTCCTTTGCCACAACGCGGATGATGACAGACAACAACCTAGTTCGTCAACTCCGGGCTTGCGAGACTATGGGACAAGCCACGGATATCTGCTCCGACAAAACGGGTACTTTGACAGAGAACAAGATGATTGTTGTCTCGGGCTTTTTCGGTGTTACCTCGCAATTTACCGATAGAACAGCCAACCCAGAAATCCCCGGCGGCGAAAAGAAAACATCGAAAGCAGGGTGCATGGACAGTCTCTCCAAAGAGACAATAGTCCTGTTGAAGCAATCGATCGCGATCAACTCATCCGCGATCGAAAGCCAAGAAGGTGGAGGCCGGGAATTCCTTGGAAGGAGCCTTGCTGCGGTTCTCTCAAGACTACCTTGGATTGGGTCAGCTTGACCCCAATCGTTCCTGTGTTGAGATCGTGGATTTTCTTCCTTTCGATGCGTCTCGCAAATACATGGTTACAGTTGTCAAGCTTCCCAGTGGCTCGTATCGGGCATATGTCAAGGGTGCTCCTGAGATCCTTCTTGGGAAATGTGCAGCCATAATTGTAGAGCCAATGCAGGGAGTTCAAATTGCCCCTATAACAGAAACCGATAGTCAGCAAGTTGGTCAAATAATCGCACGGTACGCCTCGCGGTCTTTGCGTACTTTTGCAGTCTGCTTCCGTGATCTTGATCGGTTACCCTTCAAGGGAGACGAAGGAATCAACTTCGACGAAGTAATGAATGGTCTCGCACTCCAATGCATTCTCGGTCTTCAAGATCCCCTTCGAGCTGATGCATGGGATGCTGTACAGACTAGTCACAAAGCAGGTCTGACGGTGCGAATGGTTACCGGAGACAATCATCTCACAGCAAGAGCCATTGCCGAGGAATGTGGAATTATCACTGATCCAGATGACGTCGTTATGGAAGGTGATGAGTTCAGAGCCCTGAATGAAGACCAGCAGAAGGAAATAGTCCCACGCTTGAAGGTTCTGGCACGATCTCGTCCAGATGATAAGCGGGTACTAGTTCAGCAGCTGAAGGACCTAGGCAGGGTCGTCGCTGTCACTGGAGATGGCACTAACGATGCGCCTGCTCTGGCAGCCGCTGATATCAGTTTCTCAATGGGTATTTCGGGAACCGAAATTGCCCGTGAGGCGTCTTCGATTGTTTTGTTGGATGATACGTTCTCCTCGATTGTGAAAGCCATCATGTGGGGAAGAGCAGTGAGCGACGCAGTGAAGAAATTCTTGCAGGTAATATTGGCTTTTTATTGTTCAAACCCGAAGCCCTTGACTAATAACCATACCCTTCTAGTTCCAAATCACTATCACATTCACCTCAGTCGGATTAGCATTTGTCTCTGCAGTAGCCGACTCATCAGAGGAGTCAGTCCTAACCCCAGTACAATTGATGTGGGTGAACCTGTTCCAAGATACACTGGCAGCCCTGGCCCTAATAACAGATCCACCTCCCTGCCGGATCCTAGACCGGAAACCAGAACCAGCATCTTCGCCACTAATCACATCCAACATGTGGAAGATGATCATCGGCCAATCTGTCTACCAGATGGTCGTGACGCTTGTCCTATACTTCGCCGGCGCTGCCATTTTCTCCTATCACGGCGAGCATCAAAAATCGCAGCTGCAGACTGCTGTGTTCAATACCTATGTCTTGATGCAAATATTCAACATGTACAAGTACGTTGCATTGACACTACTGTCCTGGGTCTCTTACTCGTGTTGCAAGAAGCCATGCTAATACCTATACAGCAACCGCCAAATCGAAAGATCATTCAACCTCATCGAAGGAATCCACCGCAACTAGCTCTTCATCGCCATCACGACTGTGATGATGGGTGCTCAAATCTTAATCATGTTTGTTGGTGGCTGGGCGTTCTCAATAACGAGATTGACTGGTGATCAATGGGCTTATTCCCTGATTCTTGGCTTCATCTCTATTCCTGTTGGCTTTGTTCTGCAAGCAGTTCCTACTGTCGTTGTTGAGAAGCCGATGGCCTGGATGGGGAGATTGTGGGATAAAATTCGGCGTCGGTAGACTAGCCACTCTTCCTTTCTTTTCTAGTTCAGCGAAAATATTCGATTATGCATGCCCGCTTAAATGAATGGTTTCTGGGTACATACTCGCTTTTTCTTTTAGACACTGTACATTATTCTTATTAGTTTGCTCATTTGGCCATTCCCGTATCAGAGGGCAATGAATATTTTACTGGTAAACTTGTTGATAGAGATCACGTCCCGATTAAGAGGGGCGCCTAAATCAGGTGATATTTCAACTCCCTAACTTAGCAACCATATATCACAGCATTAGGCTTCCCGGTACTACATTAATACTTAGGTGGTGACGTGAGAAGTGTTCTACCGTATACTGAGACCATTGTCTCAGAGGGAGTCAGGCGGCATACACTTACGTTGTAAGGCGTGCCATGAACTCTTCTATGCTGAGCTTTTAAGCCACCTGCACAAAGGTATATAAATCACTGAGCCCTCTTCCAGAGTCTTCTTATATCTCCGACACAGAATCATTCTCGGTGTCAAACTCCATCAATGCGTTTCACAGCTATCCTTCTCACTCTCGCCGCTGTGGCATATGCCGCCCCAACTTCTGAAAAACGGGTTAGTAAATAATATTAAATTAATACATAGAATTTTTATTGCTCTGGCTTTCTAACCTCATATAGGAGCGAGAAAACTGTGTGGTGAGTGCCCTCTCCTTGGTGCCTTTTTCTTTGCCATGGGGCCCTGAAGAGAACCCCAGAAATTGACATAATATGTGATACAGGTTGTCTACTTACCTGATTTTTGCCCACCCGCGTGAGTTACTTACCCACATTCTCTAGTTATTATCTAGCTATATGTCTTCTAATCTCTGTTTCAGTCATCCACTTGTTTGCCATGGCGATAGCGGTAGAGCGAACTGCTGCGTGTGTATAACCAACCAAAACTCTATCTGACAGGCAGACCTTTACCGAGCATCCAAATCCTTAGCTAACTTATGGTTCTGCTTCTAATAGACCAAATGCTGAATGAAATGCTATATTATATGGCAGAGCGTCTCACTTTTGAGAAAGATCACACATAGCTTCGCCCTAGGGGCCTTACAACAAGTTGATTATATACCAGCGTCTCTGCCTACTTTATCATTGCATCTAACCCTATTAAAAGTACGTTTTGTTGTCGCTACCCCCAGTTACTGCCCATAATTTGTAGAATACTAGTGCAAGTAAAGCATGAGACTTGTCACGCGCTCAAGCACCAACTGGTGAAGTATATTCGTAACAGATAGTGCTTTAGAAACAACAATGCTCCTTGTTTCCAAGCCAGTGCACTATGTAAGCACGGACAGCAAAATCTGACATCACCGGGTGCATCCTATTAGGGTATCCCAGAAAGGCAGACGAAAAATGAGGCAAATCTATCATACATAGAGCAAACGGAGCCTGAAAGAAACACTGTTTGGGTGTAGCAAACATGTCAAAGGGACAAACATATACCCCGCGCTTCTATTCAGAAGAGTGATCTGATCTGCCTCTCTGCTCTGTCTCTCTTTTCTGCTTCTTCACTGTTCTTTGGAAATAACCAATATCTGCAAACAGAAGTCTGCCCAGTTGTTAGTATCTTCTTCATTTAACCAACATACATCTCGCGTATCCACATATCTCAAACACATGGCAATAATCCAAGCGCAGCCTCGGGCTCCCTCTCTGGGATCCCTCGATCTTCCCTTCAAGGTCCGTCGGCACATATACACATATCTGATCCCTCAAAAACGTCGTTTCAGTTTGAAATGGTCGACGGAAGGCTATTGTTTCTCATTCAATCTTTATGAGGATTTCTGGTGCGGCAAATCCGTTGGTTCGCATGGCTCAACTTTATCTATCAAAACAAATCAGCCGAGAATGCCTGAATATTCTTTTTGCTGAGAACTTTATGGAAGATTCCATGGGTCACTTGGGCGAGCAGACTTCTCAAGAAGTTCATCAGCGATGAGAACCGATGCCGTATACGACATTTGACGATAATGGCACCACCTTCCGGCGTGACGTTCGGGAAAAGCACACCGGATACATCACGATGGGCATCGATTTTCCCAAATCTAAAGATTTTCCAATTCCTTGCATTTCAACACCAAAAAAAGTCCCAAGTTGGGTTCCCGAATGTTTGGAGGGGAGGTTGGAAAGCTGGGTCAAATGGGTCGGGCCCTATTTCGACAAAGATCGAGCTGTGTGGTCGTGGAGAGAAGGAGACTTGCGAGCTTGCTGACAATTATCTACCAGAAACTTTTATGAGAATACGAATTAGCTGCGGCCAGTCCTGCCAATATCAGAGGCAAGTATGTCGAGAATACTCAACTGAAACAAAATATAAGGCTGAAAGGTATGTGGCTTGTCCCTTCGGGACTGGGCGAGGTATTTCTCGGAATAATGCGCGCCATGGGAAAGAATTAGTCAAGCTAGAGTCGATTTCGGTTACAACGAAGCCCGATTGTGGGAATTGACAAGTGCACAATTCGGGGGGGACTGCGTAGACTAGGATGGTATGGGCATGAGTCTAGTGATATTCAGTTAGACCAAACCCACAAATAGCAACGACTTGTCTACCACGTTCTTTCCAATTATCAAATGGGCTTAATTTGCCGTTAGCTTGTCCATGTGTCTTGATAACTTTTTTTTATTATATTCGCCTCTAGCCCATCGCTTGTACGCCCGAAATCGGCTTCCACCATCCGCCCGGGCGCCATGGCAAAAGATTTCAGTCAGCTAGCGCAGCATTGAAGGGATGTCCCGTCCTATCATGGGTACTTAGAAGAGCTAACTCAGGAAAGACGAACTGCGACTGGGTGGACTCGGGCCGAAAGACCAGACCCTGCAGATGCTATTGACTGTGTCCAATTTGCCCGGGATCATGCGGACCAGGCGGCCAGATCGGATAATTCAAGAATGCGCCTATGCGAACGCGTCGAGCTGAGTGGGGCAGAAATCATGCGAGAAATATGGTGGAATTCAAATCCAATGCAAATCGAAATTCAATCTGGATTTGGCTTTCTGTCATACGAAGGTCATCGAATCTGTTCAGCTCCAGTTTAGTTTGACATAGATCGCATACTCCGTACCCTGTACTCTAAACATCGTACTCTGGAACTCATCTTCGGTCGAAACAGAATAGTGACACGTGCTCGGAGTACCCGTTTGCCAAGAACATCGCGTGTAGCATCAGCGATGTCTTCTAGAACATCAGGAGGCAGACACGACAAGAGATGAGGAAGTGATAAGTCTGGGGAACGGGAGCCTCCCATCTCATCCACGTGTGGACTGCCCGCGCTCTTATAGGCTGGGGAAGGAGCGCCCCCATATACGCCAAGACCACTATTGACCAATCACACCACGTTGAACTATGGAAGTATCATGTCCGCTCCGGGCCTGCCAAGATCTTATCCAAATTGCTTCATGGGACTAAGCTCGCTAAGCCGAGCTTCTTTTCTTGGCTCTGGCCTCTCATTGCATGGTCGCTTGTACCAAACGCCCTCTTCTAAGCCACTCCAAGGCGAACCAACCCCAACCTAGATCCCTCCGGCTGGCACTGGCTTTCTGCCAAGAGAACATGCGAGCCATGCCGTCCTCCCATTGCGAGTCCGGTCAGCACGTGTGGTCAGGATTGCCTAAAGCGGAAATCGGACTGCGAGGGCCATGCCTGCCACGGGGCGTATCGGGCATGCAATGCCATATCAGCAAATTTTCCGTACATAAAAGCCCTGTCAACCGTGATCTTTGCTTTCTCTTTTGTGCAACCGATAGCCCTACAGTGCCTTGAGTTGATCTCCAAGCCATCAAGATGTATCTCCATCAGTACGACTACATCTTTGCCATTGGCACGTTGTTTGCTATGCTTGATGCATACAACAACGGTGCAAGTCAGTCTACTTCTTCTCTTCTATTTGACTTTCATACTAACATGACTATCTTACAGACGATGTCGCCAACTCCTGGGCTACCAGTGTCTCCTCACGGTCCATCTCCTATCGTCAGGCCATGATCCTGGGTACCATCTTCGAGTTCCTTGGAGCAGTCACTGTCGGCGCCCGTACTGCTGAGACCATCAAGAACGGCATCATCCCTACCTCCGCCTTCCAGAATAATGCCGGTGTCCAGATGCTGGCTTTCACCTGCGCCCTCGCTGCCGCTTCCTCATGGGTGATGTGGTGTACCCGTCACTCTGCTCACGTCTCCTCCACCTACTCTCTCATCTCTGCCGTCGCTGGTGTCGGTGTTGCAACTGTCGGTGCTTCCAAGGTTCAATGGGGTTGGAACAATGGCAAGGGTCTCGGTGCCATATTCGCTGGTCTGGGCATGGCTCCCGTCATCTCTGCTGGATTCGGTGCTTGCTTCTTTATGCTCATCAAGCTGATCGTCCACATGCGCCGCAACCCTATCCCCTGGGCCGTCTGGAGTGCTCCTTTCTTCTTCCTTGTTGCCGCCACCATCTGTACCCTTTCCATCGTTTACAAGGGTTCCCCTAACCTGGGCCTGAGCAAGAAAGCCCCCTGGTACATTGCCGCCGTCACCGTCGGCACTGGTGGTGGTGTCTGCCTCCTCTCCGCCATCTTCTTCGTTCCCTGGCTGCACGCCCGTATCATTAAGAAGGACTCCTCCATCAAGTGGTACCACGTCATCCAGGGCCCTCTCCTCTTCAACCGTCCCATCCCCACCGATTCCGAGGTCGCCAAGGTCCCTAACTACGCCGTGATCCAAGACGAGGAAGAAGACGCCCACCTCCACATCCACGAGAAGCAAGCCCAAACTGGTGTGGCCTCTATCTCCGCCTCCACCGATGAGCACTCCGTCGACAAGCTCGAGGCCAACCAGCTCTCCTACAAGGAACTCATGGCCCAGTCCGACGCCCGCCACAACGCCAGGCTCCTCAACAGCCGCGGTCCTCTCGGCTGGGCTATGCGCCTCCTCCGCGACAATCCCATGGGCTCCGGTGAAATCTACGAGCTGCGCAATATGATGATCATGGCCAAGCGCGTCCCCGCCATTCTCACCGTCGGCCTCCTATACGGTTTCCACTACGACATCCATAGCGCCCAGAGCGGTGTCCAGGGTACCCCCGAGGGTGAACGCATGAAGCGCGTCTACGCCCATGCTGTAAAGTACCCCAACGAGGTCGAGCACACCTATTCTTTCATCCAGATCATCACCGCCTGCACTGCCTCCTTTGCTCACGGCGCCAACGATATCGGTAACTCCGTCGGTCCTTGGGCTGCTATCTACTCCGCCTGGTCGACTGGTGATCCTTCCAAGTCTAAGAACCCGGTTCCTATCTGGCAGCTTGCTGTTCTGGCTCTTTGCATTTCTATCGGTCTCTGCACATACGGTTACAACATCATGAAGGGTAAGCATTCCATACCAATTCCAATCCCAGTCCTTGTTCTTTTACTAACCTCGCCTTCCATAGTCATGGGTAACAAAATCACCTACCACTCTCCCTCCCGTGGTTCATCCATGGAAATGGGCGCCGCCATCACCGTCCTCGTCTTCTCGCAGTATTCTCTACCTGTCTCTACCTCCATGTGTATCACCGGTGCTACTGTCGGTGTCGGTCTCTGCAATGGCTCGTTCAAGGCTGTTAACTGGCAGCGTGTTGGTCTCTTGTTGCTTGCTTGGATCATGACTATTCCTATTGCTGGCACCATTGGTGGGTGTCTCATGGGCTTGATCATTAACGCCCCTCATTTCCTCAGTTAGATTTTGGTCCTCTTTCTTTTTGGGCTCGGTCATTTGGAGAGAGTTATATGTCTAAAACTTAATCATTTTTCAAATATCCAATCATTCAGTCATTTTAAAATTTCAATCTTTAAGTTTTGCATATCAATTGCTTTTAGTGTGGGACGAAGTACATACTTAGGTGAAGCCTGGCATCCTTGGTACTTGTAAAATATCCCATATTACTTCCAAGTTATTATGTTGACACATATTTCTTTATTGAAGCAAGATAATGCGATCGTTTAAGCCCTTGAGACAAGCCTGTCGAATTTAATTTTAATAAATTACGGGACCGTTGAGCCAGAACTTGTCTCAGTGCTCTAGAGATATCCTGCCCCCTTCTGTATGTAGCCACGCGCTAGACATAGGCACCCCTACTACCCCTTATGCTCTGTTCGCACACTAACCTACATATTAGTTGACATCTAGTTAGTACTTTCGTGACCACGCTCGAACCGTACATGTGGCGTTTTGGCCCATTTTTTAATTCCCGCTTATTAATCAATTATGTCCGGGCTCTTTCAATGGCAGAAAAACACGCGTGGCTACAGTAGATCCAATCTAGATATCTGTGCCTTTTGCGAGGTTCATGGCCTGTTTGCCTTTATACGAGAAAATATAATTTTTAAAAGCCAAGAGTTAGATAGGCTCCTCCACCCTCCTCCCCCTCTATGTCCTCAGAGGCAAAAAAATGGTTTCCCTGGGAATCGAACCCAGAACCTTTCCGGAACACTTGCTTGGGGCAATTGTTAACGGAAAATCATAACCGCTAGACCAGGAAACCAGTTGATGTAAGATGCCACCATGTTTGACATTATGAGCAAAAATCATGGTTCTTCAAAGTACAAACAAGTTTGTTAGTCCCCTGCGTGAAGGGAAGGGATCAAAAAAAAAGATTGGCACATTACAAGGATCACCTAAGTAGCCTCTTAAAAGCACATAATCCAAATGTTTAATATGAACGCAAAAAATCGCAACAATAGGTCAAAACAAAGATATCCTACATGTTCCGGTCCTGGATATATATCCTGCACACTACCAACCCTATATAAACCCCGAAGTTACACCAAACTCACATTTCTTCAACAACCATAGCCAGCCCCTCCATCTCACGTCTCAAGTAATCCATAGTAACGATATCTGTGCGAGCCCGCTTCTCAATAGACTTCCAATCGCACTCAGACATGACAATCTCACCAGGTTGACGAGGAAAAATCTTCATTTGACGGCTGCGTTTTGAAAGGCCTATGTGGACGCAGCCAAATTTGAATTTCTTGATTTGGGAGGGTTCAACTGGGGTGCCGAATTGATAGGGCCTGCTGACTTCTACGTTATTGACGACGACAGTCTCCATGGACGAGGTTGGGCTGGGCTTTTTTGGGACTGGATTTGGAGCGAGGACAGGGGTAAGAGCAGGCGCAGAAGCAGAAACAGAAGGAGAATTAGTACATTGTGTGATCTTCTCTGTGGGACCTTGCGTGAGTTCTGCTCTCGAGTGAACATCCGTTGACTTTGGAGCCTGTGGCTGAAGCCCATCGTAAATTGGCGAGATTTTACCACGAAGTGGCTCACTAAGAATAACAGGAAGCTCAATTCCCCGCTCTGGGTCCTCGAGGATACTTTTCCAAGTCCTGATCGGTCGCTTACGCTTCCGGGATTTGAGAGAGACAGAGTTATTGCTGGATGGATCGTATCGAACCCCCGCATCAAAAGCCCTTTTGTAATCCTCCAATCTGCGAGCACGACCTTCGTTACTGATTCCGTGCCGCGTAATATCCATGTACAAGCGCACCTCCTCGCCTTCAATGCAGGTATCATCCATGACAGAGTTCTGTGCCGCGGCAAAGTGCGCATGGGCCTGCTTGAAGTTTTCGCGTAAGAATTCGACGCGGCCAAGCCAGAATTGACATCTGGCGACGAGAATATCGTCCGGTATGGACTTTGCAACCTCGATGGCGTCTTTGGTGTGCTTCTCGGCTTCGTCGGGGTTCTTTTCTCGGATGCATACTTGCGCAGTGCGGAGGAGGAATTTGATTCCGAGGTCTTGGAATCGCCTGGCGAGGTTCGGAGGTACGACTGGGTAATCGATGTTCAGGATGTGATAGAAACATTTAGCTTTGTCGTCGGTTGCTTTGCTGACTCGCGGCTTGAATCGTGATTGCTCGTGTGTTGAGATGGGAGAGACGCGTTGGAAGACTGGGTCGGTGAGGATTTCGTACATGTTTACCATGAGAGAGGCTACTTTTTCATGCCTGGCATCGGCGGGGTTCTCCGGAGTCGGATTGGGGATTAGAGAGTCCATTTTGTTTGCTGTGGCGATGGGCTAGCGTTGTGCTTGCCAAAGAGACGTGAAGTGCACGAGGGAATAAAAGATCACTCAGAAGTAGGTTGTTGGCCAATAAAGCACCGTGGTCCTTATTTATTTGCTGGCCGTAGAGAGCTCACAGGATGTGAATGAATAGAAAGAGTCTCAGGCATAAATAATGGCTTTGTTTCGGTCATAGGGTTCCAATGATAATGATGTTTGTGCTTCTTTGTCTTCTCCTGAGTTTATTGTTCCAGACTAACAACGGTGAATGATAGGGAGTAAATCGGTAGATCAATTATGCTAGACCTTTCTATGTTTTCTCCTTTCTCTTAGTCGTTTTGGTTCGCTTTTGTTCTCGTTCCTGCGCACGAACTGTATATGCTAAAACAAACGAGCCCCTGATTAAGCCGTAAAGATTATGCAGTCTATTTTCTTACACTGAGACCTATCTAAACCCTTGTTCCTTAAACGTTAAATTCATGATTTATCAGACCTGATTCTTCAATACTAGTACTTATATGACCCTGAGCCGCAGAAAGCTGTTATAGAACGTGCCCTAAGTTAGTAACTTGAATCCACACTGTTAGCTAAGGACATAGCCAAGGAAGACCTATTAACAATGAAATTTAGTTGATCTATGTACAAGGTTGTATAGCGTATTTTATAATCAAGGCAATTCTAGTCTCTATTCGAGGGCGTGGGTATTCGTACATGTGCAATATTAAAATTACGATGTGGCATGTATGGATTCACACTCGAATTGACAACAAGCAAACACTCCGGCATCTCATGATGCTTATCACTCTCTCATATTTACATTCTACTACGACTTACTGACTGTCATCTACTGAAGCTCTATCGTGTATGACTGATTAAGGTTTATATTAGATATATGAGAACGAGAAATCGAAGTAAAGGTGTTCAAAAAGAAGACCAAATAACAAAAAAGAAGTATCTGTCTCCCCACACATTCCTGAATATTTGGCACGATGACGGCAAGGCATGCTCTGATGCTACGGGGAACGAAGAATTAGCTTGTTAGTTCATCAACTGAACAGCACAGGAGCTGCAATTCGCGAGCTTTTTCGCTGTACTGAGGGGCTCGCATTATTGACTCTTCGAAGCACAAGTTAGCATCCTCGAACCTTTCAACTGCCATGAGATTCTTCCCTTCGATAAAGTAGGCCACGCCGAGATTGACCTCAGTTTCGAGTCTATCATCAGTGGTGTCCATGTAATTACCGTTTATCTTATGAAATATGCGACTGGAGAGGTCCCAGTCCTCGTGGGAGTGAAAAATCGCACAAAGGAAGAGCTCGCGTCGCATAAATTCATTATAGGACAGAGATTGGTCCTCAGCAAGTTTATCGGCAATTTCGTATGCCCACTGTGAGTCACCATCGAGCCAAATTTGCTCTGCTTCTGCAAGTAAAGTGTCAGTTGTTGAACAGAGCCATAAATCCTTGATCCATGTTCCTTCTGGCTGGGAGCAAACGGGGTCGAGAAGCCGGCAGTAGTCACGGGTAGACAAGAGGGGGGAATTGCTGTCAGTATCCTGGCAACGACTGCAGGTAAACCGAGGCTCACTTACTAGCAGGGAAAGACTATGGGAATCCAGGGACAACGGATCATTCAACAGCAGGGAAAGACCATGGGTATCTAGGCCGCGATTGCTGGTAGACCAAGGCTCGTCCAACTGTTGAGAAATGTGGTTAGCGTTCAGACCACTGGAGGTGGCTTGTGTGAGCAGAACATCGTACTCTGTAAGTATCTTGGTCAGCTCAGATATTGTATCATTTCTGCTGGATAGGGCTAGTGCCAACTGAACATTCTCTCGTTTGAATTCGAGAATGACAGCCCAGTGGCCCGATTGAGGCTCTTCCTCCTGAGGCTCATCCAATGATAGCGAAACACTGTCAGGATCCAAGCCAAAATTGCCGGTAGGCAGAGGCTCATTCAACTGTGTAGGAATGTGATCAGCATACAGGTCAATGGAGGTGGCTTGTGTGAGCAGGACATCGTATTCTGCGAGCAGCTTGACCAGCTCGGAGATTGTATCATTCCCGCTGGATACGGCTAGTGCCAACTGAACGTTCTCTCGACTGACTTGGCGAAAGATATCCCAGTGGTTGAATTGAGGCTCTTCCTGCTGCTTAGAGAGAGAACGACAAGTTCTGTCAAACATTGTGGTAGGTGGATGAAACTTACTAAGATGGGTGAAGGATGCCCAGATAGGTTGGGATGACTGTGAAGTTAACTCTGCACAGGGGCATGAGTGCGACATTTTAAGCAATTTGGAGGCAGGGACAAGGAAGAGCAGTCAAAGCGATGATGTATTGCTTTGTTACATTTGATCTCACAAAGTCCTTTATCTTCTACTAATATCGTTACGGAAGGGGCCGCACATTTGTGAATGGAACTTCTGCCCGCTTGTCCAATCGTCATCTAAAATGTTAGAGACGGCATTTTACTTGTATGGTTCTTGGAGATTGGAGCTGGCACGCACGTCACAAAGGCTAACTTCAATTATGTGCTTTGTTTAATTTCGAAGAAAAGAGCTGGAAACACATGTAAGAAGAGTTTGGAAACAGCGACACTTTGATAGTATGATGCTCTTCGAAAACTGTATATGGACCTTAGTGCTTCAAGACCTTGGCGTTGGAATGTAAACTGCCACGATTCACCGCTCGGATGCAAACAAGCCAAACCAAACATTCCTGCTGCAAACAGACAAAGCAGACAAACAGCGCTATGACCTCACCAGCCCGGAAGCTCCCCACATCTTCAGCGACTTGACTGGCAATGCAAACAACAATGGGGAGACACTCAGACGTCAGACGGCATAACTCGGGTGACTCAAGCGCTCTCTGATCCAATCTGATACTTGGAACTGTTCCGCCCTAAGCCGCTTACACGATCAGCCCACGAATCTAGACTTGCGGGGGGTCGTGATGCAAACATGTTCACTGACAAAACCGGGTTGTAGAGCTGCTGAGGTCTTTATAAAGCCCACACAATGTAACATTAAAGGATTTCGCTCAATTTTTGTTCTTTTTCAAGCTTGAAATCCCCTCCGAGGCCCACAGGTCTTGTCTAATAATTTGTCATAGAGGTTGGTGCCATTAGCTCCTTCTAGGTAAGAGTGTCATTTTAGACTTCATTGTGAATCTTCTTTTTGGTCTGCGGTCTCTACCTTCTACATAATTCAACAGCTTTTTATTCTGCGTGCTCCCGGTTTTGATCTGACCTCTATAGATTGCCCGAACATGTCTCCTACAGCTCTGAGAAATACCGACACGGTCGAGATCGTGGATATTCACCAGAATGACATGGAATTCTCACTCGTGGATGATATCTACAAGAATTTGGACCCACCAGCAGATACACCACGCACATTCCCTACCCTCCTACTCTACGACGCCAAAGGACTGAAGCTCTTTGAGAAAATCACATATCTGGACGAATACTATCTCACCAACACGGAAATTGAGGTCTTGACAAACCATGCAAAGCGGATAGTCGAGCGCATTCCGGACAATGCACAGTTGGTGGAGCTTGGTAGTGGGTCAGTTATCCCTACACCCGGGTCTACAACAATTGCGCCTGACATTCAATAGAAACCTGCGCAAGGTCGAGATTCTACTCCGCGAGTGTGAACGAACGGAAAAGAAAGTGGACTATTACGCGTTGGACCTCTCCCTGGTGGAATTGCAACGGACGTTCTCCGAGATCTCGCCCGAGAGCTTCGTGCATGTGGGATTCCATGGTCTCCATGGTACCTATGATGACGCTGTTGGGTGGCTGAATAGCCCAGAAAACAGACAGCGGCCTACAGTTGTCATGTCAATGGGATCTTCCATGGGTAACTTTGGTCGTACCAGCGCTGCCGAGTTTTTGGGTCGTTTCTCAAAGTTGTTGAGCCCGTCTGATTTCATGCTGATCGGATTGGACGCCTGCAAGGACCCTGAGAAGGTGTTCAAAGCATACAACGATAGCGAAGGCATTACCCGCCAATTTTATGAGAATGGACTACTGCATGCCAATGCGGTGCTTGGCTTCGAGGCCTTCAAGCCTGGTGAATGGGAGATCTTGACTGGGTACGATAGTCGCGAGGGACGGCATCAAGCCTGCTATGCCCCCAAGGTCGATGTGGTCATCAATGGCATCAAGATCCCTAGAGGGGAAAAGCTCGTCTTTGAGGAAGCGTGGAAATACGGCCGGGATGAACGAGATGAGTTATGGCGAAAGGCAGATCTAATCTCTCAAGTGGAGTTTGGGAACCCTACTGATGATTATCGTGAGATTTGAACCTTGATTCACTCTTCCTGTACTTTTGGACTAACATGGTGATAGACGTCCACCTACTATCACCCGCCGCGCTAGATACATCCACAGACCCTTTGCAATATGCGACTCAGCCAATCCCAACCATCGAGGATTTCCAATCACTATGGACTGCGTGGGATCTTGCGACCAAAACCATGGTTCCCCGAGAAGAGCTTTTGTCAAAGCCAATCAAGCTCCGAAATGCGCTTATATTTTACCTCGGCCATATCCCAACATTTTTCGGTATGTTTACTTACGGTTTCATCATGTTCGTTACTAATTGAGTGCCCCGTAGATATCCATTTGACCCGGGCATTACAGGAGGATCCTACTGAGCCTAGGTATTATCAAAAAATTTTCGAGCGTGGCATCGACCCAGACGTTGAAAACCCGGAGCAATGCCATAACCACAGTGAAATTCCCGACGAATGGCCACAGTTAGACGAAATCCTGGATTATTCAGAGAAAGTACGAAACCGTGCGAGATCAATTCTACAGGAAGGATCCGCATCACAAGACCGAACTCTCGGAGAGGCCCTTTGGATTGGCTTTGAACATGAGGCCATGCATCTGGAGACCTTCCTCTATATGCTACTTCAGAGTGACAAAACCTTGCCACCTACGGGAGTTGAACGTCCGAATTTCGAGGAAATCAGCCGAAAGGCCAAGAAGGATGAGAAACCAAATAAATGGTTCAGTATCCCGGCGCAGACAGTAACGATTGGCTTGGATGACAGCAACGAAGAAGTCATGCCCAAGAGTTCTTTCGGGTGGGACAATGAGAAGCCCCACAGAACGGTCTATGTCCGTGCCTTTGAAGCCCAAGCACGACCCATCACCAACGGTGAATATGCCAAATATCTACAAGCTCATGGTATTCAAACACTCCCTGCATCTTGGGTGTTGATTTCACGACAAGACAATCCGATCTCGAGAGGAATTGGCCAATCAAGTGCCCAAGCTGGATCGAGTTCCCATTCAACGGGATTCTCCACAGACAGTATTGCTGTACGAACAGTCTTTGGCCCTGTCGCTTTCAAGCATGCACAGGACTGGCCATTGAGTGCTTCTTATGACGAACTAGCGAGCTATGCAAAGTGGATGAACTGCAGGATCCCGACCTTTGAAGAAACCAAGAGCATCTATCAGTACTCTGAACAGATCCAGAATCATCAAGTTACAAATGGTTACAGGTATGTTTGATGGCCCTATCTTTTGATACCAAAATCTAATGGCGGTTGCAGCAATGGGACAAATGGGTCTTACTCCCACAATATGAAGCCCCGGTCTGCTGACCAGGGACTCTTCCGTAATCTCAAGGGCTGCAATGTTGGCTTCAAGAACTGGCACCCTGTCCCAGTTACTCCCAATGGCGACAAACTAGCTGGTCAAGGTGGCATGGGAGGTGTCTGGGAATGGACCAGCACACCATTGACGCAACACGAGGGATTCAAGCCTATGGAAATTTACCCTGGATACACATGTGAGTGATGGTTTGACTACTTTGACCTGTCCTGGGCTAATCAATACTCTAAAGCGGACTTTTTCGACGGCAAGCACAATGTTATCCTTGGTGGCTCTTGGGCTACGTTGCCCCGCATCGCCGGCCGAACTAGCTTGTGAGTATAGATCTTGATAATAAGCTAAGCAGACCAACTGACATCATACAGCGTCAATTGGTACCAACACAACTATCCATATGCCTGGGTTGGAGCGCGGCTGGTGAGAGATGTGTAGAATAGAGTGCGATGACTTCATCGATAAGATATAGAGATAACGTGACTGCCCCTCATCCCTTCGCTTCTCCAATTCCTTCAGTTCTTCTCTTCATATAAGATTTTCAAGTACTCATGATGTCTTTGGAAACGATCAATACTATCTCTCCGGCCACCAATGAGCCCGTTGTGACCCGCACTGGAGTTTCATCGGAGGATCTGAGACAGATCCCCGAGACCGCCCAAGCTGCATTCCGGTCATTCTCCCAGTCCACCACTCTGCAACAAAGACAGAAGATTGTCGAGAAGGCCCTGGATATTCTCGAAAAGAAGCAGGATGAGCTGGCTCGCGAAGTCACTGAGCAGATGGGCCGGCCCATTGCCTACACCGGTGTCGAAGTCGCGACCGCAATCAAGCGCAGCCGTTACTTGACACGCATCAGCACTTCGGTGCTTGGCGAGGAAGGTATTGTGCCTGGAGAAGAAGAAAAGGGCTTCAGACGGTATATCAAGCGTTCGCCTGTTGGTGTTGCGCTGATTATCTTCCCTTGGAACGTGAGTTCAAACTGAAGCAGTTGATGTGGACCAATGACAGCCCCCCAACTGATCAATATATATCTACATAGTACCCGTACCTCACACTTGTGAACAGCTTGATCCCCGCCATCCTCGCTGGAAATGCCGTTATTCTTAAGCCCTCGCCCCAAACCCCTACAATTGTTGAGCAGTTCGCCTCCGCCTTTGCTGAAGCTGGTCTTCCCAATAATGTGCTCCAATTCTTCCACAGTGGATCCTTAACTCTCATTGAGACCCTGGTGCGCTCGCCATTAGTGAACCACATCTGCTTCACCGGCTCAGAGGCCGGTGGTCTGGCAGTGCAAAAGGCAGCTGCGGATCGTATTGTGAATGTTGGTCTTGAGCTGGGCGGTAAGGACCCGGCCTACGTGCGAGAGGACGTGGATCTTGCCTGGGCCGCCGAGGAAGTCGTTGATGGAGCTATCTTCAACAGCGGACAGAGCTGCTGCGCCATCGAGCGTGTCTATGTCCATGAGAAGGTCTACGACGGCTTCATTGCGGAAGTAAAGAAGGTTCTGAGCAACTACCGCGTTGGCGAACCCTCCGATCCTAAGACCCAGATTGGTCCCGTTGTGTCTAAGCGTGCCAAGGAGGCTATCCTCGCCCAAGTTGAGGATGCTATTAAGAAGGGCGCGAAGAACGAGACTCCTGCCAATGAGACCTTTGAAAACTTCCCTCCACATGGAAACTACGTTAAGCCCACACTTCTCACTGGTGCCAACCATGATATGGTCGTCATGAAGGAGGAGACTTTCGGGCCTGTGATTCCTGTGATGAAGGTCTCCGGTGATGACGAAGCTGTCAAACTCATGAATGACAGTGATTTCGGTCTCACAGCTAGTGTCTGGAGTAAGGATGTTTCGGCTGCCGAGAAGCTGGTTGAACGTGTTGAAGCTGGCACTGTGTTTGTCAACCGATCTGACTTTCCCAGTCCTGTAAGTACAGTCTATGTTAGTGGCAATGAACTCTTTTCTAACCTATCTTCGCAGGACCTCGCGTGGACAGGCTGGAAGAACTCTGGCCGTGGCGTGACCCTTAGCAGATTCGGATTCGAGCAGTTCGTCAAGCTCAAGAGTCACCACATCAAGGACTACCCCAAATAAATGGGTACATAACAAGATATGAATTTTCTTGTTCTGTCATTTAGAAACAAACATGGATATATAGACTGTCTGGTGATAACGGCACTGGACATACTTCAGAATCAAGCAACTTCATCAAATGCAAACTCAAGGGGGATGCTCATGGCCCACTTCATTCCAATAAGATAACGAACGAAAAGGGAAAAAGGTAACTTGGGAGAGGGATCACTATTAGCCCTCTCGCTGACTGACGGGCCACTTTACATGTACCAAGTGCATTTATAACGTTACCCTAAATAGGCACAAGGGTATCCACCAAGGTAGGCGAAGCATGTCCCTGCCAAAAAGTCAACAACCAAAGAATGGGCCAATAGCGCAGGGGAGAATATTTCCGCATTATGGTCAGAAACAATTTCGGTAACCACCGGAGCAATTAGGCAGTCTCTGCAAGAATGTAAGCCAAGCTTCAGAACACGGGTAACCACCCCGGCTAGCACTGACTATGTGCCAATAATATGTCGTTTCCAGGTAGCTAGGTAGGTTCGAGGTTACTTTGGTAGGGAACTACATAGCTGGAAGCACCTTGCATAGCAAGGGCCTCATTGAGTGGATGCCAGCGCGTCTTCGATACGCGGTTTGTACACGCATTGTACGTACAGTATGTGCATACTGAACGTCAACGTTATACGTGTATACGTTTACCCGATATAATGGTAGAGTTTCAGTATCCAATATGGCGTTTCTACGGAAATTCAAAATCTATTCTGCTGGTAATTTCATTGGAAATGAGTTTCCGCATTGAATGGCTCATCCCTGCGGTTCCAGTCGAGTTTAGGGCTTCCCGTTTGCCCAGATGAAACACTTATAAACAATAACCCTCATTTCCGAAAACAACTTCAGTCTTTAGCTCTTATCTCGTATTTTGTCACATTTATGATGCTGGAATGCGTACCTGCGTGAAACTTGTGCCTAAGACCCCCTAAAACAACCTTTGTGAGCTGTTTTTTAACTCGGCATAGCTCCGACGCAAGGGAGGCTGAAAAGAAAATACGCGAACCATTCCAGGCCCCGCAGGCACCCGCAAGGTTTCTGTACGATTGAATCTGTTCTGGCATCTCTGGAAGTGGTCGACCTATCGAGTAATAAAAGGAATAGGGCTCTATACAGTAACCAAGGGCGCCGAGGTGAGGAAGCCGTCTTTACCTTTCAGGATTGTGATTGAGGCTGAAGCATTCAAAATTTTAGAGTAGGGAATACGGCAGATGTGAAAATTCCCTGTAGTATTATCATGTAAACGACACGGATACGTGATTATTGAGGCTCGAAGATCAAAGCACTATACCACACATCACCATCATCAGATGCGGATCGGTTGCACTAGGCTTGACCACATATCTAACCCTGAGAACAAGCCCAAGATCATCCCTGTCAGTGACGAATCTATGATAGATCGGCAATGCATCCAAGAAACGTCTAAAATTACATTGCCGGACCCGTGTCCTTTGACGGGAGAGCATCCGAGACAAAGACACAAAAATAACAAGGCAAAGAGCCATACAAAGCTGCCTCGCCTTGTCTTGGAAGAAAGCCGATTATTGTATAGACAAAGACGCCGAGCTTTGCAGGCCCTCGCATTCATGCACATATACGACCCAACAAACAGGGACGGGGAAATCGGCAACTGGTCATTATCGAAAGATTCCTGGGGAAACGGTACAGAAGCTTAAAAAACCGACATGGGTATTTCGTCCTAAAAGGGACAGGAATGAAGTACGGAGTGGTACTCCAGGGTTCTCTTTACTTCTCCCTTTTGCCCCTTTAGTCTGGCTCTTTCTCCACCGGCTCCACTGAGGGTCAAGCGCCCACTGTAATCTGCATGGGTTTGTGATGTATTGGATTCCCTACAGGCTGCAGGTCACGATGATCTTGCTGCCTGTAATGCCCATCTGCCGTTGTTGCATTTGATGCTTTGCAGCAGATCGAGGCAGGGAACCGTTTATACACAGAGAGAGGTGCACAGATCCGATCGATAGGTTGTTGCATGTTCACGAATAGCCGACTTAAGCACACAGGCATTTGGAAATTTCCTTCCACAGCTAATTCCTGACCCAATCTCCTAGGGGGACCCGCCGCTGCCGCCAGGGGACTGCCGGGAATGTGTCACAGTCTCAGCAAAGGGACGGAGTATGTTTTTTGACGGGCGATCCTGCCCAGCCTGTCATCCTGTCCATGCCACAGGTCCGGCTGTCGCCTAGTTCAACCTGCATGGGCGAGACCGTGGACCAGCTTATCCTTGACACGCCGAGAATAGCATTGATGTGCATACTGCCGGTAACTTTACGGCATTAGTATATGTACTCTCCTTGTGCCTCATTTTTTAAATTCTCTTCGTTCATTCACGCCTCGGTGCTGTAGAGCACATCCAACGTCGTTTCTTTCTTGTTTTTCTTTGTTACTGACAACAGTCCCTCGTTTCGCGTTGTCCCTTGTATAGCATTTGTTTCACCACAGCGTTGCCTTTGTTGCATTTCCTCGTCCCATTTCGAGGCATTTCTGCTGAAATCTGCATTGTTCCAAGCCCTCCACGACTTTCGACCCGACTCTTTATAAAGAACCCGTATCCGCCTGCCGGATCAACCTCACAACATCAACCCAACATGGAATGCTTTCGGCAAGTCTTCCGGTGCATCAAGGCACCTTTCACACGCAACAAAGGAAGGATCATTGAAATTGTAAGTCTAGTTGAACACCGTAGACACTTGAGAGTTCGATTGTTGTTGGAAAGCCGGTGGCTAACCAGTACATCAATCAGGGTCCTCCCACCAACTTCCGCAAAGAAGAATTGCCTGCCTGCTTCTCTGATGCCGAGTCAGTCCTCTCGCCCAGCCAGCCCCCGACAGAGCGACCAGATCTGACCAATCAATCACAGCACGCTGACGTCGCAGGACAGTCGGACAGCGACCGCGGAGGAGAAAGATGGAGCCACGATCGAAATGGTGTCACTCCAACCATCGACGTCGACGAAGAGCAAGGTCCAAAACCACGTCCGCAGAATGAGCCTGAGGCTATCGCAGCCCGCTTCCGGGAGCGTATAAGGTTGCCTCGAATGTGGAAGTCGAGCTCAGCTATTGCTCAAGATTCCAAGGCCCCGGCCGAATCGATCACTATGAACGAGGTTTGAACTGTCTGATTGAAATTATGAGAGGAGGAATTAATTCGGGGCGAGATTGTTTGAAGATCACACTAGAAATGTCGGGACCTCATTATGCCGGGATTTCTCTTGCCTGGTAGAAGGTGATTTGGTGATGTTATTAGAGGTAGAGATTATTGACGGCGATGGCTCTGGAAGTTCATCAAGGTCATCGAAAAGTGATTGTACTCTTGACTTATATTCAGGCCGAGTATTCGCCGCCTTTACTTTTGATCTGGACGTAGTGCTGTTTCGTAGGTTTGCTCGTGGTATATTTTGATCGTCAGATTGGAGCTTCCGTGGCATAGAATGTGCACTCCTCGGCGGCGGTAGCCTAACCGCCTCGTGTTGGATATCTAGATCGTCATCGGAGTCTGAAGCAGTCTCTTCGTCGAGCTCAACCACTTGAGCTGCTGCTGCTCTTGAAATTGGAGTCGCGCTCCCTGTGCTGTTCACTTGAGCTTGACCATTACCCGGAGGAGGTACCTGCCCCGCTTGCAAAAAGCCTGCTGCAGCTCTCGAGGACGACTTGAGCACATGTGTGCCTGCTAGGGACCGTGCTTTCCGTGGGCTTGTCATGAGATCGTGTAAATGGGTTCCGGTCCACCTCTGGTCATCCTCTTCGTGGTCATCAATCTGCTCGTCGGGGTTCTGGCCATCTAGCCGCGCCAGTCCAGCTTTCTGTCGTTGCCTGAAGGCCTCACGTTCTCGTTGTCGTTCCGCTTCTTTGGAAACAGGAGTGCGGCCATCTGTTGGCCTCTCAATCACTCCAAGTGCGGCTGCATTTTCAGCCTTGACTTCCTTTCGCCGACGAAGGTACTCTGCGTAATGGAGATGTTGTGTAAATGTTTGCGCGACGGCATAGAATTCATCCTCCACCATTACCCAACCATCGTCACGTTCGATTCCATCGAGCAAAAACCTGTTGTAAATCATTAGTGACTGTCTCTGTTTGGTGGAGTGTGGCCGCGATTATACTCTTCAGAGGGGCATCGTTTGATTGGAGATGACGGTGGTGTTTGAGCTGGCAAAGATTCTGCGTATTAGAATAGATCACATATAGATGACGAGAGCAAAGCGTACATGACCTAAAGAAGTCGCGCTTTTCGGGGGAGATTGGGGGTTCTTAGGTGTCACGTCGCGATCAGGAGTGGCTTCAGTTTTGACGCGCTTTCTCGGTGTAGACTCATTCTTCACTGGTGTGCCATCCTGGGCCCGAAGCCAGGGTAAGGTCCTCGGCATTATAGAAGCGCATAAGAGGCGAAACGGAAAAAGAGTGGAAAGATGACCACAGAGGAAATAAAGAAAGAGAAGTTGCCCGCTATCTCCGATAAGTGAGGTCAACCTACGCATCATGCGCCTACAATTCTGCTTCGCTACATTCTGAGAATCCTGTACGTATAGCCCCCGTTCTTTTGGGTATCTAATGTCATGGACATTTGTAATGCAAGATATAAAGAACTAAATCGCCTGAAAACGCCTCGAGGATGTGTGCCCGAATCCCGAAATCAACGGCTCTGCCGGTAGAACGCCGATGCGACTCAAAGAGAAAGGAAAAGCAAACGCCATCTCTGTCCACCCATGTCCCACTTTATGCCTCGCCAGGACGCTTGCTGTTGCAGCTGACGATCTTGACCCTGTCCGCCGACACCGAGGTCTGGTTATCCAGCTTGAATGTGACATCCTTGATCAGGAACGTCCAGACTTCGTCGCAGAATCGGTAGGTATCCAGGTGACCCTGTTGGTGAGAAGAAATGTCATGTTAGCCATGCTGAACTGAAATGAAGGTAGGACCCTCTCCGCAAGAGTATATGGGCCGAAAGGACTTACCTTGAAGGTCAGTCTGGCCCGGACTTTGTCGGCCAGGACTTCAGTGACCACACGGTCAAAGGTGGAGAGGATCTTCATAGCTAGCTGGGGCTCGATACGGCCCTCGTTGATCAGATCGTCTAGAGTATCGGTTAGAGACAGCCCGAGGCTAGAGATTCCTTGTCAGCTTTGGAGCATCCGGTCTGCTTCACATGGAGTAGTACCTGCTCCCACGGTAGAGCTCATAATAAGCCACAGACGCCATTTTAAGATATATGAATGGCAGACTTCTTAAATGAGTTCTGTGGAGTGAGATGTTGTGTCAAGAGCACAATTGACCAGTCCCGGTGGATCGCGGGGAGGTAGGAAACACGTGATCCACATCACGTGCGTTGCTTATCCGCTTATCGCGATGGCGTCAGGGTCGAACAGAACTCCAACAACACAACACTGAACAAGATTGACATATCGATCAGTATGGTCTTGAAGTGTTTTCAGAGCTCTGGGATTGGAATGTTCCGTTGTAGAACAACTTTCTGTCATTTACACGCCCGTGCTCAATTCTTATCTACAGCACCCAAGCCGTCAAAAGCCCAAGGTCAAATACACATTGCCCCAGCCCAGAACTCAGCGTTAGAACTAATTTTCTCCTACAGATAAGATCACTTCCGAGCCTAAACAAGAGCAAAACAAGCACTCTCCCACGAATCCTCTTTCAAACGAAGACAACAAACGCCACCCAGTCCCACACAAGACCAAAACCGTCACCGAGGCGGACGCTGAGCTGCGCGAGCGATTGGAACAAATGTCTGGGGAAGGAGGGGCTTCTGGGATTGAATACGAAGATGGAAAGGCCAACGCCATGAAGCGCGGTGTGCGAAACAATATGTTCCGGTTGATTTGAATCGGTTCTAAAAATGAAGATTCACCAAAACAAACCGGAGCAAGATGAATGTTGGGGATATATATACATATATATCCTAGGAGGCATTCAAAACCCTGCAGCCTCGGTTTCTATCCGCCGATCCGCCAAGAACGTGGAGACAACACGATCGACCAGGCATGGAATCTGTCATAATCCGAGCCTCTCGACCTTCTTTCCTAACTGAGCAGACTTCATTTCGGTCTCGGTCTCGGCTGAGTTTACCTTGCACGGTGTCTCACGGGCGTATGACGTTTGATAGCCGTGCCAGGATAACGACGTTGCGTAATTGAAGGCATTCCACGCGTTGGGGGCTCCCGCATTCTTCGATTACGATGCTTGGGCAGAGCCACGCAATCGGACGTGGTGTTGTTGCTGATCGTCAGTATGCTTTTGGGTATGCTTTCACAAAGTATTGTCGTTTGAGGGTGATTTGTCGCAACATTTGCCAGGGAAGATCGCTCCCCCATCATCCTGCGTCCGATTTACTTCTCAGAGAATATATTACTACACCTCTCGATTGGTTCAAGACCACGGAGGCCTATCTTTGCAAGGTAAAACTATCTTCGACAACCTGCAATCCAAGCATGTTACATTGCTTCGGATTGATCATTTAGTGGATCCTTTGTGACGTTGAACACCTATGCCTCCATAGTATCGAATTGATTGAGAGTTGCAGATAAGACTTCTTTCGGGGTAGTAATTTGGTCGTAGACCCTGATCTATTATAACCATATCAATATTATAACCATATCAATGCTGGGGGGGAACAAAGTTGGCACAGACCTTTAGGCCTAGTGCTGATCGGCACTACTTTCTCGCAGGAACTAGGTGCATGGGAATAAATAAAAAGACAAAATAGTCATGAAATGAAGGAACAAGGCTTTGTCTAAGCCGGCTAACCGAAATAGTTAAAAAGAATATTATCCGCTCCTTTCAACATAGAATCACCATAACAATAGTCAAATACCCATCTCTATGCCATGAGACCCGAATCATACAAAAAAGTAAAAAACTATCCCATTGACACCCTAATCAAAATACACCATTTTCTCATTGCAAGATTACACCCCCGAGAACAAAAATAGTATGCCCGTAAGCATCCGAATCAAAAGAAAACCTCACTTGCGAACAACCATGCCAGCCAAAACACCAGCCCCAATCACACCACCATCTGAAGCCTCCCGCAAGAAAACAGACTTGCCCCCTCTCTGCGGACCAGTCCGCATAATCAACCGATCGATATATTGCTGACACATCTCCTTGAACTGCGGATAATGCTGGATGATACCACCGGTATAGGCAACAACCAGTTCTTCAGGCCCGGACTGCCAATCAGCTGGCGTCTCAAGGACCGGAACGACGTGTCTGTGGATGGCGTGGTTAGCCGCGACCGCAGAGTCAGGCGTAGCAGCAACAATATCCGGCGTAACGACTTCTCCATTGCTCTGCGGTGAAGCGGCGTTCTCGGGCGTGTTGCTGTTGCTATCCTCTTTCAACTCAATCTCGCGAGCACAGGCTAGTAGTCCAACCACTGCAGAGGCTATTAGGCCCGCTGAGCGTCTCTGCACTGTGCGTGCGATCTTGCGGAATGCGCCTGCGGTCCGGGAATCCCAGCGCCAGTCGCTGCTTTCTGGTGGGGGGAGGGATTGGTTCAGGGCTTTGGCGAGGTCGGGGTCGGAGCGTGCTTTAGCTACCGTGTCGGAGATGTAGCTTGTTGTCAGAGCGTATTCTTGAACGAGATTTGCGGGGAGGGAGCGTTTGGATAAGTTGGCGATTGTTGTGAGGTAGTCGAAGAGGATTAGACGGATGAGTTCGCCGATGTAGCGGCCGCCGGTCATGTATTCGAATGGTTGGAATCCTGGACGCGCACAGGCCCGGTCCAGTTCGATATCCCATTTCGTCGTGACATTCAGCTCGGATAGGGGTGGTGCGGCACCGGAGATGGTCCATTCGGTGTTGACGATTGTCTCTACCGCGCTTGGTTCCATTGTATTGACGCTCTTGGCTTTGGATTCGTGTAGTGCATCTAGCTTCATTGGGATGGTTGCGTTACAGCCGGTACCCACGATGATGCCCATGGCGACTCGGCTGTTTGGTAATGACTTGACCTTATAGGCAAGAGAGGCTAGAGTGGCCACGGTGTCGTTGGTAATTGCCTGGATCTTCAGTTTGGGCAATGCAAAGAGCTTGCGGCGTTTGGATGATGGCTCATCGTCATCATCTGGTCGCTTTGTGTGCTTCTCATATCCATCGAGAAGAATGTTGCCCAAGTTCAGGTTAGATGAGATAGCGAAGCCTTTGCCCATGGGCATCAGTGTAGCTTCTGCCAATGATTCTTGCCTATGATATGGTTAGAAAACACCGACACCCGGAAACAGACCAATAGAACCCGGTAGCATAAACTCAAGAACTGGAATACTCACATGATGGGGAAACTGAATGTAATGCCCATATCAAGCTCAGCAGGAATATCCTTTTTCGTCGCATCGGATGATAGACTCTCAGCTACCACTTCAGCGATGCAATCACCAATCCACGAAAACAGATCCTCAGCCTTGTCCATCTTCAAATGCTCCTGAATAGGCCAGGCTCTCTCCAACGTCCGCTTCACGCGCTGACGCTGGGCTTTTCGGATGGTGTCCCGTGACCTTTCAGTGGCATCAGTGGGACGAACATCCGAGTCGACAGCTTCTCCAAGCAACTCGATGAATGCAACTCGAAGATTGCTGCCTCCGACATCGATTGCAAGATAGCGACCAGTTTCCTGGCCGGTAGGAAGCTGGGTCACAGGCGTCGGGAGAAATTGCTGGTCCGATGTCAGGGCCAGGTGTCGGTATGTAGTGGAGAAACGCCGTGCCAATTGATAGAGCACACCTTCATCCAGGGACATGGGCGACAAGAATTCTTCCAGTTGTTGATGATGGGCAAGATATTCTCGCTGGACGGCGTCGTACTCCGAGTTGACCTCGTCATGGTCCTCCTCAACCGGATCGTCGGGCATGTCGCGCTCCTCGTCATTGTCCTTTTCAGATATTGAATTGACAGATGTCATTATGCAAAGTTGGTGGCCAATGTATCAGCGAATCCAAATTCCGTGCCCCGAGTCGAGTATACGGGTGTCGCAAATGATAACCTTAGCAGTTCCCGAGCCTAACAGCCGTTACGTTTTCAACAGTGACGTCGGGCTGGAATGTTAGGAGCGGACACGGTCATGTCCTTGATGATAAGCTACCACAGGGGCTGATATAGCCTAGTTTCACGCTGGGTTAGTGAGGTTGCAATAAGGAGTGAACATTTCGGTGACGCGGTCTGCAGGGCGATGGGGCGGCTGCGGGGAAAACAGAAACACGACGATCATGCCGGGAAGGAAAAAAAGAAGCACCTGTCATGTTTTACGTACGTTGGAATCTTCGGTATGCGCTGATCACAGATAAATAATAGGAATCTCAGGGATGGGGGGTGGAGAGACTATATACGAATCTTCCGATATCCCTAGATGCCTGAGGCAGGAGTTGGAGAATGAAGTATACTCCCTGCTTAAGATAGGAGAGGAATAAGAAAATAAGAAAGAAAAAGAGGAAGAAAACCAAGTGAAATAGCCAGGTACCTTTTTTTGTAACTTAAAAGTGAGTTGGAAGGAGTGTGGAAGCTATAAAAGCATCAAGGTGTATATGGGTCAGGGAAATGATAAATTTAGTGAATTTAGTGTGGTCTCAAGCATTTGGTGTATCATCGATGCGACGTTGCTGAGAAACTCAACACTTCTCTTCTCTATGAGGCAAACGACTCCGTCTACACCTACACTCTTCTCCGGACTATGTAACCCTACCCGGGACCATCTGACGCCCTTCCAGGGAGGTCAAAAGAAGGCTAAAACACCTCGGTTAGGGGCCCAGGCTTCCCTCCATACTTTGTCCTGACGCCATTCTTGGCTCTCGGGATTAAAACACAACCTTCGAGGCGTTGGGAAACGGCCGCACGGGCGCGAGTGAAGATCCAGAGAGGTATACGACAGGGATTAACAGTGGGGTTTAGACCCCGGAACACGTACCAAAAGCGTTTCAAACTGCCATTCGCTCGATACGAGGTTCGCCCGCTCTGATATACTTGTGGCGCTCGCGTGGTGATGGGGCCGGACATGCCCGTATCCAGACGCAGCCCCATGTTGCGGCACTCGTCTGCCCAAGCATCGTGTGCTGTCTCCGGTCTCGATCGTTCTCGCCCAGACTGTCAGATCTCATTGGGCGCGGCTGCAGCCTCGCTTTTGCTTACCCGGAGTTGGTCACCTGCTCCCCCGTGGGTTCAAGGAACAGCTCCCGTGTTCAGGCGTATCTTGATACACCTGTATGTCAAGGTTTGACCTGCGAGGCTCAAAACGACCTTGCAGACAGCCTAACCACGCGATCCTTGGACATAGTGCATGCCTTGTCCCATGCGAAGAAATGCCCAGTTTCTTGAGCCTTGTACATTTGAAACTTGAGCTAGTCAACGCCCCATAATGGTCTCCGAAGTCGGAGCCAAGAATGATGAGAGTATTCTCGGTGAAGATGTGGTAATTTAGGCATTTAGGAAGAAATCGGGACTTCGCCAACCAAACAAAAAGCAATTACAAGTAGAAGCAGCTAAAAATCCTTGATGTCACTGGTGGCTCATAAGTTGGAAGATCTTATGTAATGGCATGGGCAAGGGGAAGTTCCGCCTCTCCACATGATCTTATCAACACAACGTCACCTCACCATGGAGAAACTCCCGATCCACTCAGATGGCGATCCTCAGGATCAAAACGAACGGACTCGTCCCAGCACAGCTACCTTTTTACGCCGCCTGTGTATTGCTGTGTTGTTCCTGGTCGGCTACTACCTGCTGATTAGGCCATCTTCCACATGCACTCAGCACCACACAAAGCTTCCCGAGAGCTATACCCTGGGTCTTGAAGATATCACAAATGAGGACAGCCACAACCCAAACGCGGGACGAATTCCTGATGCACAGAGCACACCTGCGCAAACCAAGATCCCGCTGGAAGCTCACATCATGAGCAAATGTCCAGATGCTCAGGCCTGTTTGCAGAAGCTGGTCTTACCGGCCATGGAAAAGATCTATGACAAAGTGGATTTCAGACTGTCCTTCATTGCTAGGTGAGCATCAGTCCCCAATACCAGGGACTTGATTTCGTTCTGATCTCATTTGAAGTCATCCGTTAACGTCAACCAGTGTATCCGAAAGCTCCGAAGAGATAGAATGTATGCATGGTCCGGGTGAATGCATCGGTGACATGCTTATGCTCTGCGCGGCCAACCTTCCTTTCCCTCCCCCTGCAGACGAATCCCTTCTTCCACCAGCCTACCCTCGAACACCTATCATCAGGTCTCTGGGATTCGCAAACTGTCTAATCAATGACTATGCCAAGATCCCAGATCGTGAATTCATTCATCAGTGTGCAATGGAACACGGGATTGACTTTGACGCACTGAATAAGTGTGCCAGCCAGCAAAATGATGACCCTGATGATGGTGACAACGGTGGACCACCGTTGAGTGGCATCGCTCTGCTGCGCGAAAGTGCTGTGCGCGGTGCTAAACTTGGCGTCAAGACAAGCTGCACTGTGCGCTTAGATGATGCGTTCTGGTGCATTCGTGACAACAATGAATGGAAGAACTGCGCCCAGAATGGCGAAGGCGGCAATCCTTCAGTTCTGGTTGATCAAGTCGAGAAGCTCTGGAAGGAGCGGAACTAAGACCAATTCATACAGACACGATAGGATATGATAGTCAATGCAACTCACGATCCCTTGCAAATCTTCGAGTGCAGACCCTAGGCTTTTTATACTCACAAACTTATCCTTTGGAATATGCTCTCCGCCACATGAATTCCAACTGTGCGAGTCAAGCAATGATGGTAATGTTTCCATGGGCTGCCCTAGCTCTTACCTGTAGTCAACGAACGATCTCTCAGTTCTATCGCCTGGCATCGAAGTCAGACGTCAGTTGATTGCCTACGCACATTTCTCTTTTTTTTTTTTCCCCTTTTCTTCTAAGTTTTTTCTCTACCATTGACTCTACCACGTCCTGGAGGTCGCCCGGTCTTCCTTTTCCTCATCCTCCCCTTCTCACCGAGACTTGGGTCAGTCTCCCACAGGCTATCGGTTTGTCTTGCCCTTCAACGTTGTAAGCTATTATCACAGCTTGCAGCATGTATATTGAGCTTACACCCTCACCCTTCTTCAGACCCGAACCGGTGATGCCTCCCCCAGGCCCGAAGAGCGATGTGCTGGCGCGCCTTCGCTCCAAGGAGGAGCAGATGTTCCTCAAATGGAATGTGGTGATGAAACCCAGTGAGCTCCTGCGTGGCATTGCTGCAAACCGTGAGAATTCTCGTGCTCTCTTTCACGGTTTGAGACGCCAGATCAGGGCCATCCGTCGTCGCTCCCAGGCCTATCGTGATGGCCAGGTCACAATCTTCGACCTGGTCCTGGTTCGCCTCTTTGATGCTGGACACACCATGCAGGACTATGGACTCCTTGAGTTCTATCTCGCTGAATTCCTGGGAACCAGAGACTGCGTCTCAAACGCTGATGCCAATCGCATCGTCGCAGCCCACCTTGCTGCCCAGCGTATCCTGGACGATGGTATGCCAAATCTCCTTCTTCAACCTCATCGCCACAGATTCTGATTACCCCAGGTCCCATCGACGAGCTTCCAACCGTGAAGACTGCCAATGTCCAAGACGAGGAGCTCACCAGCACCCAGAACAGCACTTCTACCCGCTATTCTGAGGATGTCAAGCCACCTCACCTCGACAATCTCATCAGGGTCTACGAGAAAGCCAAAGATGACAACCACAAGGTCGGCGCCACCCACAGCCACAACGAACGCTCCAACAGTATCCGATTTCTCCGTGACACCGCCGAGAACCTCCTGCGCTATCTCGAGACAGTCGATGAACACCACGAGCTGATTCCTGAGCTAAATGATGTCGTCAAGAGCAGCCAGGCCCGCGCCGAGGAGCTTGCTGGTGGCCGCAAGCGCAAGTTCGAGCATGAACGCCGATCGCCCTCCATGAGCCCTTACCGTCCCACCGGATACACCTATGAGTACGACCACCGCACGGGCCGTGGCGGATACATCAAGGATGGATGGGACCACAGCCGTGTCTCTGAGACCTGGAACCGTGCATCTGACTCTTATCGTCCGAGATATGCGCTGCGCCGTCACTAAGCTCTCATGTTCAATACAGCATCGTCCTCGTGGAAGTGATGCGTCGAGTTATGGGACGATGCCTGTTTTCCCCGTTACTGCTGAAGAACCTTAACAAATGAGCGCGTCCAATCATCAATTCAAATTACTAGGAAACCCGCAGAAAGTTCGTAGAACGTCTACGGTGGTCGAAGTATACAACCTTAAGTCCGATCCATGGTGAGCGCTAGTCCACTCTAATCGTAGCCCCAATAACCAATCCACGTGCCTGGATGACATAATCCCTAGATCAACAGCGGTCACCTGCAAAGCACTCGAGGGGTATTTCTCTCTTTGTATTCACTTGAATTTAACAAATGAGGTAGTCCCTGCCCAAATGGAGAGACTGACCTACCGACCCGGTCCCTAGAATCCCAACCAAGCCCTACATCCCCGTGAGAAATGGCAGACCTTCATCCCTCCGCAGTGGGAACATCTTCCAACAGCTCAGGCACATCCTCGAACCCACGGTTCACCCCGGTGTCCTATGACCAAGACAGTGATTCCCTAGCACCGGGACCGGCCAAATCACCCATCGGCCCATTACGCGTGGAAACCAACTTCGACGACCACCCGGATGTCGGCGACCCTCTATCCGATTTGGAGAACGAGTACAATACCAGCGCGGAGCTCGAGGGCAAATTCCGGCAAGGTGGGTCGGCGCCGAGATTTACATCCGAGGAGGAGAGTGAGGTAATGAAGAGGTTTGATCGACGGCTGGTCCCGTTCCTGGCTTTTCTCTACCTGCTCTCCTTCCTGGATCGCTCGAGTATGTTTTATCATGCCGCGTTGCGGGAGCATTACTCTATACATATTGTGCGATTGCGTGCTGATCTGTGACACAGATATTGGAAATGCAAAGATAGCTGGTCTTCAGGAAGATCTCCAGCTTTCATCTTCTCAGTATGAGTGGCTCCTTACTGCTTTTTACATCACCTACATTCTTTTTGAATGGATGACACTTATGTACCGCCTTGTGCCACCACATATCTACATTTCTCTATGTGTATGTGGCTGGGGACTCGTCGCCTCGTTTCAATGCCTAGCGACTTCTTTTTGGGGTTTGGTTGTTCTCCGAGCTTTGCTTGGGATCACTGAAGCGGCTTTTGGTCCCGGTGTGCCGTTTTACCTATCATTGTTTTACCGTCGACATGAACTGGCCTTCCGGAATGGTTTGTTTATTTCGGCGGCACCACTAGCAACGTCCTTTGCGAGTAGTCTAGCGTTCTTGATCGTCAAGTTCAGCGGTGATGGCCCCATCTCACCGTGGCGCACGCTGTTCCTCGTCGAGGGGTTCCCGAGTGTGGTTGTTGCTGTGTTTGCTTGGTACTTGATTCCAGACTCTCCAGGTCAAGCTCGGTTCTTAAATCCTCGGCAGAGAATGGTTGCTCAGCAGCGTCTTGAGGAAAATACGGTTGATTATCAGCAATCGTATGGGAGCCGGTTCAACTGGCGAGAGATCTTGAAGACTGCATCGGATCCCAAAGCATATATGGCTGCTGTGAGTCCAATTCCCTTTGTGCTTTTCGAAGAGGATTCTAACTTCTGCATCTCAGTTTATGTTCTTTAGCTGTAATGTGGCTTTCAGCTCAATGCCCGTCTTTTTGCCCACAATCATTAAAGAGTCAGTCCACTATAACCTCCACCGCTCAATCCAACCACTTGCTAACACACCGATCTATAGCATGGGATACTCCTCATTACAGGCCCAAGCCCTCTCAGCGCCCCCGTATCTAGTCGCCTTAGTCGTGGTCCTTCTCACCGCATACGCCTCGGACCACAGCCGCTCCCGAAGCCCTTACCTCATAGCTCATGCACTCATCTCATCCCTAGCCTACCTAGTGATTGCACTAACAGGCCATTTCCACTCACACCTACCACCAGCACTACACACCTTCATCCGCTATATTTGCGTCTACCCAGCGACCGCAGGATTCTTCTCAGCAATCACCCTTATCATAACCTGGTCAATGGACAACCGCGTCGAAAAGGAAGGCAAAGGCGCAAGCATAGCCATTCTAAATATCATCGGCCAGTGTGGTCCACTGCTCGGCACAAGACTATATCCCCAGTCTGACGGGCCGTGGTATGTTCGTGGCATGGCTACCTGCTCGTTCTTTATGGTTGTAGTCGCGGTATTGGCTCTGGCTATGCGGATTCTCCTGCAGAGGATGAATCGTGCTGTTGCGGACTCGACTTACACCATTGTTGAACAGGCTGGGCCTGTGGAGCGGGGTGAAGAGCGGGATGTACTTATGGGCGGTGGCAGGAGGGACGATTTGGAACATTCCACTGGAGATAAGAGACTTGTGTACATCATATAATTCGGACCTATTGCCATTTCGGGTCTTATGTGGCTGTTTTTCTTGAGGTCTTAGTACAGGCACTTTGGCCCCCAAACAGTTAAGGCTGAATGGTCCACTCCACCAAGTCTTAGAAAACCATCGTACACTCAGATATAGGTGATGTGGACATGCTTATGCCGACCAACCCAGTCAAAGCTGGGGCTATAATGATCACTATAAACCTCCTTTTCGCCTAAAACATTTAATCACCATCATACCACGTTCAAAGTGGACAACCACGAAAAATGTCAGAGAAACCGCCCTTTAGGGTCATAACTGTCGGCGGCAGTGGCGCGCCGGCTTTTCACTAGCCAACATTTCTTGAAAGATACAAAATCGACTTCGTGGTTCTTGAAACATATGAGGATATTGCAACTCAATTTGGCGTCAGTATCAGTCTTTTGCCTACAGACGAGCGCATTCTTGATCAACTTGGCTGCTAAGAGGCGTTGGAGAGACTGATCTCGCCTGTGAATATCTATTCCTTCTATGACGAGAACGGGAATGTTAAGCATCACGGTGCTTGGGGAACTATATTAGAGGAGTGTGGGTGATTCATAGCAAGGCTCTCTCTTGTTGAATAATATGCTGATGTATGGATAGATTCGGTTATAAAATTCGGTTTCTGCACCGGCGACAACTGGTCCGGGCTTTGTTTGATAATCTCCGCAACAAATCGAAGGTCCTTATTTCTCATGCTGTTGAGGGAATTGAACTTCTGCCAAACGGTGTGATGGCCGAGACAACGTCCTAGATTGATGTGTGGATCTAAGGGATTTATGTCCTTACTTGGTAGTAAAACTTGTGTGTCAGGCTTTTAACTGCATGCATTTAATAACAAAACTGGGATATCGAACGTTTGTGCTCCCAAAAAATCATTGATCCATAAATCTTCCAATCAGATCAGGGTTCCAGCTCGATTGATCTTCGTCAAGTCTCATAGGGTCCATATTGGTGCCAAAGAGTTTGGGGATTTAGCAGCCAAGTTCGCCGTGGTTGTTGGCGACGCACTTGTCTTTAAATTCACCATGTTAGCTGACTTCCCAACGCCCTCAGATCTCTGAGGGTCATCATCACTTACTCAAATCAATTGTAGTAGATACGTAGTTGTGGTCACGCTCGGCGTTGCGGCACTGGCAGGTGAACTCGGCGTGGCCACGCATGGTGCAGTTAATGCAAGAGCCGGAATAGTGACCGCTGTTTCATGATTAGTTTTCATGCTATTGAATCCCAGTTCCATATTCAACTTACTTCTTTCCGCACTATAGAGAAATTAGTATTAATATATCAAGTAACTTAGGGTTGGTGCACTCTTACCTTTAGCTTGCCCTTGTCGTTCTTGAGGCAACGGTTCAGGTCAATTGAGCTGGTTCGCAGCTGGCCATCGTGTGAGACACGGCACTCTGCGCGCAAAGTTGTGCCCTCGCCATCAACGTTCTGGCAGGTGTCTGCAAACTTCGATGAGCCGGCAAATGCCATGGCCACGAATGGGAGGAGTCCAAGAGCCTTGAGGAAGAGCATGATGATGGTTATGGTTTGGGATGTTTCGTGTGAATTGATGTTAAGGTTCAATGATATAGTGATTATGATTATTGTGATGAGTGAGGATGTAGACTTGGGGGGTAAAGACCCCTTATATAGCCAGGATGGTTGAACATAGCTTTGATGCTTCTCAGACATCCAGCACTTGAAAGTGTCCTCATGATCTAATCACAGGGAAAAGAACAGCTACAATAGCTCCTTGCTTTGCCAAAAGGCCTGCCATGGGAGTCAATCCGAGTCATTATCAGGTCTGTCGAGGTCATTATGCATGAAATCTCAAGAAGTGACGTCTGCTGCTGGCTCCGGGGCTGGGCTAAATCTTGGCCACGCGCAGCTCAACACATGGAAAGTCTCTATGGATACCTTTTATGAAGAAAGGCTGGCCTGTATATAGGTACCGAAAGACAAAGGACAGTATATCTTTTTCAAGGGTATAGATAGCTAATTGCTGTTGGCAGGTGTTCCTGTTCGTAGATCTCGGCGACAAACTCTGACACACTTCGACATGGACATTCTTTTTCTTGCCATGCCAAACGGTGGGATGGCGGTGTGTCTAAGACCAGCATGAATCAGGCATAGATCATATGTCAGTATCGATCTACCACGTCGCTGCAAGGGGCACATCTGCATGGTCTTTCCGCACGAGCCTGCCACTAACAAGCCCCACGCATAGAAGATCCTTTACGATCAGAACACAGCCAATAGGTGTTTGACAGGGGATACTTTCAACGATGCAATGCATGTTCTGCGTCATTTCTCCATACTGATTGGATCGCCGACAACAGCCTTGCGGTTCCCCAGCGTCCTCCGCGCTCGGCTAACACATTTGCACGGAGCTCTACTTGGTATGTTCCGTATGCCCCTTGTCAATGCTGACCCCTTGATTCAGCGTCTTCCTCGTTCTTCTCATCGTTTTGAATGCAGTTCAGCGGGCTTTTAGAAGCCGTCGCATCGAGGTCTTTCACAACGGTTCGGCACATATGCCCATTCAAGTTAGGTTGGTTAGAGCATGTTTGACTCAATAGTGGAATCAAAAGTTTTAGGTCAACTGTATAATCGCACTCCCTCCAGTGGAGCTACCTTCGGCATCACTGCTTGAGAGTCATATACAGAAAGATACCCGACTTCCATTTGTCAAGCAAAGACGCAAACCAGAAATTAGAATTTATGCTGTACAGTTTGCTGTGAGTAAGTTCAGTTCTTATGCATTTGCTGCCTCCTTTATAGGAAGCTAGTCGGAACTTACAACACCCCAAGCTCACAAATCAGGGTGACAACGAAGGTCTTGTAGAAAAGTAACACTGCGCTTGCTTTATGAAAAATTTACGACATTATTCGCGATGTTTAGTAATTATAATTATAATTTCTCATCGCGCTGGATCACAACTCATATCGGTGTTCATCCCTGCAAATCAATTCTGGTTCATACTAGGCGGACGGGATCATGTTTAGATGACCCACGAAAAAGTTATGCATCCATGGATGACATTGTCCAGGTGATCAGTGCAGTTCCATAGGAAGAAAAAAAAAAAAGTAAGCAAGCAGTTACATAAACTTCGCTAACGCCATTATCCTTCTTTGAACTTTTCGCCAAATATGTCCGTATACTTTCGTTGCGTCCAGGTTTTGTGCAAGTCTATTTCTAGGGTATTTACCAGAAAAGCCACCACTCACCATGCAGTGTGGCCACCATCAATGAGCAATGTGCTACCAGTCATGAAGCTGCTTGCATCAGAGAGACAGAAAAGTGCAGAGCCCCTGAATTCCTCGGGGAGCGCCAGACGACCAAGCATGTTCTCAGCTTCCCAGGTAGCACGGGCAGCAGGGTTCTGCTGGAAGACCTCATCAACCATAGGAGTGATAATGTGGCCAGGGCACAAGCTGTTGACTCGAATGCCATGACGGCCCCATTCCATAGCGAGAGAGCGAGACAGCTGGATGACCGCCGCCTTGGATGAGTTGTATACAGGTGAAGTCATACCCTTGTTGGCAATCAGACCACTCATGCTAGCTACTAACAGAATTGAGCCCTTTTGTTGGTAGTTGAACATCTGACGGGCGGCCGCGGTAGCCGAGTTGAATACTCCATTGTAATTGATTGACATCACGTCATCTAGAGCATGCTGGGAGTACTCCAGTGCGCTTTGGAGGTGATTGATTCCGGCTGCGGCAACTAGACCGTCTAGGCGCTCGTGTTGGGCTGCGATTGTGGCCATTGTGGTGTTGACTTCGGTGTTGTTGCGGACATCGATGCGGATATACTCTAGAGTACCGCCATATTCGTTCTCGGCCTTGTTCTTGGCGGCAATGAAGTCTTGGTGAGGAGTTTCGAGCCGGTCCAGGCAGTAAACTAGGTTTTGGTTACCAGTCAGTATGTATTTTCTTCGGTCTCATAATGAATAAATGTAGTTACCTTTTGCGCCAGCCTCAATCAATGCTTCAGCCATCGACAGCCCCAATCCTCGTCCACCGCCAGTGATGGCATATACTCGACCCTCCATATCAAACTCCCGGAATCTTTCGCTGTTGCGCAAGAGCTTCTTTGGCGGCAACTTTGATTGGATGTGATCCGGGTTGTGAGAAACATTGTGAATATCTTGAGGGCTGAATGCGTTTTTGGAGGTCGAGTACAGGCGGCTTGAAGATAAAGCAAGAACACGAGGAGCGCGTACGGCAGCGCCAGCGAGCCGTGTGCGAACAGGCGCCATGACTCGGGGCAGAATGGAAGACATGCTGTAGGATGCAGAAGGTATGTGGATCGGACGGTTTGAGGGGAGAGAAGGAGTGAAATATATAAATGGTATAGTATTAAGTCGATAAATGCAAGAAGGAAGTATAGATGCAACGGCTCGAAAGAGTTCACGATACTCGAACATGGACTCCCTCGGGGACACAGATTTATATGTCTGAGAAACAGAAGCGGTACTTCCTTGGAGAGGTTGCCGAGAACAATAAGATCCTGCAAAGAAGATTGCCTCTCGTTTGAATGGAAAATCGACCCAGGTGCGCGTGACACTGTGGATTCACCAGCTGCTTTCACCGTGGCTCAAACGACCCAGACACTTCCATCGACCGGGAGCATCCACGACCACCAGGGCCCAAGCTTGCCACCGAGGCAATGATTAGCTGTGGAGGGTATGTTGGGGAAAGGGGGTCAAGCTGGCTGGGCGCAACATTGGAGCATCGTGACCCTTGGACGCCGCCGAAGACGGTATATACTATCGGAGCTTCGAAATGGCCCACTCGGGTCCCCGGGAGTTATGCACGATTGTCCATCACATTGAGCTCTATCCCGGCATGATTGGCTCAGAATTAGCTTCTTTTCTTTCCATGCCGATCTTATTTTGTGAGGTCGAAGTGCTCAATTCCAAGAAAGATCCTAGCAAAGTGGCGGCTACGGAATGTCAGCCCTCCAATTGAACACTCGGGTTTCACGGGCAATGGAAGCGTAATGCACATCCTTGATTTGATATAAGCCCGGGCTTTTGGCCGGGATGGTCAAAGGGTACAGGCTCCACAATAAAATTCCAAGTAGTGTAGGCCAGTTGAGATATCTCGTCTTCTCCTTTCTCGGTATACCCGGGCCGCCATATCAAAACCCTCACTGTTCCACTCCTCAATCCACCCGACCCCACGGGCGTACAGCTTCTCCAGTCCCGAGGTCGGATTTCGGTTTATTTTTGTTTTTAATATGGGGGGGAATGGAGCACCTGAGCTTAAGAATCTTCAATCTCACGATGTGCAGTGCAGCTCGGGATGTCCTGATCGGGTAATCCCAGACCTCGGGACAAGCACCCCTTTACTTCTCACCGACTCCTCCAATTCACAAGGGGCGAATGTTTAGATTAATGAAGTTATTTAATGTTTCACAGCAAGTTGAGTTAAAGAATCCACAATGTAGTCTCAATTATGCCTTAAATGATGGGAAACTCTTTCTATCAAGCTTCCTCTGCCTAGCGGGAGCTAAAGCCATTGGAGGGGACGTGCCACTACGCAAATAGTAACAATATGCATGCCTGGCCTTCCCCATATTTTCCGCGGCTGGGGAAGCCCCGAGCTCGCAATCTAGAACTTTCTTGCCACACCGTAGCCCGTTCAGTAACTTGAGCCCTACGTAGATTATACTGGGACACGTAAGTTACCTAGTTTCCGTGCCCGCTAGACAAGGACTATCGAAGCATCTAAGGCGATCTCGAACGCCCCGGAGGGTGGTTTGCAATCTAATTTCAGACCATCGGTACCACTGGAGAATAGATAAGGAAGCTTTCTGCTATTTCTGTTAATAAAGAAAATAAGAGCGATCTGCGAAGACACGGTGTATGCATTGTCCTGCCGTGGATCCTTAAATAAAGAGCCCATCAGGCTACACATGACCTCCATCCTGCAGTCGTGGAGGAGTCGAACTCCATGGAGCCGGCCAGAGGCAAATGGAGAAACAATCCGCATAGTGTCCAGACTCCTGTAGACTGTCCCAACGTTACCGAAGCCCGGAGGATAAAACGCCAATCCCTCGCTGGGGAGCCGCGAAAAAAAAAGTAGCAAAAAAAAAAAAAAAAAAAAAATACACAATGATCGGTCTGTGGCACATAGGTTGCTTCGGCCCTTATTGCATACCCGCCAGACCCGCGGAGGTCTCGGGCCCGAAGCCGGTGCGAAGGCTGCCAAAGTCCAGTTTCATGAGTAGTCTGTCCACGCCTGCAGGTTTGCGGGGCATATAATGACTGAAACTGGGGCCTGCACTGTCCTCTCGTTGGGGCCCGAACCCCATCTGGCCGAATTCTGTTCCGAAATCTACGGATCCGCGTCCTTCTCCTGATCGGCTATCGTCGATGTTCCGCAGGCTCGTAACGAGGTCTTTCATGCCCGTCTCGACGTGGTTGCGTGTGGAGCCCAGCATTTCCCACATCTCACGTTCTTCTTGGGCATAGTCGATCATGGCATCCACGACACCTTCGTCGGTTTCCAAGTCCATATTCCGTTGGATGTTTTCCAGTCGAATCACGAGTGCGACAAAGCGGTCGATGTCGGTGAGGATGCTTCTCAGGGTATTTGTGAATGGTACCTCGGTTAGAAAGAGGGATTGAACGAGAGACGCCAAGTGCCGACGATGAGCAACAGTCAGAGCCTCAGGGTCATGCCGTCCCATGGTTTGTGAGCCAGACTCGAAAGGATCTCCGGTGGGCCTATGATCCAAGGAGTTTGCCCCAGAATCTTCTTGTAGTTTGGAAGTGGACGCGGTTCCAGGCCGAGAGCCGGGTGCTGATCTTGTGGACGAAGACCTGCCTTCAATCCACTCACGGAGGTGCTGCCACGATTCATTGACCACCTCTCCCTGGAAGAAGGTGCCAATTTCTGAAAGCACGAACAAACACGCGCTGCTTGTGGCCCAGATTGGGCGCATTTGGCGAACACGGGCATTATCTCTTTCTCTTCCTGCCTTTAATCTAGCTTGACCAAAGGCGCTATTGCTTCGCGGTGGTCCCCGTGGAGTAGGGTGGTTTCTGCGTAATGAAGTTCGCTTCCAAAGATCTCCAAGCCTAATTTGAGCCCGTCTTATACCCAGAAGATAAGAGTGGATCTTGGAATATATGAGAATGTCAGAGCTCGAGATGAACAAGTCGAGAGGGGTTCGGATTTGTGCTGTTAGTTGTGTGGGTGTCGGGAAAAGTAAGTCCTCGAATGATACTTTCGAGATCTCCGCTATCGGATTAGCGTTCTGGGCTGGGGTCATTGGCCGTTCCTTTTTTCGACCACAGATGGATAGAGAAAGAAGATTCCGGGCAAGTTCAAGCTGGTCATCAGCTTGGTCCTCTTCTTTTTGCAAAGAAAACAGCTCCGCCCATGCTTGGACTAAGGCAGTTGTGACATCCCCTTCTTTGATGGCGAGACCGTCAAGTTTACTAGATGGCCCATTACGGGCCAACGTTAACCCACGACGTCGACTTTCTTCCAGGCGGGCATCTGCATGTGATACCAGGGCGACTGCAAACTCACCCCGCCCCAGTAGAAGGAACCCGTGAAGTAAATCGAGGATTTCGAGGATTTTTGGAAGTGGCAATAGTTTGGACAGGGTTGACTGAGAAAGTGAAAGACGAATGCAATCAACAGCAGAAGATAGCTTCACAGGCGAAATTGGTGCTTGCAAGCTTGCGAGTTGCTCTATGTGTTCTCGATACAAAGTTACTGGTGCAGTAGAGGTTCCTGGCATTGACGTTTTCCGTTTTGCCCGAATATGGTTTAGCGATTTGCCAATGAACAATACTGAACCTGCCGTTTGTGCCGGAACAAATTTCGGAAGTAGGTGGCTGTTTATGCTGAATTGTGCCTCGTCGCCTTCGCTTTCGAAATCCTCCTGGATGAAGAAGTCATCCTTGCCGTACATAGGGAGGTTCCCATAAAGAAGCCACATGGAAAGTTGCTTCATCCATGCTGCCTCTGCAGATGCCTCTAAATTTAAGGCCATCTCTTTGATATCAAGATATCCGGTGTGAGCTTCGGTCCGCAGATGATCAATGAGTTCTGCACCAGTGGAGCCATGGGGCCGTTCGCCCTTCTTCCTCTCGGGTTGAATAAATTGGGCGATATCCCAGAGCCACTCCATCCGCCGCGTCCACGGTGCGAATTCTCCAACGATAGTCGACAATGGGACGATACCGTAGCCTCCAACATATCCACTATCTTCGGCAAGAATCGCTCTTTCCACTTCCAAGATTTTCTTTTGAAATTCGCTTAGGTGTGTCCCCACGATGGCCATGGAGACTGAGCGGCAGACGACGGACGGGTTCACGGACGAAATTTCGGAGGCGCGTGTCCGTAGCTGAGCGTGGAGCCGACTCAGGTGGGCAACGGATGCGAGGAGGGCTTTCTCCGGAGGTGAAAGAAGGGGAAAATCATCTTGAGCGACAGCGCCTTTTCCCGTTTGGGTGCCGAATAGGGGTGACGGTTGGCCGGAGAGGGAGAGCAGGATCTCGTGGAGCATTCTGACGGAATTTCACTGTCGGATGTCAACTACTGACTGGTCACCGGGGTATACAGATGAAACTCACCTGGAGAACCGCCTCCTCTCCCCTGGACAGTTTTGACGCTGCCAGTATAATAGACCACGGCCTACAAACTCGAAGCGACACATAAGAAGTCGGGCGTTTCAGCGCCAAGCTACACGTTGATGCCGAGACGCGTCGTGGGAGGGTGGGATGACGACGTTCAAAGCTGGCACAGCACAACAGGGACCGTTTTCATCTTTCAAGCTCAACTGCAATCTTTAAAGCACCCTTCAAGAAACCCAAGACTCTCAACACACTCAACTGCAGCTTCAAGTGTTCATCAAAGTATCGCGGGGCTTCCGAGATTGTTCACCGCCTCCTTAGTCAGCCAATAGCTGTCCCCTCCACTCTTACGTCGTTGGTTCCCTCGATCTCTCACTCACTTTCTACTCCCTTCTCTTTTCTTTTGCTCCTCCTCCCTGAAACCGCTTAAATTTATCTCTGAATAGTTCTCCGCAATCCGTCGTTTGCGTTCGGATTGTTAGTTTACTTTGTGCTCGTCGAGCTAGGTACCTGGTACGCTGGCGTTGCAACTTGATTTATCATCACTGTCGAAAGTCTTGCTTCCCCGCAAGGCTTTCACTTCCTGATTTTCATCATTCGTTCCAATATTCCTGTTCGAGACGCGGCTAAGCCGAACAAACGCAGAGCGTCCGAAGACGACATCGGAGCTCCGTCAGAAAAACGAATCATGACGGTATGGTCTTTTCGGGGAATGAATGTATTGCCGCTAATACGTTCCAAGGACGCCAAGATGCAGGTCGATAACCCAGAAGAAACCGTCGAGATGATCAAACATGGGGAAATCGACGAGTCCCTCTACAGTCGACAACTGTGAGTGCCCCGCACTGAGTGAGGCTCGAGTATCCTAGTATACTGACGCTTTCGAGGTACGTTCTTGGTCACGAGGCCATGAAGCGTATGGGATCTTCCAATGTCTTGGTCGTGGGTCTGAAGGGCCTGGGTGTGGAAATTGGTAAGTTTAACCTAAGCGGTTATCGACCGGATCCTCTCGTTCTTATCACATCGTTCTGACTGGTCTAGCCAAAAACATCGCTCTCGCCGGCGTGAAATCCCTCACTCTCCACGATCCTGCCCCAGTCGCTATCGCGGACCTTTCTTCACAGTTCTTCCTCCAGGCCTCAGATGTCGGCAAGCCGCGCGCCGAAGTTACCGCCCCGCGAGTCGCCGAGTTGAACTCTTACGTTCCAGTTACTGTTCACGAAGGCCAGAAGATTGTGGATGATTTGGAACAGCTTAAGCGCTACCAGGCAGTTGTTCTTACACAAACCCCTCTGAAGGAACAACTGGCGATTGCGGACTTCTGCCACAAGAACGGAATTTACCTCACGATCACGGATACATTCGGTCTCTTCGGTTACCTCTTCAATGATTTCGGAAAGAATTTCACGGTTGGTGATCCTACTGGCGAGGAGCCTGCCGGTGGAATTGTTGCAGACATCGACGAGGATGGCTTGGTATCGGCATTGGATGAGACCCGACATGGACTGGAAGATGGGGATTTCGTCACATTTACTGAAGTCCAGGGAATGGAAGGCCTTAACGACAGTGCGCCTCGCAAGATCACTGTCAAGGGACCATATACTTTCACCATTGGCGATGTCTCCGGCCTTGGAACATATCAGGGTGGAGGTCTCTTCAACCAAGTCAAGATGCCTAAGTTTATTGATTTCCAGTCATTGGAGGAGCAGCTCAAGAACCCCGAGCTTTTGATTTCCGACTACGCCAAGTTTGATCGGCCTCTGCAAATGCACATTGGTATCCAGGCTCTCCACAAGTTTGCTGAGACTCATGATGGCCAATTACCTCGCCCTCACAATGATAGTGATGCCCAGGAGGTCCTCAAGCTTGCTACTGATCTTGCTGCAGCTGGCGAGGAGAAGGTTGAACTGAGTGAGAAGATCATCAAGGAACTCAGCTACCAGGCCCGTGGTGATCTGAATCCTCTGGCTGCCTTCTTCGGTGGTATCGCTGCTCAGGAAGTCTTGAAGGCAGTTTCCGGCAAGTTCAGTCCTGTGCAACAGTGGCTGTACTTTGACTCCCTCGAATCTTTGCCTTCATCGGTCACTCGATCCGAGGAGAGCTGCAAGCCCCTTGGTACTCGTTACGATGGACAGATTGCGGTGTTTGGTAAGGAGTTCCAGGACAAGCTTGCCAATGTCACCCAATTTTTGGTCGGCGCCGGTGCCATTGGTTGCGAGACTCTGAAAAACTGGGCCATGATCGGTCTTGGTACAGGCCCCAAAGGAAAGATCTACGTTACCGATATGGATCAGATCGAGAAGAGCAACCTGAACCGGCAATTCCTCTTCCGCACCAAGGATGTTGGCAGACTGAAGAGTGAATGCGCATCCGCGGCCGCACAGGCCATGAACCCAGAGTTGCAGGGCAAGATTGTGACTCTCCGTGACCGCGTTGGACCTGATACCGAGGAAATCTTCAACGAAAGCTTCTGGAACGGCCTGGACGGTGTGACGAATGCTTTGGATAACGTTGATGCTCGTACATATGTCGATCGCCGCTGTGTCTTCTTCCGCAAGCCATTGCTGGAGAGCGGTACTCTCGGCACAAAGGGCAACACTCAGGTTGTTCTCCCCTTCATCACGGAGTCATACTCCAGCTCTCAGGATCCTCCTGAGAAGTCGTTCCCCATGTGTACTCTGAAGAGTTTCCCGAACCGCATTGAGCATACCATTGCCTGGGCACGGGATATTTTCCAGACCTACTTCGTTGGTCCACCGGAATCAGTCAATATGTACCTCTCGGAACCTGACTACATTGATAAAACACTCAAGCAGGCGGGTAACGAAAAGCAGACCTTGGAGCATCTCCGTGACTTCTTGGTCACCGATAAGCCTTTAACCTTCGATGATTGTATTGTCTGGGCCCGTCAGCAATTCGAGTCCCAATACAACAACGCAATCCAACAGCTGCTCTACAACTTCCCCGGGACTCCAAAACTTCTTCTGGTCAACTCTTCTGGTCTGGACCTAAGCGCGCGCCTACACCCTTGAAGTTTGACAGTCTCAACCCAACCCATCTTGGATTCGTTATCGCTGGTGCCAATCTTCACGCGTTCAACTATGGCATCAAGAACCCTGGCGCAGACAAGGGCTATTACCGCAAGGTGGTTGATGATATGATCATCCCCGAGTTCACACCCAGCTCGAATGTTAAGATCCAGGCCAATGAGAACGACCCTGATCCCAATGCCCAACCAGCCGGAGGTTCGTCCAACGATGACGATGAAATCCAAAAATTGGTGGCCACTCTCCCTTCGCCCAACTCTCTCGCTGGCTTCCGCTTGCAGCCCGTTGAGTTCGAAAAGGATGATGACACCAACCACCATATCGACTTTATTACTGCCGCCAGCAACCTCCGTGCGGACAACTATGACATTCCCCAAGCTGACCGACACAAGACTAAGTTCATTGCCGGAAAGATTATCCCTGCCATTGCCACCACTACCGCCTTGGTCACTGGTCTCGTCGCCCTTGAGCTTTTCAAGGTCGTTGACGGCAATGACGACATTGAACAATATAAGAACGGTTTTGTCAACCTTGCGCTTCCATTCTTCAGTTTCAGTGAGCCGATCCAAAGCGAAAAGGGCAAATACCAGGGCAAGCAAGGCGAGGTCACCATTGACAAGCTCTGGGACCGTTTCGAGGTGGAAGACATTCCCCTCCAAGAGTTCCTTGACTACTTTGCCGAGAAGGGTTTGGATATCACCATGGTCAGCTCTGGGGTCAGCTTGTTGTATGCCAGCTTCTACCCCCCGCGAAGGTGAAGGACCGTCTTCCTCTGCCGTAAGTTACTTCTTTCCTACGAACACGAGTTAATTAACTAACATTGGGACTTATAGCATGAGCAAACTTGTGGAGCATGTCAGCAAGAAGCCAGTTCCGGAGCATCAGAAGAACATCATCTTCGAGGTGACTGCCGAGGACCAGACCGAGGAAGACGTGGAGGTCCCCTACGTGATGGTCAAGCTGACTAAATAAATGTTGGGCTATTTGGGTAAACTAGACCCGATGAAAAGCTTAAGTTAGTACAATAGCTAGAATTTATGACTATTTCCACTCCACTGTCAGTGTGTTCGTGTAGATTATATTGCTCTGCATAAGCCGTTAGAGGAATTTCCTATTTGGATTGCCAAGACTCTGCTTTGTCAAAGCTGATCGAGCTCTCGATAAGCAACACCTGACTCAGCATTTGATCAAAGACGTAATGCCCCGCAAATACTTATATTCCCTTCTTCCGCGAGATCTAAAGACCTATAAATATTCCGTGTCTGCCGCTTATGTTCTCTACCCTTCTTCGTTCACAAGTTTTACACAATCTTCCACATCTAGCAAGTTTCCGTGTGGGGCTCATTTCTAAAGCTTCCCAAAGTTTCAGCTTCTCCGCACCTTTCTTATATTCCCGAAACATGGCTGTATGAACCTCTCAAGACATCAGCGACAATTAATTAAATGCTGATCCGTGATAAAAGACCGGCAATTCCGCCAAAATCACCGATTGGGTGAACCCCGCCGACAAGTCGGGCGAGTTCAAGCGTCAGCAATCCGTCTTCCGGAACTGGATCTCTAGAGAGGCTGGCGCTCAGTTCCCTCCTGAGAAGGGCCGTTACCATCTCTATGTGTCGTACGCTTGCCCATGGGGTATGTTAGAGCTTCCAATCTTATACTCGGCCTGATGCTAATTGCTTAGCTCACCGGACTCTGATTACCCGGAAGCTCAAGGGTCTTGAAGACTTCATCTCCTTCTCCTCGGTGCACTGGCACCTTGGCGAGAATGGTAAGTTCTGTTGAGAATCAAATCAAACCATAAGACCCTAACTTACATTCCAGGCTGGCGATTCGCTACTTCCGATGAGAAGCTCCCGGGAGAGAACACTATTCCCGATCCCCTGCACCCGGAGTTCACCCATATCCGCCAAGTATACTTCTCCAATGACCCGGACTATACAGGCCGATTCACGGTCCCAGTCCTCTTCGACAAGAAGACTAAGTTGATAGTCAGCAACGAGGTAAGAACACCATTCCGAAAACATATCCTCGAACCAACATTCTAACCAAAAGAAAAAACCAGAGCTCAGAAATCATCCGAATGCTTTACCACGAATTCGACGACCTCCTCCCAGAGCAGTACAAAAGAGTAGACCCCTTCCCGCCAGCCCTGCAATCGGAGATCGACGCCTCAAATGACTGGATCTACAACGACATCAACAACGGCGTCTACAAATCAGGCTTCGCAACAACCCAAGAAGCCTACGAAAAAGCCGTAACAACCCTCTTCACCTCCCTCGACAAAGTCGAAGCCCACCTAGCCAAACAACAAGCCGCCTCAAAGCCGTATTTCTTCGGCGATGAGATCACAGAGGCGGATATCAGATTGTACACGACTATCATTCGCTTCGATCCTGTCTACGTGCAGCATTTCAAGTGCAATCTTCGTGATATCCGCTCCGGCTTCCCGGCTATTCATGCCTGGGTGAGGCGCTTGTATTGGGATGTTCCTGCTTTCCGGGATACCACTGAGTTTGAGCATATCAAGTTCCATTATACTAAGAGTCATAAGCAGATTAATCAGTTTGCTATTACGCCTCTTGGGCCCGTGCCTGATATTCTTCCTAAGGATGAGGAGGTGAGGGCTGTTAAGGGGGCTTCATTGGGATAAGTTATTGTGGTGGTATTGTGATTGCAACTGTTGGATGCGGTATCGACTAAGTTAATCAGAATGACATTCAATTGAGTATTTCTATTTCTACGGAGTATCATGGTTGCAATCTAATTGCTGATCGGTATTCTGATGCTTGGTTTCTTTCTCAATTGTTCGAGGATGTAGATTTTCTAGTATAGACAAAAAGAAAGCAAAAAAAGTCCCGTGGTATTGTATCGACGCCTTGCCATGCTGATGTGGTTGATGATTGTTGGGTTTCACGATGCCTTTTGTATTAAAGGCAGGCCAAAAGTACAGTTGTCTCAAGTGAGCAACATAAGCAAAAGAGAAATGAAAAATTACATGTTGAAACCCTGACGTACAGGGATCAAGCAAAGGCAAATGCAAAAGTTTGATCTCTAAATGGCATCAGAGAAGAAGAGATCGACAGGGCAAGGTATGCTTTATTGAAATGCACCTGTGAGCGAGGGATTCAACATGTCTAGATGGATCCGGTGGGTATCTCGAGGTGACGCTTGGGAAATTCAAGCGGGCAAATATCAAATATTAGCCGCAAGGCGCCGGGGTATGTTGTGCCGGTAACCAGGGGCCAGGATGCCGACGTTTGGCTGGCGCCGGTATCTGTCGAGGTATGGAAGAAGGGACGAGGAAACTGAGGAATGATTTTGAGCGGGCAGATCATCTCAAGCCGAGCGTGCGTTTCGCGTTTTCGTATACCACGTAACTGATCGACATAGCCGGTGCCACCTTTAGAAGGTTGGGTGTGAGTCCTTTGTAAAGACCGCGGGGTCCTTCGGATGCAAGAGTACTGCGTAGGACATCGCCGATGCCGTTGTACGTAGGCGGGTGCATGACTGTACCCTGGGTTTGCAGTCGGGTGCGTAGGACATTGAGGGGATAGACAATCGATGCGCTGAATCCACCACTTGTCGCGCCAATTGCACCTGTTGCGAAGTTGCCGAGCGGTACATCATCTTCATGACAGCCTTGCTCGCGTGCCTTTTTAGCAATAAGGGTCCGTTTCAAATATTCAAATGTCGACAAGTCGATTGCGGCGTAGGGGAACATTCCGACGAGGCCAAGAGGAAGTCCTCGGAAAAAGCCAAGTAAGCCATTCTTGTTCCAGACCTTCGTCGCGGTGACTGCAATGAGCTGGTTGCCCCTTGGGCCACCCTTTACAGTTTCACACTGCATGCGACTGTCGAGATAATAAGCTATCTTGTCCACATAAATGGTTGGGTGGTGTACTCACAATTTAAGGGTATCAAGGGGGTATACAAAACATCTGGAAAGGGATTAGAATTGTGTCTCCTCCCAGAATAATGCGAGACCTACTGTGCAACCATTCCACCGAAACCACCGGACATGAACTGTGACGTGGGGAGGAGTCGCTTGGTATCATTATGCCCTTCAAGTCGCGCAAATGCTCGTTTCGCAGACTGATATCTGGTCAGCACCCATATTCCCATGATAAATCAATTTGCATATCAACCAACCTCATAGGCTCCAAACTTGATTGCAGACTCTGGCATAACCTTCACAACGTTCAAGCCATTTCCTGTTGGCGATTAGTCAAGGCTTCGAGCTAGGGACGAATAGCATAACAAACCTGCAAACAAACTGCGGATTCCTCCAGCTCGCCATAATACTTTCAGAGCATCGACTAGTGTTCTGGAGGCGTTTCCTGCCGCAACCAGCGGGGCTCCCTCCTTCGCCGCTCGGATGGTTGTTTCTTTGACGCCGGTTTGAGCAATCAGATAGACTTTGAGACGGTCAAGGGGAGCGGTGGCCGTCCTCGAGACGGCGCCCGCAATTCCACCTGCAACGAAGTAGCCTAATTGAGGGGTATTTTCGGTCAACTTCCGTTCATAATATCGCAGAGACATCCACATGGCGGTAGTCTTGGGGATGGGCAGCCACTCCAGCTCGAAGTCTCCCTCTATCGAGGCAAAGTCATCATCAGGAACAGGTCCCAACTTTGAGCTCTGGGTGGTTTGCGCGTGGGCTGAAGGAAGGAGAGAGGCCAAAGCGGGTAGGGAGAGAATATTGTACAAAAAGGCTTGGATGGCCAGAATATAAGGTGTAAGAAACGGGTGGTCTGTACCTAAACCCTGCAGGTCATTGATGTGGACATCTCCTTCCAGGTTTAGATTGCCCGTGGCCGTGTAATATGACAAGACTGCGTGAAGGTCGGTCGGGGAATGTAGAGGTAGGAAAAGAAGGAAGTCCCTAGATGAAAGAGTAGATACGTCAGCCCAGGCTGTTCAGCCTCACTTGACCAGTCCGGGTGTGTCTAACCTCCACTCTGTGTATGAGATGACCCCGTCATTGTTTTTGTCGACCTCCGCGAAAAACTGGTCGAGTTTGGCGTTCGAGACCGTGACTCCGGACTGAGCAAAGGCGTTCCGTAATTCGGTTTTGTCGATTACCCCGTTCTGATTGCGATCGATTCTCTGAAACATCTTCCATAATCCATCCTCCGTGTGGTCGACAAACGCTCGGAATTCTAGAGACAATTAGGATCGATGGCGCGCGGCCAGGACATTCCTTTCCCGGTGCTTGTGATCTTACCAGCTTGGTCTATACGGCCATCACCATTGGTGTCGACTTCCCGCACGACGTTGCGTACCATGTCATCTGCATTTTTTAGTGCTGGCAAGAGACGTGTTAGTCAGGTGCAGCAGCACGGGACCCGGTCAGACCCACGATGATCGATCTTCTTAAGGCCCTTCTTGAGCCCAGTCAAGTCGATATGGCCTTCGCGTCGAGTATCCAGGGTCTTCCAGAGTTTGGCAACTCGTTCGTCGCGTTCATCTTTCGACTCGCCGGGTGCCATGATCGGAGAAAAATTGTTACCGAGTACCCTTCATCATTTGTTCAAAATAAAATCGGGTAAGCCCCTATTGTAGAGAGTAGGGGAGGAGCATAGAAGGTGGGGACGGGTAAGTTGCAATGATTAATCGACGCTCGGCGATTTGCTTGGGCTCTTGACGCCATTACCGGATTATCGTCGGGAGGCACGGGACCAGGGCCAAGCCCTACTATCCCTTTTTGGGACTTGGACCTCCTTTATGTTTATACATCACTCTTATTCCAGTTAACAGTTATTCTTATTCCCTTGCTTTATTCTGTTTGCCCTTGAATGTCCTGCGGGGAAGTTGTAGCTCGGACCTCGGGGATCATGTCGTGACGGGTGTCCAGTCTTGGCCCATCAAATCCCTCGATATGGCGGCAAACTACTGGACTTCGACCCAGCGTCGACACTGGCTTTTCTCGAGGGAAAAGTTAGCAGAGATTCGTGATACATTACGCGAGAAGGACAAGGCTGCGCATTCACAGTTTCCGCTGCCGGATCAGCGCCTACTGAACATCTACTTCAACCAGCGTGGGTTCCGCTAATATGATGTCCATCGAGCGCTTGGATGCAGCACAAGGCTAACCAGGTAAATAGAGCTCATCAAGCTCGGCAAGCGCATGTCCACCAGACAGCAGGCCATTGCAACAGCACAGGTGTATCTCAAGAGGTTCTATACCAAAAATGAGATTCGACAGACAAACCCGTACCTCGTACTCACCACAGCCTTTTATCTTGCCTGCAAAATGGAAGAATGTCCACAGCACATTCGCTTTGTGGTCGGCGAGGCACGCGGTCTATGGCCAGGTACGCATCCATGTCTAGCTGAGCTGTGATCGATATGCCGAGGTAACCCGGGAGCTAACGATCCCCAGAATTCATCACCCCAGACGTTGCAAAGCTGGGAGAATGCGAGTTCGCTCTCATCTCAGAAATGAGCTCGCAAATGATCGTGCATCATCCCTACCGGACATTGTCCGAACTACAATCCGAACTATCACTCACTTCGGAGGAGGTCGCTCTCGGCTGGTCGGCGATCAACGATCACTATCTAACAGACCTGCCCTTACTACATCCACCCCACGTCATTGCAATTATGGCAATTATCGTCGCCGTTGTCTTCAAACCCTCCCATCCTGCCAACTTCACTGGGTCCACGCAATCCGCTCTAGCGAACGCCATGAGAGATGGAGGAGGCATGCATATGATGGCTGCTTTGTCGGATAAGGCTGGATCCGGGCCTCCGCCAAAAATTCAAAAGCTTGTCGGCTGGCTTGCTGAAAGCGAGGTTGATATCAAGGCTGTTATCGAGTGTACGCAGGAGCTGGTTTCGCTGTACGAAGTGTGGGAGCAATACAGCGAGAAGACGTGCAAAGAGCTTATTGGGAGGATGGTCAAAAGTAAGAACCTGGACAAATAATGCTTCGTTTTGCACTTTTGTATTCCGGTTGTCTTCGTTCCGATCTTTTTAGCCGATATCGGCAGTGTGGGCGGCTGGTCTAGGTATTTCCAGGCTACACCTAATGGAGATATCAACCAAGGGCCCTGGGTTCATCTAACAGGCTACTGATGCCGAAACTCGGTCTTACGGCAGCCCCCTCGGGCTTAGCAATCTTCAGCATTGATGGTCTCAATCCTGCCAATGCAATTTAAGACCAAAAAGCCGGTCTTCTAAAAATCAGTAAAGGAGTTACTAAAGGCAGATTCACAAATTTATTCAAATTAATGGGATTCACCCTGGAGCCTATGGACTAGTGTGGAGGACATATGAATTGTATAGCTTGTTCAACAAATCTCCGATCTGTTTACCTAGGAAATCCTCCACAGATGCGCGGCAATGCTACATCTGCGAAGCTATCTCTCTCATATCCACTCTCCACGGCTTGAAATACGGCACCCCAAGTTCTTCCAAGGAGCTGGGCAGCTAGCCATTAAACTGTTGAATCAACCAATTTTGGTGTGCTGTTTCAGGATCGCTTTGGACTCGAAGTCTGTGTTGGGTACTTTGAGGATCAACAAACATCTGGAAAACCTTGGCTCTCTCATTTGAATAAACTTCCAATAAAGTCGTCTGATTTCCTTTGAGGATAATCATCTCAAGGACATCAGATAAGGCTTCGGAGTCTAACAAAAGGCCCATGTCACCCATTGGCTGGTATCCATATAGTGAGTGAGCTACCGAGTTCAAATCATGCTAGGAGTGCATTACCGACATTGTTGAGATGAGCAGCGTCTCCCGCAAGTAGACACCTGCCCCTCCTAAATGTCGAAGTACACAGCTGATGAACCCGATATAGAGCAGACCTGATAACATCCGCATTGACAGGCCGTAATCCAGGAAGAACCTTGTCCGAGAGAGGGAGGACATATGCAACAGAACTCATTTCATCAACAGGGTATCATCATTCGGATCCAAAGAAAGGCCATTTCGATATAGCGTGCGCTTGCCATCCTCAGCAGGCTTTAATGGAATAACAATATCCCAATGAACAGGATGCACGATAAACTGACTCGAAAAATTGACCTCAAGATCCGGTTCCATAGCGAGTAATCTCTCCTGCCAGGCATGTCCTTTCAAATTAATGTCCAATAACCGCCTCGTAGCCGACCTCCATCAGCGCCAACCAGATTAGAAGCCTCAAACGTTGTCTCGGTCTCCGTATCACCACGCCGAGTCGTAGGTCTAACCCCAGAACCATCCTGCAAGATATCAATAAGCCGTTCCCAAAATGCACACTAACCAAGCCCGTCTAGGTCGCTTTCTCAAAGCAGTGTAGTCAACTCAGCCTGTGGCAGATACAATATCCCCCTACTGCCATGGCGCTTTCTATCACGGGGAACAGCTCCTCGATAGATAATATCCCCCATGTTATAACCGCCCTGTGCATCGTACCGGATAGCTTGCGCCAGGATAACCTCGCAGAAACAAACCCCGCTTCCTTCATATCAGGTATGATCCTCATCTTGTCCAGCGCTGTCAGTGCGCTGGCGTAATATGTCACTGCTCGTGGTTCTTCGCTTATCTGTTGTTCTGTTTCGATCATGCCCACCATGATGCCGCCTTGGGCTAGGCGTAGGGCTGTGGCTGGTCTTACTGAGCCTGCTCCTGCTATTAGAACGTTTTGTTAGGGTTCCTGTTCCCCTGGGGACGTTTGGGTTTCTTCTGATGGCGGTGAAGCCATGTTGCTTTTTGGTGTTTGAGCTGGGTTTGGATTTGGATTAGAGGGCTGGGGTGGTGATTGGGAGACTGGTTTGCTTTCTGTTTATGTTATATCTTGCTCATTTTGGGCTTGTTGCCCTACATCGTGTTACTTTGGTTTGTTGATTAAAGTGAGTGGGACAAGATGTAGGACAATGGTCGTTGATTATACAAAAAGTGCTGGGCTTTTTAACTACTGAGGACAAAGAGGGAGTGGAATCACTTGTTAGGCTATTGGATGCATTTCTTCTCTGAATTTCACGTTAATGCACAGTTTGTCCCCAGCCATCCCTGAGAATGTGGTATGTCGTATTAAGGTATTTAGAGGGACTATGAGTCGTCAATCAAAACGACTCTCCTTTGATCACCACGCAGTAACCCTATCTTCGGCTTTGCAGTATTCACATCCAAATGACCGCTAAGAAATAACATTGTTGCGTAGATGCCGAAGTTCCTGAACCTATACCGTGAACCACATTCTAGTCACGCAGTAGAAGGAAGTTCAATCCTATGGCTAATTACACCAACAGGCTTATATCCTTACCGGTAACTTATAATCTGTTTAACAAGTACGATCAACTCCGCAATCCCTGCCGCAATCCGGGTTGAAACCGCCGACTCGGAGTGCGTGCCCAGTTGCTTACAGTTTCGTGGAACATCATGACAACTTTGAAATCCAACGGCAGATCTTGTTTGCACGCCCTTGCACGGGGATTGGATTGCAGGATATTTAACGCCCCTCGCAGATAACATATTTCATGCATTCACATCATATAGTACACATGTACCTCGACTCGTGCATACGCTTCAACGTGTCCAATATGTGATCTATATCACCTCCCAGAGTACACGTATGAAGGTTTACGCCAAAGTCTAAAAGGGCGGTGTGGACTCACCCGGCGATTAACATGTCTTAAAGCGCTGAAGGCGTGTGGGCTTATACGGAGTACTCCGTATGGACGTAGGTGGCACGGTGTATTACTAGAATCATGCAGGCAGTGTTCCAGTAGGCGCCCGAGAAACATTGCATGGCAAAAGCCAAGCCTATCGATCAGGTCCCAAAAAGAAAAGAGAAACGGAAATAGCTCCCAAGACTACTACTGTAGATCCACAACGTTGCGGAACTATTTGGACTATCTTATTCGGTCGCAGGGCTCCATTGGGTGACTCACGAGGCAATGCTACCCAGTGCCCCTAGGCCGGATTCCGCACTGATGAACTCGGCTTGAGGGGGCTTGGGCTGATAAGGTAAGATCTCAAGGTCCCCTGCCAATAAGCGATGATCTCATCTGCAGCTAAAGGGACCGTGGGTGTCTCGAGGCTAACAAAGTTTTTTCTGGTCTGCGCTGCGAAGGATTGGGGAATTCATACTGGGGGGTCGATCAAAGCGAGATCAGCAGCCACTCCCGATTCGGGCACCCTATAGGGGGGTGGGGGAATGTTCCTGGGAAACCGGTGCATGCCCTGCACAGCCTGCCGCTAAGGCGAACTTGGCCCCAGGATAGAATTCCAGGTCCAGTATTCTAAGTCCGGGGATTGAGAGTAAAGAATAGATATAGAGACTTGAGATGCAACAATCATCATTGTGAAAGTCGACGACGTCACGTTGGTATTTGCCCGGTGGAGCCCGTCGAGCTCCATTTGGTGAGATCTGCGGGTTGTGATTGGCTAATGCCTGTTGCCACTTAGGGTGGTTGGTGCGTGACTGTAGTGGCCTGCATCATATGACAATACGTGACAATAATACACCACTGAATATAACCATCTCATTGTGGCTCTGACCATACCTGACCATACCTCCCTCTCAGCCCATCCCCTCTTTTTCCTCGCCTCTTCCCTTCTTCTCCCACACACTCTTTCTGTCTTTTAGTCTTCCCTATTTTCGCTCCCAACTACACTCCATCTTCCCTTTTTTTTTCTTTCAATATCTGTGACTTTATTCTCCTTTCACTCTAGGGTGCTGGCTTTTAAATCACCCACAATGTCTGCCTTCTTCTACAATCACCAACATCAACAGCCTCACCATGGATCTCACATGCATGCATCAAATAACCATCATGGACGCTCTCGCCGCGCTCCCAAGATGGCTTCGCAGAATACCCAGCGTCAGTTCCGAGGTGTCAAGAGCATGCGGGAATTGGCCGAAGCTCCCGCTGTGACGGCCTTCCGTGCGAGGTTCGAGGCTGGCCGGTCCTTTGATTTGGATGATGACCTCGAGTTTTGCCCGGGTCTCCTGACTGAGGATGATGTATGTTTTGACACGGCGATCTGCCCTTATAAACCACCCCTTGAAGATCGTCACGATTTTCGATAGAGTCACGTAGGCCGTTTTGTTGACATATCTGCAGCTGCACTCCATCCACTCTGCCTCCGACCGTTCCTCTCTTTCCAGCGGCTCGCCGGACACCTCGCCTCTGCAGCACCAGATCCAACCGGTGCAGCAGGTGACGCCGTCCATCTCTTTGTCTCCTGCTCAGACCAACGCTTACGTCCACCCTGGTGTTGCCGGCAACCCTAATCATGTCAACTACCAGCAGCCTGCCAACCGGACTCGCAAAGTCATCCCGATTATTAACCCCAACACCGGGATGACCTTGTCGAGCCCTCCGTCGTCGATCTCACCCGCGATGATGCAGAATGCTCAGCGTCGATGGTAAGGGTGCCATCTGCCGAAGTCGTGGGCTGGCGCCCGACATCTCCATCTCTTTGCTTGTCTGTCACTCCTGTTCTGCATCATCGGGGTCCCTTAATCGCAGGTCATAATTTTCTTTTCACCATTGCATTCTTGTCTGATACGGCCATTGCATTCGACACGACCAATTTGGGAAAATACTTGTTCCACGGACACGGCGACACAAAAAAACATCAAAAACTCGAAAACAAAAAATCCGACCTGTACATACCCATCACCTTTTTCGCCGATTACGACCACCTTCGCCTCATATCTTAGATCCTTTGCGATACTTTCAGCTTGTTGCGAGCGACGGCGCCTGCGATTCAATACCTTGCATCCTTTTCCTACGATACCTCTTTCGTCTCTCAGGGAGGGACGAATACTTTCTTCGGCCTTTGTTTTCTTTTTTTTTTTCGGTTTTCGGCCACCGATGATGTACAGAACATGCAGTGACATTGCTACTTGACGTTGCATGTCCATGACCTGGAGTTGAATTCCTTTTTTGGGAGGGTTTGCGAGCAAACGACTTTGCCAGATACACCTACGTTGTGACACTTTTTCTACGATCTCTCAGTTTTGTTCATGGGGTTTTCTTTTTTACCGGGGCGGGATGGATGTCAATTTTCAGGATCTAGAGGCGGAAACGATACACGTCTGCATTGCTTGGGCACTGTTGAATATCTGGGTTTTTTCTTTACTTTTTTATTACTTGCACTTCTTCTGGTCTATTTTTTCTCTCTTATCTCTTTTACGGATTGTTTCTCTGTACATCGGTTCGGGGCTTGGTGAAACGCGATACTCATTACTACCTTGCCACCTGGTGTGTGGCTGGTTGGGTCTGGTGCGAGCGAAACCATTGGCTTGCGGAGTTGTTTCGGTTTGAAATCGATATCCTGGGGGTCTCTCGCGGTGTGCGGGTCATAGACCATATGCTAAAATGGCTTTGTTCATTGTTTATTACTCTACTCTATCTCTCTCACTCCCTTCTTTCCATCTGTATTTCTCTTTCCATTGATTCGCTTTGGTTGTTTCTTGGGAGCTCCCGGAGAGTATGATTGCATTCTACGATGTTGGTTTACCTTGGTTCTTACATACTATTCTCAATCACATCTCGTCTGTTCAACCTATTTTATCCCTCTGGAAACTTGTTGGTCTCACCTGATCGGAATGTTAAATGTTCCATCCATCATGAATATGAGATGCTGTGGTTAGCAGACGGCTTCCAAGGAGGGTAATTGGATTTGTCTTGGCCGCCTTTGGTCTGCTCACCTGTAGGATTATCCCATAGCTGCAAAAGGTGGAAATATTTTTATCTTTCAGCTCGCGTAGCTCAGTTGGTAGAGCGCGGCACTAGTAATGCCGAGGTCCATCGTTCAAGTCGGTGCGTGAGCAGTTTTTTTTCCTTTCTTTCAATAATTCAATTTCAATTTTTGCCCTTCTATTTGCCTGTCCTACTTTTTCGAGTCCATTGAAATTAAAGCTAGAATTCCCCAATATCGTACTCCACATTCATTGACTAGTTCAAGGTGTATATCTCCGTCTATGGAGAATGGGCATTAACACTGTCGGCAGCCGTGGATATATATCGAGGGAAAAGAAAAAAAAAAAACCAATTGTGCAAAAGGTTTCTGTTGGAGCTATCCTGGCTGCTATATACGAGGAATATAAGCAAAAAGGAATGAACATATAGAAAAGAAGATAATGCCTTTTTTCCTTGACGAGGTATATCGAGTCCTTGGGATGCAGGGATCTATCCGCCAATCACTTTTATAGAAGGTATAAGTAACCCTTGACACAATGGCATTGCGCACCTTCGAACGCATAAACAGCAACACCAGTTGGAAGGACAAAAAATCGAAAATGAAATATTGGAAGAACGGCAAAAACGAAACTGCTCACGCACCGACTTGAACGATGGACCTCGGCATTACTAGTGCCGCGCTCTACCAACTGAGCTACGCGAGCTGAAGGATGGAAGACGGTCAGGGTTTGTACATATGAGCTTAAAACACTAATACCAGCTAAACCCTTGTATCGATATAGGTCCGTGGTGATTATCTCAATACGAGTGGAAATATACCTGCTGGGTCTTCCTGTGCTGCGCGCATGATGTACGTATCTAGCCTCTGAAGCGTCTCTAGGACTTGTAGGTCTATAATGATTTACATTAATCAGTAAAGAGGCTTTTTAAGTTGAGTGTATACGTAGCTTAGTTGTATGGGATAAGCCATTCATGGATAGGCAGGAGAGAATTGTCTGATTTGGAAGCGTACAGTAATATTCGTCTCGTACTCTAACGACCAAGCTTGAGCGTTTCACTAATTTTCTGCAAGAGCTGGGCACGCTCACCCCTAGGCATCTTTGTCTTACATAGTTAATAGGCTCTATCCTATAAACACTAGAATCCTCCTTCTTCTTCTTTAACTACCTAGGACTAAAGATACCTCCTAAAGTAATACTAACTATCCGATCGTTGGTCGCTCGCGGATCGCTAGCGAACCTACACCGAACTAGACTGCGACATCGCCCATGGACGGGCCTGTGGGCAATGCCCACGATGGGCCTGGGGGTAAGGGCCTATCGCCTATCGCCCAAACACCCGTCTATGGGCGTTTCTTGGCAGCAAGTTTTGGCAGTCTCGTGACTTGCATTTAATTGTGTAGTTTTCGTCTGTATTTTTGAATAATCTGCTTACAGAATTGATCATAAAGGTAAATAAATGTAAAGACCGGTCGGTTCAAATACTGTAAATACTAGATATATACAATTTATCAGAAAACAAAGCAGTAATTATTATTTTTATTAGTAGATATACGGTGCTAGAAAGAGTGTTATAGAGCACGTTACCGGTGATAACAGAAAATCTTACTATATGTGTGAACTAACAACTTCTATTACGATACTATACTACTACGCCATGATCCCTACTTTCTATGCCGAAAATAATATTGCAAATATTTCCACACAAACTATTATAAAGAGGCTGTCTACTTATTACCACGGCTTTCTTATTATTTACACATTTACTATTATATAGATAACTTCTTGCGCTAGTTCTTATCTACCAAAGCTATTTCTTTCGTCGGATAATATTTTAACCCGTGCAAATTTTACAATAGGATTATTCAATATGATTATACGTACGTCAATAGAACCTTTAGTTATTATATATATCACTAAACCCAGTCCTAGCTTAGAAAAAAGGCGCGGAAAAAAAATACCGTACTCCGAAAGAACCATAAAAGAAAAAGGGACCGTCTCTTTCCGCTACGGCTAATCCGTCCGGACCACGAGTATTCGGAGCTCTAGCCTCACCTAGACATCAATTCTTTCTACGTTTATATTCATATATGTTCGGACTTTCTAACCGCAAGGATAATCCGTCTAGACTATCAGCGTTCGGAACTCTAGTACTCGAAGCTCTAGTGAAAAGGTAGTGGACTGATATTCGGGGTTAGCTTCTAGATACATACAAGTATGTTAAGCACTCTAGGTGCCTTACGTTTTAGGACTTATTTGTTAGACATGTTTGCTAGCTCTAGTTAGCTATAAGCTATAAAGCTAAGCCCCCTAAAACTCATCATCCTTTTTCTTTATTCCCTTTCGGTCTACTAGAATATCTTGTCTAAAGTCCTAAAAGGAACAAAGTTAAGCCTCGTTCAGGTTCCAATTAGATTTCCGCATAACCCAATTTTGGTTGAGCTCACGACCCAGAATCCAACCACTAGAGCCCTAGACAACCCAGAAAGCACCCAGTTTGACCCAATTTTGGCATAAATCGTATAGTACGTCCCGAAACTGGTGCAACCGCCTACACTCTTCGAGTGATTATCTGGCCCCACTGCCAAGATACACTAGACCGTTTTAGGGACATCTCCAGAATATCACTACTGTAAATCATATAATTTATGGTAGTAAGATAGTGTATAGATAACAATACGGGAAAATTGCTATTCTGAGAATATTCTTAATACAGTATAGTGGGTCTTGGCATTAGGGCTCGAGAAACAATCGAAGAGTGTAGGTGGTGACACCAGTTACAGGAAGTACTGTATCAATATGGTTCCTTTCCTGTTTCCTTATGCTCGTCTTGAAACTAGATCCTCTTTTGGCCTTGTGATACACCGAACTGTATTGAAGGTGCATTCAATGACTTTGCGTCAGGGGATAAATCAATCTCAACTAGGATAGCTGGAAGATGGTCGATTAGTGGAGGTTCGAGAAACACAGCATGAGAAGCGCGCTTGTCTCGGTCTGTAACTATCATGATGTCTCCTTCATCAAAGGATAAGTCTGTCGAGGCTCATTTTGACCGCTAGGGAAGAGTAAAGATCACAGTATCAGTGACTAGTCATCTGATGAACAGCAGTAGGCAATGAGATCTTCCTGAGCGATCTGCACGAGCAGAAAAGAATTTGGCTGTGTGAGAAGAAAATGAGATGGAGAGGGATCAAAATCACTGGGAACAGTTACAAATACTAGGGCTAGGGCAACTCTAGGTTGGATTGGCTTAATCTCTCTATGGCTTTGGGATATACGTTGCTTATGCCAAGCACGGATAGATGTTCCACGTTTGCTCAGTGGAAGCTCGGTGAGCGAATGGGGGATCGGGAAGCAAATTCAATTCTATCTAGTGATTACAAAGCGTCCTTGGTTAGAATCAAAGCGGGAAGAGAAAGCAATCGGGCACCCGGCCTTATAATCAGATGCATGTGTCTTAAGTTCGTAAGTCCCAAAGACAGCAGCGCCAAGCCTCTAGATATATGCCATTCCGGTGGCCACCACTAATGATATTGCGAGCAGCGATCGCGGAGATGCCCAGGCTACCGCACCGCTGGTTGCTTTTTCGAAGCTCACTAGCGACTGATCGCTCGCTCCAACGTGGAGAACCTGCGATGAGTTGGCCGAGTCGTAGGTGCCCATAAAGTCGATGCTGAAAGTCACGTTCACCTGTTCGTCATGGGATCCGTTTAGGTCACCGAAGCCAGCGATCGTCGTCCCCGAGATGGATAATGTGAGCGTGTTATTGCTCATTGTCCCGTTGATCATAGTCCCTGACGGCCATCCGATCAATATATCACCCGTCGTACTGCAGGTTTTCGCAGGGATATGGATCTGATCTTTATGCGTGCCGTCACTCGCAAAGATGGTCTGGGCCGACCTCAGGCTCGACACGTCGTAGACCCCTGCAAATTGGACCTCGTGGCTGTCATTGCCGACCTGGGTGACATTAAGGACCACGGCGTCGGTGGCCCCCTCGACATCCCTATTCGTCTCGTGGACGTACTCGCGCCAGTCGACGGTTGTCTTGAGATGCACGAGATTCACATCTGTATCGCAGGAGTTGTAGGAATAGGTGATGTTGGCGATAGGATTATCAGACTGCCAGGCCTGGAAACCCATTGTAAAAGGATTGTGAAGGTCTGGTGGAGTAGGCGTTCTCGGCCCGACCCATGCGATTCCCAACATGCGAATCGAGCGATGGTCCTTGGGGCAATCGGTTCCATAGTAGGTGTTGTTGATCGGCAGATCGCGAATTACGTAGTCAAAGGAAGCTTCGCCTTGGAAGTACAGTCCATTCCAGTCTGTGTATGCGCCAGGGTCGCCAGCGACCATTGTGTAATTGAGGTAATAGCTCGGCTGTAGGCCGGTGGTTGTGAGTTTGTGGTCATCCGAGCAAACAGAAGTGCCGCCACTGGATGATGAGTCGTCGCTGTCGCTGCTGGTCCCGCTATCGCTGCTGGAATCGCCATTGCCTCTGCGGGATAGAACCCCAGCAGGAATCGACAGGAATGCAAAAATTAGGAATAGGGGCTGGCAGGGCAACATAGTGCCCGGCTTTTTCCAAGGGTCCTACTGTATGAAATCTATAACGCTGTAGACTGATTGACTAACGTGTCCAGTCTGAGCAGTGAAAGCACAGAAACACAGAAAGAAACGCTCGAGGGTCGTCGCAGCTTTCAAGCACTGGCACCATTTGATCCTTGGGCTGTCCGTGCCTCGCGAGATAATGCATTTTGGGGGTTGGAGGGGCCAAGAGGACTAAGGCGCCAAGGACCTAGACGGGATGAACCTCGTATTCCCCACCATCGCGAGCCGCGACAAAGGATCAGGTCAGTTTGTAGAAAGGACCGCCACCCTGTGGCTTGGTTAGCACGAGCATAAGTAGCCAAGGCGTGCGTGTGGGAGAGTCATTGCGAGCCGAAATCTATCCCACTTCCGGACTAGCCTTCCAGCACCACCATTGTTCCAATTGTTTCTATTACCTCGCTCCCAGCCTGCCAAGATGATCCAAAAATTGGGGTCCCAGGGCCAAAATTAATACACCCTTTTCTCCTTCTGGGGGTAGAACTGGTCTTTTTTGGGAATATCTTAAATATCCGCTTGTTGATCACTCCCTTTATGACGCTTGATCTTGGGGTCAAATGCCGGTGCTCTGTGAAAACATTAACGGCGCAACGATCGTGAATGGGCAAAGGATGCGCGTTAACTAACGCGCGTAACGTTTCTCGTCCATCTGTAGCCAGCCCGCTGGAGGTGGATGCCAGTACAGTTACGCGACAAGGCACGTATTTTTAGTAATTTTCCCCCAAAATTTGTCTCAAACTATGCTTAGATCGTACTTATTTCGTTATAGTTTAGTTATCATTGAAAATGCAGGTTATTATAACATTAAATATTAAGCAACTACATCAAGCGGCTCGCGTAGCTCAGTTGGTAGAGCGCGGCACTAGTAATGCCGAGGTCCATCGTTCAAGTCGGTGCGTGAGCAGTTATCCTTCTTTTTTGGACATGACGCTCAATATATATTTTTCTTTTTTTATCCAATTTCCACCCCTTCGCATACTGAAAGCAAAGCAGAGGTCGAGATAAATACTAGCTGACCTGACCTGTACCGTGTATACCCATCTGCCCGCCCGCTCCACTGTATCGAACGGACGCACTCTACCTCCATGTAGTCATAGACATGTAATGTCCTGGCGGGCACTTTTCTTGTTGCTAGAAAATATAGTCTTTATTGAGACTGAACTAAGTATCATGAAGAAGCAAGAGACAATTAATCCTAATAATACGAAGATTCTATAAAAAAGACGGGAGGAAGAGAAAGAGAGTCTATTTACGGCTTATTCGAGGGCCACGAGCTTCATCCACAAGTCACAAAGTTACAAGTCACAAAGTTTCCCTCCCTTCGATCGGTCGCACACCCAGGAACCATAGCCAGGGACCAGAATTCCTGAATCAGATGACAAAGGTCCTATAATTTGACAATCATCGAGGAACAAGCCACTACCCTCTAGACTCTTTGCAGTGGCTGCCCACGCAATAGAGGAAGTTCCCTGCTCTGGTGATCTAGAAAAGCCCTCGAGAGGGTCAAAGTAAAGCGAAGATGTCTACGAGCAGTGCTCTGCCTAGCAGCTCATGAATTTAAGTTATCTGATATGGAGTAGTATTTACGGAAGCTTAGCGGATTGGGTGAAGGCCCGGTTCTGCAGTCATAGTGCCGGTGATCTTCATCATCGGATCTTGTGCACGCTCATACATAAATAGCACATGCTATTACCTAGGTAACTTTCATGCAATTCGTCGTACTCGAGCCAGATGGTCCTTAAGGGGCAAACTCGCATCTTAACACCGAGGTTTACCGAGCAATCAAACCCACTCCGAGATCGACCTGCATGAACATGTACAAGCACTTATTGATCATCCCGCAGCTCTTGCCGTCACTGAGCTTATTTCCTGTCATAATACTATTCCTAAAAATGAACCAGCTTTGCTGATACTATCAGTCCTACCTATTGACCTAGCCCTTGTTGGTACCAAAACACCGTAAACACGCTTTTCGCGATAGAATTGCATCATTAAGTCCACCCTAGGAGATGGACTGCTCTTTCTTGTTTTATAATCTAATCTCCAGAATGAAGCTAACATGCAATCTGAAATGTTTTATTTTCAGCTGCGCTTGGGAATGAACATACGAATATCTCTAGACATTGTTCCAGCCGCAACAATATGCATGTTTTCCCTGATCTGCAAGAAATACATATAGTGCAGTGGAATGAGTGGGCATCAGCTGAAAGCTGACCTTTAATTTCCTGTTCTTGCTACTCTTCTTGCTCTCCAATCATGGATCCAGGACATTGCTGATTAACGTACATCCACACTGCACTTTTTAGCTCACGTGGCACTATCTGAGTTCCTTTTTTCGCTCTCCTTCTAAAGCTCATTCCAAAGTTCTCCAAGTTCTATCCCGAACCACACTCGAACATACTTTGTTGCTTGATTGCCGAAGTGTAGTGAAGTAGTAAAACAAAGAAAGTATCTGGAGGCCCAAGGAAGTTGTTGGCGGTCGACATGAACTGCCGCCAAATGTGAGATTATACTACTAATGAAAGAAAGATCTTCTCAATGTAGGATTTATTGATACGACGGCTGTGCCTATGGCCAGGGAGGCATTTGTACATGTGGCAACGAGTTCGGACAAAGGAATCTGAGAATGTCTATGGGTAGGCACAGCTTTCCGGCTCATGTCCTTTTTTTGAGAATCCGTTGTGGCAGTACGGAGACCTGAAAGCGTTTCATTTCAGTTTATTGCGAAAATTTCGACAGAAATATGGGCTTGTTTAGTTATACAAGAACTCGTTGCACATAGGAAACAGGAATAACAATAAAGCTAGAAATGCTGACCGGGATGCAAAACGCCAGTCGAGTCCATGTTAAAAATAGTTACATGTATTTCCATATTGGGCCACGGTTGATAAAGACGTGGCAGTTGCCGAGGTCAACCTCCTTTTTGTTCAGACGATCAAGATAGGCCCGGCTGTGTTGAGAAACTGAAATGAACACCTTATGACCGTGTTCGTAACCTGCTGGAAGAATCAAACCGTCTCTACGATTACGCCAGACCCTTTCGATGCAAAGCGATGATTATATTTTCAAAGATTGTTTACAAGTCCAGGGATTCATTCGCCCTGATCAAGTGTGTCTGACTTGACCAACTTCAGGTGCAAATTTCAAGATGCCGAGCGTTTTAAGGGAAATGAAACGATCCAATGATATTCTGTCTTCGTTCAGCTGAAAGGGCAATGCAGTGGTCGCGCAACTTGGATGATTCTCACCCTGATTCTGACCCTATCTATAGCGCACTCACCCTTCTCACCCCCGGTCGCGGGACGGTAAAGCGGCTCTCACCCTAAACTTACCCGGGTGACACCCACCCGACTACTGGCCGCATATAAGCCACATACCATACAGAGTAGTGAGGTTTGATCTAAGGCCTTTGTAAATCTACTTACTATATAACCCACTTCCATGTCCAATTCAGCACATACGACCACAGGGTGTGGAGAACAGGGCTTCCCGTCCGCTCAGCCGTACTTAAGCCACACGCCGGTAAGTTAGTAGTTAGGTGGGTGACCACTAGCGAATCCTTACTGTTGTATGTTTTTCTTTTTTTCCTTGACTGTTATATACAACGCTTTCATATACGTACATGTTGACTAAACTATTGATACGTGGAATCAAATTTATTGTACCTAGCACGTCATCTACTATAGTAATGACCATTCAGTCTTTCGATCTTTTGTATCTAGGCGTTCTCCTCACGAAGGCGCTCCAGTGCCGCTTGATCAAAGATACCAGGACCCGTAAGCTCTTTCCGCAACGCCGAGATAGAAGGCACAAAGAAGTAGTCTCCTCCCCTCTGAACAACCCAGCTTTCCAAAGGCATACGGTCCCCGGAGGTTCCATTGTGATCAGGAAGGCCGAATGAGCGAGGCGGGTGATGCTCGAGTCTTTGACCCACGATAGCGTCAATACCTGGACCGTGCTCACCAACTACGTGAGTCTTGTCGTCAGGGAAGTGGTGGTTGCTTGCCCAGCCTGGATGATCAAGGGTGTTAGCAAAGAGCCTCTTGTATCAACTTATGCAGGAGTCTAAATTTCAGGTGCTTACGGGTAGTCAAGAAGTTGTATCCGTTTCGGATATCGCTCTGGTAGCAGACAAACAGAAGTCCACGCTCCTTATCTGCAGCCGATTTCCGATCGGCCGCTTCTTCTGCTGTAACTTCTTCGCCATAAGGAATGCCACGACGCCAAATGACGGCATGGTCGTGATTCATGTCACCACGAGGTCTCATCTTGCGGGTGTGGGCAGCAAAAGGACACTTTTTGTGCTCATTAATGGGGTGGTAATCGAAGTTGTTTGACGAGAAGAGGTTTGAATCCGAATCATCGTGAGGAGACTCATCCACAGGGGTTCCTGTATGTTTTCGATCAGTTAATCAGCGCTCAGAGCCGAAGACACACTGGCTGCAACAAACCATTCTTCCATCGTCCCATCAAGTGTGCCGCAAGCTTTTCGCCTGGCTTGGGGTGGTCCTGGGTAAAAGGGGCGAGGTGGGCATTTTCTTCCATGAACCTATGGACATGGTCAGAACGAAACACCGAGTATTAATACAAGATAGGCCACATACGTGTCGAATTCAGGAACGAGTTGCTGAAGGTCACGGAAAACAAGGAAGCTACCGTCTTTTGCCCAAGCCGGTTGGGCCTGCTTGTCACCCTCGTGCCCGCAAAGGATCAATCTGCGTTCCGTCAGCCTGAGGGTCCCAATCTAGCTGTTCGGTCAAACCGTCGATCACTCTTACCCTGGCTTTGCGGCTTTTGGCTCCTTGCCCTGTGGTTGCCTTTCATCCCAGCCCTCGATGATAGGCTGACTGATTCCATCCTTGAACCCAAAGCTGAGCAAAAGAGTAAGTCTGGCTGGCCTGGAGATGGTCACGGGTATCTTGTTAAGTACTCACTGCTCCTTTCCTTTGTTAAGACCGGGGCGGACCTTTCCCTCTCTCACGAGGGTCAACTCTATGGAAGGGTCCCTGCTGATGACATAGGTGTCTGGATTGAGAGGTACTCCCTCCTCGGCCAGGAAGTGTTGCTTCACCTCGCTGACCCTCGCATCCAAATCGGACTTCAAGCTTGAGGTCACCATGATCACGCCATCAATGAGTCTCTCCTGGTCACTGGTGGGCTGGTATTCTTTTCGAAGTTCTTGGGGGTTGTCCCACCCTTCTCCGACAAGATCACTAAACATACCCTTTTCAAAGAGTCCACCACGGAGTTGTTGCTTCCGGAAGATTGGAGAAAGCTTTCTGTCCCTTTTTACCAGCTCTTGGTCTCTGACATTTACAAACGCTCCGAGCTATAGGTAAGTCGCTTATTAGTCGCTGCTCAATGCCAGACCGAGAGTCGCAACGATGACTTACAGCTTCAAGGCCGGTCGAAGTAAAGGCAATATTGATTCCCGGCAAAGCTTGGAGCCTAGCCGATTTCTTTGCCTGTTCGGCCTCTTTCTTTGCCGCTTTGATTGTCTCGCTCATTCTACAGGCATCTTGAGCGGTGGTGATCTTATCGGTGAATGTCTTGAGTCGGTTTTTGAAATCAACCTGGTTTCGAATGCGAAAAAAAAAAGCTTTGAAATCTTTTTGGGAGACCAGGCCTTGTAATGACGGTAAGCCTTTGAAAGAACATGCCGGTATATGAACTTAGGGCAGCGTGGGTAACTTACCAAACATCTCCCTGAATGTTTGCCCTCAGGGCCGGAGTAAGTGCCATGATGAAGATTTTCACTCCGGATGAACGTCGTTACTGAGTTCGAATAACTTGGGGGGTAGTGGCAAATATATGAAAATGTGACGCCAACTTATGAACCCAGAAACCACTTGCTCTTTTACAGTAATCCACACACCAAGGAAGGGGTGGGGATAGTGCAGCACTGTGATTCTGCACTTATCATTCAGCTATTGGGTCAATCGCCAATCAGAGATATCAGATAGCGTCATTTGCAAGCGGCGTCGGTGACTCGACAACCCCGAGGTTTGATATGGACGGCCCATAAAGGCAATATTCGGGTGCATACGCATCTTTTTGGCGAATGAGAACGGTCCTATTACGTCCTCTAGTCGAATCAGACACCAAGATCACTACCCTGATGCAGTACAGTACTCGGGTTGACCTGTGCAGATCCTCCTGTTCTGTAGGCTGTCGATCCGAGAATTCCAAATCCAAGACGACCAACGTCTTCACGTTCCTGCCGCCACCAGAGATCAACATAGCCGAGGCCCCCGCCCAGCAGTCACAACCGGCAAGTCACCTTCCAGCAAATGAGATGGCGCATTTTGTAATGGACTCGACAGCTCATATCCACCAAGAGCTACCCTAAACTAGTAAAGGAGGCGATCAGATCATCAGCTGAATTGTGGGGTCCACCTACGTGATGTTCTCGGACAGCGGATCCTAGATTCGCGAGCGGCGATTCGCGATTCGCTTGATTTTAGGGCCTGCGGGCAGGCGGAGCGGAGACGGGCCGAGCTCCAATTTTGAGGGCGCTAAGACGAACTATGAACTACGATCGACGTGCAGTTGGATTTCTGTTGCTCCAATCACCAAAGTGCCAATTCTCCATTACCTCGTCATGGTGACACAAGATCCTGGCATGCAAGACGCCTCTTCGATATGCAAGATACAGTAAACACAAGGCGGGGCATCGTGTGGGCCTTTTCGTCCCTTGACTTCTGCAGAAATGGACGCCGATCTTTCGCATATCACAAACGCGATCCCACCTTGGAAGGATATGCGAGATTTTTTTCCCTCGCAGTATGAAGGGATGTCGTAACGGGCAAGCCGAGCTCGGATCGAGGCTGTCAATCAATAAGGTCTGTGTCTCAGGTCCGCATCGTGCAGGTCGGGATAGGCGCTTGGCTGGTGGCAAGCCCCTCTCTGTCCTCAAACTATCTCTCCAAATTGTGATAGTTGACGCAGACAGTCTGGATCAGCGGTCTAGCTTATTCTCGTGGACCGAAAGTTCTTGGGATCGTTGATCACGGTAACGAAAGGTCCCAGGCGAAACATGCACAGGACTGGCCTTATATCTCCCCTTGCTCCTACTCGATATATTTCTCTTCGCTGAAATTGGTTGAGCTCTTTCCCCTCATTATTATCTTTGTTCTTTGCCTAATATCCTCGCTCATTATGAAGATTCAATGGGCTGGGGTCCTCTTAGGGGCTTCCATTGGCGGAGTCAATGCTATGGCCGAATATATGGCTGAGGCCATGAGAGGGGAGCGTGTCTCTGGCTACGGTAAATCTGATAAGCCTGCTTGGGTACCGGACTTTAAAGATGAATCTCCCCCTCATAACGGCATTCGAATTCCCCGTCAAGACTGGACCTTGACATGCAGCAGCTCTGCTCGCGGCCATCCCTGCAAAAACGCGATCGACGGCAAAAACACCACTGCCTGGCACAGCGACCCCTCTGACAAGGGGCACACTTTTATCGTTGACCTTGGGGCGTGGTACCAAGTGAGCGCCGTCGTTGTTCTCCCTCCCCTCGATACGGGGGTGGAAGGCCTCATTACCCAACACAAGATCTGGATCAGCGAAGATGATGAGACCTGGACAGGTCCTGTCGCATATGGAATGTGGCCCAATACTGTCAGACAGCGGATGTCCGCGTTCGAGCCATCTTCTGCCCGATACTTGAGAATCACGACTGATGCCGACGACGAAAACCCTTGGGTCGGTATCTCTGAGTTGAACATTTATGGAACTCTGTACACTATTCCTCGCGATCCCGCCCTCGGTGTCTGGGGACCTACTCTTGATTTCCCTATCGTGCCTGTTTCCGGTGCTCAAGAGGGATCTGGCATGCTTGCTCTTTGGTCCTCGTGGGCCGATGATCAGTTCCACTCTACACCTGGAGGCAAAACTGTCATGACCCGGTGGAACTCAACGACCGGAGAAGTTTCCAAGCGCACTGTCACCAACACCAATCATGACATGTTTTGTCCCGGTATTTCTTACGACGGCACTGGCATGATGGTAGTAACCGGAGGCAACTCCGCCAGAGAGACCAGTCTCTATGATTCTGCCAATGATGAGTGGATCAGCGCAAACGGGATGAACCTCAAACGTGGATACCAGGCATCTACAACTCTCTCGGATGGACGTGTCTTCGTTATTGGTGGCTCTTGGTCTGAAGTCTCCACCATTGACAAAGATGGCGAGGTCTATGACCCTGCTACCGGAAATTGGACTATGCTTCCAGACGCGACAGTCCAGGACATGATGACCGAGGATATGGAAGGTGCCTGGAGAGCGGATAACCATGGCTGGCTCTTCGGCTGGAAGGGTCTGAGTGTTTTCCAAGCCGGGCCTAGTAAACAGATGAACTGGTACTCTGCTTTTGGCAATGGGAGTGTCAAGGCGGCAGGAAGACGTATGGAAGACGAGGATTCTATGTCTGGCAATGCAATCATGTTTGACGCCGTGAAAGGAAAGATTCTCACACTTGGAGGCTCTCCTGATTATGATAAGTCGCCGGCCACCGACGCCGCCCACATCATCACGCTTGGCGAACCTGGTCAGAAACCCAAGGTCCAGCTTGCTGGCGGAAGAGGCACCATGCATTATGAGCGTGTGTTCCACACTACCGTTGTACTCCCTGATGGAAAGGTCTTCATCGCTGGCGGCCAGACCTACGGAATCGCCTTCAACGAAGAAAATGTTCAGTTTGTCCCGGAGATCTACGACCCTGAGACCGATACTTTCCAGAAGTTGCAGCAAAATAACGTGGTCAGAGTATACCATACTGTCTCCATTCTCCTCCCAGATGCCCGGGTGTTGAATGCCGGCGGTGGGCTCTGCGGCAACTGCACGGCCAACCACTACGATGGTCAGATCTTCACACCTCCCTACCTGGTTACACCTTCAGGCCAGCCCCGGCCCCGTCCTGAAATTCTCTCGGGTCTACCGGAGAAGACCCTGGTCGGTAGCACGCTGAGATTCAAAACTTCGGGTCCCATTTGGAAAGCTTCCCTGATCCGGTTGGGCACTGCCACCCATACTGTCAACACTGATCAGCGCCGCATTCCACTTGACGTTGTCGCTACATCCTTCTTCAGAAACACCTGGAAGGTTACTCTGCCAAGTGAACCAGGTATTCTCATTCCCGGATACTGGATGTTATTCGTCATGGACCGTGACGGTGTGCCTAGCGTTGCGAAGATCATGATGATTGGCTTGGGCCCCAAGAAGACTATCCAAGCTTGGGAGGAGCCACTGGGAGCTACGGAGGAAGAGAACTGTGAGCATGGATCCCTCACGTCTTTCTGGCAATCTTGGAAACCAACACTAATCTTGCAGACCAACGGCCGTTCATGAGAATGGAGTTGCTCAAAAGGAAGTGGTTTTGGTAAAGGATTCGGAATGAGCAATTGTATCTAGAGCAAAATGCGATAACAGTTTTCACAATGAAATGAACCGGAGGGTGAAAAAAGGAGATAGACAAGGGTTGTGACGAAACCTAACTGTTACGTATACACGCAATATTGAAATATGATCTTTCAAATAGGCTGGGCTGCAAGTGCTTGTTTGTCCCTTTCTCAACGCGGTAGAAAGCGAGTCCGCATCATCTAGGTGCCCAAAGGCAATACCCCTTCCCTCCTTCTACCACGTTTTTATGTCTTCAGCTCCAATCCCGCATTTCTCTCTCTACCTAGCAGGCCCCGAACATTTTATAATGACAAACTTCCAAGGTTTTCTAACCATGGAACAAGTATCAAAACCAGAAATGCTTCCAATCATATGATGGCTCTACTTTGAGGGCTGGGATTACAACGGCGTGTAAGAGCGCGCTTAGAGACAGCGCTCACTAGACTCAACAAGGACGCCATTTTGCCCTATGCTGAAGAGCTTATGAAAGACCTGAAGCTCTTTCTGAGTGAGAACTTCATCAACAAGGCATATCCCCAGATCGGCTCTATAACCGCTAAAAGCGAATCGGGAGAGCCTGTCATTGGCAAGTTGTCCACAGCGGCAGCAGTAGCGCTCGTTTTACAGGGACCATTTTCCACGACCGCTGAATATTTTACTGCTATTGGGAACACTGCGCTGCGGAGGTCACAGCTTCATATGACGAGTGCAATCGAGACTCGGGCCACTGCAGCACGCTTGGTGCCCTCATTTTCCTCGATATTGTACAGACGACAGATCATTTTGGGGCACCTCAAGATCTCTTTCTCCATATAGTTCCCGTTCATGTTATAACAAGTACATACGACCACAGGGTGTGGAGAACAGGGCTTCCCGTCCGCTCAGCCGTACTTAAGCCACACGCCGGTAAGTTAGTAGTTAGGTGGGTGACCACTAGCGAATCCTTACTGTTGTATGTTTTTGCCTCTTTTACTCCTTTGAATGGTAGAAATTTGTGGCTCGTATCAAGAAACCAGATCTTTACCAAGACGCGTTGCACCCGGTCCAACATGCTCGATGAAATCTCGATGTTATAATGAAGACTTCGTACCTCACTGATTCACTATAGGTCAAGGCTCGGTATGCTAATAGCGGTAAAAGTTTGGTGAATATAAGAGTTCCGAGGAGGAAATAGAACTGGAAACTGAACGACGTAGTTGATGCTATATATAGCATAGTGCCGTTCCCGAATTTGGGCTGCACGCCCGTCTACTCTTTATGTTTACCATCTTCGCTCTCTTCGTCCACAATTTCGAGCGGCTCACCTAACATATTCCCATAGACCATCACTGCAGCCACTCCGTCCGCGCTCCGATCCCAGTCTCCTTCGACATAAAATCGTATTTGCAGCTCCTTCTTCACATACCAGACACTATAACGGTCCCTATGGTTAAAGTCCGCAGGATGAAAAGCTTCACCATCCTCTTGGCCAGGATTAAGCGTTTCAACACGCAAAGAAACCCCCCGGGCCATGTAAGCCGGAATAAGCAGAGTCTCTGCGTCCCAGACTTTCGTGGCGGCGGGGTCCTTCCTACCGTCACCATTCTCATGGGATGTCGGAAATTCAAGGGCGAAGACCTCTGTATTGGGTGGTTTGAAGATTCTAGTGCCGTACGTCCAAGACATCCAATTGCAAACATCATAAAATACATGGTTCCACATATAATAGATTTGGTCGCGCCATGGTGTATGGCAAGACTTTGTGTCCGAGTCCTGCGGAAGTTGTTCACGCTCCTCTAGGGTGAGTGGATCGACTTCTTCCGCCCAGGATGTAATTGCCTCTAGTAGGTTGTTCTCTGGAGTTTTGGCTTGGGTTTCTAATTTTGCAGGATTTGCTGCAAGTATGAACACCTTTGATCTGGCCTTTTAGTCCGCAAGGGAATGGGATCAAAACCTAGAGCCCTTGGTGAGATCGGAGGTAATGTGTGCCATCGGAAAACGAGGGGGCACTTTACATTATTAAACTCAAAGACGCTAGCCCCGAGTCTTCATGATCCGTACAGTAATATAGTTAGTTGCCGAATTCAGTTTTACCTCTCAATCTTCCGACTTGGTTCCCGGCAAGTAAATCTGAATTGCGCCCAAATCCCCTTTTACGTCACCGCTTTGTAAGATAGGTATACAATAACTGCGATTGTGGCCGTACCTCGATCTCGGAGTCATCATAATAACGTAATGTTTCATGGGATCACCCGCCTGCACCCACTCCGGCAAGTCTCATTCTTCCCATATGTGTCTAAACACTTCGTGTAAGCCTGCAAGTCGTAATGAAAAGGCTGAACTTATGCCGTAGAGCTAACCCTGGGAGGCAAAGATTTTATTTTCTTTCCATGGCTCCTCGCTATAGTCGATTTTGGCTTGCGGAGATGACCTCATTTTAAATTGTCTGACAGGTGTAGTATGTACTGTTATCCAGCTTTGCGGACGAAATCTTGTTTCCGAGGTCAAACCCCCGCGTTTTTGCGACGTCTAGATGAGGGTTATTTGCCGCCGAATTATAAATCAAACTGCATTATAGTTTGGATAAATGGGCAGATACTTCCCCAGGTATCCCATCGTTCGCACCCAGCTTCATTCAATGCATCATGTCAGAAATCATGAGTTCTGAGATTACGCCCGATTCTTTTCTCAAAAGATGGCACAAGCGAAATGCTTGGATTGAAAGCCCCGCTGAAAATAATCAGTCAGTCCGCATTAGCTACATCGACTGCGAACCTCCATCTACCAGGGTCCAGATAGGGGTTATAATACTAATCCACGGATTTCCGCAATCATCATATCAATTCCGACACGTGATACAGCCTCTCGCTGATGAGGGATTCCGAGTCATTGTCCCCGACTATCGCGGAGCTGGTCAATCATCGCATCCGGCCCAGGATTTTAGAAAGTCGACAATGGCTCGTGATATTTTCTCCCTTGTCCACGATCATCTCGGCATAACGCAGACTGTTCATATAGTCGGACATGACATTGGGGGTATGATTGCGCATGCATATGCCATGCAGTATTCCCATCATGTGGCTAGTGTGGTTTGGGGTGAATGCCCGCTCCCTGGAACTTCGGTTTACGAGATGAACAAGATCATGCCTGAGCAGTTTCACTTTGTGTTCCACAGTGTACCTGACGATTTGGCGCTGTCTCTGGTGACTGGAAGGGAGAAGATATACCTGAATCATTTCTTTTCTAAACAGAGCTTCAACGCCCTGGCGATATCCTCGGCTGATCTGGAATTTTATGCACTGCAATACTCGCAGCCGGGAGCGCTACGTTGTGGTTTTGAGGTGTACCGGGCGTTTGAGGAAGATGCTCGAGAGAATCGAGAAAGCTTGCGCCTAAAGGGTAAATGTATGCGACCCGTGCTCATTCTCAGTGGCTCGCAGAGCCGACATGCACATGAAGCCAGAGAAATGATAAAAGAAGTGTACGCTGGCGACATCCGGGTTGAAGAGGTCGAAGATTCTGGTCACTTTATCGCCGAAGAGAACCCCGAGGGCTTTCTACGGACCGTCTTGGCCTTCGTTCACAATAATGTGTCCAAAAAGTGACGGTCATATATATTTTAACTACAGTCCGTGTTTATGGCTTGTTACATTTTCTGCCTTGCTCAGTCGGGGAAGGGGATAGTAACATGGAGATAATGGAGATTTGAGGTATACTCTACAAGCACAGCTACACGCACAGTTCATTCGGAAGGATCCGACACAATACAGTAACTCTATCCACGAAAGAACTCCAGATTTCGATCCCTAGGATTACAAAGCTCGAGATGGCTGTTTCCTTTGGTGTGTGATGGACGAGGCATCATGCCTCGAACTGGAAACTTCCTAGACATGAATTTGAGACTGACAACTACCATGCGCCCTAAAGACCTTTTCTTTCTAGTAACTTACCATGAAAGCATCTAATCTTTGCATACTTTAACCTTAGCAAACGCATAATAGTGACGGGTGAGGAAGCCTGCTTGTTGCCCTGGATGACGATGGGCTACGGAGGTGTATGTTTATAGCAGTCCGTGTAGGATACATTCTTCGAGGTCTCACGACCGTATTGTAGAATACAGGCACTATTTCAGGAAGCGGGTATCAAGGATCTTGTCATGTTAGGACTAGTGCGGGTCTGATAGTGTGGAGGTATAACTGATTTTGAAAACTACCAAGTTATACTCGAGATCAACTTTAGCTATATACTCTCAAGCTTTGAAGTCTGAGCCCTAGCTCGAAACACGCTATTTCTATCTTTGGATTGCCCCTTCTTCCATTTGTGACCAAAATGACCACCGGTCGGAAGATTGTTAAGACCCGCTCGGCGTGACAGGTGCCGATTTACTTACAGGGACAGTGCCATTTCCAGGCTACAATAAATCCCCCTTTAACCTATGACAATCAACAATAAGCATTGATCAGAGCTCGAAACATCTGATCTGTATCTCTTCCCGCGGATCTGATTGGAGCCGACAGACGACGAAGTGTACGCGTACTTATCTGCAAGCTCCCACCAGGTGCCCATATACATCCAATGCCATTGTCACAAAGCATAAAAACTGCCACAGCGGACAGATCACAGCGATCTCCATTGTGTGCCATTACGTCTCCTATTTTCTTCCCCCTGATAGGTTTCAAGGGGTCATACAAGCCTGCAGGTTGATTGGCTATCTACCCGCTTGGTCGTGTTTCAGGGCCAACTACGGTCTCAGCTGTCAATCCCACGCGCCCAGGAGGTGACTTTCCCCACCCAAGACGCCGCGCAGTAACAGACAAATGAGTCGGGAGTGCCGAGAGCTCTTAGGTTGCTTTTATGGCTGTCCTATCCGGGACTTCGCCCTTCCCTGGTCTAGTCACTGATCCACTTCCATGCCAATCTGTTTCGGTCAATCGGCGGCTGCTGTTGAAGCCTGTAATGCCCAGGATGCCGAGCATAGCCAAGCGTTTTGTTTGCGTTTGGTAGTGCAGGTCTGGCTCCAATAGGTGGAGATGGGCACATGTGAGGAATTAGAGAGAAACAGTTGCGTTTTTCTGGAGTTGGGCAGTGTGTGGTGGTATCTGCTCTTTCCATATAGATCGCTATCCCCGTGTTTCACTTGTAGACTTTTGACCTTTGTTTATCTTTTTTTCTTTCTCCATTGTTGTCTTTTGGTTATATTTCTCTCCTTCAATTCTATTCCTTGGATTCGATTCAGGACTGCCCGCCGCTCCTTTTGCGACATTGACATTGTTGCATTGTGCATTCAGTCACGCCTAGGGCCACTTTCTTTTAAACAGCTCGGAGAGCTATTTCTGCCTTTTGGCTTCTCTTCATTTGGTCTTTCTAGACAAGATCTTATTCCTCTTCTCATTACATTCCTTGATATCGATATTTCAGGCTGGTCCTGGTTGTTCTGCTCGTTTTACGGCACTAATATCCTTGGGCATTTGACAAGATGCATCTGCTATTTTCCTTCGTTGTTTTTCTTTTTTGAGCTTGAATGCTCTGTCCATGCCCACGGCGTCTCGGTCCCACCTTAAAGGCCGGTCCTTCAAGGTGGACCTTGTTCAACGCAGCAACTATGCCCCCCATGGTCCCACTGCTCTACGCAAAGCATACCGCAAGTTTGGCATCACTTCGACTGAGTCCTCCGGCACTGAGCTGAGCGACTTCAAGCTCCTCGACACCAGCGGCCTCACTACCGTGAAGAGTGCCGCAGAAGCCTCGTCTGATTCTGAACAGTCGGGCGCCGTGAGCGCCGCTTCAGTCAATGGTGACCAGGAATTTGTTTCGCCCGTCAGCATTGGCGGCCAAACCCTCCCAATGAACTTTGACTCCGGATCTTCTGATCTGTAAGTTCTTATATGCAGCTGGCATGTATATCAACTAATGTGTATACAGGTGGGTATTGAGCTCCCGTCTCCCAGCCTCTCAGAAGCAGGGCCGAACAGTATTCGAGGTGGATAACTCGACCACATTCAAAGAGGTCCAGGATGGCACATTCAGCATCTCATACGGCGATAGCTCCCGCGCATCTGGTTTATTGGGCAAAGACACCGTCTCGATCGGCGGCGTGGAATTCAAAGAGCAAACATTCGGCCTCGCAACCGAAGCATCCGACGTTTTCATCGACGACACAGCATCAAACGGACTCGTCGGCCTAGGCTTCTCTTCTCTCAACACATTCAAGCCCGGTCCCCAGAAGACATTCTTCGAGAACGTCGCCCCAACCCTCGACGAACCACTATTCACCGCCAGACTCCGCCCCAATGGCGTCGGCCAGTATGAATTCGGTAGAATCGACAAGAGCAAGTACTCCGGCAATCTGGTCAACGTCAGCGTGGATTCTTCTGAAGGATTCTGGCAGTTCCAGTCTTCTCAATACGCCATCGGCGGCGGTGCCTTCAACCCCATCACCCAAACAACCAAGGCCATCGCCGACACAGGTACCTCGCTCCTGCTGATCAGCCCCGAGGTCGTGCAGGCCTACTACGCCAAGGTCGCCGGCGCCGTGTACGCTGGTAATGTCCAGGGTTGGATTTTCCCTTGCAAGTCGGATTTGCCCAGTCTTTCCATTGCAATTGGCAACGACTACGCCGCGACGATCCCCGGGCCGTTGATCAACTATGCCCAGATTGGCACAAACACGACCACTGGTGCAACCCGTGAGTTATTGCTATCAATTCCTTTCATATGTGTCTGAACTGACCTTCTTCCCCTTAACAGTTTGCTATGGTGGCGTCCAGTCCAACTCCGGCGGTTCGATGTCGATCTATGGTGATGTGTTCCTGAAGGCCCTCTTTGTGGTCTTCGATCAGCGAGGTCCTTCTCTGGGATTCGCGACTCCCATCTAGGTACCTGATGAGTTCTGGATAATATCTTGCTCCGGCATAAAAACCTTTTGATATGTACAGATTAAAGAATCGAAGATCACATTTCAACTGTTCCTAGCGGTATTCATGAGTCTTTGATCGGTGTATTCGGACGCCTTTTAGGTTGACAAGTAATAAGTTAATAATAATGCTGAACTTTTTAATTTTTGATTTTTTTCATATTCTCGTGGGTATGCGTGTAGTCCATTTTATTTGCAAGCGAGACATCAACCAAGCTCCTTGACAGCAGAAATCTATCTTTTTACCGCACAGTGGCGTTCTTCAGGCTCTTAACGGTACAGACACCACCAGAGGCAGCAACCAGCTTTCCAAGGGTAGGCTTGCCCTCCTGGCCATGGACAGTGGGGACAGCACTGCTGTCAAAGGCAACCTCGAGGTCACCGGTGGTAGTGAAGCCAGGCTGGAAAGTCTCCCAGACCTTCTTCTTGGGGTTGAGCTGCTTCTCGGGCTCGCCGTCGTTCCAGCCCTGGAAGCTAATGCGCTCACCGGCCGGGGCATCGGCGGGAGGGTTGACCAGCTCGACGGGGCCGGCGTGCGAGTCCTCACCCTCAGCGACGCGGGGCGACGCGGCGAGAACCATGGCGCACGACTTGACGCCGCGCATGGTCACGGGCTTCAGGTTGCACACGGCGACGATCTTGCGGCCCTGCATCTCCTCCAGAGGCACCAGGCCGTTCAAACCGGAGCAGACGGTGCGGACGGTCTTGCCGGTCTCCTCGTCCAGGGAGGTGTTGTCGCTGCCGGGGGCGTCACCACAGTCTATAGTGGAGACGTACAGGGAGTCGGCGTTGGGGTGGTTGATGGCGCGCAGGATGTGACCGACACGCAGGTCAATCAGTGACGGGGCGGGAGGGGCAGCGGGCGCAGGAGCGGGCTTGGGGGCCTTCTCCTTCTTCTCCTTCTTTTCCTTCTTGTTGGTTCTGGGAGGGCCACCGGCGGCGGCGGCGTCAGCGCCGGCCTGGGCCTGACTCTTGTCAGCCTTACCCTTCTCGGGCTTACCCTGGCCGACGACCAGAGGCTTGGCCTCGTTGCTGGCGTCTGGGTTCTGGGCGCTGGCCTTCTCACGCTTCTTGCGCTCCTTCTCCTCCTTGGGGTCGACGGGCTTGGGCACGAACTTAACGTCGTTCACGTCGATGGCGACCTTCTCCTCGTCGGGAATCTGCAGAGCGAACAGGCGGGCGTTCTGCACAAAGTCGACGTGGCGCACGATGTGGTGGTAGCCCTTCTCTCCTGTGCGCTCCTCGGGAGTCCACTTCTCAACGGCGGGGGCCAGAAGAGCGTAGATGGCAATATCGGCGACCGAGGGCTTCGCGCCGAGGACAGTTGTCCGCGTGGCCAGGTGGATATTCAACTGGTTCAGAATTCCATCGGACGCTCCCTTCTCGCCTTTAGCCAGGGAGGACTTCAGGCCGTCGACGGTGTGCAGCCATTGCTTGATGTCGGCTTCCTCATCCTCGGCGAAGGTGACCGTGGGGAAAATCTTGGACGAAGCGTGGAGGTAGTCGGGCTCAGTCGCATCGGGAGAGATGGCGGCCGGGTATGACCGGTAGAGCAGGGAGAGGAGAGAGGATTCGGGGGCTGCTGCCGTAGCCATTGTGAAGCGTGGAGGGGTTGGTGAAAGAAAAGAAAATCGAGGGGCTCGGATTTGTGTCGGGACCCGCGGGGTTATGTTTCGGGCCCGCAATGGGATCCTGAAGATATTCAGCTTGACTAAGATCCCTTGAATTGTGAGGGATCTGGTATTAATTTTATTCTATGAGTCAAAGAGCCACAGGGGAAGCCTTCACATTTTCTGACCGTGCTGCGTGAGCTGACTCAGCATCCTAGGATGCCCTGAAGAGGTCTAAGGTAGGACATATACTTGCTTTTAGTTGACTGAAAAAATGTACTATTGACTTGGTCCTAGTCTCTGAAATAATGAAATATCAACGCAATTTGCTGTGACGCAACATAAGATTCGCTGTGCCTTATATTAAATGCCCGTGTGACGTTTCGCTCTGAAACTTATATATTCATTAATCTACTATTTGGCAAGGTCAGTCCTACTCATTCGCGAATATCGACCTACGGCATATACCACTAGGATGCTACACAAGGAAGCCTCCAAACTAGCCTCACCTTCAACCTTAGCAACGATACCTCCGCTGGCTCTCTCCATTTCACTAAAAAAGCACATTACTACCGAACTACTCATGCTTGTCAATGATTCAATCTGATGCGCAATCTGGCCCCTAGACTCAGATAGATAACATGTCTTCTAGCATGACTGGGAAGCGCTTCGTTCAAGATAGGAGGAGCTGAGGAGGAGGCCGCGGGGTGCCCTTTTCTTGTTAAATATTGGCGATCGCAAGATGGCTTGCAAGCCCGAGACCCGAGTGACGTTGAAAGGTTCTCCGAGAATTGAGGAAGAGTAGAAATGGGCAAGGTTTGTGAAATCGTGAATCTGTACCCGAAAGTTGTGACGAGTGTCGGGGACTAGAGTTCCCGAAACGTACAAGAAATTACGTCTCGGCTCAATCTGCTACTGGAATAGATCGGGACAATGGGTTGAGATCACGGATCTTTCCGTGCCAGGCAGACCAGAGGCCGACTGATTCGGACTTGCTCCTCCCCGCCTATGGATAACCGTCAAGAGCAGATTTTGGAAGACCATGTCTTCTGAGAGTGGAAGTGAGCGCAGTGGGCGTCTCAATGCTGGATTGTCCGGATTCGCGGCCGGAGGACCCGTCGATGGCGAGGTGAAAGCAGAGAACAAGAGCACCTTGGATAAAAAGGCAGTTCTTGCCATCGACGAGGTCGTGAAGCGTGAGAGATTTATCACCAGAAACAACGTGGTTATTGCGCAGTGGATTAAGGACAATGCGAAGAAGCCCGTCAAGTCGGCTTTCGGTGATGATATTGCCTATTATGGTCTCTATGCGGTTCATACCACTTATGTCACCTCTCAATGTGCAATCATGACTACCGACAAGAGTCGTAACCTTGACCTTGGACTGGACGTGGGAGCGACTGGGATTGCTAAGCTGGGAGTTGGTGGATCATCCCTCCAGAAGCTCAAGAGTGAAGGATGGGCGACATATGAATCCAAAGAGGTAATTTCAACCAAAGCGTTGGGTTTCGAGATCGCATCACTGATATTGTGTAAGGTGACAAAGGTTTAGTGGTCTCGTACGCTGGAGCACAATTCAACATCGCGCTATTCTCTCGCTTAAGGAAGCATGAGAGTTTCGAATCCCGGCAAATATACTACTTGAATATCAGCTAACCAAAATGAAGGCTCTATCGGAAGTCAAGGCCGGGAGACCACTGAACTTCGCGCTATTTATGACGAAAACGGAAATATCACACAGTACGAGGAAGTTAAGGTGGAGGCCCCGAAGGAAGAGGAGTCATTCTTGATAGCGAACCGGTTGGGATGACGGAAGAGGATTTCGCAGAAGAGGAAAACAAGCAGAAGCAAGCTGAGCTCAGCAGGAAGGCTGCGAGCTTGCTAACATCCCAGAAGGACCGGAGAGAGATGCGGCGCTGAAGAAACTGTGTGTAATTGTGCAGGGGTTTGTGGAGACGATGAATTACATCCAAACAAGGGTTTGGATATGAGGTCCTTCAAGTTATGGATCCACGCCCTTGAAATATGAGAAATCTGTCTTATTATACAACACACAAGTATACAAGTATATGACTTTTAAGCATCGGATCCAAGATTTCCAAGGTTCAATCAAGGCAGATCCATGAATGTAACGTCCAGATACGCGCTAGTCCAAAGTAGGGATGTACCCATAAATATATCTTATATGATTGGTTGTATGGACCACGCTAAAATGAGTCATAATGAATCAAGTGCCAAGACCCAATCATATGCTGCTGACGGTGGGGTCACATCTGCTGCGGTTGATCCCTTGGCCTCAGGATTCTTTTATATGGCCTGATTTCTCCTTTGATTCCTTCTTCAGGACACGACTCCTACCGAGTCGACCCCATACGCAGTTGACCTAAGGTCATCCTTCCTTTCTCTCGAAAGAGCGTCACGGGTCTGCAAAGACCCGTCTAAGAGATCCAGCCATGTCGGCCTGCAGTTGCTCAAGCGCCGCAGCGGCCATCCAGGCCTTCCACTCGTTCCAGCCTAGCCAACGCCGGCACGCAGGAACGCCGTCAAGGGCCTGCTGAATACTCACCGTGGTTGAGTCTCTCTCATTACGGTGATGACCACCTCCTTTCGTCTCTAGCGCCGCCGATGGGGGGTTCCCCTCGGCGGTGCCTGTCTGTCAATCGTTCGATACCCTCGTGCAACAGTCCGATCTCTGGGCAGAACCAGATCTGTCCTTTACTGATACCGACTGGAATATCGTATCTGTGAATCATTCGACGCCGTACCCGCATGACTATAATGGTGACGATGTCCCCATCATGGACCTCGGGTACGGCACTGTCTCTGCCTTCCAATCTCTTTCGGATTCGGGCTCAATCGAGAACCAACACCTTGTTCCTGCATCTCTTGTTCCTAGCTCGGCCAACTCTCAAGGTATGATTCGATCTTGTAGCCATGTTTAGTGGTACCGGTTTCTAACTCTCACGAAGATGGCCACTCGCACTCGCAACCTTCCCCTGTCTCTCAATTCCCTGCTCCAGTCTCAACCACTTTCCCTAGCCCTACTACCTCTCAGGGTGACGATCCCTTAGGTCCAACTGGTGCCCGTGTGGAAAAGCGAAGACTGAATACCCTCGCTGCTCGGCGATGTCGGCAGAGACGGGTTGATCGGATGAAGGATCTTGAGGCCGAGTTGGAGAAGGTCCGCCGGGAAAGGGATGACCTGAGACTTAAGTGTTCTAAGCTGGAAGGCGAAACGGATGCTTTGAAGGGTCTTCTCACTCGCAAGAACAAGGATAGCTAGGGTCTCGAATGTTTGAGCTAGTCTCTAAGATACCGAATTCGATTTGGTTTGGTTTGGCTTCGACTTGGTTCATTTCTCGTCTTCCTCGTATCTTGATGTTTGGTAGTCGTAAAGGGTAAACCCCGCAAGTAGTCAACATCCCCACCCCCGCCCCCACAGAGCATGACCCCAAACCACCTCGGCCAAGTAGATGTGGGAGGCGGGCGATTTCCGCTGTTGTCAGCCCAAATTCTGATCTTGGCAAGAGAATTGCGGTCGTTACCCGATCTTCCATCGGGGCTTCCGGGAGGGGTTGTCCCCCGGTTTGTACAACTGCTTTCGTGGCACTAATCATTGACAGGCGCCATGTTCCTTTTTACTTGACTTTAAATAGTTCTTCGTTGCAGTGGATCCCATCGGCTTATTGTTCTTGATATACACGTACTTTGCGCCAACCTCGTCCGCTAACGTTATCTGAGTAAAACTACCGACCATACCGAGGACAAGTCAGAATGAGAGCAGTTCGATTTCACGGAAGGGAGGACATCAGGATTGACGAAGTTGAAGAGCCAATCTGCGGAAATGGTCAAGTCAAGGTGAGAGAATATACTAGGAAAGATAAACTACAGTTGCGACTCGCGCTCTATGTCGCATGGCAGTCACTTCGGTCACTAACAACAAGCCTCGCTGCCAAAGATCCGACCTGCATTTGTGGGCATATGTGGAAGTGGTAAATATGTTTTTTTTTTTACCATTATCAAGTCTCTTTTTGACATCATCCAGATATACACGAATACCTGGCTGGCCCTCTGGCAGTCCCTGTCACCCCACATGCAGTCACAGGGGAAAAACTGCCGACCACGCTGGGCCACGAGTTTAGCGGCACAATCGAGGAGATTGGAACCGGTGTTACAGGGTTGAAAGTCGGTGATCGAGTAGCCGTCAAACCTAACCTCTCAGACGGGACATGTTCGAGGTGCTCGATAGGAAGGTTCAATTCGTGCGAGAATTTAGGTTTTATCGGGTATAGTGGTAAGCTATTCCTGACCTCATCTCTGTTTTCACTTTACTTTCCAATCCTTGTACGGACAATACTAATTACCTTCCAGGTAAGGCAGGAGGCCTGTCGGACCATGTAGTCGTGGACACGAAACATGCAATCCCGCTACCAGACTCCATCCCCCTCGACATCGGCGGTAAGAATAAGCTAAACCTCCGTTTTATATTGCGTTCAGCTCTGACAGCGGGTAATACAGCATTGGTGGAACCTCTCTCTGTAGCATGGCACGCTGTCAGCCGCAGTCCTCTGCAGGAACACGATACGGTGCTCGTAGTCGGAACCGGGCCAATCGGGCTTGCTATTATCCAAGTAATACGAGCCAAGGGTATCAGCAATATCATTGCAGTTGAGGTCTCGGAGAAACGACGAGAGTTTGCTCTTACCCTGGGTGCGACAGAGGTCCTTAATCCGCTTGAAGTGGATGCTGTCGCACGGGTGCGTTCTATTACTGGGGGTGCTGGTGGTGCTGCTATTGCTTTTGAGTGTTCTGGAGTACAGGCTGGGCTTGATACTGCCATGAAGGGTCTCCGGGTACGCGGCACAACGGTTATTGTCTCCCTGTGGGAGCACAAGCCGGTTATTGATGCTTTTGCTATTGTGCTTGATGAGAAGCACGTCACAGGGGCTGCTGTTTTCGATGACGGTGATTTTGAGGCTGTGATTGATGCTATTGCTTCGGGTATGATTGTTTACCCCTTTGCATATTGCTTCATTCTTCTGGCTAGTTTTGAGTTTCCGCTGACTTCTTGCTCCCCGAAAAAAGGTAAAATCCAGCCGCGCCCCATGATTACTAGTAAGATCCCAATGGAGGACGTCACCGAGAAGGGATTCAAGGCTCTCATCGGCGAGAGAGATAAGCACGTCAAGATTCTGGTTGACATCTCTGCATGAGCTGGGTGCCTAATGATTAGGTGCGACTTTTTTCTCTGATCGGATATTCTATTATGGGCAGCGGTTGATGCCCAGCTTATAGTTGAGCAAAGTAATCACACCAATGACGTCTTGCATGGTGTCCTAATTTGACATGTCAGTGAGCCACGCGAGATCAATCGGGGCATAACGCGTTATGTAGTTGATCGGGTTGATTTGCTTGCAGTATGGCCTGCGTCTGGAATGCAACCTTGTCGATTCTTCAAACCAGACTAACCCTCCTGGATCTGTAATGGCGTCAGTCAGCATTCCTATGAGCATCAGACTGACGAAATGACAACTGTTTTTGGTGGTTTAGATGAAATTCGATTATTCCAAACACACCCGATATACTTCTCGTACAACCGCTGAGATCTGAAATTTGAATAGATACTTGGGTTAGTGATTACTTCATATAAGTGTTTAATTCGCATATGTTGTACATGTACGTAAACTAAAGAAAATAAGATGGCTAGCTCTATACATAGATCGAGACCTGCGCCCCATTAAACCTTAGTAAACACTGCGAGCCACGGTGTGGCCGTGCCAGGGCTCGCGTTCATGCGCCACAACCCTTTTGCTTTTTACCGACTTGTCCTATTTCTGTCTGAAACCCGATGCGTTTGGGATTTTCTTTTTTACCGTGTTGCATAAAACGTCATTGTAGCCAACAATAATATGATCTTATGGGTACTTTTGCTGCAGTAAAATACGAGCCGAGAGCTGGGCTAGCTGACTGTTGGGAAGAAAAGACCTAACCTGACAGTGGGGGTGGCCAAAAGTGTGTTGACGCCTCCCGCTCAAACTTGGCGAAGTGTCTAACGACGACTAGATCTCTCTAGCCCGGGATCTCGGATCGGCAAAGAGATTTGAGACGGGGGAAGGTTCAGTCCTACCGCACCATTGTCGCACTTCCCCTTCAGGATCAGATGCCGATGCCTGTTGAGTACGAGGTGTATGTGGACCATTGCAAGGATGCTGGCTTGGAATGATTCAAGTATGCCACGCACCATCAGGCGGAAAGATCATAGGGTATCCTGTAATGCCAAATGGGTCGGTGTTTTCGCTATTTCGGCACTAAGGCACCACGTCTTCTGTGTTAGCATCTGATTGATCCACTCTGTCGCCTTTCTGGAACGACACGCCTCAGCCGTGAACTGAGACAAGACACCGCTCAGGTCTGATATAATTCATTGGCTTACCTTCTGCATGAATGGGGCCGGGGTGGAATTTTTAGATCCTACCGTCTAATGGTGCCTATACTTTTTGACTACGCTTTGGACCCTCCTGCAGCCCTTTCTTTCTTTTCTTAATTACTTTGTCACGCAATACCCCCATTGTCTGCTTTTCTTATATAATTGGAATATCGGCAGAAATCCCACCGGGAATCTCCACTGTTTTGCCCTCTAGAGAATCTTGCCTGACACCTGGCGCCATGGGAACACCACTTACAGGGACGGTCATTATTACTGGAGGCAATGGACTACTGGGCTCAGAGATCGCCATTGAGATTGCAAAAAAGCAACCATTTGTGCATCTATTATTGACGGCCCGGGATATACGGACCGATGATGTCCGGGACCTCATCGGAAAGATCCGATTAATCGGCCCAAGATCGATTGAGGTTCTCACTCTTGACCTGACCGATCTGAAATCAGTGGCCAGCTTTGCCAAATCTACAGTCGACCGTGTCCGATTTAAAGACATTCCACCCGTGACCAGCCTGATTCACTCTGCTGTCGCCACATCATACGTTGTTGACGACCTCACCTCCGATGGCTACGACCCTGTGTATCAAACAAATTGCCTGTCACCGTTCTTATTGACTATCGGGCTCCTTGAGGCGTTCCGTGCCGGCGATGGTACACCAAAAGGTGGAGCGAAGGTGATCAACATTGGATGTTCAGCAGCAACATCGTGTGGACGATTGGATTATTTTGACCGCGACCATGGAAGACACGACCGACAGCCTGGAACATCACTGAGTGCAAAAGAAGGCAACATTCGATTTGGAAGCAGCAAATTAATAGCCAGTGTCGCATTATATGCATTGCGACGGAGCTTGATCTGGGTAAGTTGCAACTTGCAACCCCTATGTTCTTGACATGTTACTGACCTATATAGACTGGACACATATCGCTAGATATCTTCACACTGGATCCAGGGGGCATGACTGGCCCAAGCAATCTGCGGACTGGGGCCCCCATGTCCGTCAAAGTCGCACACCAGACTCGGACCGGGCTTCGGCCTTTCCTGCGCATGGTATCCCGAAGCTCCATGAACAAGGCCAGTGTTCCAGCCAAAGCGATTGCCAAAGTCGCATTCCATATCGACTCGGTGGAGAACTGGCAAAAGGAACGCTACTTTATACTCGATAACGACTACGAGGCCGCATCCGTCATGGCGAGCTTGCGTGATGGAGAGAGAATGAACACCCTGTTACTACAGATGATGGGACAGGCTGATGTGGAAACAAAGGAGATTGATTCTCCTCCTGTTCGTCCTCGAATGAGTATGCTCTCACCTCCGACGATTGCGTTGTGAGAGCATCACCCCCAAAATTAGCATAGCATAGCATAGCATAGCATATTTGAGATTTGTACATAAGCGAATTTAATGCCAATTGGCTAAATCAGATCTGACATATTGTGTAGCAAGTATGCAATCTAGGGGTCTGCAAGCGGTTGTCCGGATTCGGAGGCAACTTCCTGGACCGTGTGTTACTCTCACGGGCATTTTTTCTATCTCACTTTTCTCTCTTTATTTTCTTCAATTGGAATTTCACATCTTCTCAAGCTGGATAAACCCGGGGCTGTGACTAGGCTCCCCAGCCACCAACTTCTTGGCCCCCGACATAAGCGCCGCGACGGGTTGTGATAGCGCCCGCAGTCATGAACAGGCACGTCCTGGAAAAGGGCTACTCTGCCTACCCTATCGGCTCGGCCTTCTCCATTTCACCAAACAGGTAAGCGAGACTCTGCATGGACGAGTTCGCACAATGTAACCGAGAGCTCTCGGAGCTTGCCGTGACACCCATGTCCGATCGTGAAGCTTGAAATCGGGACTGATTAGCCTCCCCCAGATTCCAGCCTCGCTCCCAACCTGCCCTCCGACGTCGCCGACAGCTTTTCCAGCGACTATGCCTCCTCGCTGGAGTGTCCCTGGTCCTCGTTCTCCTCATCTTCCCTTCCTGGCGCGCCGCCATCCTGCCGACGATCTCGCTCGGTCTACTCTCCTCCACCGAAGATCTCCATCTACAAACGGTCCGGTATTATGATTTATCGCAAGTCCAGGGCTCGGAAAAGGGCTGGGAACGCGGAGAGCGTGTCCTGATGTGCACCCCGCTGCGGGATGCCGCGTCGCATCTCCCAATGTTCTTCTCGCATCTGCGGAACCTCACATACCCCCACAACCTGATCGATCTGGCTTTCCTGGTGTCTGACTCCCAGGATGAAACCCTGGGTATGCTGTCGCACATGCTGGAAGAGGTGCAGAATGACCCGGACCCGACGATGTCGTTTGGCGAGATATCAGTGATCCAGAAGGACTTCGGACAAAAGGTCCAGCAGGATGTGGAAAGTCGCCATGGATTCGAGGCCCAGGCCAATCGTCGCAAGCTGATGGCGCAGGCTAGGAATTGGTTGCTGAGTGCGACTTTGCGCCCGACTCATAGCTGGGTCTATTGGAGAGATGCGGACGTGGAGACCGCCCCGTTTACTATCATTGAGGACTTAATGCGGCACAATAAGGATGTCACTGTTCCTAGTGAGTTGCTACTTCTCGTGCTGGAGAGTTGGTTATATGCTAACTGGGGTCGTTTGCAGATGTTTGGCGACCGCTTCCGGATTGGCTGGGTGGAGAGCAGCCGTATGACCTGAATTCATGGCAGGAATCGGAAACTGCCCTGGCGCTGGCAGATACTCTAGACGAGGATGCCGTGATCGTGGAAGGATACGCCGAGTACGCTACGTGGCGGCCTCACCTCGCCTATCTCCGCGATCCCTATGGTGATCCGGACATGGAGATGGAGTTGGACGGCATCGGCGGTGTCAGTATCTTGGCCAAGGCTAGGGTCTTCCGTGCAGGTGTCCATTTCCCGGCATTTAGCTTTGAAAAGCACGCCGAGACCGAAGGGTTTGGCAAGGTAAGGCATTGTGATTTTAGAAATGACTGGTACAGTGGCTAATGTTACCTAGATGGCCAAGCGTATGAAGTTCTCGGTCATTGGACTGCCACATTATACTATTTGGCATCTTTATGAGCCTAGCGTTGATGATCTCCGGCACATGGAAGAAATGGAGCGGGAGCGATTGGCTCGCGAGCGGGAAGAACAGGAGCGCGCTGAACAAAAGGATGGCACCCAGTCCAAGCCCCAGGACTCGGGCACCGACGGTGAATTCGTGAAAGGATCCGCCGATGGCCCAGCTGCCCGACCCGAAAAGGATGCAAAAGATCATCAAGAGTCTTCCCAGCAAGTTGAGAAGACCCATAACATCCCAAAAATGAAGCGATGATCCAAGCTACGAACGAGCATCGCCTCGCCATCTCTTTCCACTGAAGACGCCTGAGTATCATCCCGCCAAATTTCACATTGCATTTCCACAGGTAATTTAGCCGATCCGCTGCAACTCAACATACGGCCTGACCATGATCCATACGAGATTCATACGACACAGCTTTCATGCAAGGGACTATTTGCTTTAGACTGCGGGCGCATTTATGCCTAAGCTCGAAGGGGCTTTGGTTTCGGGGTTTCATTCGTGTATATGCTTTTTATTATCTTTGGTTTGGGTGGTCATTTCTCTTTCTTATGGAGTATAAGCATACTGGTTGGCGTAGCATTGAGAGAACTAATTTGGTCATCCAAAGCAACATTGAAGATTTGATTCATTATCCTGTATGATTCAGTATGATTAGATCCAATTAGTGTTCAATGCAATGGATCAAGTGCAATGTGGAAAATGTCAAAGTCGAAGTAGATGTTAAGCGGTGGTCCGTGTGCACCCACTTCGCGTCGCGTTCAATTTCACCTCTTCCCTTGCACTTGGATCTTTGCAATCCATTACCCAGCAATGGCCACGCAAGACTCGCGCAGTATCCTCTTTACACATACTCGCCCCCAGCAGGGGTTCCGGTTGCTGGAATTGACCCCAGAGCTGGAAGAACTACTGACATCGAAAGATGCCCCAGCGTAAGTCAAGAACGCGATTGAATCCAACAGCTCTCAAAGCAGCCCAGAACCCCCAATCACTACCCTACTACAACCTACAATGCTTCTCCACAATGGGCAACCTCATACTGACCAACAACCCACAGACTCGAACTCAAATCCCCCTCAACAGCCCTCGCCCAAGCAGTAATCGACCCAAGCGCACAAGACTACGTAAACCTCTGCACACCAACACAAACCTACCGAATCCGCCAAGTCCAATCCTCAAACTCAATCCACATCCTCCGCCCCAGCAATGGCGAGATCTCAAAAGCAGACATAAAAGTCGTCGAAGAAGAAGCCGGCGAAGAAGGAACCCTAAACCTGCCCGACGAAGCAGTCACCACAATCGCAAAATGCTCCTCAACACTAGAACTGCACATCCCACCCGGCGGATTCTCCGCAATCCCATTCCTAGAAAAGAGCCTGCGGCTGTATGACCGTCGCAGTGATGATGACGACGGAGATGTAGCGATGGGTGATTCTGCCGCGTCAATGGACCCTCTAGATGCTGCTGCTGTGCGAAAGGTTAGGGACGGGGTTTGGGTGGATATACCTGTGTCGCGGGCGCAGTGTGAATTGGGCTGGATGGAGCTTTGTGCGTTTGTGGATGCTGGCGAGGAGGTCGGGTGTTGGCGGCCTTCGGCGCGAGCGCGCTTAGGTGTTTGGAGGCGGTTGGTTGAAGGGGCTGTTTTGCAGGGGATTGATCTTGAGAAACAGTTCCTTGTGGGGGATTTGTGGAAGTCGGTTCTTGATGAGGATGAGGCGGCTGAGCCGCCGTTTCCGCGCGTTGCTTGAGGCTGTTGTTAGGCGGATTTGTGTTGTTGATGAGCGGCCTGCTTTGGCGGATGAGGTCAAATGTGAGTTGTTGGGATGGGCTCAATGTGTTCTTGTTGCGGGCAGCTAATTTGTTTGTTCTTTCGTTTAGGGGCAAGCTTTGATAAGGTTGAGTGCGCGCAGTGGGTTGGGGAGACATATTTAGCTGCTACTGCGCCGGGGGCTTCGTCTGCTATTGGGAGAAGCGACTTCCTTCGTGCGTGGAAGGATTGTCTGCCTGAATCGTGGAGAGGAGAGGCCGTGTTGTCCAAGTTGACCGTAAGTTAACTTCAGTTGATGGTTTTTTTGTTTACATGGCTAACTCGACTGTAGAATGGTTGCTACAAGAGTCCTGACCCTACGACTATACATTTTGTCGAGTCCTTCCAGCGGGAGCAGACCAGCAAGGCTGCTCCTACTGGGCCAGCTGCAGCTTCAAAGGTTAAGAATACAAGAAATTGGCACGAGTTGCTTAAAGCCCACCGCTGAAGAGCCAGCACGCCGATGCGTTGAAATGCCATATCATCTAATGTATGATGTCGAGCGTGTCTAGAAACATCATGATCACATCTGCCGCCCAAGATCGCCTGGAGCTCCGCGTTTCGAAGTGCGAAGAACCGTTTGAAAGCAAAGAAACAAAACCCCCGAAATGATATCGAATGAGTGAATGATCAACACCAGGCGTACTTCTCATTCAGCCACCACTCCACATCCTTACCCAATCCGTCCTCCGAACCGGTCCAGCGCAAGCTAGCGATGCTATCCTTCTCGCGGTGTACAAGCTCGGCCTTCGGGTCGACCAAGGTCATAGCCTTCTGCAAGAGGGGGTGGGGTTCCAGAATTCCACCTTGCTCATATTCCACTCGTGTGCTTCGTGCTGAGCTCGTCGAAGGATGGAAGCCATGGCTTTAATCATGGCCTGCTCTTCTGCCGGCGATGTGGGGTCATCATACACCCACCGAAGAATATAGAGAACATTGTCCTCAGGCGTTTCTCCAAAGTTGCGGTTCCAAGCGCAGTACACGCGAGCCTGGTCATTACCAGCACCCTTGACAACCGGCGGGGACCGTTCGGGAAGCAGCTTCTCAGCAAAGAACTCCTCTCGGGCCCAATGCCACACAAAATGGTCAAAGTCAGGCAAAATAGCAATCTTAGCCTTGGACGACTTCAGCGATGCCACGCGCATCTGATCCCGCAGCTTAGCAAGGACAGCCTCACTACAAACAGTCTGCTGAACATCCTTAGCAAAAAGATCCCTCGTTACATCCCCTCCGTCCACAGCACTCTCCATAGCCGGCAAAGACATATGCGAAGACAAGAAAGGCCTCCACCCAAACTGAGCATAAAACTTCTTCCCAATATCCGAAAAGAGTACAGTAAACAGCGACTTCCGCCGACTCTCCTCCTCCATCTTCCACGTATCAAGCTTAAGCCTCAACTCCTCGAACATCCTCTTAGCATACCCCTTCCCCCGGAACTCAGGCCGGCAGTAGACACTCCCCACGCCGTGGGTAGCCACATCCTCCACTTGGCCATCATGCGCCATCAGCGCCTTCTTGCGGTAGGACTCGCACGAGCTGAGGATTGTGCGGCCGCCGACGGGCTCGTTGCGGTCCACGAGGATCCAGCATGTCAGTCCGTCGCGGGTTAGTCGCTGTTGCATGAGATGGTCCTCGCGCTCTATGTATGTTTCAACATCTAGCGGGCCCTTCCAAGCTACGCTGTTTAGCTTGATTGAGGCTATGCGTTCTGCTGGTGTTGCCGGGACCAGGATTAGATCTGGTGACTCCCCTGCTGGGAGGTCGGGGACCGCTGCGGCGATCATAGTGGTGATTTGGGGTTTAGGTTGTGGGGTTTGTGTTTGTGGTTGTGTCTGATGTTATGTCAAGATGTGTCGATAATGACGTCCGTCAGGTTCCCCTGTGTAGCAACCGACAGATTTCGGTGTAACTGTGAGTATCGTACGAAGTAGTAGTCAACGTGAAGTATTTGCAAGATATCGACGATGTTATTCTCTTAAAAAAGAGGGAAAGGGGAAGAGGAAAGAAGTAGTCCGGGTATGACAGGTATCCGACGGGAGTCCGACCAAAGAAAAGAAAAATCCGGGGTTCAAAACGGATAGTGGCTCCGGCGATTGAGAACCATGTGTAGACATCGTCACTTTCCACGGCTACCCCCTATTGTATATACTTATATACCTCCTCAATTTACGTACATATCTTCTCCGTGACTCTGGTCACACGAATCAACCATCTACCAACCACACCCGATGTCTTTCCCCCCTCATCTGCATTCCGCGTCGTGATCCGGGCCGGAGTCGCCTGCTCTACACGTAAGAAAGCGGCGCCGTGTTTCTCTTTGTCACCGGCCCGACGGCAAGCGAGGACAAGCGAGGATGTTGCATTTATTTCTGGGTTCTTGACGTAAGTGATGCTTTTGGCTGAGGGGCGGAGGGTTTGGAGGGGTCATGTGAGGCCTTGGCGATTATGTCATTTGTTTTGCGGGGTTCTATGAAGTTTATCTATGTTTGAAGTCTTTATACATGTAGTCACGATTTGAGACGTAGAGTTGGCGTGGAACTCTGTTCTATGGTCATCTGCTTTCGAGGTTGACGCGGTTTGGGTATGCGAAACACAACTGATCGGTGTTCAAAATAACTCTGTCTGCAGGTCGAGTCTTAGTACTCAGGTTTCATTATTTGTTGGGATTAGTGTAATGTTAATATGACCGAGGTCTCTGTATCTAAGAAGGTGAGATAATAGATGGGTAAGTACGTAAAGACGCCATGGCTACTGGATTAGTACTAGAAAGAAGAATGATGGAAGCTTAATAGTAAGAAAGCTAAGTGGCTGGATTCATAGTCCAATATAAACATCAACATTACATTATCTCCGAAATTTAAACGAAATTTAAAGCCAAATGAGCACCTGATTTGGCAAACTTCTATTATGAAGCAAGTAAAGCCCGGTGCTATCTAAAAGAGACATCCCTTCTCCCTCCCTGTCATCTCCGCTCTCACCGTTGTAGATGACAGGTACATACCGTCCCTTCAACAACAATACAGATCAATTGGTCAACGTTTGTCGACCCAGCGTTGCCCACTTTACTCCTACGAGGACTAGTTCTGCTTCTGCTCCTTCTCGGTCTTTCAGGGATCTCGAGACCAAGAACAACATCCATCAACACAAACTCATTGATAAACTGGATCATTATTGTCTCGTTCCCATCAAAGGTTGGATCTGGAATATGAATGTATTCTACCCTAGGTCTACTCATTACTATCGGCAAGTATCTGCTCTTAAAGCCCAAAGATCGCTACTATTCGCCATTCCTAGTCCGCTACCATCGAAGTATGCTCTTTCAGTTCAGGCCACAGAATTATCACTGACAGGCGACTAAAACAGCCCGGGGTACAGGTCTGTTCATCAAGCCTCAAGCATTTTAAATGGTTTTATCAAACATATCTGTGGTACTCTGAAGTGGCTTCATGTACATGCTTGTACTTCACTAGTTTAGTATATGATGTCATCGGACTCCCGATGTCGGTCTACACGCGTCTCTCCTTTCATAGTGAAGATATCAGGGGTCACTCTCTATAAAGCACCAGAAGTTAGCCTGAACCCCTGTTTATTAAGCCGGGGCTGACATTGCCGCTTAGTTCGATCCAAAAATTGCATAATCCAACAGTTAGCGGGTGTTAGCTTGTGTTTAGATGGCAATCGTATATGAACCAGTTATTGTTTCCCGAGCGTTTCCCTCGGAAAATGAAGCAAGTATATCGCCTAGCAATCTCTCTTCGAACATATTGATTAACCCATGCTGGATATCTGACTGGCTAGTTTACTTACGTGGTCAAACCCCAAGGCCAAGGGCCTATTTTTCATCAGCCTGGCCCAGAGTATTAAGGGGACAGAAGCGATCATAGATAGAACAAGTCAATGCAGATGAAAGACGAGAAAGAAAGTCGAACACGAAATATAACGTTACGGCATAAGACCCGAACCTCAAGTTCTTTCTTTTCACGGGATTCACTGGGCTCATCAGCATAAAGAGACGGGCAAGAAACGCAGGAAAGGTAAGACGACATTGGGAACTAGTTGCTAGATAGTTGAATTGGCTAGAAAAGAGAATCATGTAGTTGGAGATTTCAACAAAGGAGACGAATGAAATACAACAGAAAAATGGGAGATGGTATGACAAAAAAGAGGCCGGACCGCAGCAAAAAGATCAGCGAGGAGAGAGAACCCAAGGGATCAAGCACACAAAAAGATGCAAATGGAGTAAACGAGAAGATATAAAAAGCAGGGTAAAAAGGTAAAGAAGGATGGAGAAGGAGCGTCATGAAAATGAGATTGGGGAAGAGCAGGGGGGAAGATAAAGAATCACTGGGGAATGGAGCACATAATAAAAAGGAAAGATATGAACCTGATCTATGTAAGTAAATGCCATGCGAGTCCCAAAATTCGTCCGCTCCCCGTTTTATATAATTGCGCCACTTCTTGCGGACGGCAGTTCCAGAATTTCCTTCGTCCATCATGTATGTTCGATCATTGGTCACGCTAAATCAAGAATGAGACAGAAATTGGGTGTGGACAGGAGATAGAAAAAGGGAGGAAGTAGAGGTGAAAGAGGAAAAAAGAAAGAGATAACAGCAGAACACAGATTCCCCCCAAGGCCTGAAACAAATATCAGATAATCTCGAGTTCTTCAAGGTGGCTGCTCTGAGTCCACCGGTTCGTTAAACTTCTGCCGTGCCTCTTCTACCCACAACTCCAACCGAAGCTCTCCTGCTTCGACGCGTCGTACCGGTACTGTTTTGGCACGGCCATTCGAGACCCTGGGGGCGGCTGCTGGGGCTCGCCGTTGCGCAATTTCGAGACGGAAAATGGTGCGGTGCACGATCGTAGGTGCACCTTGCCTGGTTCCGCCACAATCCAAGTCTGTTCTTCCTTGGTAGTCCCCGCAGGTGGTAGTGCGTCTTCGCGCACTTCGATGCAGACGGTGAAACTGAACTCGTCATCGCGGGGCAACGGGGTCAGTCGGGCACATGCTGAGGCGAGTCTCGCTAGGCAAGCCCGAAATTGTGCCTCGAGGTCGACCGACGTTGGTGCGGGGCCCCGGTCCGAGACAGGGGCACCTGGCTTGGATGAATCTTCATTTCTGTCTTCAAATGTGGTGTTCACCTCTCCCGCGGGGGCACGCGGGAAGCCCGACAGATCAAAGGCATATCGTTCGAGAGGTTGATTTGTGCGAAGAGATGAAATAATGATACTGACTGCGGTGATTGTGCCTTTTAAGATCTCCGTTCCGACTGCGATCGATGCATCGTTGATATAGTCACACACTTTCGGGTGACGAGATTGCCGGACGGGATAATTGTATGCCCGGACGGGGAGGAAAGTTGCGCGCGGATAGACGGAGCGCAGAAATAGTATTTGATGAACGGAAACGGTGAGGAAGTTGGTGAAGGAGGCCGCTAGCGCCGACTGGTTGGTGGGCAGCGATTTGGTAGCAGGGACCGGGGCGGAGAAGGTGGTCATGGTGGTGGTACTACTGCTCTCACTGGCAATCGGCATTGCCGTCGAACGATCGGGTATCGTTTCCACGGGGAGGGTGTTCTTGTCGGAGTCTCGAAGAATCTGAATGTTCCACCCTGAAGCTAATCATCGCTCTGCCTTTCTAATCCATTGGTCAACACCTGATATTATGTTTGTTTTTGTCTTGTTTTTTTTCAAGCCGAGCCAAGGCACTTTTTGGGGGTTCCCGATACTCCGGCCAGCGACACACGGTGATCGAGAGAAAAGGCTGAGGAGATCAGGATGAGTCCAGCGACGAGCAAGTAGGCCTCGACAAGGTAGAGAAAAGAGAACGGTGTGTGGGGGATAGTAAAAAGGATGATGTGGGTTGGAGGGAGGGGGAGGAACCGAGACGTACGCTTGGGTGGACAAAACGACAAGTATAAGCAAACCTCAAAGCATGAGGGCTGGAACGATAGAATTTCCCGAGCGACGATCCCAAGTGCAAAGTGATCACTTTTTTTAGAATTTAGAGTCCCTTGGGGGGGTGGAGGGGAGGAGGAGGGGAAAGCGAAAGGAGGGGGAGTTTTTGGCGAGAGAGGGAAACCCTGAAAGGGGAAAATCAAACAAGGCTCCCAGGCAGTACGAAAAGAAAAAAGACTAGGAAGTAATGGAGATGAATCGACTGGTTGATTGACGATGTACCTCACTCTCTCTCATCGAGGGGAAAAGCAGAAGAAAGGCGGACTAAGGTAGGTTGGTAAAAGGTCACGGTTCCCGTCACGTGGTTGCGTCATGGGTTGGCCTTGCAGAATCCACAACGACACTAAGTACATGAGGATATTTGTTTTATAGTTCTATATTGCTTATTATTATATATTTAACATCTGTCTTGATAGTTGGTCCTCTCTTAGGGTTGTGTGAGAGAGAAAAAAAAAAGAAAAATACAGAATCCAGGGTAATGTATGGAGAAAGCACACAGTTTTTTGTTCCCCACTGCTTTTAAGGATCGCCAAGCGAGAAAAAAAGGATATAGCCTTGGAAACATGGAACCAATGAAAGAACTCACGGGGGTATAGCTGAGCAGAAATTAATAGCTTATCTTTGTGCGCTCAGGTACCTGAGTATAGTTTATATTTTCTGGAAATTAGGACAATATCGGTGTACATGAGAACGCGCAGGCACCAGTATCAAGGTGTACTGTACTGCATAATACGCCTCTTACCGATGATCTTCCAACACTGACGGCAGTGGCGGTAGACAAGGGTACACTACCCGGCAATCCTACCCTCCGTATGGCTATAAGAAA